CCTAGAGCTCTTCGCCCGCGCCGTTTTCTTGCGCGAGATGAGGGCTGCCTGCTGGCGAAGAGGGTCAGTTGTCCTGGAGCCTGATCGCTCCCGGCATGTGCTTCTTTCCAGTAGGCTCCGAAAGCGCACAGCTTGGGTCTGCTGATTAGTTCTCGGGAGGTCGTCAAGATCTGTCCGTGGTGACTCGGGTTCAGTCACCCACCCTCTCCGGTCGATGCACTCTCTCCTCTGTCGCCGCGAGGCTGCGAGGAGGTTGTCGCAGACCAGGCTCGACTTACGGGTTCTCCCTCCCCATTTGGTAAACGAGGCCCTGTGGGGTGAGCCCCTGAGCCGTTGCCAGTCGCCATCCAGTTTGATCGCTGCAGTCTGACACTACTCGCTTGGCCCCCGGTGGAGTAGCTGATTCCTCCTGGCTCTATACTATGCTCCACCAGTGACAACTCTTCTGTAAGGAAACACACAACATCAAAGCCTGGTTCACAGATCTTCCTGGACCCCTAATGCGTTATGACATTGCGTTCAATATATTTCAATATAATAACCACTTCAAACTCCCATGTCTTACTGATTTCTGAGAGGCCAGCTTACACATGGCTATAGCTACACTGGAGGGACTTTTTAAGATCTGGTGTAACTATCAGTTTTTTTCACACATCTTCTATCTCTTCATCATGTCATGCATGTACCACACTGAAACCTCATCTGTCCAGGCGTTTTTCTCTTCGCATGAGCAATTTAATTTTCACCCTATCTTTTTTCCTGTCTCAGTTTCTTGTCTTCCCAGCATCTCATTCCTGTGCATGGCATTGCTGCTGCTGCTTTTCCTCTTCGACGCTCAATTCTCTTCATAACAGCTCTTCTCCTCCTCCATTGAGCTGATGGTCCTTACACCGTCAGCAACGTTTGAACTGGGCACTCCCTAATGCAATATCAAGCTTACAACGATAGACAACCATAGGTTATGCAATCACCTGTGTGCTCTACTGTCCTTATTGAGCTCTTTGAACTGCTTCCACATATCTACCTGGTCAAAATGTCGTGTCATTTCAATTGCCGCTTCTTCCTCTTCAAAAACTCTCTGCCGGAACTTCGAATTTTCAATCACCAGAAACTTTGGCTAGATACCCCTTTTTTGAAAAAAGTTCTCTGCTGGTACATTCTCTAACCCACTGCAGGATAGGTAGATGGTAGCTTTCTCGGCCACGTCAATGAGAAACCGTGTCGGAAGGCGTTCACCGCCGCCCTCGGCCGCTTTAGGTCTGTACTTGAGGATCCGAAGGAGGGCAAAAAAGATGCGCAGCGCCGTCTGAATCGGTCGGTTCTTCTTCTTCCGGAGGTCCATCTTGTGCTCTGGGCATCTCGGCTAAGACATCGTTTTCAGGACTTGGACAGATCCAGCGGCTCCAGGGAGTCGAATGAGACGAGTGTAGCGGCGGGAAGGGAGGGGCGTCAGCCGCTCACGTATGTAGCTCAGTGCTGTGACTCATCGCTAGCGTGCACTCACGGGAGCAGTCGCGGACCGAGCTGATGAGTGATTTCTGCGCGCTTAACTGTGTTCTAGTAAAGTCTGTCTGTTCTACGCTGTGATCCTACCCTTTCGAATTCCGCCATTTTATTCTGTATTCTTGCGCGTTGCTAGGTGACGTTCCGCGAACGGGTCTTTTTGCGCGTGCGCATCTTGCCACCGCGTGCTCGCTCCCGACAGTGAGTTCGCTATGTTACTGGGTGAGTATTCAGTCGCTTTTCTTTGTTTTTCTGTGCCAGAACAGATCTGGTTATGCAAGGCGAAACTCAGTGTATTTTTTATAAAATTCCGTCCTTTCGCAGGGTTAATCGCGGGCGGCGCGGAAAACCGGTGCACGATCGTGCAATGTAGCACTATTAGGAAAAAAAAAAAAAAAAAAAACGCTCGTCGCGTTCCCTTGCCGTTCGTCTTCCGTCGCTCCGCACGTCTACAGATCGAGGAAAAGAAGCCACTTTTGATCCACTGTTGTAACCTCGCCTTCGGATAATGGCCAGTAGTCCGTCTGAAATCTGTGTAGCGCTAGACGACGATACTTAGCAGTTTTTAGTTCGTGTTGTACGACGGTGGAAACAATGGCGTCACGTAGGTAGCTGATGGTGTTGGAGCCGGCATAAAACCCTCTTCCGACAGAGAATTCCCCTGGTGACCATATTAACGCCGGAAAAGGAGACCAGATTACATCCTCAATCACTTGACTCTAGGTCTTCTCACACACGACGATAAAACAACAGACAGCCCGAGCAAGAACCAAAGACAGGACGCCGAAAAAGTTCGATGTGGCGGAAACTGTTTTGCAGGGCGAGACCCTCGCCAAGAGGGGAAAAGTAAGGGCTTGGGGGGCTGGAGAAGGGAAGTTAGAAGACAGTTTTTTTTTTCCCATATTTTTACTGCCTCGCTGAGTTGATGGTCAAGAAATACTCAAGACCTTGTAACCCCCTTGACTCGTGAACCCTTCCGTTGAGGGAGGCGGGAAGGAGGGAAGCAGGGAGGGCTGGACTGGAGTGGTTGTGGTTTGGTAGGTCAGATGTTCACCGACTAGGGCAAGGGAATCGATATACCAAAAGGAGAGGTGAGTTTTGTTAATGGTAATTTGTTGGATGCCATTGTATCTGTGCCGAGCCGGCTTGTGCATTTTTCTCAACCCTTGCACTTTTCACTCTGTGACTTTGACTGAATCTTAGTTCAGTAGCTGCATACGCCTTATTTATCTGTGTACCAGTCACATGACATTACGCAATAGTTAATCCATGAGGGATGCTACACTCCTAATGCCTCTTTGGAATAGCTGTATGTATGTTTCTGTTAAGTTGAATGGGTATTGTTTTTGTGTTGAAGGGCTGGGTAATGAATCGTCTTATTCGTTGATTTAGTGCCCGACCACTACATCTACATGGTTGATCAGGGATGAGGGTGTATGGCTTGGGTGGCGGAGAATGTACCACCTAACTTCCCTAGTGTCCTACCAGAAACCCCCATTATTGACACTTGTAGAGCGAAATTCATTCCTCGAGAGTTTAGTCTCTGGTCACGCTGTCCCCCCCTCAAGTGCAATGACACGGGAGTCGTGGGAACAAGGCATCTCGACAAGGGTCCTGGAGGTGGCTGAAATAGTGCAGTGGTGGTATCGAGCGAAAAAGTGAACAAAGCTAAAACACTCCACATAATTTGTCCTGCAGGGTGGGAGGCAACACGGGAGGGAGGTGGTCACTCACAAACAGCCCCGCGTCCTTGTCTATATAAAGTGCCAAGGGACAATCCGTATTGCTAACTACATCTGTAGACGCGCCGATCTGCCAGTTCTGGTGGCTCCCAGTCTAAGGCGTGGGTCACATGACTGCGGACATATTCCAGGGCATATAGCTCCTATTGTGCCTCTGTCATGTGGTATGTCAACTAATATGTCATGTATCTGTGCAGCGGTACTGCTACCACCCCATCACTGTACTACCCTCCTATGGGTTTGGCACTTGTCCTATTTTGTCTAGGTAGTTATGATCTCATCGTGCGGTGAGATGCAACAATTGATTGTCCTCAATGATTTAGCCCACAGTCTCTCATTATGAACGTATGGCTCTAGAATCATAACATGTGGCTTGATTACTAGGAAGGGAAAATGCATGTGTCTGATCTGTCCTTTTTGGTGTGCTATGGTTTGTTTTGGCTTCAGGCTCCTGGATCAAGTGTTTTAAAACATTCTGTTTCTCCGTTTCCATTTCCTCGTTCTTTTCAGCTGATTGGAAGGCTGATATTTGTGGGTAGCCCCTGGCCGGCGCTCACGGGGAAGTGGCGCAGAATGCTAGAAACGGACCTCTGAGAAAGAGAACAAGCGCACTTGTGAGGGGAGAGAGTGGCGGAGTGTGAGAAGAAGGGAGGGAGGGAGGTGGCAGGGAAGTAGAATATGGGAGTGCACTTTGTGGGTGTAGAGCGAGCGGAAGGCAATGTGGCTGTGCTGGACGCTGGGGGAGGAGGGGGAGCTGTCGAGAAAGGCGGTGAAGGCGAAGCTAATGGTGACAGTCAAAAGCTCTCCAGCCGCAGAAAAGGTATGTACACTTTTCATCCATCATGTAAACCTACTTCTCTGTGCGGTTCACCTTCTGAGGGAGAAAGCTGTGCAGTTAGTTTGCTAGCCTAAAATGTAAAATTTGTTCAGATCGCTAAGGTTGGCTAGCATGCAAAACTGTTGCCAAGGTCTTAAAAGGATGTAAACTTTTCCGCTGTACATTAATGTATAAATAGCTACAGTTTCATACTTTGCTGTTAATAAGACAAACTGGCCACTTGACGTTGGAATTACAATTTCTGTCCGTAGGAAGCGGGAAACATAAGGGTTCCGCATGAGCATCGACTCCGCCAGTCCTCCGCCAACTGTCTCGCGAGACACACCCTCGCGATCGTGATCGTTACCGCGACGGAGTCGGCGAGAGCGGTACCGACCACAGAGAGGGCGATGTGAGGGAGAGTGAGACAGTTACAGGAGAGAGAGACAGAGAGGCCGACTACTACTCACATAAGGAACGCGACCGCGACGGATACAGGTGAACTCACTGGGGTTGAGAAGTGACTAAATATAACCCTGGGGTTGAGAAGTGTCTAAATATAACCCTGGGGTTGAGAAGTGACTTAATATAACCCTGGGGTTGAGAAGTGACTACATATAACCCTGGGGTTGAGAAGTGACTAAATATAAACTACTCTCTATGGGTTTGCTCCATTGGCACGGTTGCCGAGTTTCTCGCTTTCGCTAATGCACGGTAAACTCAATACTAGCCATTTTATTACTTATGCTGCCTCCACTTTTGCAGGGATGTGGATGGTATTGTCCATATTGTAACATAATTACAACTGCGCATATATATAACCCGGATATTTCACACTCGTGTTCGCTTGCTGAAAAGTGTTGCATTCGTTTTAGTAAAAGTTTCTTCTCTTTTTGTGTGCTCAGAGGAAGGTGGAGAGGTGATAGGGATCGCTATCATCCACCGCCACGCTACTCTAGCCATCCCGTACACGATTATGGCGGAGGGAGAGAAGAGGGAGGAGGAGGAGGAGGAGGGGGAGGGAGAGAGGGAGGAGGGCCGGGATTTCCACAGAAGTCCCACGAAGGGGGTGGAGGGTATGCTGGGTACGACAGGGACGGAGAGAGGGGGAGGAGAGGAGGGAGGGGGAGGGGGGGAGGGAGACGAAGCTGGCGGTCTTACCCACAAGGAGGAGGACGAGGAGGTAGGGAAGGGGTAGTGAGGTGTCGTAATTAGCACAATTCCACAATTACTAAGGATTACTAAAGTGTCCTAATCTGTGAACATCCTAACTTGTGATGTGTCCTAAGCAGGAGAAAGTGTCCTGATCCACCTTAAACCATTCCCCAATGTTACATCTTCCGAACGTAATGTATTGAACATGCATGTAGCAGGGAAGTTGTTCGGGTGGGAGGTTTTATTGTTCAACTTTCTTACTTTTTCCCACCATTGGGCCCCCCTCTCCCCCTCACAGCTGGTGGAAGCGGGGGTTTCCAGTATCCTCAGCCTCATGCTCAGATGCAGTACTACAATGGTCCCATGTCCGGAGGGGCCCCGGGGGGCATGTACTACCAGCAATTTCCGGCCCCCATGTACTACAACCCCAGTCCCCCCATCCCTCCCATGGACAAGGGGACTCTTCAGGACTGCATCCGTACACAAATGTGAGCAATACGCACTCCTGTAATCTGGTGTGTAGCAACTAAAATCTTAACAAACTCCTTATACTTTAGCGACACATTTTAAAACACTTTTGTATGTTTTTATCTCCGGGAAAAACATTTTTACTCTTCCTGTAATTTGTGTTCATTTTTCTCTCCAGAGAATACTACTTTAGTGACGAAAATCTTCAGAAGGATTTCTTTCTGCGACGACAGGTTTGAACCATTTGAACCCCTCACCCACTGCATGTTGTGTATGGGGGGGTTAACCCTGTAATTGCCTGCACCTCAGATGACCCACGAGGGCTACGTTCACCTGACCGTGATTGGAAGGTTCAACAGAGTGCGGGCTCTCACTCAGGACCCGGTGGCCATCAAGGAGGCAATGGTCGGCAGCACCTTTGTCGAGATGGCTCCATGGTCGATGTGTAGTAGACAGGGCAAAAAGTAGTAAAAACAAAAAAGTAAAACCAAACACCATCGCTGCAGTCGAAAACAAACACTCCGCGCACCAAAATACGCGTTTCTCCTTGTGCATTTCCTCTCCTCGCCCTCTCTTTTTGTCTCGTGGTTCGCACCAACCGTCACGCCACACTGCTCGTGTGTTGACATCTTGTATTCCTGAAAAAGCTAGGGCTAGAAAAGCTATTATGCTGCGACATACTTTGATTGTTAAAAGTAAGCAAGTTGAGCCAGCGTCCTAATTACCATACTGTGTTGCTTGCCAAAAATTCATTGCTGCCGATAGTGTGTTTTTTGGTCGTTTTAGTTAAAGGTATTGCAGTGAAATTCCCCTTGAAAATAACATCCCATAACCGTGTATAATGAACATTTTCACACTGGTTATACAGTGTAGCGGGAGACGTTCACATTTCGGTAGCTAAAAGTTCACCGCACAACTAATGTATACTCATGTATCAGTCTACAGTAGGACGTGTATCTCTGACTGGTTTGCAGATGGAAAACACTTGAGGCAGCGAGAGGGTTGGCAGAGGTGGGTGGTGCAGGGACAGACCCCTGGCCAACCTGGATACCCTGGTCCTGGTGAGTCTGTTTCTAGTCGTCTCAATGTGGGGTTTTTCTTAAGTATAACGTGCGCATCAACCGGGATAGCACAGACCGTAATGTTCTAAATATGCGTGGATGCGAACTGCTCGCGCCCGCTCACCGAAAATGTGTGGCATTCAGTCTACTAATGTGGTGGTGGACCTGCTGGTGAGTTTGTTTCATGTGCTGGGGACTTAGCGCTTGCTACCAGACACTGCCTTTCATGTGCTGGTCCTGGTGACCAAGGGGCTTTGCACTTACTGTTAGACAGTTCTTTTCGTGTGGTCCAGACTTTAGCACTAACAGTAGTCAGGTACATAGTGTTCCATGGAAAAGCCGGCTTAGCACTTACTGTCAGGTAGTGCTTTTTCATGTCATGTCAAAAAGTGGAGCGTTCTGTGTGTGATTTGGAGAGAATCCAACACTATCCATTTCTCTCTCCCTCTCTCTCTCTCTCTCCTTTCTTTTTCTCCTGCCCCCCTCATTTTACCAGGAGGGTTCCATCAGTTTGTACCCCCGGAGGGTTACGAGGGGGGCGGGGGAATATCTCCCCTCACTCCCCCATTCATTGTGGGTCCCCACGGCCATCCTCTCATGGAGGGACTCGAGGTGCCTCCAGAATTTATGCCGGCACTTGGCATTGCCTTGGACAGTAGGGTAAGGCCAGCTCTATAGCTATACTTAAAAGGAATGTGGCAATATATAAGTGCTAAATTTAGAAATGTTGGGAAATGTGCCCCTATTGGTACTGCCACATTCCCTTTAAGACACTTTTTATCAATGTACCCATGTGAATATTTGTCATACGAGTTTCACACTCCTTAAAATATAGAAGGTTATTCTGGACAAGAATAGTCCGTGGTGGATTGACGATTTCATTAAAAGAGTATCATGTGTGTTTGTGCAGGGATACTATGGACCAGAGCCTCCAGTGGACTATGGCGACATCTCCCCTCACTTTTCAACCTCCGACGTTGAGAGTGTTAGTATCTATTGTAGTTCTCTATTGATGAGTGGGTTCAATTATTTTGGCTTTCAATCTTTATAATATTATGGTGGGAAAATGCTAGGAGTAAAGAACTTTTTCATTCCTATGTGGGCATTCTGACCTCATTTTTCTGTTCTCGGTACTCTATTCTCTGTTCCCCGTTCTCCTCGCCCACAGGGTCAGACTAGTGGGATAGAGAGCGAGGCTACGGGGTCGGAGATCCACGACACTCACTCCGTCGACCGCTCCCCTCCCTCCCACCCTCACTCCACCATCACCTCTGGCAGCAGTAGCAGTGGTGGGGCCAGCGAGCGAGACAGAGAGGGGAAGGAGGGAGGAGGGGGAGGGGTTGCGAGGGTGGACAGTGGGGTTGGGAAGGAGGAGTGGGTGTCGGTTCAGAGGAAGAAGAAGCCTTCCGGAGGAGAAGGAAGGGTGAGAATGATACAAGCAACTTTCTAGCTCAGTACACACTATTAGCTCAAGCCTTGCATGGAATTGGGAGAGTATATGTAGAAGAAGGCAATCTCATTGATATCATGCTCTTCTGAGTTTCATGTGTTGAAAGACTTACTTTGTGTACATTTGTTGATGATGTATTGGCTCTGTCTCTAGGGGTCAAAGTCTCGGCAGCAGCCGGGAGAAGACCACACCCACAGGGCGGAGTCTCATTCAGAGGACCTGGGCTTCCAGTTTGACGAGGAGTTCCAGGAGTTGGGAGGAAAGAAGCACGGCTTCTCTGAGCAGCCTTGGGACCCTGACAGGTCTTAGTACGCACTCACACGTGAGAACGTGTTTACTAAACCTCGTAGTAGTAACTCCCAGAGTGTTTAGTGCCCGCAGCACCGTCTGTTTTCCCGCCATGCGGTAAAGGTGTGCGTTAATTGGAACACATACTAAAAAAATTAGAGGCATCTCGTCTGTTGAAATCTACGCGCGTTAGAAGCCATCGGACCCTTTGCGTAGTAGCATCCTCGCTGCGCTTGGAACACCACAACGCAAGGGCCGTCGGGCTTCTAGGTTCCCAGACTAGCTCTCTATTTTTAGTTGGCTCTCCGTGTCTCTTTTTCTTTCTGTCACTCTCTTCTTTGATCCTTTCGCTCAGGTCAACAACCAGCTCCACCGATGACGAAATGGACGACCACGAATTGGGGAAGCTCCTGATCGTTACCCAGACCTCCCACGCCTCTCCCGCCGGGACCAGGAAACACCCGGGCGGAGACCGAACCGGAAACTTCCTGTCTCGAGCCAAAGTGACGGCCGAAATCGCCAAAACCATCAACGATGGCCTTTACTTCTACGAACAGGTTTGCGTAGTTCTACTTCCTTACCCTATACAGCTTAAATTTTCATGGGAGAAAATTTTTACAGATTACTGGTCCCACAAAATACTCAATGGAAAAAATTTTACGGACAGACATGTGAAATTTGCTAATGTTATCTCCCTCGAAATTATAGCAGGGTTGTGTTGTGCTCTACCATTGTTTTTTTTTCTACTGCGTTCAAATACGCATTGTTGATTTCCTCTTGTTATCTTTAGTGTTTTATGTGAGTTTTATCTGTTGCTGCAGGATCTTCATTTCGATACTGAGGGGGAGGAGTCTTATCGCACGAGAAAAGTAAATTCACAACTTTGTGTGATATTTCCTTAAAATATCCCTTTATCTCCCCGCATCTTTCCTCCCACCCCCCCTTTCTCTCTCTGAAACAGCACAATGTGCATCCTAAAGTGGGTCTGGTGACAAAGGAAGAGTTTGAGACCCAGAGAGGAGGGGAGGAGGGAGGGAGGGAGGGGGAGGAGGGGGACGGGGAGATGGTGTTCCCTCTCGACCTCCAGGAGGGGGCCGGGGGAGGAGGAGAGACGGAAGGACACGTGGAAGGTGAGGCTCCTCAAAGGGAAGCAGCTGTCCAGACACCTTCAGTGGAGAAGAAAGGTCGGTTCATTTGAAACACACTGTATTTGGAAATTTCACATGCACCCATTTTGCAATTAAGGCTTTGATATGCAAACAAAGATTTTTCCTGTTCAAACAAATTTATCTCCTTTTTATTCAGATGAAGCTGTGCCGACTAGTCAGCCCTACGTTCCGCCAGGACGCAGGGAGCAGCTACGAGAGGGTCCTCCCTGTCTCATTCCCAGACCTGGAGACAGGGCACGGTTCTATCCCGTTCCAATCAAACATGAGCAACCCTCTGAACAGCAGGTTTACTATTATTTTATAATAATCTTCTGGAAACTCTCATCTCTCAGTAAACTTTAGTAAACCCACGCCACATCTAAGTCAGCATTCTGTCGTTTCGAAATCCTTGTGTCAGAATGTGTTACTGATGTGGTATATCAACTGATGGTTTTAGTGGGCGGGGCTTGAGAACCATGCCACGCCTACCTGACCCTTGCAGCACCCTGAGAGCTGAAGCAGCACTTTTCCTCTGTGGCTGTTTCATAGTATGGAGCTGACAAATTTCACCGATATAAAAAAACTGTTCTGAAATTTTTGACTCAAGAACTTGGTGGGATGTAGAACAGCATGTTGTGTGCTTATCCATATCCAACCCTCGGGCTTGAAGGATGCGTTTCCTAATCCGTTTGGAATAGCTAAAGCAGTGCATTATGTGCCAAATGCGAAATATAGCATGTACGTGTGGAATGCAGCTGTAGAAATTGCGGGCATTGTAAAAAAAAAACAACCAGGTCGAATATGCCATATGCTAAATCAAAGATGTGTTTCTGTCGTAGTTTCCGCCGAAGCAGAAAACCAAGTACAGTAAGGATCCTCCGGTGGAGAGCCACGTTGGCTGGGTTATGGCGGGAAGACCTCCACGGTCTCGTCAGAGTTCCTCTGGTCCCAACTATGAGTGAGTATTATACCAGCCCCTCTTATTATTATACTCTGCTTTACTTTCGAGTGCTCATGGCTTTGTTACTTTTCTAAGGGCATTTATTTTTAACAGTTTGCATGCCATGCATAGAACCATGCATGCCATGCCCTTCCGTGTAGCGCATAGTTCTGCACCACTGAAGTTTGCGTTGCATTCCGCAGCTATTAATTAAGTGCATCCATTTATGCTCCAGGGGGGGGGCTAAACCCTCCTCTTGCCCCGGAATGAACCTCTGTTCTATCTTTCCCATTTTCTCTCTCATGTGCTCCCCCCGGCAGTCTTGTGAGCAGTCCTGATCTCCACTCGAGCTCGCCGGCTGCCCACTCCATCCCCACCTTCCAACATCCCTCCCACACCCTCCTCAAAGCCAGCGGCTTCCAACAACAGCAGTACCACAAGTTCCGGCACAGGTGCCTCAAAGGTGACAGTTCCGCGGAGGAGAGGACGATTCTAAGGCTCTTATTCCCTCTCTCCCTCTTCCCTTCTCCCCCTCTTTTCTTCCTTCTCTCCCTCTTTTCTTCCCTTCACTCTCTGCCCCTGTCTGTGTGTACGTCACAGAGAGGAAGAGGTTGGGTGGTGGTAAATCGCAAGAAATGAACACTCTTTTCCGTTTCTGGTCGTTTTTCCTTAGGTCGCACTTCAACAGGTGAGAATCTCCCTCAGTCTTGTGCTCAATGCTCTAATGAACGGTGCTTTTTTGTTTTTCTCGCAGAAAAATGTACGAGGAGTTCAAGACGTATGCTCTAGAAGATGCACAACTAGGCTACAGGTTGGTCTTTAGTACGCACTCACATGTTACAACGCGTTTACTAAATCTTGTAGTAACTCTCATCGTGTTTACTAAGTGGCCGCAGCACCGTTTCCCGCGCAACCCACACGTACATATTAACACAGGTGCACATCAATTGAAATATGTACTAAATTAGTCACGTATCTCATGATCTGCGCGCGTTAGAAGCCCTCGGGCTCTTCACATAGCGTCCTTGCTGCGCTCGGAACGGCACAATATAAGGGCGGTGCACAAGGCTTGGATAATGTGGACTTCCTGTCTAAAGGTACATTTAGGCTAATTTCGCCCCTCCCCCTGATTCCCCCTCCAGGTATGGATTGGAGTGTCTGTTCAGGTTCTACAGCTATGGACTGGAGAAGAAGTTTCGTATGGCAGTCTTCGCTGATTTCCAGGAGGAGACACTCAAAGACCAGGACGCTGGCTTTTACTATGGCCTCGAAAAATTTTGGGCTTTCTTAACATATTACAAGGTAAAATACTATTGTTCCGGTTGAACGGTTTGTGACATTTTGGGAAGTTTTCCTGCATCTTTTAGCCGTCAAATTCAGGATAAAACTTACGTAAAAATTTGTGTGATGTGGAATAATAAATTTTGTGTGGTTTTGTGTAGGGTAAGGCAAACTTTACAGTGGACCCAGAGCTAAAAAAGAGACTGGATGACTTTAAAACTTTGGATGACTTTAGACTGGCAGTAAGTAGAAGTACCCTCAGAACCTTCTGATCTTATGTCATAAACATTCCCTCTATCAACCATCGTCTGTGTGTGAGCAGCAAGGATTACCTCCCCCCTCGTCCTCCTCTTCCTCTTCCTCCAAATCTCCACAATCCTTGACTGCAACTCCTAGCAAGGTTTGAAACAACCACACATACTGGTATATTGTGATCGTACAAAATGAGCACTGTATGTAGCCAGTTTTTCACCACAACAAATATTTTGTTGACCGTACAGTATGTTTAACTGTATTGGTGTACGGCGTTTGGCGGCAAACCAATATTTTCAATGGGGATAGCAAAGTGGAAGCAAGGTAGGGGGAAAGATGAGAGGTGAGAGCAGGATTGGGCGAAAAGAAGAATTGTGAGAGCAAAAGATGGGGAAAGAATTGACGAAAGGTGCTTGAACACCAAGCGAACCTTCTATACATTCATGGGGAAAAACTTGAAAGGGAACATATGTACACCCATCTCTTTTGTTCATATTATTCTCACAGAAGTCCACAGGTTCAGGCTCTCAATCTCAACATCTTCAACAGCAGGCCACTTCGGTTGGCTCGTCTTCCCCCCTCTCCCCTCCTCCCCCTCCCACCCACTAGCCACAGAGACCTCTCTCCCTCATCCATCTACTGTTGTTACAGGTCTTCTTCCCACTCATGTGAAGACATTCTCACACCACTTTCTCAAACTTAAAAGAACACTTGGGCACTTCTCTTGCAAAATGTCACCATCACTTTGCCCCTTTCGTTATTTAGTAGTATGTGTGTTTATCAATCTTCCTCATCCCCCACTCTCTCCCTCTTTTGGATCATTGTAGCATAATTATATTATAGCCAAGAAGTCGTTAATATTATGTTTGTGTTGGTTTTCCTAACCTAGGTTCATCATGTGTTGTATTGTAAGAGCTAAGTTGAGTATTCCAACAAATTTGTAAATACTAGTGTAGTTTGTGTTGGAGTCACTATCATGATGTTTATTTCCTATGTGTCACTTTAGACTTTAGAGCAATTCCCATGTTCGTTTTCCACTTGTGTGAATTTAACGCGCATGCGCAAATTGTAACTAACGCGCATGCTAGTGCTCTCTAATTAGAGTTTGTTGTAGTACACGCCGTCGTGCAGCTAGCTAGCTAGCTATGGAGCATGGAGCAACCCGCTGGAACCATGCAGAGGGCGCTAGTCCAGTTGGAGAAGTCGTTTGGCTACACCTCGTTTAAGTCTGACCTCCAAAAGAGGGCTGTTCTCTCCATTACAGAAGGTGGTTTTCTGTCAGCAAGTAATGCGGTCTATAGTTTGAGGGGGCTGCTCAGAGTCCGTGCCATTAATTAAAGACTGTGTACATGGAAAAACCGTGCATTTGCTGTACGTATGGGTCTCACTATACTGACAGTGTCAGGGAAAATTGCACTGAAAGAGAGCAGAGATTTGTAGGTACTTTAATACTACTATAACAAATCTCTGGTTTTGGTGTAGAGTTGTCACATGATTGCGACTGTGCTACATAAATAAATCTATCATATAGGAGCGAGCAATGTCTTGGTGTCCATGCCGACGGGGTCAGGCAAATCTCTCTGCTACCAGCTCCCAGCGCTTCTCTCCAAGGGGGTAACCCTGGTAATTTCACCGCTAATTGCCCTCATTGAGGACCAGGTATCCCAGCTGCACTCAAAGGGGCTCCGGGGAGATGCTCTCAACTCCAAAACCGCCGCTGTCGACCGGAAACGGATTCTGGCGGACCTGAAAAGTGATCGACCGTCAGTGAAACTCCTGTACATCACGCCGGAACTGGCAGCAACGGACGGATTTCGGTCCCTTCTCATGTCACTTCACGAGAGGGGGCTCATATCACGTGTGGCGGTGGACGAGGCCCACTGTATATCAGAATGGGGGCACGACTTCAGACCCGACTACCTCAAACTGGGGGATCTCAGACTCGCCTTTTCGGACGTTCCGTTCCTGGCTCTCACGGCAACGGCTACGAAACAAGTCCAGAGGCAGATCGAGAGCAACTTGAAGATGCCTTCGCCCGTCACCATGTTCAAGATGCCGTGTTTCCGGTCAAACCTGTTTTACGACGTAAAACACAAGGACGTTCTCCGGGACTCGTTCAAGGACCTGAGGGATTTCGTGCGCAGCTCCCTGGGTGAGGGGGAGGGGAGGGAGGCGGGGATTATATACTGCAGGACAAGGGACGGGTGCCAGTCGCTGGCTGGACGATTGACGAGTGGAGGAGTGAAGGCGAGAGCCTACCATGCTGGTCAGTTTGATCACGTGTAGTCATCCGTAATACCTGTCCAAGTGTTTGTTTGGCATTGTCCATGTGTTTCACACTGTGACGGAATGTTGCCACCATGAACACTTGGGTGTCCATAGTACATGTACTGTATAATATGTCTGACTGAGACCATGTGATGCCACATGTACACTGTATAATATGTCTGACTGAGACCATGTGATGCCACATGTGCTGTATAATATGTCTGACTGAGACCATGTGATGCCACATGTACTGTATAATATGTCTGACTGAGACCATGTGATGCCACATGTGCTGTATAATATGTCTGACTGAGACCATGCAGTATCCTCTAACGTACAGGTCTGGGAGGTAAGGAGAGAACCGAGGTTCAACACCAGTGGATGGAGGGTCAGATCCCAGTCATCGTGGCTACCGTCAGCTTCGGAATGGGTGTGGACAAAGGCAACGTCAGGTTAGCCACTGTTTTTCATTGCACACGATCATGTAATAGCACTAATGGCGGAGACGTTTTTTGCGTGGCCTAAATTTTAGCATGTATGTAACTGGATTGACAGGCTGTACTCATGCAGGATGGTTGGTTGGTCTGTCTTCCCTCCCCATGATTAAAGCCTGGTTTACAACACATCTGTCTGCAATACGTATTGTGTCTGTCTGTGTGTGTTGTGTAGGTTTGTAGCTCACTGGACACTGCCAAAGTCGCTGGAGTCCTACTACCAGGAGTCTGGCAGAGCAGGTCGAGATGGCAGACAGTCTTTCTGCAGAATATACTACTCCAGGTATATACATATGTACACACGTGCAAAACTTCAACTACCTCTAGGGAATGAAAATGAAACTATATAAATGTTGTCTGTCCACATAATTAATTTTCACACATTCCCCTCGAATTTATTTTCATGCAGTGTTCAGTGCTAACAAGCCTTTTTCATAGTTCACAATCTTCAATCCGTAATCTGCTGAGTTGTGTATGTGTACATAGTTTAAGATTCGCAGGTGAAAAAACAGGTCGTTGCACTCTATATAAATGTTACAGGTTTGATCGTAACGAAATTGTGTTCCTCATGAAGCGAGACGCTGGCCGGATGAACAAGGTTCACTGCAGCAGAGTACCAAATCCAGCACTCTGTTAGTGTCTCCCGCTCTTTTGTTTCAGAAGAGCAAATCTCCAGCCGTTTCAGCCAAGGTCAAGGAAGCATCCGAGAAAAGCTTTGAAGCACTTGTCAAGTACTGCGAAGTTCCGTGGTAAGTACAGCATCTTGTATGTTGCAGGATTAAACAGTGGAACCTTCAATTTGGGACCATGAAAATCGTCCTCTATACTGGAGCTGTCCTTCATTCAGTCGTTACATGAAGTGTAACAAGTGCCTTTCATACAGAGGTGTCCTAGTGACCACTATAATAGATTCCACTGTAGTTTAACGTTTACCATATCGATTACCTCTAGCTGCAGGCACGGAGCAATTGCTGACTACTTTGGAGACCCGAAACCAAACTGCGGGAAGTCGTGCGACTTCTGCAAGAACCCCCGAGAGGTGAAGGAGGCTGCGAGGGACATGAAGTTGTGTCAGAAAGGAGGAGGGAGGGTGGGCGGGGGAGGGATGACGGTCTTTGAACGGGGGGAACCTGATTCCTCGCTCTACGGTGGAGGGAGGTGGGGCTACAAGAGGTATGTGTATATGCTATAGGGATATATACTTCATGGCACCACAGACTATTACAGTAAGTATGTACATGCTGCTTTGGTGACAAATTTTGTCAGAATTTCATAGCAGACAGAAATTATTCATATATTTGTCCCGATGTACAAAATCCACAAATTGTGAATAATTGAAGAATGGGGGGGGGAATAAGACCATTACAGATGATACTATGACGTAAATGATTTTGCATGGTCAGATGGTCTTGCTTCCCTTTTGCTAAAGTGTATACAGCATCAGTCTCCTCTGACTCCAGAGATGGGTGTGGCAGTGATGGAGAGGGAGAAGTGGAGGAGGGTGACAGGGCAGATGAGAAGCGAAAAAGAATCCTTGACCAACTCATCGAGTCTGAGTTCAGGAAACGGAGAAGAGTATGTGGTTACCGACCCCTTCAATTATTGCTCTCTCTCATCTATTATTATGTTGTGTAGATTGACAAATCTCCTGAGGAAATGGAAGTTCCAGGTTTGCACATGTGCCAGTTTATAAATTTTGGCAAAATCTTTTCTTGTGCATTTGTACAGTTGTATATAAGGCTTTTATTGTGTGCCTGAAAAAGCACTTTTCTACCAAACTCAATGTATATGCCCCTGCATACAGGTCCAGACTGCATGCTGAAAGAGGCAACCAATTTCAAGAGAGTACCAAAGCTCACAATCAAGGTACACATGTACATTATACTAGTATAGAAACCTGGTTCACGCAGTGTTGTATGACACCAGGTGAGGGAGCATTGTCTGACGCAACTGAACAAGGCCCTGGAAGAGAACAGCAGAGTCTGTACCTCTCATTTCCTGTCTCCGGCCGTCTCACTGGGGAAGTTGGAGGCAGCGGCTGTGGGTATGGAGTATAGCGTCTTCCTCGGAGTCAAGTCGGTCCAGGTGTACAAGTTGACAGTCCACAAGAAGGTATTAGAGCATGCATGCACATGCGGGGTGTCGTGGGTTCGAATCCCACCCAGGGCAGCTCTTCGGTGTAGTTGACTTGTTTGCTCTGCCTCGTGACTTCGTTGATGTTTACATTCCACTACTACTGAGTAGGAAACCTCTTTGGTGCAAATTTTCACGTAAGTCGTCCGAATTTGTTCTGTGCAGACGACAGAGATTGGCCGGTGTACCAGAGAGGGCCAGCTACACTCAAGTCTGGTGAAAGACACAACTGTGAGAAATGGAGAAAATTTCTTTGCTTAACTGTACACGTGATTTAGTAATAATACCTTTGGACTGGTTATGTATTTGAACGTATATTACAACAAACTCTATGTGTTACAGGTGAGTGACGGTGTGTTGGGATTTGTTAAGGCCTCCCAGCTAGTGGACAGTCACCGAGAAAGTGTCCCGCACAAAGTCGGTGGCAGTTCACTGAGCAACAAACCCCCGGCTTCCTTTGTCGCAGCCTCGAAATTGGTGTCTGATTCAAGAGTGGCGACGCAAAGTGATCCTGTTGTGTTTGATTATGATGATGATGATGCTTCTGGTCAAAGCGGTGCACCACAGAGCAAGAGATGGAGTGAGAGAGAAAGCCCAGCTTTTGGAGCTACGGAAGTCACCAGTAAAGATAGCCACTCGTGTAAACCGGATAGTACCGGAGTCGGCAGACTCAAGAGGGTTAAAGTTGACCCCAACGACCTCTTTGAAGACGACCCCTCTAGTGAGGACGAGGCTTCGCCAGTTCCCCGGGTATCAGGACCACAGATGTTTGGATTCCAAATGGCATCCAGTCTGTGCGTCACATCTCCCGTGCCATCCCAGTCTTCCACAGTCTCCAGTGATATGAAGACCAGAGTGACATCATCGTCCCTGACGTCGTCAGTTGCCGTGGAGATTGGCGGGAGGGGGAAGGGAGGGAAAGGGACAACTGGACACACAAAACCACTTCCAAAGATTACCAGCCTCTTCGAAAAGTGAGAAAAACGAACTCGTTCTTGTCTTATGAATCAATGAGATGAGTTTCCATGCATTGTGTAGGTCTGGAGAACCCTCTACAGGGCATGAATCGGCTGGGAATCCATCTGAGCCTGTGGAGAGTGTGGGTACAGAGTTCAGCACTGGAGTTGACTATCAAACAGACCATGACACCTATAGAGTCGAGCAAGTATACGCTATCGTATGTTCTGCCGGGTATATAGCTAATACAGATCGTTCCGTGCAAAGGTTGTGCCGTGCAAGAATGGACTGATTGCTCTCGAAGAAGAGGCACTCCCTGTCATTAGCAGTCGGAAGAAAGCCATTGCAGATGTTGTGGTGAAGGTGCTCTCAACCTATTACAAGAAAAGGAGGATTGCCAGTAAAGTAATTCACTATTATATTAACCACTATTGAAATGTACACAATGTACTTATAATAACGTATGAATTCAGGATTTGTTCAAGCAGTTTGCAAAGAGAGTTTCAGCGCATTTTCTTGACCAGAAGATTTCAAACTCATCAGGTGAGTCACTAAGGCCACCGTTTTGGACCACATCGACAGGCAAACTCTGTTATACTGCAGTTGAAAAGGATGTGATGAAGTTGCTCAAGAGCTATTTTGACAAGTACGGCAAATTCAACTCCAATTCTGACTTGGAGAAACTTGACAGAATTTTGACTCGTTTGTTATAATCATTATTCCTACCCAAAACCCAAATCATAAGATTATTAATTATCATCAGTCAATCACCAACAATTATCTGTTATCATCAGTGAAACCCTGAAATCATGATCCTCACAATTATTATCCACAGTTTCTATTATTATTCAGAAATCATAATAGTTTAAAGTTGCTCATTGGTCTGCTATTGCTAGCACCTTTCTCCACAAATTTGCTGGAAGTTTGATGGAACATTCAGATGATTGCAGACCAACAGATGATGTGCTGTCTGCTGGGCAGCTGGTAATACCAACGGTCAGAATTTTAGCCGCAGTTTCCTGGACTCGTGAGTCTACCAGTGCCACTGTAATTTCCCTGACCCTCTCATCAACACTCATCAGACCCCTGAAATAGCACAGAGCTTCTGCCTCAAGCCTGTCTAGATACCCCCCATCACACTCTGTGCAGTCCCGGTCCCTTTCAAAACTCTCCAGAAGCTCTGACTGTATCTGGTTTACTCTGAGAACAAGCATCTTGTAAAAAAGCCGGAAGAAATCCACACTCTGAGCTGCAACACCAGCTAATAGTTCAGGAGATAGTGTCCAAAACTGACTGCAGGCGACATCACTACATTCCTCTGTGGCACTCTGCAGCAGAGGACCACTAGTGGGTGTAGGAGGTGAGGATGTCTTGGCCTGCAGGCACAGCTCGAGCCACTCTAGAATGATGGCAGTAGTGATGGACTTAGATCCAGAGCTAGCGGGAGGAAGTTTAGGGGCAGTAGAAGGTTCGACTGACAACGCAGATGATGATGGTGAGTGAATTTGAGAGACGATTGAAAAAAGTATCACCTCCTAGCAAAATAAAGCTCATCTTAGAGAATGATACTTTTTTGAGCAAAAACACAGAAAGAAATTTCTCAGTGACTGACATACAAAGACATTACACAGTCATGCAAAATATTTTAACAAACAAATACTTACCATTCCATTCTCTTGCTGAACAAGATGGTTCAGTTTACCATGAGCAAGAGTGTGTGGTGTCTGAGAGTGTGACAGTATCCACTCCAGTTCTTCCTCCAACACTCCTGCACTAGCCACTAGCAGTGGGTCTCCTGTAGAGGCCAAACTGTACACTCCAATGCAAGCCGTACGAGCCAACACTATACACACAGCTTTAGGAAAATCTTCCAATGAACGAAACTTCCAAATTAAATATCTGGAGACTTGAAGTTTACTAAATCTGTGCAGATAGTACTTTCAGTTTCATCAACTGACTCTTAATGTAAGAACACATGATATATATATAGATAGATAGATACTCATACTTTTCAGAAAGGACGGGGCATGTTTAGACAGCTTGTTGTGCATGGCTGTCAGAGTGGCGAAAAGTGCCTGGGTGCTTGCATACTTCTCCATGTGCTGCAAAACCAATAATAGTGCATGTCAAATCCAAAAACTAAGTCAAGAAGCACCTTATGGTGATCCTCCGTCGCATACTTCTGATGTACCAGCTCCTTGATGCCTTCTGGGAGATACGGATTCTCTAGAAGACTCTGCTTTCACGGAATATTATTGACCCCACAACAAAACTGTATAGATTTAAAATCATACCATAATGAGGTAGTCTAGGCTATTGCCTAGGAATTCAGTTGATAGAGTCTTCTGTGCAAACCGACCGCCTGTCTGGGAGGATATTTCTTTCAATTGGGTGTCAAATTTTCTGACTAGAGCTGGTTTTTTCTGCAGACGAGCATTGACCTGCATCAAAACCGCAAGTCGTGAATATTATTATGTATACGTCACGTGAGAAGAAGCTACAATTGTCATTACATCATGACGCGTCACTCTCACCCGCTTGAAGTATTCGGCCCAGTTCACGGCTCTTTCCAAGTCTTCTTGTTTCCATTCGGCGACCTTGACGGAACTGCAATTTCGCAACACCTCCGCGTACGTGCTCGCGCTCTCGAGCAACGAATCCATTACCACGTTGTGGGTCCTTCCGCGCACGCGCAGTCGTCTTTGCGTACAGGCCAAAAAATTTTGCCTGCCTAGCTCAACTAACTCGCCCCGGTTTGAGTTTTCCCGCGAGAACTTCCCGCGGCTTCGGACACAACAACGCTGCCGGGGCTCTCTCTCGAGTCTTTGGCAGCAGAATCGGATAAAAGGAGAGGTCGAGAAGAGAGAATGGATCAGAGCGTGCGGCTACTGCTCGGGCGGATTCAGTCACAGCTCGGCGCCGTTCTAAAAGACTCGGTGAGTCTTTTCCTGGAGGCGGCGGCACCCGCGCTAGTGGTGCCGAGTAGGGGAACGTTCGGTTACTGCGTGTTAGGGTAGTCTACTTGCCCGTTCGTCGGCGCCATTGCGTGGGAGGTTTGGTCCATTTGGTCGCGCGTGGTCACCAATGGTACGCGCAATAATTGCGCTGCAGACTAAACTGGACCACGCGCTACCAAACTCCGCGCGCGGTTTTCGAAAAACGCGCCAAAGCCTAATTAGCGCGCACCAACAACTGAATGCTACCGGCGCTTTTCCCGCTGCAGGGTCGCGATATTTCTGCTCCACGAGAGAGCTGGGCTCTAAACTCAAGGTAAGTATTGTAAGTACAGCACAAAAAGTGAAAATCGGAAAAGCTGAATTATGTAGCTAAGGGTAGTTGGTAAAGGGTTTTGTGAACATTTGCAGGTCTCCGGATCACCAAAAGTTGGACGAATCGGGGATATCGTCAGAAGAAGGCTACATTCCCCGACAGGTGTACTCCCAGTTGACTGCCATTGTTTCCCTCGTTAGAGACCTACAGACAACGTTGGACCTCAGTAATACTGGGACAGACAGTTGCAGTAAGACCTTGTCTGAGAGTGGTGGAGAGGGAAGAGGTAAGGCTAGAGGGTCACACTGCTTGTTTTATTTCCGAGTACTGTATTTTTCCAGGAGATTTTGCCTGCGAAGAAGCGGAGAATGAGAGGATGCTTGAATGGTACGATAGACCGATGGTCTACTCACGTTCCTCTGCCCAGCTACTCCCGGCCGGCTGCACGCCCAACCTTGAGGTAGTGGTTTTGAAAGACACACGTATGTCCCGTAGAGCAGAGGTCGTGGTAAAGCCACCGAGCGAGCAAGGCCCCGCAGGCGATCGCATGCGCACTCGTCCCGTCTTACCTCGTGGGAAGTTTGGGACTATAAACTATCTTGAGAGTTTTTCCTCGTCGTCGTCCGATTTGTCTTCGAGTAGCGAAGATGATAGGGACACTAGTGGTTCCAGGACAAGAGGAGAGAGGAGAAAGAAGCGAATTAGTCGCAGGGGGATGGAGCAGAAGAAGAAAAAGGTTCCAAGAGCAAGGCACGCAAGCGACTCAAAGATTGGCGGTGGAAATTTTCTAATTGCGGACTTTGTTGTATCGTCAACTGATGTGGGGGGGACGAGGGGAGGGAGTGCGGTTGAAGGTGACTGGGGTGCCGGGGTGGTTCAGATGGAGTGTGAGATTGGTGAGGAAGAGCAGGGGCCACCCCTTTCTCCCCTCCTGTCATCTTCCCTTGCACTCAGTACAAACTCTCCCTCTTCCACAAAGGTAAACGCAGTTTATGGAGATCTCAGCAGGGCTTTTTTGCTGGAGAATGCCAGTGGGCTAAGCTCGAGTCGAAAGACAGACTTTTCTCACAGTGGACAAGCAATTATGGCTCTCGCCAGGAGGGGAGAGAGTATGGTTAACCCCAAGAAAATCACGAAGCCTTGCTCTGTACCCATAACCAGTCTTCCACGTCACACTGTCATGCGGTATTTCTCTGCTGTCAGTGTTAAGGAACCATCGTCCACCAGTGTTGAGAGTTTGGGCTCAAATGAAGACTTGCACCGTGGTAAGCAACTGACATCTCCAAATACATTGTCAAAAGAAGAGAGGGAGGATAGTGTGTCGACGTCGGGCGAAAGCTTCTCGAGCTCCGAGTCAGACAGCATGCTGGGTCCTATCAAGACACCAGCCAGGCGTGGTCTCAAGAGTAGGTCTGGAGAAAGAGGAGTCAGCGGTGGCTATAACTCAGTGGCTCAGCGAACTCCTCGCAGGCTGGGTTCCGGGGGGAGGTCCCCTGTCGCACGACGCTCGTTCCCATTTTCAAAACCTCCGTCTACACCCTCACTACCTTTCCCTTCTCCCACACGGAGTATGGCCAAACCAGCACACTCCACCACACCTTATAAGCTCCCCAAACTCAAATCCGTCTCACCTTCAAAACGCCGTCTATCCCTCACCAAGTCACCTTCACCTTCAAAAAACTCATTCAAGTCCCCCTCGCCTTCAAATCTCTCTCCCACCTCTTCCAAATCAGTCACACCTACACAGAACCCCTCATCTCCCTCCTCGCCTCCCTTGTCTTTCAACTTCTCCTCTCCCTCTCCTTCAGAATCCCCATCTTCCCCACCACCCGATCCCCTCCCTGCTCCCAGTAAATCTCCCGTGACTCCTACTACCTCATCCAACACCGTCCACGCTACTCCGTCTAAGCCAAGTAAGACAGGTGGTAGCAACACTACCAAGAAATCTTCCCCACCCAATACCAAGTCGACACCGTCGAAGTCGCGAAAGACTCATTCTAACTCTAAGTCATCCAGGAGGAAAGACAGCCGTAGCACAGCTCTCGATCAGACTCTGGCTGTCGACTGGAGTACGGATGATGATTTCCAGGCTGATCCGTCTCCGTCTTTTGTTATCAGTCCGACTGCAAGCAACCAGAAGGTTACTAGCTCCCTCCCGGCGTCCGTCAAGACGGAATCGAGCTGTGACTTGTCGCCCGTGAAATCCACGCCACTTCTGGCAACCATGCCGCCTTCTCCGCAGTCTTCCAGCCAAGTCCTCCGTCGATCTCATTCTCCCATCAACGACGAGGCTTTAACGACAGGAGCAGCAGTGGATGAGGAGGAGGGGGGAGAGGAGGAGGTGCCGGTGAATAAGAAACGGAAGGGATCTCCGAAGGAGGGTCCACCTGCTGTGAAGGCCCCTGCTCACAGTCTGTCTGGGAACATTGCCGAATCTGGTGAGCCATTCTCTCTCTCTTTTTTTTGAAGTAGACACACAAAAATGGTTGAACACAACCGTATTTCCCTGAAATTATGCTTCAGCACAATAATTATATGTAGACTGAGGGCTAGTGTTCGTATTGAACATGGGCACTAAAATTTTTTGATGGGTGTAGATTTGATGATTGCGATCACTTCAAAATTTATAACTTTCACAAGACATAATATATGAACTTTTCACAAAACATAAGCATATGAATTTGGTGTCCAAATAAGGAGCATATCATGTCTAACTTGGCACTATACTCTTAGCTCTCGGCTGCTTTGTGAGTATTCTGTTGTGTTACCTAGGTATAGATGAGGGTGGTAGTGGTCTGCCTGTGGCGATCAGCTGTGCCGGCTGCAGTCGACCCATCCACTGGAAGACTGAGCTAATCCACAGACACAAGAGACTCAATGTCCTCATCTGCCAGGTCAGCCAGTCCACCGCACCATTTTCATGGTCATGACTGTATTTTCTGAGTTACACTATTACTACTGAGCTGAGTTCTTCGGTTAGGTTCTCATTACTTGTAACGAGCAACGTGGACCCACCCGGTCGTCTGAATCACGCAATTTTGATGTAGACGGCGTTGTACATACCGAAATACACATAAAACAGCTTGCCAAATGAAGACATCGGAACCACGGAAATCATGTAGGCAGCGCTGTCCATGGTGAAATACACGTAATACGGCCAATACTGTGTTCTAGCCAGTACATGCTCACTGCCTCACCCCTCCAGGCATGCTGGAACGTGTACAACACCGGGTCCTTTGAGATGAACGAGGGGAAAGAGATCTACTGCACGCTCTGTGGAGACGGCGGTGACATCATCAGCTGCGACCGAGCCTCCTGCACGTCCAGTCTGTGTCAGAGTTGCATCAGACGCATCGCCGGCGAGCAGGTCCTCCAGCGAATTCTGGAGGACGAGAGCATCGTATGGGAGTGTTTCTGTTGCAATACGAGTCCCCTGGTACACTATCGGAGCCTCTGTGACCGACTGTGTCAGTACTACGCAAGGGACAAGCAGAGGGAAAAGTCAGGTGTTGTGAAAGGGAAGGCACGGCTGTTTGGCGATGCTGACAGTGATTGTGTCGCTAGGGGTGAGTCAAGTGGCGTGAAAGTAAAGGAGGTGAAGGGAGAGATGGTGGGGAGGGGAGGAGAAGGTGTGAGTGGGGAAAGCAGTGGCGAGAGGAGAAGTCACAGCGGAGGAAGGGAGGAGAGGAGAGGGAGGGAGGGAGAAGGCGATAAGGGTGATAAAGGAAGCGGGGAGCAACCGGGGACCAGGGGGGAAGGGGGAGGCGGAGGGGACCGGAAGAAACCAAACAAGAAGAGACGAGAGGTTGAAACCAGCGAGAGCGATGTGGACAGCTCGTCATGCGACGGAGAAGATTCTCCCAAAGTCGACACAGACGACGTGTCGATCTCAGACTCTAGCCTCTTTGAAGGAGATGTCAGCTCACTGAAGAGAGTTGGAGGAGCCAGCAGTAAATACAGTACTCTCTCCACTGGCAGTAAATCATCAGCAAAACCAGTGGGAGAGAAGAATAGAGCTGTGCCGGGATCACCAGAATCTGCTAGCAATCGGGAGAAACGGGCGAAAAGGAAGAAAAAAGGGAGAGTGACCCTTGGTGCGTCTGCTCACAGAATGGTGTTTAGCAGTGACAGCGATAGCGATTTCGAGTCTCCGGTAAAGAAAACAAGTCCACAGCGACGACGTGTCGCTTCTTCGTCCAGCTCTGCCTCAAACGAAAGCAGGAAGGAGGGAGAGACGAGAGAGAAAAGGCCGAAAAAGAACGTCCTTCTCGACGTTTTGTCATCGGGGAGCGAGGAGAACGAATCTCCGCAGAAAGAGAGCGTGAAACAGCCACCGAGTGACTCTAGGAATGATTCAGACAGCGAGGCTCCCAGCCCCGCCCTCTCTCTTCTCTCCGATGAACCCGAGAGTCCCGTCGTGTACGCAACTCCGAGGAAACTTCACGCGGCTCTGTCGTCCGATTCCGACGACGACATGATGGTCTTGGAACGTAGACCGAAAAGGGGCCACGTCCTGGGCTCAGACACCAGCAGTGGGAACGGAGGAGACAAACGAAGCACTACTACTAAGAGTGATAGCCCGGGAGGAGAGAAAGCTGCGAAAAAGAAGAAACTTCAGCGGGGGAAGAGGAGAAAGAGAGTTGATTCATCCGGGGAGGAATTTGTGAGAGGAGAGATGGTGGTGAGGGGACCAAAGTTGAAGAGGCGGCGTGTCGCGAGGGCTATCATGTCGGATTCGGACTCCAGCGACAGTTCGGGAGGGGAGGAGGAGGAGGAGGACGAGGAGGAGAAGAGTACTCCTGGACGCAAGAGGAAGAAGATTCGGCGGGTGATGACGGACGCAAAGCTGCAGAGCTCGACGAAGGAGGCTCAGCGGGCGGAGAGAGAGAGGATTGAGAGGCTCAAGAAGAGGCGGTTGCTGGGGAAGGAGAAAGATGAACTGATACTTGAAGCAGATCCCGTGTCTAAGAAGGTACATTACAGAACTACTATCAGCTAACTAATTAGAGTAGTGTGGTAGGAATAATTACATAAATGGAGAAAACTTTTGTGAGTTAAATATGTAGCTGTGCCCTCATAAATGTCGGTTCAGACCAGCTCTTGGACCTTAAATTTTCACACGAAATTCGATTTTCTTTCTTAAAGAACCAGCCAAGATGACAAACTTTGGGCCGAGACAATCTGTACAGTATGCCAATATCAATGTACAAATGTGCCTTTTCTGTGCCCAATCACCATGTTTTATTCCCTTCTACTGAAAATCCTGCGAATTTAAAAAAAAAGGACCCATCCATCTATATACAGGACCCCAATCCTATACACTAAGTATATACTACAAAGCCCTTTGACCGTGGTGTATTACTGTGCAGGCAGTGCTCCAGGTGAGGCAGAGTCTGGTGGAGTCCATCAAGCCTCACCAGTGGGAGGGCATCCGGTTCCTCTATGACGCCTGTGTGGAGAAACTGGAGACGTTCAGGGAGGGAAGGACACAGGCCGGGGGAGCCATCCTCGCCCACTGCATGGGCCTCGGGAAATCACTTCAGGTTTTTTACTTTTCGTTGGTCCCCTCTTTTCCCCCTTTATTGCTCTCAAGGTCCATCTTTTTCCTCCTATCTTGCTGCTAACTTTCCTCCTATCTCACTCCCACCTTTTCTCCTATCTTCCTCCTAACTTCCGTCTTTCCTCCCCTCCCACCTTTTGTAAAATACCAAGTCAAAGTGAATGTTATTACTCTACACTCTAGGTGTGTGGGTAAAACTGGCAGTTGGTTTGTTTATTCTTCCACTCGCCTGCTTCCAGAATACTTATGAACATGAACACATTGGTTTACCCTCCCTTTCCCCAATTCCCCACAGACACAGTTTTTGCTTTTTCTTTCACTCATGTGCTTGCAAGAACTACAGTTGTTGGCAAATTTCACAGACCGACTCTCTCTCTCTCTCTCACTCCCCGTGTCCCCACCCTGTTGACAGGTGATAGCACTCATCGATGCTCTCCTGATGCACCAGGACAGTGGAGTCAGCAGAGTCCTCATCCTCAGTCCAGTCAACACCATCTACAACTGGAGGAACGAGTTCAACAGATGGATTGATCCCATCGACTGCGACTATCATGTGAGCTATGGGGGAAAATTATAGCTCTAAACTAGGGGTCCCTTCTGAATCGATAGAAGAACTTTTACCATAGTGCTTTTTGTCCCGAGCTTGAAATTATTTTCACTGTTGTGTGTTAAAAAGCATTAGGAAATTGAATTACTTCACTTTTGCCCTCTTTTTATCTGTCTGTGTATTATATGTGTCTGCTGGTCTGTCTGTCTCTGTCTGTCTGTCTGTCTGTCTTTGTCAGGTATACATGCTGGTGGACACGTCGGTAGAGGCGAGGGTCAGGAAGCTAGAGAGATGGTTCACTGGGGGAGGGATAATCTTCATCGGCTACGAACTCTACCGGAACCTTGTCATGGGCAAGAGGCTGAGAAAGAAGAAAAAGGAGGCCTTTGAGAAGTACCTCCTTGACCCAGGTATATACACGTACATCGTACATGTCCAATAATGCCACATACAATCATAGGGGGTCAGGTATGCCTATTAAAATTCTCACGAACAGCATGCAGAGTCATGCCAGTAAGGTAGTGGATATATTATACCCAGTGTTTTGTTTGCATGCATGCGTGGTCCTCAGGGCCTGTGTGTGTGTGTGTGTGTGTGTGTGTGTGCGTGATTTTCACTGCAATGCTTTTCCTGTTATCTTTGCCCCTCGAGTCTTTTCAACTGTTGGTTTGAATCTTCCTTTGTTTTTGAACCGTCAAAATTAGGTAAAATATTGTAAGTAAACTATATACAACCTGTACACACAGTACTTATTCATACTGAAGTTTTTACTATTTTCTTTCCATTTACTACTTATGTACACGGTGTTCCTTATGTCTCCAACTCGGAAAATCTGTTTGCACTGGGAAACACTCATCAATAGCACCCACTTTCTTTCTCTTCTGCTCTATCGTGTGTGTGTTGTACAGGTCCTGACATCATAGTCTGTGACGAGGGACACGTGATGAGAAATGCCTCCTCCAACCTCTTCACCGTCCTACAGAGGGTCAGGACACGGACTAGAATAGTCCTCACTGGTACCCCGCTCCAAAACAACCTCGTCGAATGTGAGTCTGATGATGTGTGCCGGGTTTCTTACTCCGAGGGTGATAATGGATTCATCCCCTTAATAAAAGAGCCAAATTGAAAATAATGGCAAAGCACACATGCTGTAGATGAACAAACATCAACATCACGTGGTATATATGTTGAAGTGTTTGTGCAGATTTTTTTATATTCTATACTCTTTGTCATATGTTATGATAGAGATATCAGTATTTTCCTCAAACTATTCCCCGTCCCAGACCACACCATGGTTAGTTTCGTGAAGCCGAATCTCCTCGGGACGCTGAAAGAGTTCAAGAATCGATTCGCCAACCCCATCACCAACGGCCAGTGCCGAGACTCCACCCCCATGGACGTCAGAGTCATGAAGAACAGAGCTCACATTCTGCACGAGATGCTGAGTGGAACTGTCCAGGTGAGTGGGTGGGGTTTTGACTAGTACTCTCCGTTGCTTAGGCACATGTACTGTATATACTGCAGTAGTGATACAAAAAAGCTAAGCATTTTACCATACAATTTTGCACATTTATACAGTGATGGAGGGTGATAGTAAAAAGCCAAACATTGTTCAATTGTACATATTATTGAAAGGGCGATACACAACAGATTGCTGTATAAAGCTATATAAAAACACTAATACTGGGGGGGGAATCATCAAGACAAAGCTTTTGCAGGTGCATTAGTGTGACCTTTTGCCAGGATAGTGCCTCTCCCCCTCCTCTCTGCACATGATGACAGCGTGGCTGGACTCACTTCCATTCTTCCATTTTGAAAGCTCTCTCGTTTCCTCTGTCCCTCCCTCCCTCTCTCTCCCTCTCACTCTCTCCCTCTCTCTTCTCGTTTGTCTCAATCCAGAGAAGGGACTACAGAGTGTTGGCCCGGTTCCTCCCTCCAAAACAGGAGTTTGTCCTCTTCATTCGCCTGTCGCCAGTCCAGGAGAACCTCTACACCCGCTACCTCAACAACAAGTCCTCCGGGTGCCACACGGCCTCTGACCTATTCAGTACATTCTCAAGCCTTCAGAAGGTAACGTTTTAAAGAGAACGCGACGTTACATTGTGGCTAGTAAAGATGGCACTAAACGGTAGAGCCCAGTTCAAGAATGCAATTACGTTTCTAAATTTAGCCTGCCACACAATGTACAATAAACTGTGACATTACAGGATATAGATGCGATTACATTTTCATACATCGTACACCTCATTGCATTAGTAAATCAGGACTTGGGTTATCATGATTCGTCTCTTCTCTCTCTCTCTCTCTCTCTCTCTCTCTCTCTCTCTCTCTCCCTGTGTGTGTGTGGGTCAGGTGTGGAACCATCCATGGGTGCTGAAGTTGGACGAGGACAGGAAGTTTGAGAGAGAGGAGAGGAGGAGGTTGTACGAAGAGAGCGAAGACGACAGTCTCGATGGGTTCATCGTGACCGGGAGTGAGGAGGAGGAGGAGGAGGAGAGGGGGAGGAAGAGTAAAAACAAGGAGAGTAAAGTAAGTCCAGTACATTTTCCTGTCTCATGTCCTGCACTGTGCCATCATATCATGAATAATGCGTGAATTGTAAGGAAAATTTTAAGGGAATAAGCAAATAGTATCTTGTAGGCTGCAGTATCAAAGACATGTCTTAGTGAACACCATGATTTGGCCTAGGATTACTGCGTTCACTTTTCTATAAAAAGCTATCGTGCTTGTCCCACTATACAAATACATGTAGAAAAACTTTCACTGAAGACAATACTGACGTTTTCTCTTTCAAAGGTTTCTCGATCGTACTGTATGTATGCAGTGTGTGAACGCTATTTCTCTCCACAGGTTGAATCTGTTGGTCGTGCTTCGTCTAGTAGCAGTAGTCCTGTGTGTTCCGTCACCCCCGGCCCCTCGCGTGCCACTCTCTCACCAGAAACCAACCAAAACCTACCAACATCTACCACAATGGTACGTATGCAACTCACACCACAATGGTACATGCGTAACACTCTAGACTGGGGATTCCTCCTGATTTGGGAAAACTCCAGGTGCGGTGTAAACACTGGATTGCTATAACCATTCTAAAGCGTTCGTAGTAGTTTTTTGGAAGGGGAAAGTCGTTTTAGGAACTGGGTAAGTCTATAGTAGTGAACACCCAAGGAAAGTGAACATCCTTTGTTTGTGTCGACTGGTGTGATGCGTTACTTAGTAAAGCATCATGGGCAACTTTCTGTATTAACTGCAGATGTGAAGGTTTCATACTTTCAGATACATACGTACCATAGCTGTAGACAAACCGTTTCATCTCCTCCTCCCCCCCTCTCAACAACAACAAAACCCTTTATTTGCATGTAAACAGTACAATAAGGGGAGTATGGGATCAGTAGGCAGTTGCCAAAACACACACACTCTCTCTCTCTCATCCCCCTCTCTCTCTCTTGTATACAGTTGGGTAGTAGTGATGAAGACGATGTCACATTCCCAGCCATCAGCCTCAAACCAGACCCAGATGCCCCTCCCCCTCCCAAACCAGACCCAGATGCTCCTCCCCCTCCCAAACCAGACCCAGATGCCCCTCCCCCTCCCAAACGAGTCACTCGCTCCACAAAACCACCCTCCGAGGAGGGAGACCGCGGCAACGTCATCTCCCCGACCGACGACAAACCCTCCCTTCGTTCCTCTTCCCCTCTGCAGTGGTACGACGACCTTTTGACCCCCGACTGCGAGGCGAGCGCGGGAGTCAGTGGGAAGATTCAATTTCTGCTCGAGCTGCTGGAAGAGACTGGGAAACTGAAAGAGAAAGTACTGGTATTCACGCAGAGTCTGCTGACGTTGGACATGATAGAGGAGGTGCTGGGGCGGCCAGAGAACGGCGAGTGGACTCCGGGATTGGACTACTACCGTCTGGACGGATCCACTCGCTCCGAAATGAGGACTCACCAAATGTCCCACTTCAATGAATTTGACAACGAGCAGTAAGTATGTATGCATATATACCAGTAGATTTTGCTGCCCTGTCTACAAATATTATGTCACACCGAGTGGTTTGATGTGTGAAATTGAAGGTAAAGTTTTAAGTGTGTATAAGGTTTTACTTAAGTGGTTAATTATACATAGAACTTTAAACAGACTGCATCAAGTGCGATTTTTGCCATAAAAGTAGTTTTACAAAGTGTGCTAACGTTTCGTTTTTACTTGATGCATTTCACATGTATATTGCTCTGTGTGTAAAGATGTACGTATGTTTTTCTCCTCTCTCGCCTCACCTCACTGACGAAAGGCTGAGGCTCTACCTCATCTCTACGCGGGCCGGCTCTCTAGGGGTTAATCTTGTGGCGGCCAATCGGGTCATCATATTCGATGCCTGCTGGAATCCCTCCCACGACCTGCAGGCTGTGTTCAGGAGCTACCGTTTCGGCCAAACAAAGCCCATCTTTGTTTACCGCCTCCTTGCAAAGGTGAACAGCGCAGTACCTATTGAGGAATATGAACACATTATGATGATGTGTATTACTTGTGTGTATACAGACTGTCCTGTGCAGGTTTATCACAATGTTGTGCGTGTGCGTGTGTGCGTGTGTGGAAAGTTATCGAAAACCCGTTCTAAGTAGTGTTTCCAAATGCGTTGCTTTCTTCCCATTCCGCCCTGTTTTGTAAATGGAGTCAACCTGTGTATGTACGTGGAGAAACTTGGTGGTGTCCAGTGTTTGTGAATGGAAGGTCCCGAGAACTCCTCTATATAGTACCTCTTACTTTGAGCAGTTGTCCAGTTACTCATGAGTTACTCTAATAGCTCTGATGGATGTACAATGAAGTAAACCTTCAGTATATGGTTGTGTACTTCAGATTGGATAACCCTGATCGTAAGAAATTACCTACAAACTAGCTGTCTGAGTTAGAAAACTGGGCCAAACACACATTGATATGTGAGACGGAGCCTTCTGATAATAGCTCTGATGGATGTACAATGAAGTAGACCTTCAGTATATGGTTGTGTACTGCAGATTGGATAACCCTGATCGTAAGAAATTACCTACAAACTAGCTGTCTGAGTTAGAAAACTAGGCCAAACACACACTGATATGTGAGACGGAGCCTTCTGATAATAGCTCTGATGGATGTACAATGAAGTAGACCTTCAGTATATGGTTGTGTGTGTGTGTGTGTATTCAGGGGACCATGGAGGAGAAGATATACGACAGACAGGTGACGAAGGAGAGTCTGGCGATGAGGGTGGTGGATGAGAAACAGATCGGCCGTCACTACAACGCGTCCGACCTCGCCGCACTCTTCATGTACTCCCCGGCTCCGCCAGCCCCTCCCCCTGACCAGAGACCTACCTATGACAGACCCGAGGTACGTACAGTAGCTAGCTATAGATATATACCAAAATAAACTTATATTTTCGTGACAAAAAAACACCTGAAACACCTTGACATTTCACAAACGCAGTCGTCCAGTGTGTGTAGTACTCTAAAATGAAACTATTCATCAAAATTATTGTCACAATTTCCATAAATCCACAAAATTTGATGGCATACCCACAGTTTTGTTTGCGTGCATCGGTTTGATGGTTTAATATGTTTCTAAGTATACATACACACACTGTTCATACGCGGCCTCCTGTATAAGGTGCTGCGGCAGAGTGAAGCAAACTTGTATAAATGACTATTATATAACCTTTAGTTTCGACATGGGTCTGAGTGATGTGTGTATTGCACATGATTATGTTTATTGTGAGCTCGAGACAATAAACACGAACGGTGCAGTGTACCTGACTCAGCAGTGGTTAACTGTTGAGATTAGCTGTTTTGCTGGGGTATACATATCACCACGCAATACCGTACTTGGTGTATTGTGTTGCTGTGGGTTTTTTCCCATCTTACCTTCCTTCCACACGCTCCCAGCGTATATGTAGTTCATAGTGGGGGATCCAATATTTATTCTGTGGACCAATGTTTTTGGAGATAGGAGTGGAAGAATCACTCTTTGAATCTGCATAGTTTCCTTATGCTCTTTATCTTTCGCAACCACAATCACCAAATATACTTTCTTTCTCACTCTTTATGGAGATAGAGGGAAGGGAATCACTTCTGCTTTGTTATTTATGTCTTCGTTTCCAAAGTATGTCCCAGCCACAATCACCAAATATACTTTCTTTCTCACTCTTTATGGAGATAGAGGGAAGGGAATCACTTCTGCTTTGTTATTTATGTCTTCGTTTCCAAAGTATGTCCCAGCCACAATCACCAAAATTCTCTCCCGCTCTATGTTTTTCAGGCCGACATGGTTCTGAGTTCGATCCTGGGCCGCCTACAACCGGACTGGATTAGCAGCTACCACGAACACGACTCCCTCCTGAAACATGTGTTCAGCGAAGAACTGAGCGAGGAAGAACGCAAGGCCGCCTGGGACGACTACCGCGCACAGATCGCTCAATACGACAACGCCACGTACTACAGTGCCCTCCAGAACCAATTAGACACTGCTACGGCAGGGGGCGCCTCTCTGCAACAAGCAGTCGGTCAATCGAGCTTCCCGAGTGCATCGGGGGTAAAGAACGAAGGGGGTATTTTGAATCACGCACTTCAGCAGCAACAACATCAACACCAGCTACAGGCCGCACAGTTACTCACCATCCTCTCCAATACAAACAGGAACGTGGAGAACCTGATTTCTCTACTGCGTGAAAAGGTCTCACTCGGTGCACACGTGCGACGCGACGTCCCCATACCGACAGCCCTCGCGGTAAAGATGGCTCTGAACAACAAGAAAATCACCGAGCACTACGCTCTAGTTGACCAGGGAGTCACGAGGGTGAACTCGACACTCCACAAGTGTCATCTCGGCCAGATTTACCTCGAGCCCGGGATAAACAAACAAGCAAACGAACTACGTGCAAGACTCATATCGAACCTGGAAATATTGAAATCAGGTTCCAAGAACCCTCATCAGGGTCTTGCCGCCGTCCCTCATCAGCCACATGTGGGGGGAGGAGCTGGACCGAGCAGTACCAGTGGTGCTGTTGTCACCGGCAGACAGTTGGATCAGCGGATACTACAGCATGTGAGGCAGATGCAGGCAGATGTTCATAGGAAGCTGGGAGTTAGGGGAGGACCCTCTAGCTAATGACTGGCTCTCTGGAACCTGAAAACTATTCTAGTTAATGTGCACTATTTCACTAACATTTTCATGTATACCTTCGGCGTATCAATCACGATTCATTGCTCTATCTTTTTACACTAGATCATAGCGATCATCCTCGACTCTGCGCCCGTCGTCGTGCGCATGCGTAATCATCGCCGATTTATCGCTTGCGCGAGCCCGTGCTCGAGACTGCTAAGCGCAGTTATTGTCGACTATAATAAATAGTATAGTTATAGGATCGTCTTTTAGTTCCATACCTCCTTACCTATACCGCGTATCAGCTATTATCTTTCGACCGACACACACATGGGAGGTTGTCTGTGCGGACGCCGAAAAGACGGGCGAATTCTGCTCCTCGGGCTGGACGGAGTCGGCAAGACAAGTATCCTTCTCTTCCCAACGTAGCTACACAGATGGCTATCCCAGTCTTTCAAAGGGTGCAGTATATTCTATTGTACGTAGAGGCGAGGATACTTCCATGTATAGCTATATAGAAGTCTGTTGTACATAGAGTATTCCTTAGCATTGTGTGTGCCGCCAAGGCATCTTGCGGAGGCTAAAGTCAGGACTAAAGGAAGATTGGGAACCGCCAGGCCAGACGGTAGGCTTCAATCTGGAGACCATACCCTACAAGAAAAGAAACTACTGCATCTGGGTACGTTGGGTTTTACTGTTAGTTAGCCATAGGTGAGCAGAATAATCAGCCAAGTCTCTGATAAATAATGTTTGTCAGTAGGAGTTCTGTCTTTGTACGGGTGGGGTGTGTTGTTGATATCTCGCTCGCCTTTCGGGTAAAATATATTCATTCCTACTTGCAAACTATACCTAACAGTACCCTACGTGACTTGGTCCCAACAGTAAACTTTGTGGCCCTTTGTGTGCATATGTTTGTGAGGACACCCAAGCACTAGCAGCTTCAGTATCGATGCAAAGGTTTTGATAGTTGCAGCTTTGGTACAAGAGCTTTAAATAGTATAGTGGCTCATTAGCCAACTATGCAACCTTTCAAGCCCACTGTACCATATAAGACACTAGAGATTTTTCTACGTCATGCACTCAGGATGTGTCGGGAAAGGACAAGGCCAGACCTCTTTGGAACAGATATTTCAGTGACACAATAGCACTGATCTGGGTGGTGGACAGCAGCGATCACAGGAGATTCCAGCTCTGCAAACAAGAGCTGCACAGAGTGGCTCGCGACCCTGAGCTCAGCAAGGCAGCGGTATTGGTCTACGTCAACAAACAGGACCTTCGAGATGGTGAGGAGGGTTCATGCATCACCAATTGCACTGTGAATGAATGCGCACAAATGCAAAGAAAAACTTGTGGTGCCCAAAAATACTACGGACCCTATTGTTGTGTGGTGTTTGTGAGAGACGTGTCTCTCCCAGGCTCTGTGTTCAATGACAAACCAAACATTGTTTAGCGATAGAGGTATTTGAAAGCGAACAGGGATACCGTTTGACTGTTGCAAACATTGTCTCAACACTGTGTTGTGTGTTGTGTGCTGTGTGCGGTGCACTCTGAAAAAATGTGACAGGTGGGCCACATGTAGCCCTTCTCTGAGACTCCGGGCAAATCCCAGTGGCCTTGAATAGATAACTGAGTAGAGGCCTAGTCACTGGATTGGCACCAGCTCATAGGGTGTATGGCAAGTGACTACTATATTAAGACCTCGCTCCCATGGGCGCCATACAAAACACACAGAGCCTCCGCATTTTAACAGAAGAGGAATCAAAACATCAGTTGATTTATGTGTTCTCCTTGCAAAATATGATATGCATGACAGTTGCTGTGGCTAGTAAATATTTACACATACTAAGGTTTTATCAGGTTTTACTTCACACGGCCGAGAATGGTATGGGGTTGGGGGGGGCTTCTACAATGTAACCTGGGATTCTTGGTGGATGTTACACAACATGAACAGTGTTAGACAACTTACAAGCTTGTTTTAGTATCATGTTGCTAAGTGCTTTACAAGGGTTGCTATATATATAATCCATAGCTCCATAACTTTTCCAGTCGCAGCGTCAAGATGGTAGCTGTTATGTTGACATTGCTAAAGTTGAGTGTGGGCACCAAAGAATATGAGAGTGGGCGCACTCAACCTACATAATCCGATGGTGGTGTGTTTAAGGTTTTACTATATTTGAGCAGCTTGAAAGTAACGCCCACCTGCTTTTGTTGCTAATGAAACTGATAGCTATCTGAGTTAACTTTCCCTTAACTGCTTATCCTTCATCATTTAAAAAGGGAGTGGCAGTATAATATACATAGGTCTAAAAATGGAATAAGACCTGGTGAATATGTAACCGTTTCTGAATTTAGCTATATACTGCCATATTCCCTTTACCACGTATTTTTGCTTCTTGCCACCATCTCCAGCGTTGTCGCCGGCAGATGTGAGCGACCATTTAGGTCTAGGGGAACTGTTCCAGAGAAGAGCGTGGTTCCTCCAGCCATGCTCCGCCAAGAAGGGGGACGGACTTATGGAGGGGTTCACTTGGCTCGCCAGCAACTTGTGATATCGTAATATCTGTCCTTGTGTGTACGTGTTGGTCAGTTAACGATACAAACCACGTCTTTTTTTATTTTCACTGAATCACATTGTGTGTAATAATATAGTATTATGTGCTCAAGGCATGATCATTTTAACCCTTCCCACCTCACAGTCAAAAATTAACTATCTTACCATGTCAAAAGTTAATGAGGTGAATACAGTAATGAAGAATTCAACCCAGCTCACTATGGTGAAGATAATATTTCCATAGAGCCAGTGTGCTGGTCGCCCAGGAACGCCCCGCGCGGCTCTCCACTGCCTGTGGAAGGACCAGAGGGAAATTGAGCCAGAGCATCAGGAACAGTATAGTGGCCACTGCAAACGTCTAACACCAGAAGTCGGCCATCGTCGCGCGCGTCTAGTCTGCACCCGAAACCAGCCCCGCCTACTATGCGCGCGCATGCGTACCTCTTACGCATGCGCTAAATAGCTGGGGTTTGTCATGCACTACAAGAGAGACTCGCGCTGCGTCAGTGCTGCGCCCACGTCGCGGAACCTATTGTGAATGTTCAGCTGGTCTGCATTTTGTACGATGCTCTCTCAGTGTCTGTACATGAACGAACCTGTTGCGAAAGAAAATGAATTATGCTCTTTCTGACGGAGTTGAAAGGAAGTGTTTTCGCAGCTGATTCGGTTGCAAGTGAGTGGTTGATGCTATGCTGGTTGGGCCTACTGCTGTTCCTCACTACATTCGTAAGTTTCTTTTTCCTGCGACCATCACTGCAGTCGCGCTGCACTGCAGAGGGAGGGATTTTCCCAGGGAATTTCCCGCGGGTAGCCCCCTACTGTTGTTTTGCGTATTCAGTTTGTGTCTTCTCCTCTAATACAACCCAGTGTGTGCTGGCTGCTGGAGACGTATGTCCGACCGGGTTCTACGCTAACGGGACGGTGGAAGAAACTGCTGACTGCGTCCCGTGCAACGCCTGCGAGGCGGGGGAAGGGGCGGCCGAGCCTTGCGGGAACCACAGCGACACTGTCTGCGAGCCTTGCGCCGAGGGACACTTCTCTAAACTCACGTCCAGCGGGAGAGAGTGCGCGGAATGCCGCTTCTGCACTCCGGGACGGATGGAAGCCGCTCCGTGCACGCCGGCGCGGGACAGGGTTTGCGGGAGCTGCAGCGGCGGATTTTTTCTGTTCGTGGACCACACCGGCAGCGAGTGTCTGCCGTGCTCCGTGTGCCCCGCGGACGGAGAGGTGGTGCGCTGGGCAGACTGTGCGGCCGCGGGAGAGCCGGAAGATAACAGATGCGCTCCAGGTACGCAACTGTAGCGGTATCGTCCGCTACCGTAAAGGCTAGTCTTGCGGGGCCGCACGTTTACGTTTTTGGGCTGGCATGATGCAATAGTGCCAAAAGGTAATTGAAGCTAGGTTTGGTAACACTCCTGATACCCACGGGACATAAACGGATCAGGTTACCACACGTCATAGTTCCACCTTCTCCTTGCACAGGTGTATGGACAGGTAAACCCAGCACAACAACAGCAACACAGCCGGCTGTCAAGCCAACAGGGACAGTTGGAACTCATAAAACAAAACTTCCAACCAACCACGGGACGTTTGCGACAATGAATAACTACGATACTATTGAGAAAATCGACCCTCTGGATCGCAGCACCGAGCGAACTATTGCGATTGTGTCTGTGTTGTTCACGGTGGCCACAGCCCTTGCATTTCTCCTGGCACTGACATGCCTGTTTAGAGAGAAGATTCACAGAATCTGCAGAAGAGCTTCCGCCAAGAAAAAGATTCTGAGCTCTCAACACAGATACTTCAAGAAAACTCGTAAGATTTTTTGTGGCAAGCACACTTCTTATACCTCCTATACTTTCCATGATAGCTTCAGCAAGCGTTAACTACATAATTATATAGTTTTATATCTTTTTATCCAATTGCAGGTAATTTCCACTACCCTGTACAAGTACAGGATGACTCAGCAACTGTTGAGGTCACATATGCCAGCTCAATTACCTAATCTTACCATTATTAAAAACCACTATCAATCTGCTAACTCATAAGAACCTGAACCTACTCACGTCATTGTAGCGTACTGTTGTTACTGTTGTTACTTATGCATAGCGATAGTCCTGGATGGCACTTCAATAAATGTAGCCAAACAGCAGCACAAGGAAAAGAAGAAAGATCCTAAGCTTTTCGTCCTATTGTATATAAGGTGCACACATCGTGCCTGGATTACTCCTAGTCTTCACGTCTCTGCCTCCTCTTGCGCCTGGGATGAAAAATTAACACACCGTTAATTCTGCTATTGCACTAGTGCTCACAAACTCACGGTTTCCCTCCTTTACTTTCCTGAAATAGACATGAAAACAAAGGTTAATCAAGGTACAGCAAAACCCCTCTCTAAGGACACCCATGAAAATTATGAAGACACCTCGCTAATATGGACACATTATTATTGTGGCTCGATTGGAGGGGTTCCACTATTATAGTCGGTGAGAAAGACTGAGGCACCTTGGCAGAAGGGGCAGGCGTCTCTTCATCCTCTTGTCCGCCATCTTGGCTCTCCTCCCCCTCTCCCTGGCTGGACTTGCCACCCTCCTCCTGACTGGCTTCCCCCTGACTCCCCTCCCCCTGACTCCCCTCCCCCTGACTCCCCATTCCCCTCTCTCCCTCCTCCTCCTCCTCCTCTTCCTCCTCTTGGGGCTCACCCCCTGTGGCTACCTCTTCATCAACCTACAGCAAGTGACTCTTGTCACACTCAGACAAACTCTTGTCTACTGTTTATCAGAGAAATTTTCTATTATAAACCTCTGAAATATTAACGAGAAAAAGAAGTGGGGATATATACTAGAACGTTAACTACTCTATTTGACAAGGTATATAACAGTGATGCCAAAGATGAGGTGTGTTTTGTATATACCTGTTCGTTGTCTTCAGCAATGAACGACTGGGGTTCCCCACTGTCTTCTCCGCCAGGCTGAGGCTGGGGAGACGACTCCTCCCCCTCCGTTTCCATGGAACCAGAGGGTTGAGGGTCGTCCGGTGCTGGCTCGTCCGTTTTCTTACGCTTGGCTGCTTCGTCAGGCTGTGGGTTGAGTACAGATATCACCTTACTTGTACAATACGGATGGGCACGGTAGGTTATAGTAAAAAAAGGGTAACTCCATTTAGCCAATCCAGTGCCAGTTCTTGTGGTAACCTCAAACTATTATTTTACTGTCAACCATCATTGAAACCACATTAGATGAGTAAGCTCAGGAGAAAGTAATGTGCTGACAATCCTACAATGTGATATGTGCTGACAATCTACAATGTGATATGTGCTGACAATCCTACAATGTGATATGTGCTGACTGCTACACAGCATCATTTCAGAAGTGTGCCGATTGGGTCAAATAGTGGAACATAATATTATAGTGCATGCTGCATGCACCTACCTTGGACCTGACACAGAAAGCTGCACAGATGACAAACGGAAGGACAATAGCAAAGGCATAGAGGGCCCAGAGATATGGGTGGTCGTTTGCTGTGTCGATGAACCAGTCGAGAAACGGCCCCTGCAATCAAGGACATAATCACCGCTGTAGATACTCAATGGAGGACATTACACATGTATCGTAAGTAAGTAATGATGATGCTACCATTTAGGTGGGTTGAGCAAAGCAAGAATGGTACATAACCATGTTTGATTATTACACAATTGTGTTTCCTATTGTGTCGAAGATTACACAACTTTGAGTAATAACGTACTAAAGAAGTTGCTCCATCCACTGCCCTTTCAGATTCAAACTTCAGTATCCATCTGCAAATGATATTCATTAATCAGTAAAACCACAACCTTTTGGGTCAGTTCCTTCAACTCGACTCACCCTTCCCTGGCAAAGTTGTTGGCAATGGTAAGCTCGCTGCAGATGAGGAAATTATCGAAGAAGATTCGTCCAGACATTGTCCACAGCTCCAGCCCTATGCCAGTGACGGTCAACATACTGTCAAACGGATGGTCGTCTTCGAAATAGGCAGGATTTGGGATTCTTTTCGCCGTCCAGATCCCCTGGGGAAACACAGCAGTAACACACAGCAAATAGCGTGAATCTACCAAAGCATAATTATACATCAAAGGACAGGATATCTTTAAGGGTCCTTTGAAATTTTTTTACTCCGGAACTTGCCCCAACTTGCCTCCTATCAAAGAACTTCAAGGACTTCAGATACAAATGTTAGTGTGTAGGGATTTGTTGTTGACAAAAGAATATACCCAAATGAGGTTTTGGGGAAATGGGGACACCAGAGGTTCTAGTCTTACCATGAAGTCAGGGTTGTCGATAAGTGGCGGCTTCCATTTGCCCCTGTAATCAGGGTTCTGTATCATTGGGGGCTTCCATTCTCCACACCCCACCTCCTCACAGGCTGGGTTAGCTGGGGGGAGAGGGGAGAATTTGACAGTTGTGCTGCAGCTCTTAATCTAATCCAGAACAGGACAGAATAATGTGTCCATATTAGTGAGGTGTCCTTATTTCAGGGGTTAAATTGTCTATATTAGTGAGGTGTCCTTATTTCAGGGGATAAATTGCATGCAAGAACTGTTGTTGGGAAAGAAATGGTGTGTGGTTAGAGAGTTGTCCTCAGAGGTTCCTCAGAGAGGAGTTCCACTGCACTTACAAATCTGAGGTGCTTCCCACTCTCCATCTTCCTCCTCGTCCCTGAATGAGAGAGACACACACACACACACAGAGTTTACACTTCATTCAGAATACACAAGAGTACACAGATACACATACGTCAGTAACAAAGACCACTAACTCAAGAACACACACACTCTTCTTACGTAAACAACCAATGAGCTTTTCTCTCAAGGTGAGGTATTTGCTCTGTGTACATACCAGTCTTCGGGCATGTCAGCGTCGGGGTCCGGAATGTACTCCGGTCCGTCGTCAAGCCAACCGTCTGGTTTCTCGGCATTGGGATCAGGGATCTTCTGTGGCGCGTCCTCGTCCCAGTCGTCTGGTTTGACTGCATCGGAGTCTGGGATCCTGGGAACCAGACCCCACACACACATTAACATCAACACTCTGTCACTAGGTGTACAGAAATACAAATGATAAAGGAATGCATCACGCAAACGTTTTACGTATAAAACGTTTGCGTGATGCATTCCTTTATCATTTGTATTTCTGTCTGCTAGCCAAGTAGGTGCACATGCAACCATTACTGAGCAAAGCAAGTCCACATATAAATGCACTATAATATTATGCAGACACCACGTCATAATACTGTAATGCGCCGTTACGTAATTCTAAATACTTGCAAACAACAAAATTTCGTACTTGCATTCATTAGCCAATAATGTGTTGCATTTCGTTTCCTCTGTATTATTGCGACAGACTTACTTCTCTCTCTCGTCCCAGTCGGCTGGCTTCTCGTCCTCGGAATCGTCAATCTCCTCCGAGGGGATGATGGGCGGAGTCAAGTCCTCCAGTAGGTTACCCTTTAAGAAGGGCACTTGGTCTATTATGACATGATAGACACCATCTGACCGCACCACTGTATGAGGAATAATCATTGACCAATCAAATCGCTCGAACGAGCTGTGTACTAGGATAATGATAGAGACTGTCTGATCGTAACACTAAAGGGAAGGCAGATAAGGGGGAGGGAGGTAAGAGGAAGGGGTGGTGTATACGAGGCAGGCAAAAAGTATTCATGAATCAATCTTTCTCAGCAAAAAACATTTCGTTGGTTCCAAGAAACTATTGGAAAAGTGACCTCAATGCTAAAAAGAAAGTGAACAGACAGCAAAGGGGCCATAGAAAACAACATTCCAAGCTCACCAACTCTTGCATCACACATTTGGCGAACCTCTCTACACCTTAACAAGACCTAACAGTTTTACCTTCCCTCCCCTCCACACTTCCTATAGCTACTTACAACGGGCCCTGCACCCCGATACATCTAGCTGACAACTGGAAAGATGACAAATTGGAAAACTCACGCAAGGTAAAGAGATGAGTCTTTTTGTCATCAAAGAAGTCCATTTTCTCGGAAGACTGTTTGGAGTGTTTCTCTTCCACTTCTCCTGTCACTGGATTCTTGAACTGTATGATCATGTGCACCTAGTGGGCATGGGGAGCATAATATGGGGTTGAATCCCATTGAAAACCATACCTTTGAGCTCAGGCCGCATTTGTCCGGTCCAAACATGATAGAGTACGGAGTCTTGTCGTTCAACTGTTTCTGTAAAGCACGTGACATCACACGACAGTCACATGAGTGTCACATGACTCACGAGGTCCGGGGAGTCCACCAGTAATTTGACGTAGGCTCCACCACAGCTTAGCCCTTCTTGAAAGTTCGCCTCGTATCTTAGCGAGTAAAAAGTGGAGTGAGGTCACAATAGGCTGTATATTCACTAAGCAAATGTGAATAATGCCACATTTACACGTTACATGTACCAGCCCACTACTAAAGATATTTATGGCTATACAGGCAAAGGCAAGCTATTGTCACCACCTTGTAAGAAAGATGTACTCATTTAGCTCAGGCCACCCGGTAAAGCAAAGGTGATAGAACACAATGGGGTGATAGTGTGCATTGGACAACGTACTGTACTACAAATCCCTCTTTGCCGTCAAATACAAACGGTCGCTCCAGCTCAGCACTCACGGCATAGTGCTTGGCGGCCTCCTGCGGGTGATGGAGATCACACGAGGATCATGTGACGTCGTGTGACAGATCACGTGATCAACTCACAGGTATGACGAGATATTGGTCGTCTTCCATGGAACCGCCCCAGTCTGGAGCCTTCAGCTCCCACTCGCCTATAGAGGAGAAATAGAAAGAGTAGGGCATGCAGAAACACGGTGCTAAAAAGGGAAAGCTTCCGCCAAATACACGGTTTGCTATAGGGCCGTGAGCGGAATGTTTCTCCAGTAAATTTGGAGGGAGAGGTACGGTATTTGTACAGCAGGGTTAAGGATTCTATGAAAGTCAACTTTGCCTTGCGTCACATTTCAAGATATACTGTGTCTTCTACCAACCATCGTATCTGGTACTCCCATCGTCTTTCTTAGCTGAAGACTTCACCCATCTGTAGGAAGAAGAAAAATCCCCATTAACTTTCACTAACTTAGCTAAGTGGGTGAAGTTCATACACAAACAGCCCGCTACTGGCTTTCATTTTCACATTGTGGCTCCTCGCTTCGAACACAACTTACCTCCCCCATACTTTGGCGGCGTCTTGAAACGTCTCCGCGAAGTATACGTCACCGCTCGGGTAGCTGGGCTCTAGAAACACGGGCTTCCTGGGCCCGCTGGAGGCCTTCGGAGTCTCCTCCGTGGCCTCTTCTTCCTCCTCCTCCTCCTGTGCTGTGGCAGCTGCCGCCAGCAGGAGCACGCACAACCACCACACGACCACCGTCTTCATCGTCCTAAACACAAAGGGGGCGAATTTTTACTCTACTCGTTAACCGCTCTCAGAGTTACTAGAGAAGAAACTGCACAGAAAATGTATAGAGATAAGGTGGCAAAGACGATGGCTTACCTTCGACGCAGTCTGATGGGAAACAAGTAAAGTCTTTTACAACACAGGGTGGAGCGACACGTGCGTGCGCGCTATTGGCGGGCTTTTTAACCCCATTGTGCCACGAAATTTTGTCGGCGTAAGCGCATGCGGTTATCTATGAGTGTCTTTCCCTCTCTCCGGCCTCCCCTGTACTCTAATGAGTCTCATGGGCGCAGAAATCCCTCCCTCCTAGACCATGAGGCTGGATTGGCCCAGGATAAAAGGCTGGAGCAATGGGTATAACTGGCTGCACCCATACAGACTGTTACAGCATGTTCCTTGCAGAAGGAGTCGCTCCATAGAAGTCCGTACCCCACACCACTGGGCCTTACCAAGGAGGACTATGCTGTACTACTGGAGGAAGATGGCGAGGAGGTGGAGGAAGGTGGGAGTGCTGAGTTAGACAGCGAGGGTTCGTTTCGGAGCACCGCTTCGTTGGGGAGCACCGTATGGGGGGACGACGATGTTGAGTTAGTTTACTATCCACTCTGATGATTACTCAATTAATCTGACCTATACACCTGCAGCGATAATCTCAATGCTTCATCACTGGAAGACGAAGGAGCTCTATAAGGCATACATACCATACAACAAACCAAAACATAACATCATACTGTTAGAATTGTACATCATCAAGGTCACAAATATACTTGGTCAGAGCTGCAGCGGTGCTCCCCTCGTCACTATCACTTTCCTCAGTCTTCGTATTATCGTCCACAGTTTTCTCTTCACTCTCACTCTCCTGATCTGCCTCAGCTGGGATAGCTTCCTTCTCATCTGCCACTATTTCTTCATTTAGTGCTAGGGGAGCTTCTTCCCCGCCATCTTCTACGACTATTTCTTCCATTAGATCAGTTTCTTGTTCTGTATCACAAAATTTAGCCTGTGAATCAAACTTTTCTGTTTCAGCGTCCAAATCTGCTTCTGCCTTGTTTTGCAACTCGGCATCAGTTCTGACATCTTCAACCTCATCAGCTGCCGCCTCTCCACCGTCTTCAGTCACATTCAACTCACCATGCTCCTCTGTTGTGACTTCTGTCTCCAGACGGACTCTCTGCATCTTTTTCACCAGCTCCTCCTCCATCTCCTTCCTCCTCTCCTTGCACTCCGGGCACACCTCCATCCCATCCTCGTTACAGTGGGTACAACGAAGAGCTCTGAACTCCATCGTAAACTTGTTAGCCGTGCTGTTTTTGCTTCCTCCACACTTTCGACATGGAATGAACTCAAACCCACCACACACTTTGCAATTATTGGCTGTCTCGTACCGCTACAGAGATGAAGGAAAAATCACCGATCCATTGCATAATAAAAGCTGTGATATTAGCTATCTTCCTTGTGGTGCTTGATTGCTAATGCATGCACTGTTAGATAAGAGCTCACTGGGAATTCTTCCAAGATTTTTCTCAACTCCCCAACTTCATTCAATACTTCCAGCTCCGTCTTTCCCTGAGAAAAACAACGTGACAAATCTCTCATGTTCGTATATACTAACGTACGTACCCCAACGTGTTGCCCGCCGATGAAAACTTGCGGAACGCCGTGCCCGCTCTGCTGCCGCCTCAGCCTCTCCTCCAGCTCTCTGTGGTAGAACCGGTAGACGTAGATGTCCTTTGTCACGACGCGGACTCGGAGGTTGTGGAAGAGATCCCGGACGTAGCGACACTCCTCGAACGTCGAGCGGACCCCGCGGAAGCTGGTGACATAGACAACCACTTTCCACCTCTCCGTGTTTAGCTAGGGGAACAGACAGCAGAGAAACACACACACAAACGTGAACACTCGGCGGTCCGCAAGGCGCGTGCAATTTCGCTGAGGCTGCAAACTTTAGCCCCACCCATTTTCTTATGCAAACAACAAACCTTCCCCATTTTCAAGCCTCATTTACCTTTTCCAGAGCTTTAGGGTTCTCGAAATTAGCCAGACCAGCTCTGACTCTGTTCTTCCTGCCGCGGATGGTCCCGCGCGCGCTCACGATGTCCTGCTCGTCGATATGATCCAGATCAGTGAGGTTCCGCATACCGACGTAGCTGAGCTTCGCCGAGTCCGAGGCCTGGGCTCGAACATTCTGCGACTCTCGCGTGACGTAGAAATTCCGATGCTTCTGCTTCCCTACAGTTGTTGAAATCGACGTTCCTTTTCTTGCACTAGCCATTTCGTCCTACCTCCTCCGCTCGTTGCTTGCGAAATACGCACGCGCATGAATTTCAACGAGTTACGTAATGTGCAAAAGTTCGTGACCTTTCCACGTGCAGCGAACTAGTGCGCTTTATTTGGAATCGGACAGAGAATGTTGCACGACGATAACGCCGCGGAAGAAGCTGGTGAACTGAGCTCCGCGGGAGCCTTTATAGACACGACTGGAGAGAGGGGGAAGAAACGAAAGAAAATTCCCGTCCAAGTCACTGGGGCTTTCGCCGACAGAGAGGAGGAGGAGCTAGAGGCGCTTGTGTTCGGGAGACAGCTCTTCAAACGTGTGGAAGAGAGCGGCAGTGAGACTGACTCTAGTGAAGATGAGTCTGAGGACGAGGAGGGAGTGAGACATGAGGGAGTGGCCAGGGATGAGCCGGCCTGGAGAGACGAAGATGACGATGAACTCAGGTTTAGTTTCAAGCAAATATAGGTTCACCACACCGAAGTGAAAGAGACCACTTATTCAAGAAGATCCACAGATGCACTAAACAGATACTTCCATTAATCCTTCACACAAATCCATTACCCATTTTTTCGCTCTCTCTCTCTCTCTCTCTGTGTATAATTGTCTCTCCCTCCCTCCTAGCGTGGACATGATGTCCAAAATGCATCGAAAGAGGCTCAGACAAGAGGAAAGTGACAGAGTAGTGTCTGGTCCTACTTATGCCAGTCGCCTCAGAACCAAGTGAGACCTTATTATAAAAATCTCTATTTGATGCCAACCTGGCCTCTGTCGCAATGTGGTATATTATATCTATGGTTGGTGTCAGGTTTCAACAGCTTGGTGGAGACCCCGACTGGGCCAAAAGGAAGAAGGAGGGAGAGGAGAGGAGGAGGGAGAGGAGTGACAGTGACAGTGACACCACTGATGATGAAGGAGGAGGACTGCTGCAGAGATCTGGTCTGCCATTTAGCTGACTCCCTTTCTCTAGCAGTTTGTGTTTAGTTATCTCTCTGTGCTAAAGGTGTCGTGTCCCTGTTTACCTTACTTTGTATGGTGGATTTGCTGGTACCGGACTTCCCACCAAGTTTCAAGTTAAAACCCCCACCTTTTTAATGCATACAGGTTGTGTCCGGCATGCAAAGTATACCATATAACGAAAAATAGTTCGCTGCGTCAACCTTTCACAAAAAGGTTTTGCAGGTACAATCCACCGGTATGCATGGCATGCTTATACAAAATTTGTCAGGGTTTTATATAAAATTCGCGGCATGTGTTTTTTTACCTACAGGCCAGTTGTTGTGTGGCTCCGCCCACCACCGGCTCCCTCTGTCTCTCCTGGACGTGAAGAGAGTGAGAGACATCAACAGATCCAAGAGAGCTCAGGCAGCCGTCAAATGTCTGGAGTTCCACCCCACGGCCAGTGTCGCCCTCACTGCCGGCTGGCACAAGACTCTCGACCTATTCCAGGTGTATATACCCTCTCAGTAGTACTGTTTGATGGCAAACAATGCAAGTGTGATATTTCGGAATGTGCAAAACATTGATAAGTGGACAACGTCGACTACGTACAAATGCATACAATAAAGTTGCGCAATTCAGACAACTAGTTGGGCTCGCTTGAAAAAAAAACAAAGTGTCCAGTGATTGCAAACACATGGGAATAGTGTACGGATTAAACGTAAATTTCACACATACCATTTGTCGTTTCTATGCACACACTGAATCTAAATGGGAAATTTTTCCCCCACACAATTCCAACATTAGCTATCCGGTAACTGGAACTTACACTCTCTCTTTCTTCTCCGTTCCCACAAGGTGGATGGAGAGGCGAACCAGAAACTGCAGAGTGTCCACGTGCAAGATTTCCCGATCTCCACTGCCCATTTCACGGGCGATGGGACGGAGGTGGTCATGTCCGGAGAGAGGAAGAGTTACTATGTCTACGACATGATTGCCGGGAAGATCACTCGCATCTGTGGCATTAGAGGTGCCAAATTTGTTGACACCCTTATTTAGTGGGATAGCGAAATTTGGACAAGATAGGGATAGGTGATATTACCATTCCATACTCCTACTGTAGTCCAAAGTAGTTGGATTGTCTCTTTTTCCACTCTTGTGCCTACATAAAAAGCAAAATCATTGACACCCTTAGCAAAATTTGGGCGAGATAGGGATAAGTGCTGAAAGTAGAAGATGTTACCATTCCATACTCCAACTGTAGTCAAAGTGTAAAGGATAGTTGGTTTGTCTCTTTTTCCGCTCATGTGCCTACATAAAATGCAAAATGGTTGACACCCTTGTTTAGGGGGGACAACGAAATTTGGGCAAGATAGGGATAGGTGCAGCGAGATACCATTCCATACTCCAACTGTAGTTAAAGCATTAGGGATAGTTCGTTAGTCTCTTCCTCCACTCTTGTGCCTACATAAAATGCAAAATGGTTGACACCCTTATTTAGGGGGGACAGCGAAATTTGGGCAAGATAGGGATAGGTGCAGCGAGATACCATTCCATACTCCAACTGTAGTTAAAGCATTAGGGATAGTTCGTTAGTCTCTTCCTCCACTCTTGTGCCTACAAAAAATGCAAAATCGTTGACACATACATAGCTGTGATTGTTTGATGTATGAATGTTTGTGTGTGCAGGAAGAAAGGAGCGAAAGTACAGTACCTTCACGGTCTCACCCGATAACAAATTTCTGGCCTTCCTCGGGAAAGACGGTTACATCATCTTTGTGTCAAACAAGGTGTGTAATATAGTCGGAGAGCAAGAAAAGGGAAGTGGGGTTTTAAAGAGCAGCAGTAGAGGGGGTATAAGCTCCAATATTGTCCGTTTCATATTGTGAGTGTTCGATTGCATCATTATGTGCCACAGACCAAGCAGTGGGTGGGTGAACTGAAGATGAATGGTGAAGTGGGGGGTGTGGCCTTCACCCCTGACTCCCAACACCTCCTCTCATATGGCAGTAAGCCAGCCACACACACACACCATCTTCCATTGTCAAACCAGAACTATAGATCTTTGAGTGGTATATCCGTAGTTTGTCTGATGCTGTCACACGGTGGTAGTTGTGGAAATGTTCTGCAGACTTGCTTGCCTAGATTTGCTCTTGTTGGTAGCGCCTTTCCTTACTAGTGGCACATTTCTAATGTATATACATGTCCATGAATGGTCTATATTTCTGCATAAAGTGAGGATGTGCATTCAAGTGTACATTACCTAACATTCATATTAATATTATGGTGAAATTGAGATGCTCTCTCCCCAGCTGATGGTCAGGTGTACGTATGGGACGTGGCATCAAGGCAGTGTGTCCACCGTTTCACTGACGAGGGGTGTGTGGTGGGGCGGAGAGTGGGCGTGTCCCCCGACGGACAATTCGTCGCCTGCGGCTCGGAGAGCGGGATCGTGAACGTGTACGAGAGGTCAGAGGTCATGGCCAAAGAGTCGCCGAAACCGCTACGAGCCGTCATGAATCTCACGACTGCCGTAGACCATCTTCAATTCAACTCAACCAGGTGTGCATCCATCATTGCATGTTGCCCAACATCAATTACTCATATTGAGTACTCTTTCTTTCAGTGAGATATTGGCCGTTGCATCGTCGGCAAAGAAAGATGCTGTCAAGATGGTAATTACTCGTTCACTTCACTGCACACACCTCTTAGCACCCAGTAAACTATAGGAACTACTGTATGTAGTATATAGTAGGTAAAAAATGCTAGCATGATCATTATAAAGTTTCATTCTGTGTTTTAGCCCTATTCATGACACATGTAGCTAGAGCCCATTTCGTCATACGCCTGTAGGTCCACTTGTCTTCACTAACAGTGTTCTCCAACTGGCCGCACGTCCACAGTCGCCTCGGCCGCCCCACCTCCCTCCACCTCTCCCCTCTCTCTCGCTATCTCGCCCTCGGCAACGAGAGGGGGAAGGCCCTTCTATTCAGGTCATCAATCACTCTCTCTAACCACCGCTCTGTGTAATTGCGTTGGCTATTCTTTCTGCAGACTCAACCACTACCATCAAGCAAGCCAAAACTGAACTTGAACATTGGCAAGAAAAGTCCAGTCGTCTGAATTGTGCGATTTTTCTATATTATAATAATATGTAACCAACTAACCGGCTGGCTAATGTCTCTGCTCCAATGCAGGGCAGGATAATGCGTGAACATCACTTGCAGCAGTTTGGGGCGGTAAACTTGTACATGTGGCATTCGTTCATATCACATACTTCATTTGAATGAAAATAGTCAATTTTTCTGCGTGTCGGTAATGTTGGAGTTACAGTCCAACTTTCTTTGCTCTCAAAGGGGCTCCTTTCTGGACCCAGCCCCAGCTATACTGCTGGCTTTCTGTTGACAATGGAGCAGCAGCTACTGTAGCACTCACACTAGGCCACTCTCCACCGCTGCCTGCTTGTTCCTCTGTCATCGAGTCCTGTTCCAGCATCTTTGGTTCATATCTACTGCCAAACTCTTTTCTTCCGCTCTGTTTTTGTCCCCTCTCTCCTCTTACACCTCTCCCTCTTCCCCTGGAATAGTGCTGCTGTTTCGAGTGGCCAAACTCTTCCGTGAAGAACTCCCTTCTCCAATCCTGCCCACTATTGCCAAGTTCACTTTTCTGCCCAATTGCTCTGAAATCATCGCCTCCCCTTTCTCTCCCTCCTCTCTCTCGGCCACCATAGTACTGTTGTTCGTTGCTGCCGTGTTCCAGCCTCCCCCCTCTTCCTCTTCTTCCTCCACCTCTCCCCCTCCACCTATCTTCATTCTCTCCTCTTTCAAACCGGTGTCGTCCTGATCTCTCTCCTCCATTTCTTCCCCTGCCATCATCATTATCCTCATATTGCTGTGATGTCAGGGTCCCCGAGCCCCTTCCTCTGGGTGACCTGTAGTCTGTTTCTCTTTCCCTGCCTCCCTGCACCCCCCTTCCCACACCTCCCCTCCTTCCTTCCCTCACCTCTCCCTCATTCTCCCACCCTCCTCTGTGTGACACTCCAGCTCTCTCTCCCCTCTCCCTCTCCTCTCTCTTCCACTGCTCCTTGCTCTCTGCAATTGCAAGGCTCTCTTGATAAGCCCACACCTCCTCCCAGTAATCCTCTTCTCCCCCTCTGGACATGTCTGGTTGCTGACTCCCATAATTTGAAGAGACTGTCAGCTTCTGCTCCAACCAGTCCGACAACATGGAGCTCTCTGATCTCTTTCCCTGGTCGTAACAGTCTTCCCTCTCTCTTCTGCCTCTCCTCCCCCTACCTCTCCCTCTCCCATCGCTCCCCTCTCCGGTATCGCCCCTGTAATTACGAGCACCTTCTGTAGCGGGTCGACCATACTGGCCCCGCCCACTTCTGCTCTGATTAAACTCCCGATTCTGTGGAGTCTTTCGAAACGTAATTTCTTCACTGAGTGGCATCTCCATCTTTTCTCTCTCGTCTTCCCTGGTCATGGAACTGACGACTGCTTCTCTTGTCGATACACTAGATCTCTTATTCTCGTGGTGTTTCAGTTGGTCCTGCCCTTTTGCAGTCTTTACTCCTACAAATGAAAACTGGGGATAAAGGAACCGCTGGTTGCAGGGACCACAATTTGTTTAATCTGCACTCACATGTCTTTTACAAGAGGCAAAATTAAAATATCATACCCTTGGCGGTTGCAACATAGCACAGAAGTATGCAAATCGTGCAGAGCTTAGTTTTATACTCACATTTGTACGACATAGATACTGTACAATAGGAATGTATATATAGCAAAGAGGCTTACCTGCAGATTTCCCAAAAGGGAGAAATTGTGGTGCGTCATTACTTCCTCCAGCACTCCTGCCCAATTCATCTGGCATGATCTGAGGCCCAAACCAGAAGTCACTACCGTTTCATTAAATGGAATGTGTCAGTATGCAAGGGAGAATTAACCAATAGGGCCCAGTGCAACAGCTCCTAAATATAGCACCACATTCCCTTTAATACCTAACAGCTACAAGATGAGATACCTTTGTTAGACTCCATTTCTGAACCAGATGCTCCACACGTCCACCCAGGACCTCGAGGGAGTTCTTGCCGAGCAATAGAAACCCTTTCTGAGCCTCCACCTTTTGCAGTAGCAACACTTTTGTACCTGGTGGACTCTGGGTACTAGACACACACACACACACAGCAAAATTTCTTGTCATAATATGAAAGGAAAACTCATGCACATGAATGCGAGAATCGATAGAAATGGAGGGAAATAGAAGGGAACAGTTCTTTTCTCTTCCATTTCGTAAATTCGTCTAAAACTCATTAAAATGTGGAAAAATCTGTGTTAGTTAGCGGCACTGGAAGAGGTAGAGAGAGAGGAGAAAGAAGATGGAGACCTGAGGCCCGGTATGGCTCCCTCCATCTCCACGCCACCCAGAGACACTCGTCCATCTGTCAACTGAACTCTCAACAGTCGTCGACTTGCACTACTGGAGAACTGCCTGGTGGACGGCAGCGCCACGTTCCTCACCCTCTGTACCTGCAGCACCAGCGGACCTTCCACCTGAAAAATCAGAAAGAGAACTAAGTTTTATCTCTAGGCTATATGTCTTTCAGCAACCTCGTGTTTCGTGTTCCTAGCGACGTCATCTGATAGAGCCTGCTCTCCGATTGATCTCAGATCCAGCTGCGGGAAAACACAATCTCCATGAACATGTAGTACTGCTGCTGCTAGTTTCTTACGTCCAGCGCCACTTTTTCCACGTTCTTGGCCGTCGGTTCGAAGTTCTTTTGTTCGCACAGCGCCTCGCATCGGGCGAGCCCCTCTGCCGTGAGGTGCCTGCACGAAAGAGGGACGCTGGGAAGTTTATTCGGGAGATGCTGTGCTCAAATCTAACCATCCCAGCTTCTCTAGCTCTTTTCTCAAGGTCTCCGACTTGGCCATTTACAATCTTCTTGGTGGGCGGGTTCTCGTGTGTGGATGGGCGGGGCTTGCGCTTCTTGCCAAATTAGTTTCCGTTCATCTCCGGATATTGTCCGTGGCATATCCGCATACGCGAGGCGTGGGTACGCATACAAACACACGCGTATTATAGTCCCTCTCACCAAGTCGAACTGACATCTTGTTCAGCGCTCTCAGCCGGTGAAAGGAGGATCTCGGGCCTCGAGCTAACGTAGGTGAGCCGGTAGAAAGACCCACGACGCCTGGACATCTAGCTGTGTTCTTTACGAGGCGTATATTCTCACCTGGCACAATAAAGGGCGTTGTCCTATAGGAGTTTGGGGTAACCCTGAGTTTGGACCTAGCTACAGACTCATAGCTATAAAGCTAAGAGCAATCGCTCCATTGTGCTGTAGTATACAAGCTTGTCTAGACTTCTACGAACTCCGAAACGTTTGACTATAGCAAATGTATGTTGTAGCTATACATCATGAAGGTTTGGTGTTCTGTAGAATAATTACGCGTTTTAGGAGAAAGAAAGGTGGTGTATTTAGAGTGTGTTGCGTGGGGGTAGTAGGGGATGTGGGGTTAGTGTGTGTGTGTGTGTAGAAAGTGGAAGTTGTTTCAGAGCTTTACTCCTAGTGAATGGCCACCATTTCCATTACCAGCCATACATTCACTGGCTTCTAGTCTCAGGAAACACAGCCTTGTACTGATACACTGCTTCACATATCGGGCATCTACCTACATATGGTCTACTGTATCCTTCTATATATATTGCCAGACAGTTAGTGTATATAGTAGTGTGTGTTATACAGTTAGTAGCTTTTTAGGTAATGGAGTATGTACTGCAGTAAAGAAACTAAGGACTATAACATCGGGTGCTGACAATACTCTGCCAGACCAGCAGTTTATCGCAGTGTGTGCGTGTTATGAGACTTTTCCTGCTCTAAAACTGCTAATTTCTTCCCCTCTTTACGTCTCTATGAGGAATCAATTTTCAAATTCTTTCACCTACGACTTCCCCTGCTCAACGATCCTATACATATTGTACAGTATGCAGTATCATAATAAATAGAGGGAAGCAGAGAAGGTAATGGATAAGTATTTTTTGCACAGTAGATATGGGAAGAATGAAAGATATTTTTAAAGTGTTTATGATCGTGTGATGTTGATGTGTTGTGTTGCATTCGAATTTCAACCATTGTAATCTGAATACACTACATCTGAATAGTTACAGTTGTTTTTATATTGAGCAACCCCTGTTGTAATTCCACCCTGTTGTTGTACACATATAATGATTAGACTACACATATCGTATCAGTGACCTATAATAAACAAATAAGGCATGAATTTCGTTAAATCCACACTCCACGTCCCAAACCCACTTCTACTGACTCACAAGCGAACTTAGGATGAGTGATGAGAAGACTTGCGAAGCTTCCAGGAAATGACTCGGTGGTAATGAGGATGTGATTCCAGAAGCTCTTGGAATCCAGGAAGACTTTCCTTTGTCCAGGAAATTATGTCATTTGTCTGCCCAGTTAGCACCCAGTCAGTGCCAGAGTGACAGCATCAGTCACTAAACGTAGCTCTTATCCGGCTTCCCTTAGCCTCCAGCTCTTACGATTGTACAGTGGCATTATTGGACAATGTGTTAAGTTTGTCTCTCCGACAATAACGGATTTTGTCTCTCTCTAACTCTCGTGGACCTTTTCCATTGGTGTGGGCGTATTGACCAATCACATTTGCTTACATTTGAAAAAATGGTTAACTTGCTGTGCTGTAACTTTCCCGTAAAATTTCGAGCGTTCAATCTTCTTCTGTGCTGGAAATTTTAAAGGTCTGCTGTGTGCAAGACTTTCTGGAGGCAAGTAGTATCAGGCTTAACTGCAGATGAAAGATTACATGCTGTGTAGTGTATAGAGAGGATTGAAAAGAGAGATAAATGAGGGATTGGTTTGAGGATCAAACCAGAGAGACCCACAATGTTCACATGATCTTGTAGGCAAGTTGTAAGTTGTAACCGACTTGTCACGGATCCTATAGTGAATCGTATCGTGAATTGTGCGGAATGTAATTCGACTGGAAATATTGCACATAAAACCACAGTTGTCTGTCTTAACCTGTCGGCCGGCACTGCGCGGTTACAACCTCTTGTCAATGGCTGTGTTCTTGGCATGTCCGACGTCACTGGCATCTCGTTTGACTGTCTCTCCAGGAATGCTCTTGACCTTTGTGGTCTCTCTCTCTCTCTCTCTCTCTCTCTCTCTCTCTCTCTCTCTCTCTCTCTAAGGGGTGAAAAAAAGGCTACATATAGTGTGTCCTTACTGTGCCTGTGGGGGAATCTACCCCCCCCCTGCAATTATGGGGTAAACAGGAAATGTACTTGTAGTGAACTAGAATTTCTTTCATTGTGTGCCCTGGTCCAATTTCAACCCAGACTTCTGGGCCATCTGTGTTAAAATATAGAGAAAGAGCTTGCTGTACAATGGTCCTATAGCCCACTAAAAATTGGCTTGGTTTACCTCTCCCACAGTGTATGTTATTATGCTGCTGCTGAGGTCCTCGTTAAATGTACTGTCTGACTGAACTCTCTGTGTCTCTCTGGTGTATAATGTGTATACAGGTGTGTGGGGCTATTACCTCAGCTCTGAATGAAGCAAGACTGCAGATAGCCATGTCGGATCGAAGGCAAAGTTTTGTAAGTCATCGGGTTAGTTTACACACACAGAAGTACAGACTGTCACTCACGAATATTAGCGGTCTTAAAAATTGCCGCCTGTTTACGGCTCTCCTGAGCAAACTGATCTGAGGTGTTGATGACCACCTATTTGTTGACATACCGTCTGGGGATTGAACTGGGAATTGCTACAATGCTTGGATCACAGATTCCACTCAGCATTGATAACACACTTGAGACCAGTTTAGTAGAGCTGTCACTGATAGCGTGGGAGTGTTGGTAATCACACTTTCATTTGGCTAGGAGATGATGCGAATTCACGAGAAAGAACATAGTTTCCTACTACATATGTACATACATACACTGTACATGTGTATGTTTGCAATGGCACTGCATACTATGCATACTAATCTGTGATCTACTATAGTACAGTACATGTCCACAACATACTGTGATGATCCACAAATGCTATGATTTGGGGCCACATCTGTGGGAAGAGTTTGTTGTTTAACTACGGCAATAATAGACTCGTATTATCGAATATGAACACGTGCATTTAGTGTATGCATACTGACTTGTAAATACATACGTCCCTCACTCGCTCACTCTCTCCTTTCCTCCATTTTTCAGTTTTTCAAAGGCCCAAAGACCAAGGGTCAGCGGGCGAGTAGAGTCGTCCAGACTCCCATCAACCCTCAGCTCCATGCTAAGATACAGGAGATCGAGACTCTGACTGAGGCTCAAGTCAACGATCGACTTCAGGCCATGCTGGTGGGTCCTCTCTCTCTCATACAATGCAGCATGCATTACAAATGAGGAGTGGGTGTAAACCACCCTTGGCAAGAAAGAAGCAAAGAAGGGTAGCAGAATGTAATGATAATGACTTTGACAAACTTTTGCAGCCTTTCGTGGTTGCATGCTTTTGTGGATGCTCTTCAAACCGCAATATTTGCAAACGTTTTCCCTCTCGAGAAAATATCGCAATACATGGGCTCTGTCCGTCTCTTTCTCAATGGGCGCCTTACTCATTGCTTTTCTGTCTCTCTCGTGCACACAGGAGGACATAAACATCACCCAGGAGCAGGGGAGAGTTCATATCATGGGACAGACGCTGAAGGAGAAGAAGGGACTGCTTCGGAACTGGATACTTAGAGATCACGGACCGGGGGTGAGGAGAGGGGGAGGAGGGGAGAAAGGGATGGAAAGAAGAAGGAAGGGGAGGGAGCTGGCTCCATGTGTCTGGTTCATCTTTGCCATTTAATGCCCTGTTTACATGTACATGTGTACCCGACTCTGTCTCCACTTCAGGGTGCCCAATCGGGACCAAACACTCCAGCTGAATTCGTTACAGAACTGAAGAATTTCGATTTCATGACTACCGACTCAGCAACAGAGGGTCAACATGGCGTCATCGACAAACTCCGAGTCTCTCTCTCCACTAACGGTCTCAAGTGAGTCCAATGAATTAGAGATGATGTAATGATGATGTCACCGATAATACAGTAGTTGTTGGTAGAGATCAACATTGAGTGAGTCCAAATAGAAATGATGTAATGATGATGTCACTTACATTGAGGTTCCATATTAAGGAGGGGTAATTCCCCTATGCCCACTGACCCACTGTACTATCATCCCCTCTCTCTCCAGTTGGGTGAAAAGGTTTGGAGAACACAACGGTCTAGACATTCTCCTGGACACCATGAGGTCGTGCAGTCAGGTCAGCTTTGCCGGGAAAGACGCCATCCTTCGTCGGATAATGCATCAGTGTGTCCGTTGCCTCAAGGCCTTCATGAACAACAAGGTACACATGTACATACATAGGTGCTACAGTAGACAGTGTTACATTTGATCCCAATGTAAATGCTCCTATACTTCTAGCATTAGAGTAACGTTAAGTGGAGACTTCCAGATTGGTCGTAAACGCCAGGGTTTACCCCTAATTGTTTTTTGCCACATTAACACAGGAGAGCGAACACGTATGGTCAGCGCCATATAATATCACGCAATTCAGATTGCAACTTCGCTAATGGTCTGTCCCATAACTGAACTATGCTGTGGTTAAGCTCCACTTGCTGCTCCCATCTCTAACCCCTCCTCGTCCCCACCCCCTCCCCCAACACCACTCAGTACGGTCTGACTAAGATGCTGCAGAGCGAGCAGGGTCTCATCATCCTCGTCAGCGGGATGGACCCCTTCAACGAGAACATGATGACTGATGTGCTGCGAGTCACGGCCGCTGTCTGCCTTGTAGCGGACGGGTGAGGATTGTCCCTCTAGTGTCATTCGCCCTTTCTGTACCCTCTTGTTGTTATGTTCTTTCTTACTGCATTTTCCCTTCAACTGTACTTCTTACATCATTTCGCACCATGTGACCTCCCTTCCTCTTCCTTCCCTTCACCCCCCTCCCTCTCTCTCTCTCTCAGCCACGATCGGGTCCTGGAGGCGGTCACAGTCAACGGAGAGATGTGCAACATAAACCGTTTCGAACCGGTCCTAATGGCTCTGAAGAAGACCAACAATCCCATGCTCCAGCTAGCCTGTCTCCAGTTCATCAACGCCATCGTCAACACCCCCGAGGACATCGACTTCAAGATCCACCTCAGGAACGAATTCATTAGAGGAGGCCTCGACGAAATGCTCATGGTGAGCAAAACAAAACCTCTGATGCCACTGTCTAAACTGTGTACCAGCGTGTGGCATCATAGATGTATGGGGCAATGAAGGAGATTTGTTCGAAATTTATCCTTCCCTCCCTCCCTCCTTCCCTCCCTCCCTCCTTCCCTCCCTACCTCCCTTCTTCCCTTCCTCCCTCCCTCCCTACCTCCCTCCCCTCTCCCAGAACTTGAGGGAGATCCAGCTACATGATCTGACCACTCACCTGGACATCTTTGAAGACCACAAGGAGCAGGACTTTGAGGAGATGCTTCATCGTCTCAACGACATCCGCATCGAGTTAAAATATCCTCTCATGTCATGTGACCATCACATGCACAAACCCTCGTGTCATGTGACTATCACATGAGTCCACGTGCACATACACCACTGCGTTATACGAGGAATATGTGCATACACTTTAGTGAGTGAAAATTTTCAAGCCAACCATAGGATTTGTTTGAATTCAGAACGCCACTTATTGTAACATGGTAAACACTACACTAATAAATCCCCTTTGAAACTGTGTACCAGTTTTGCCTTAACCCCTTGTGCACTGAGCCCGAGGAAGTCTTCAAGATGCTGCGAGGGTTAACGTCGGGCACGCCGGCCGGACAGCCATTCTTGTCGATCCTCCAGCACCTACTGCTGGTTAGGGACGACTTCTTTGCGCGGCCGCAATACTTCAAGCTGGTGGACAAGTGTGTGTCTCAGATTGTGCTGCACAAGGGAGGGCTGGACCCTGACTTCCACTACACCAGGAAGTTTACCATCGACGTCGACGGAATTGTCGGTAAGTTTTTCGCAATCAATAGGCCCTCAAATTTTATGGCAAGTTCTTTGAACTGCCCTATTCATAGCAAAACGTTCTCGTGGTTTTTTCCATTTTATTTTTTGCCAGTATGTGTACTTTGGTTTTTTTGCACACTACGCACAATGTTGCTTTAACACGACTCGAGCATTTTTTATGGTGAAATATTTTGTCTGCTGATATTTAAATGGGTAAACAGGCGATTTTATGCAGATTTAAACAAGGTTGATTTTATTATTCTGTCAACCACCATCAGATTCAATGATAGACAAGGCCAGGGTCGATGAGGCCGAAGGGCGAGTGTTTGATCTTCAACACGCTGTGAGTTAACCGCGGTGACATCACCATTACATCATCTCTTTTTAATACATGTACCTTACTGACAGCTGCACAAAGAGGAGGCGGCGAGGAACGAGGTGGAGGCGAAGCTCCACGCAGCCAACGAGACTCTCGAGGAGACAGAGAAGCAGATTAGCACCGTCACTGCCCAGAAAGATGCCGAGATCTACCGCCTATCTGAAGAGGTGAGGAGGACAACACCAGAAGTCAACACTTTCCTTCTTTTTCTCTCGTTTTTCCTACTCTCTCAATTTCTATTCCCTCCCGTTTGTGTCTTTTTTCTTCCCTTTTTCTTTCCTACCTATTACATGCTTTGTGTGGGTCCTTCACTTTTAATTTTGTGTGACCTTCATTTTTTTTCATAATCTATCCACATCCTTCACTTTGTTCTTGATCTACTCCACCTTTTGTTTTATTTTTTTATGTGACTGTCACTTTTTTCTCTCCTCTTCCTCTTTTGCTCTTTTCTCTCTCACATTGTACGCTCTGTTTCTTACTCTCATAGTTGAGAACCAGACCGGCAGGTGGTGGCGGCGGTAGTAGTCTGCCAGTGGCAGGTGCTCCACCCCCACCCCCACCGCCTGGTGGCGTGCCACCCCCTCCCCCTCCGCCCCCTGGTCCCGGTGGTGCGCCACCCCCACCCCCTCCGCCCCCAGGACCACCAGGTAACCACAAAATCTCTCTTTCCTTGCTCTCCTTAATGACTACTTCATTTCAGGGGCACCCCCACCACCCGGAGCTCCGCCCCCTCCGCCTGGGTTTCCAGGTCTTCCCGGAGCCCCACCCCTTCCCGGACAGGGGTTGTCGACGCTCAGGGCAAAGAAGAAATACCAACTGGAAGTCCAGATGAGGAGAATGAACTGGACAAAGGTTATTATGACTAACTTACACACAGCACTGAATACTTGCTACATTGTCAGTGCAAACGCATTTTCATTCAACTTTGATTAAATGACTCATCATGATACTATGTAATTTGGCCACACATTAAGACCTTGCTCTGGTCTTCCTTTCATTCGGACTGTTACTCTCTCCATCCTTCCTCTCCTCCCTCTCTCCTTCCTTCTCCCACTGGTGTATGCACGCAGGTCCAGCCAGCTATGCTGAAGGCAGAGTCATTCTGGGCCAGGGCTAATGAAGAGTCTTTTGCATCGCAGGATCTCTTTCATGAAATTGAGAAGACTTTTGCCACTGGCAGAGGTCTGTTTAGAGAACACTCTGACACTCCTTACAACACACCCTTACTGATACTTCTCCCTCTGTCGCCCTCTCCTTCTCTTTCGCTCTCTCTCTCTCTCTCTTCGCTCCATCTCTTCTCCCTAGCTCGAGGCGGTTTAGAGGTGGAACAGAAACCTCGTTTCACGGCACCCAAGATCAAGGAACTGAAAGTTTTGGACGGAAAAACAGCCCAAAACATTTGTAAGATAAGAAACTTCCTGCCTTTGCTAACTAATAGAACCTGTTGTCTGGTACTCACAGTCAGTAATGAAATAGAATCCTTACCTTCTAACTTTAACCCTGAAACCTCTACCTTCAAACTTTTAACCCTGAAACCCCTACTTTATAACTTTAACCCCGAAACCACTGCCTTCAAACTTTAACCCTGAACCCCCTCCTTTCTAACTTTAACCCTGAAACCTCTACCTCTAGCTCTGTTGCTGGGAGCTCTGCGGATGCCTCACGTGGAGGTCCGTAACCTCGTTCTCTCCGTGGACGACGAGAAACTAACTGAACAAGTCATCCAACAACTCAACAAGTACTTGCCCGGCAAAGATGAGGTACCATATCACTATGTTGTTTGTATGTGAACTAATCACATGTAGTACGTCAGTATTTACATTCACTAAAACAGTTTTTTTGTCGGTTTTGTTTCTGAGAATGCTGAAATTTCTGGGGAAAACATTTTTAGCATAAGAGAGATGTTTTTCTCTACTCTTACTCCCCCCTCTCTCTCTCTCTCATCCTCTCCGTCTCAGATGCTACAACTGATGGGCTATCGAGACAAGATCCACGATCTCAGTGACGCCGAGCAGGTAAGTGTGTACCCCACACATGATACACTGCGTTGTATCCTACTTGCAGCTACCGAATTCGTCACTAAGTCCGGTAGTATTCTTAGTTGTGTAGAATTCGTCACTAAGTCCGGTAGTAGCTCTGTCGTGTGGAGAGAGATGGGTGTATATGTACACATTGAAATGTAAGGCACTTTGAGGAGTGGCGCAGAGTGCCAAGTGAAGTGGCAAACATTAGTATTAGCAGCAATTTAGGCTGAGAACTTTTCAGGGGAGCTGTGTGAGTGTGTTGTGTGCCTGTGCATACAACAACCTGATGCATACAGTATGAGTCAAAATGGTATGTAGTGATGCGTTTTACGTATGTACATACGTAGTGATGAGTGAAAATTTGAGTAAAAATATACTTATTATTGTTGCCGTAGTTTGGAGTGGTGATGAGTGACATAAAGAGACTGCCGGAGAGATTGGAATGTATGGTATTCAGAGTCCGTTTCCCGGAGGAGGTGGAAGAACTTCAACCTGTGAGTTGGGGGGCAAGAGAGAGGGAGGGAGGGAGGGAGGTTTCGAGGAAGGGAGGGAGGGAGGGAAGCAAGGAGAAAAGGGAAGAGGTGTAAGGATGAGAAATATTCTGTGGTCTTGTAAGGGGGAGAGGGTGAGGATGGGAAGAGGGTAAAACGCTATCATTCTCTGGTCTTCAGATGGTGTCTGCAGTCATTTCTGCCTGTCGAGAGATTAAGACCAGCAAAAAATTCGGAAGAGTTCTCGAGGTGGGCCAAATCTCGCCATTACCATCACGTTGCGTCAGTTTAAAAATACACTCCCCCTCTCTCTCTTCCACCAGGTTGTGCTGCTGATGGGTAACTACATGAATGCTGGCTCCAGAAACCAGCAGTCCTATGGGTTTGACCTCAGCTACCTGTCCAAACTGAGCTCGACCAAGTCGGCAGACCAGAAAACAACGCTCCTCCATTTCTTGGCCAACACGGTGGAGAACAGGTTTGCCGATCTCATCGACTTTCACAACGATCTGAGGAACGTGGAAGAGGCATCTCGAGGTTAGTCCGTCACATGACCGTCATGTGATTAACTTTTCAATCTTCACACCAATTTTGTGATATATAGCATTTCTAAGCGCACAATTCTTTGCAGTTTACTTGAGCTGAAAGATCCACTGTATTGCATCCATACAGTGGAACCCTTCTATAAGGCCATCTCTGAAATGAGGATTCTTTTCTTCCCCCGAGAATGTTTAACCCCTTAAATACACATCGTTTCTTGGGTAATATTGGGTCCACAATAAGTATATATACATTATACATGAAGACATAATAATAATTATAGCTCAGTTGGATCACGTGATTATGTTGTGATTGTCACATGACCCCTGTAGCGTCGGAGGACGCCATGAAGAGTGGAATGAAGACAATGGAGGAAGGGATCAAGAAGGTCAAAGGTGAGGTCAAGCACCACGCCAAGCCTCAGGGAAAGGAAGACAAATTCATTGAGAAAATGAAGGTATGTATATACTTATGGTGCGAGAGAGAGAGAAAGAGAGAGAGAGTGTGTGTATAACTGTATTGTGTGTGGCAGTGTCTTTCAAAATGTATGTCGTGTAGTGTAAAGTTAGCCAAAGAAATTGCCATTTTTTGTTTTAAATTTTGTACCTGCAACATGAGCATTCTCATTCTTCACAGGCATAGTGTATATTAGTATGAAAGACACATACTGAGCACATTTACACAAAGATCCTTCAAACCCCTCATTTCTCTCCCCCCTCCCTCTTCCCCTCGGACCACCAGGCATTCCTGGCCACCGGGGAGCCGACCTGCAGCAAACTAAAGGAACAAGTGACACTGATGGAGAAGAAATACGAGGAAATTGCCACCTACTTCACCTTTGACCCCAAGAAAATCCCCATGGAAGAGTTCTTCGGTGACCTCACCACATTTATAAAAGAATTTGAGGTATGCATTGCTTTTTTTGTGCAGGGACATAATTATTTAAATGTGCTGCATGCTACAGTACTTAAGCGTTGGAGGATTTAGGGAGACAGGGGGCAAACTTACTGTGCTACTGAACCTTTTATGGGGGCAAATAATGTGAGCTAAAAAGTGAAGCAGGTTTGCGTCATTGTAGGAGGGTTTAGGGGGCAAATTTTAAATGGGGGGGGGACAAAATGGGTAGCATAAACGCCAAGCAAAGACTTGAAAGTGAAGCAGTTTTGCACAAGTGTGGTGGTGAGTGTCTGTCCCTTGTCATCACTATTTTGTTGTCTGCAGAGGGCGAGAAAAGAGAATGCTAAGATCAGGGAGCAGCTGGAGAAGCAGAAACAGGCCAGAGAGCGAGAGGTACAGAATAACACTTCTTTCTCACTCGAACATTTGCAAATTGACGGGGTTGGGGGGGAGTTTTCTCAGTAAAATTTGCAGAGCCTTTTATTGCACTGCAACTTAATCATCACATAGTTTCCTCCACTGAAGAGCAAGTGTACTTACCTTACCACGTCATACGAACCTCTTTGTTTTGCAGGAGAGAGCACGACAGGCCAAGTTGAAACAGCGACCGGTGGCCTCGGGGACCAAAGTCCTGGACCTGAGTAAGGGAGGTGATGATCAGGAGGGGCTGCTGGACAATCTTCTGGAGACTCTGCAGAGTGGCAGCGCCTTCAACCCAAAGTGAGCCCTCCTCCCTATCCTGGCTTCTGCTGTACTTACAATTAGGGCCAGGTTTAGTCTGCCTTTGACATGGCACGTTTTGGGAGTAATAATTGCTTCTCTAGTTTGTAGGCTGGTGTGAAATTTCACTTTAGCAAACAGTTTTCCACATCTTGTATATATGTGCCACACCACTGATTGGTTGAAAATTGGAAATGTAATTTTTATTTCTCTTCTTTTTCCTTCCTTGGTGTGTATCGTGCAGGAAAAAGAGACCAGGACCCAGAGGTACCTATAATACCAGACCCTGTCTCTCTATTTTTCATAATTTTCACGGGTGCAAATTCAGAGCTATTGCATCAATAATTAATTTTCATCCCACAAAACCTGTCAGTACTTGATTCTTGTCCGACACTCGTGCCTGCAGCCCAGAGGTTGCGAGGAGGTCCGAAGGAGGAGACGGCTAAACTGGAGACGCAGCTGGTGAACAATGCCCAGAGACCCGTCTCCCAGACCCACTACAACTCCAGGACACGAGGCCGAGGAAAGTCACAGGCAGAAGAACTGTTGTCAAGGCTACAGGACAACTCCGCAAGCACTGCCCTCTGACCTCAATATTCTGCCTCCCACTAGTTTTATTATTTAAAACACGCTCGTCGTCATCGCGCGGCTATTCCAATGTTTCTTTTTCCGTTTGTGTGCAAATCATGTGCACTGTATATATGTCGTCTGTGTTTATTGTACACCAGGTGTAGCAGTAGTTGTGATAGTGGTGGTAGCTCTTGATACCTGCAGTATAGTTTGAAAACCAGCACTTCTCAATCACCTGTAAATTGTATTATGATCGCATTTTATATTTTTGTCCATTTTCACAGCATTTCTATTAGCGCGCACGCGCGTAATGTTGCGTAATTAGTTTCGCGTGCGCGCTAGTTGCTTGAAGGGGGTGGGGCTCGTTCCACAAGAACGCTTTTTGTGTTTACCAACGTTCTCTCGCACTCGTAGTAACCGTCTCAGTCGGCCGCGCAATGCCGCGTCTTTACGGAGGATCCAAGAAGGACTTTGGGCTGCACAACGAGACCGGGCTCTCTCTGCCTGGTCTACACGAGAGCGCTTCGTCAAAGTCCTCGGAGACAACCAGCTATTACCGATCCGCAATGCCCGACTACGACGTGGGAAAACAGCACGGAGGACTCAAGATCAGCAGCGGTACCGTCTCGCCAGTAAAGCCCTCGGCCACGGAGGAAGTCGGAGAGAAGAAATCCAAGGGATGGTTCGCCGGGAAAAGTAAGAAACAGAAGAAGAGCAATGCTCCAGTGAGCCTCATAGACAAGGTTGCAAAGTCGAGCGGCATGGCGCGTCCCTCGCCCATCCTGCAAGTCCGGGCTTCTGGGCGCCGGGTAGAAGAAGGCATGGATCAGTTCGGACGGCCACGAGCGGGGCCGGAGGCGCCTGAAGACGTGGACGTGCGAATGCATCTCTCGTACGACGCTCCTGTGGACATTACCAAAAGTAAGAACGACAAGTTCTATCTTGCTAGATAGCTCTGCCAATAGGGAATTTCAGTACACCTAGCTGCGTATATTGAGCACATGTTCTGTTCATTTGCTTGTTAGATGACTTAGCATTCTTTGTCTCATGTTAGATAAATCAGGATTAGTGAAACTGAGGCTTCAGCAGCCTGCTGGAAACAAGGATTCAGAAGTCACCCTGAGGAGGAGCGGTCACGGTTTTGGTCTCCATCTCTCCACTGGACTACCTCCTATCACCGTCACTTATGTGGAACCAGGTGAGGGAGGGCTTGTCACTGGAGCAACTTTTTTCAACCTTTACTATGTATTTTACTTCTACCAAATCGCTCGCTGTACTGTAAATCAGTGACTGTATATAGTAGTGTACATTCCCGCACCTTATATAATATCTGAGCCTCCCCCCAAAATGAGCCTCTTCTGGATTAACAAAGTACATTATTCCCTTACAATAGAAACCTGCAAAAACAGTGCATTTGTTGAAAGTTGCTCTCTCTCAGGCATTCTCAGTATGTGCTGAGTTATGTTGGGGGGTATCGTTTTACACCCACCCACGCACTGGTATAAACGTAGGTGGGGCTGCTGAGTCGGCTGGGGTGTGTGTGGGGGATGTGGTGCTAGAGGTGAATGGTGAGAAGTGTGAGGACTGTGATGTTGCCAAGATCGTCACTCTCAAGACCATAATCCAGCAGACTAACGTGGGCAGCTCCTAGCAACCTAGTCTTTGATTTGATTCACAGCTTGATACTAAAAACAGGTTTCCGAGGATTTAGATGACGGCGAAGTAGAAACAGTGGGCAGTAATGGAATCACGGTAAGTTGAACAAATTAGTTGTTTACTGCTCCTAATGTTGACTTGTAGGACACGGCGTGGAACAAGATCCAAGCCAGGCAACATCAGGACGAGGAGGATTCACCTAGAGTAAGTCGAGTTTAGTTGAGGCTAAGGTTGTTGTTGTAGATAAAATGACCAGCACTATGATTTCTCTTGTGCTCACTGCAGCTGGAACTAACACAGATTGATGGTGACTCAGAGAAAGAAGAGGTGAGAGCACCAGTTACTTTTCCATGCCATTACTAAGATACTGCATTTGTATTGCATGCCATTGGAGAGAGACTGATAGTGGATTGGTATGTGTGACCGTGCAGAATGTCAAGCAAAAGTGCCAAGAAGCTAATTGGGTTAACACGAACCTTAATCTTCTGGGACGCCAATTGTGCCACATAAAGCCTTGTATTAAATAGTGCAGTGTACTTAGTGCAACGAGGGATTAATATCTATGTCTACTACTTGTGTATGTGTAGATGTTGCAGGATGGACAAGGAAAATTCCACGACAAGGCAGGACAAGCGGACAAAGTGAGTAACTGTTAAAATCGGCACATGCTCCGAATGTCTCTTAAATTATCCAGTAATCAGTGAAAGTATTTCAGGAATGTGTCTAATCACAATCATGATGTAATGGTAATTTCCCAGGTCCAGATCAGTGAGACAGAATGGGAGAGGATTAGAGGGCAGAGGGAACTGGTTTTCGACAAGAACGCTCCCTCGACCGTCATCCAGCACCAGGCCAAGAAAAGGGGAGTGTCCTCTGAAACTAAACCTCTCTCGCCCTCTTCCAAGACCACCAAGGAGGCGCCGCAGAAGAGAGAGAGGACGCCCCTGTCGTCACCAGAGAAACACGACACTCCCGAGAAGACAAAGTCGTCATCCGGTAGAGGGAGTTGGTTCAAGAAGAAAAAGAAAGAGGCAAAGAGTGAGGGCGAGTTCAGAGTTAAGCAGAAGAGTGCATCACTCCCGAGATCGCTGACCGGTGCTGTTGTAAATAGAGGGGTGGGAGATGGAAAATCCACTACAAAAGGCGGAGGACTACGGATGAAAGTGACTAGCATCGACGATGTTGAATTTGGGGAAGAAAATAGCAGTCAAGTGTCCGATAGCATAAAAAAGACTTTCAGCTACGAGGGAGCTCTTCTGCCTCAGTCACCCGATGGTCATGTAACCTCACCTGATGATCATGTGACCAGCAGTATCCCACGGAGTCGGAGCCAAAACGCCATGTTCAGGGCAACTCTAATCCAGGCAGTTCAACAGCAGCAGAATCGGCAGCATAGTCGCACACCATCAGACGACATGACACGCAATTCCCAGGGCCACAGTCGCTCCAAATCGTACGATGCTGCTGAGGAGGTGGGAGGAGGAAGGGGCATTGAAGATGGGTCCAGACTTGGTGTGGAGGAGCGTGGTAGCCAGACAGACGTCAGTCACGAGATGAGAGTGGGTGAGGAGAAGGGAGCAGGGTCAGTAGACGTTGATCCAAACTTGCGACTGACAAAATCGGGAGTCGTCAAAGAAGCTGCAAAGCGACCAACACTAGAGGTCAGTGAATACAGTGGAACCCCTCCAATCAAGACAATTGAAAGTGTCCATAATTATGAGTGAAGTGCACTTATTGCAGGGTTTAAGAAACCTTTCTTGGGGAAAGAAAAGGTCCTTATTAGAGAGGTGTCCTCATTTCATGTTTCCTTAGAGAGAGGTTCCACTGTTTTGTCATTAATAATGTAGGTATTTGGGTCAGCAAAGAAGGAAGAGGGTGGAGACGATGATGCTATAGATGGTCCACTGTCTCCAGCCACTCCTGGTATGACACAATACATGGCTTTCTCGCCTTCAGTGTTGACGTGACGCGTTTCTTTCTCTGCCAGAGTTGCAGGACAATAAGCCAATAGATCTCGGAGCCATACCCCCCACACAGCCCTCGTTGGGAAGAGCACCAGGCCACACACGTCGGGACCTGGTGGCTCGCAGCTCCGTTAAGAGACGACTGCCCAGCAAGAAAGGCTCCCTATTCTTCAAGGTAACCTTATTTCCTACTCACCTCATACCTATATGCTCTTGAAACTTTGATACTTGTTTCTCGTACATTATACGTACATATCGGTATAGGTGGATGATTCTCAGCTGATGGGCAGAAATAGGGTGGAGCTGTCTGATCCTAGCCCCACCCACCGACCCCGTACACACACCATGCCCGAGAAGGTATAGTGCAACACTTTCTGCAGTTTCCCCGCTGACGGCTCATGCTGTGTCTACCTGTTTTGTACCATTGCTGTGTTTACTGTGTCTCCAGTTTATTATAATGGTTGTGCATGCTGTTTATTAGTGCGCCTTGCTGTGTCTACCATATTATGTGTATACCATGTGTATGTATATACCTGCTGTATTGCTGTGTCTATATAAGGTAATAGAGTTGTTATTAGGGTTAGCGTGCATGCACTTGTGTGGAGCGTCTTGGCACAGCAGGCTCACTGGAAACTAATTCAGAACCCACTTCTATCTACGTATTTCTATCTTCCTCTCCTAGGTCTCCAGAAAGCTAATAGAGATGCCTCCAGTCTTCTCTCTACCGCCCAGAGACACACACGAGGAAGAGACACCCGGAAGACCACCTGCTGAGACCAAATCCCACGAGACTCGAAATATTCCCAAAGAGCCACTGGAAGGAAACGTTACCACCAGGTCAACACGAGGGAGTGAGAGGGAGAGCACACCGCTGCGTCAAAACTCAAACACGTCAACAACATCGAGTGCTGAGATCGTGGCACGTGCAGTAGCTGCAAGGAAGTCGACATCTAGCGTGGTTATGGAAGAGGGGGTAAAGGAGGGTGTGGAGGGAGGTGCTGGGAGTGCCATATTGGCCAGACTGCGCAAGGAGAGACGAGTCGAGAAGGAGAAGGGCGAGCCAGAGGAAACCAAGACCGAGAAGACCAACTCAGCCTCTGATTTACGCCAGCGGAGGAGGAACAAGATGGTGGAGAAACCGGTCAAATCTCTAGGAATTGCCAGCGAGTCAGAGGAGGCTGCCAAGCCTTCTCCTGGCTCCACCCCTCCACTGCAGAGACCCACGGTATGTAATTTAACCCCTAACACTCCCGAGTATGTGTACTGTATGTGTGTGAGTAGAGCAAGTGCACACACACACAAAGTCCTTCATAAGTTCTGGACCATTGCCTTTTGTGTGCGTGTGTGAATGATTGTAATGCATGGATGGTTTATCACGGGCACATTTCCTGCTTGTCAAATACGTACGTAATTCTATTGGATGTGTGTGTCCGTTGTGCTATTTGCAGGTAAGCCCGTAATTCTTATTGGGGGTGTACGTCCATTGTGCTATTTGCAGGTAAGCCTAAGAAAGACGCCATCTTCAGAGTTCAAACCTGCAGCACCATCATCTTCCTCATCCACCGCCCCCTCCTGGATTGCTATGGCTCAGGTAAGAACACACTTTCATACCCAATTATATTGCAGACTGGATTACTTACTTATTCATCACCTCAGTCGGAGACTGTGAAACGTATTCACACATTCCAAGAAATTTTTACCCTCACCCCACCAATTCCTCTGTGTACTGTATGTGTGTACTGTGTGTGTGTGTATGTGTGTGTGTGCAGAAGAAGAAGCAGAGAGTGAGTGCTCTACTCAACAGGAGAGATGGCAGCTCTGCAGAGCCCCAGTCTCCGACTGGAGAGGTGGCGCCTCCCACCCTCTCCCCCACCTCCCCGGCTTCTCCATCTCCAGCCCCTGTTGCCACACCCACTTCCAACGACAAATCCACTACTCCCCTTGTCACCAAACCCACAGAACTCACCACTTCCACCAAGACGACGACGAAAACCTCCCCAGCCTCACACTCTCCACCCACCACCAAGTCCACCAGCTTCACCAAGTCCACATCTCCCCCGACAAGCACCAAACCCACCGCTACCCCCGTCACCAAGAGCACTCCCTGCACACTCACCTCCACTCCAAAGAGCACTTCCCAACCCTCCTCTACACTTGTCACCAACAACACTCCTTCTGCCACCAGCACCAAACACACCTTCCCTCTTCCTGCCTCCCAAGTCACCAAAAGTACACCCTCCACCTCGTCCCCCGTCACCAAACGCACTCCCTCCACCTCGTCCCCTGTCACCAAAAGCACTCCCTCCATCTCGTCCCCCGTCACCAAAAGCACTCCCTCCACCTCGTCCCCCGTCACCAAAAGCACTCCCTCCACCTCGTCCCCCGTCACCAAAAGCACTCCCTACACCTCGTCCTCGGTCACCAAACGCACCCCCTTCCCCAACTCCACTAAAACTCCACCCACCACCACGAGTGAGGAGGAAGGGCTAGGGAGACCACGTAAAGGTACTGTCAAAGACAGAATGGCCTTCTTCCAGAAGTAGTATGAAAAGAACATTTTTATCTTCACCAGATACATTATATACTATAATGTTCGATTTTGATGTCTATATATAGAAGGAATTGTAATGCGTTAGATTTTTGCACTTTTTTCCATTTTTACATACTGTTTATTTGCAAGTGGATTGATCCTGATCAGAACACTAGACACGTACAGCTTGCACTCAACAGACTTGCTGCCTGTGCTTACTCACAAATGATGAGATTGCCATGCATTGGGCAGTCGTGATAATGTAATAACGACCAACTAAGAGTGTTTTCTTGGAGCAGAGCTCTTCTTGACTCTGGAGATTTCCCTGTGACTGAGTATGAGTCCATCTCTTGTATTGGTCCCAACGTGAGGCTTGATGCTCCTGGTGCTTTCCTTCCACCTCCCCTTACCTCTACCAGACACCATAGAAAAGAGAGATATTATCTATGACTCCATTATATACTGTATCCACTATTATACTGTATATACTCATTCAGGTGTTGCCAACCTTTTCTGGTGTCTTTCCCCCTTTTTCGGGATTGGCATCCCTGCCAAGAGACACTGCAGAGAGACAAGAGGGGAGAGCATCACTCCCGAATGGTAACCAACTCCACAATGGACGTCTCACATCTCTTCTCTCTCTCCTCTCTTTCTTCTTTTGGGCCTTCACTCTCTTCATGTACAGAGGATAAGGCATCTTCTCCGTCTTTGCCGGCTGGGGTATTTTTTACACAAGGTGAACATAAGAAGAAACGGTAGGAACGGTCAAACCTTCCCTCCGAGTGCTAACACCTGTTCTTCCTCTCTCCGTCTTTTGCTCGTTCCACTGAGACTCGACACAGCTGCAGCATATACACCATATGATACCCTTCACGGCTAGGTTTATGTATAATTATGTATATATACAGTTGACCACTCTCTATAGAAATACACAAGGACACCCTAGCAATAATTCTTACATGTAGCTTTATAATCCGCTGAAATAAGGACAGCTCATGTAAAAATGGAAACTTTCTTCAGTCCCGCTGGTGTCTGGATATAGCTACTTACCATATTTCTGGACTTCTCGCAGCGTTGCCTTAAAGTCCAGCTCCTCAGCCTGCTGTCGCTGAGGCTTGCTGCTGGCGCCGTCTCTACTCGGTGGTGGCCCGCTCGAGAACAGCTGTGACACGTCTGCACCCTAATCACGTGGTTTTGTATAATTATTATACAAACCTCTGGATTTTGACTCACCCTGCAGAACTCTTTCTCAGATTTTCGCTTCTTGAACTTCGGTTCTTCGAAAACTATCACTTCTGCCTCTTTCCTGCGCTTGCTCATCCTCCAAGCACCTTGGGAGGTTGAAATTCCAATTGAAGCGCACCGCTTGTGTTCTAACTGGTGCCCACCTCGCTTTCTTTCATCCACCTGGCGGGCTCTAAAACGATCTCTTCTAAACACCTAGAAACCTCAGAAGGTATCCAGTTGCAGTGGCAATTATTGCGACTGGGAAACTAACTAAGGGATGTCAATTTTGGTCCCTGCAGAGATACAGGGGACGCACAAAGAACATGAAAGCTCTCGTTCAGCGTGTTACACGCGCTTCTGTTACCGGTAAGTCAGTCAGCTCAAAGCTACCGACTTAGCTATTTCGTATGACGTGGCAGTGGGAGAGAGAGAAGTGAGCGCCATTGGGAAAGGCATATGCGTCCTCCTGGGAATATCCAGAGACGACAGTCCGAAAGAGGCGGAGTGGTTGTAAGTAGCACAGGAAGAGTTCGGCTACCTCCAACAAGAGAGCTGTGCGTGTCTCCATGCAGGGCCACGAAGCTGGTGAATCTGAGAGTATTTGATGATCCAGAAACAGGGAAGGCGTGGGACAAGAGTGTGGCAGACCTTGGCTTGGAAATTCTCTGCGTATCTCAGGTACACCATTAGCAACTTTATCTCTTATCTCCATACTTTTGAAGCACAACCCCATGAATGTCTATTGCTGACAGTGGAAGTCCTCTAATCTGGACATGAGTGTGTCCCTATTAGAGAAGTGTCCTTGTTTCAAGAACTGTTGTTTGAGTAAGAAAGGTGTCCTTATGGGGTCCTCATTTCAGGGGTGTCCTCAGAGAGGCATAGAAACGTGCAGATGTGACTTCTCTCCTGCAGTTCACTCTCTGTCACGTACTGAAGGGAAACAAACCAGACTTCCACAATGCAATGAACTCGGAGCTCTCCAAACCGGCCTACGAGAACTTCCTCACTCTCCTGAGAACCAAGTACAGACCAGACGCAGTGAAAGGCAAGCAAGAGACAGAGCTATATCAATAAATTATACCGGGTTATTTTAATCAGGACAAACTATCATTCTCGCAACGTTCACAGCACAAAAAAGATTTTTTTTTATAGGTGTCTGTACACGAATAATTAGATCTTGGGAATGGTAGTGTGTACCGTGTTTTGAATGTGTGATATGTATAGGTGGTGAGTTTGGAGCGTACATGCAAGTCCACATTCAGAACGACGGTCCAGTCACACTCCACATCGAGTCACCAAAGTTCCCTCCACCAAAAGAGGTATGCAATCAAAGCCCTCTGTGTGAAGAGTGGCAACATGGACTGGGGGGTAAGAAAGGTGTCCTCTATCTATATTGCTCTCTGTGCCAGTGCTTATAGCAAAGCTACTGAGGTTGCCTTTGCATTCGCCGTAATGTAGACATACAGGGCCTTTCTGTTGAGGTGGGATCACTAGGGAAAAAGCACCAAGTGTCATTGGTTAAAGTTCCACCCAATGCAGCTGTTTTTTCTACCATTTTTCATTCTTAGGTGTAGTGCAATTTCAAGCTGTATATTTTATAGTAGCCTATATACTACTTCGACAACTGTTCCTCTCCTGCTCATGATTCATGCATGCACCTTCATCAGAGATGAGAGTAAAACTCCGTGTTTCTTTCAACAGAGGAAAGCTCAGGGTGGTGGAGGAAAAGGCAGTAAGAAGGGACCAGCAAAAGATCAATCCACTAGTTCGGACGCAGACAGCTCTCAACAAGCCAAGGTGGACTCAGCGGCTGAATCAGTAGCAGAATTGACCGTTGGGGATTCTTAAACATTAGGTTTTAAATTTTCAATCAAATCAAAAGATCATGTGATCTTCAATGCCAGATTAAAAGACCATCATGCGGATTACAACAGCAGTCAAGCAATCGCAGCCAATCACATAATAGAAAGCAGCAGAGTTATTGTACGTGAGTGTTTAGTATACACGAAATGGGGAAGGTGGCACACAAGTTAGACCTCGTACTTTTTCCACTCCATCCCATCTGGTGGCTTTCTCTCCACTTCCTTATCCCCCACCTCGCGCCAATTGGTGCTCAGCACTGTTCCACCAGACTCCACCTACATAAATATAGAGGCATTGGCTGTATACATTATCACCTGCAGTTACTATCGCCCGTTGGTGCTATATACTTCTGTTCAAAATCAGTTTTGTATAGTTGGTTTTGTAAGGTTCAGAGACTCCCTATTTTCAACATGTGCAGCAAGGTTTATGACAATCAACACAGACACTTTAATAAAACCAATTTAGCCTGCACTGCACACACCAATGTAGTTAAACAGCTATTATGTTTGTCCGTTTAGTATATGACACTCTTGTGGCAGTATAATTATACCAACACAATCACTGTGGCCAACACAATCACTGTATAAGTCTACAGTGGATAGACATGTTAAGGTGTGTGGTGGCTCACAAAAGATTTGTTCATGGCCCTCCTGGTCTCTTCGTTCCCGTCTTTGTAGACACTCTGGAAGAGTTGGTTGAGGGCCGCGTCTCCTTCCAACTTTTCGTTCTTCTCGTCGGCCTTCATCTGAGCCACCAGCTTGTCCCAGTCTCGAGTGTGGTGGGAGGACGATGGGTATTTGTGGGTCACATTCGCAGCTGCATCTGCAGAACACACGCATTTCGTCCTTTTTCTGCTTCTTAAAAGAGTTCAGGATCATGCATGCACAGAAATGGTGGCCATTGGCATACATACACACTAGTTTGTGAAGGGACTTTACAGCCAGCCTGAATTCATGCTAAGAGACTTCTATCACATCATTGTTGACAAAAGGTGTTTCTCAAAGCAAAAGCCATGCTAAGTTCGACACTTTGTGTCTCATTCTTCCCACAACTTTACTAACACACATAGATTACCTTCTCTAACATTGAAAGTTTCTACACACACTATATAGCTTACCTTCCCCCACAGCTACTGTAAAAAGTTCGAAAGATCTTACGCACACACTAGCAACTCACCTTTCCCCACACTGCCCATCTGAGGCTGGGGATTGTTGGGAGACACCTCCGGTCCTTCCAGTTTAGCCCACTGGAGCCCTTCGCTCTTCCTCAGCTTTATCTCCACCTACATTATATGTATGACATCATACACTTTTCACACCTAAAAGATGCTGAGTGGCTACAAGATGCTGAGTGGCTTTCCAAGAACTATTACACTACAAGTGTGTAGTCTATGTGTGATGAACATTAATGGATTCTAGGTGGAACTGACCAGCACTGGCTTACTGTTGGCGCTAGCCAAGTCAGACTCTTTGCCGCTATAGCACAGAAAACTACTGTCACATACAGACACTACTGTATAGGTGTGAAACCAACCCATTAGATAACGTCAAAGTTTGTGTAAGCTATGGTAAAAGTTATTTCACAAAATCTCACATTCACCCTACCTTTACTACACACAACTGACACCTCCCCACACAACACTCACCTTGGTAGTGAGGATCTTGAAGGAACACTTCTCCTTCACCACGGGGTGAGCCAGGGCAAAGACCAGCGAGTGGCTCCGCCCCTCTCCCAGGTCAATATCCACCTCCAGTCGCCTCTCACCAAACTCCACTCTCACGTCCTCTCTTCTCAGTCTCTTTATCATCACGTTCACCACCACGTCCACGTGCGTCTGGTACCAGTCGTGCTTGATCCTCGGCGGCTCGGGAGCCGAAACGGCCGCGGTGGGTGGAGGTGCGGGTTTTTCGGCCGGCGGAGTTTCATCTTCCTGCGTTGTGTCTGGCGTTGCGTCGTCGTCTTTGGTTCCTTGCAGCTGCGGTGGCTGCACCACCGCCTCCGGCTCTGTTTTCTCGCTGCTGGAACTGACCACGTTCTCCTGGTCCTTGTTCTTGTCCATCTGCTGCCACACTTCTCACCTGAACCTATGCTCCAAATAATGCGCACCCACCAGGGGCCAAAGTTCACCTATTAAGATGACCAACTCCCAGTGATCAGGTTTTTACTGGGACACAAAAATATTTACAAACAATTACAGCACAGATTGCAGGGTCTCGAACAAAAACGAGCAGCCACTCTTTTCGAGAGCGTCTGTAAGAACAGCCGGAGTCAAATGTGCACCGTTCTGTCGCTGGGCACCCAACTTGAGCATCTGGAGACACGCCTCGCTTTCTTCCCCTCCTCCCTTCCCTTGACAGCGCTCTATGTCTGCGTCGGTGAGCCCCAGATGAGGAGCAATCTTTCTCCACTGCTGAGAAAATCCACTCTTCTCAGAGATTCTGGACAGAGTCTTGATGTCTAGCGGGTGTTGGTTATGGAGGAGATAGGGAGGGGGAGGGGCAGAGGGCTGGGGGGTCGTCTCCTGTGCAACTGTGGCTTTCGGTTTTGGTCCAACTGCAAGGAGAAAGTAAGGTTAAAGAATAGAGACCCTTTTTTTCAGTCCCTTTTCCAGTCTTGCACTTAGTATGCTTGTCAATTTTCCAAGGGAGAAAACAGGCAACAATAATATGCGGATTTTTCTACAGGCTTATTTTTTCTACTGCGTATTAAACATGTTCTTCCGCGAGTTTCCCCCACAATGCTATAGTTTTCTTCCCCCTTATGGTACGATTGATACTAACATCTTTTCTGTCGAGGTTGGATGATGATGGGTGCTCTTGGCGGTGGAGGCTGGAACCTGTTTTGCCCGGTGAGTCTACATAGTAATGATGTCATCCCCTCACTCAACGGCTCCGTATACTCCCTGTCCCACACTTCGTACATACTCGCTCCTCTAAGAGCCACCGGTACCATCTCTAAGTTCTTTGGAGCCCCGAGAAAGAGTGGTACCATCTCGAGTCTACGTCCGTCCCTTTTCAATGGGGAGCTGTGGATAAGGTTGTAGAGGTAGTCGGAGCTGAAGATAGGTTCTTCGTCACTGGGACACTTCCCGTCCAGAAACTGGCAGAGAGAGGGCGTGGCCACGATGATTAGGTAGTCGGAGTCTTCGATTTGGTGTTGGCACCAGCGCATTATGTTGGGCGTCCCGGAGTCCCTAACCAGCAGGTCGTAGGCCACGGCTACCGACTGAGAGGTGAGAAAGTCGGCGAAACGCTGGACGGCCGTCTCGTGGTCGTGCACTTCTCTCTTGGCGGCTAGTTCGTGAGCCACCACTTCTTCCTCGAACTGCCGCCACACTTCAGGGTTTCCCGCCGAGTTCTGTGGCGGTGCTCGCTGCTCGTAGAGCGTGGGCTTGTGGGGGTAGGCTATGAAGACTTTGGGAAGGTATCTGCCGTCGTAGAAGACGCGCTGAATATCCGGACCGTCGGCCATGTTTTCAGGCACGGGAAAACCCCGGGTGCGCTTTATTTGGAGAAAACGTTATGGCAGAGGGAGCTGATGAAAAGTCCGTCGATGAGCAAGAGTTGGAGCGGTAAGGCGGGCTTCTATATCTACTTCTATTGCGCAACGAGAGTCGTGTGTCTCTGCTCGTGTGCCTGTTGTTGCAGTTTGGCGGTGGAGTCTCTGTTGGAGGACGTGAGACGAAGAAAAAGTAGAGTGGAAAGGGTAGGAACCATGGGCTGGTACGTCATTACTTTAATATCCTAGAACTGTATATACAATTTGATGGGAGCACTTTTAAATGCTGTAGGGTGAAAGAGAGAAGCGTCAACAAGCGTTTTCTGAACTCACTTGTACTGCAAACAGTACCTCGCCGCCAACAGGTGGCTGGCAAAGCAGACAGACGTGAGAGAAGTAGGGACAATGAGCCTGTCATTCGAGGAGAAGGAAGGCATACCCAGGACCATAGATCAGTAGATGATGGTAGGGAGAGTGGTTTATCTGACACAAAGAGGAGGACGAGGATAGAGGAGGAGCAAAGTAAGGACGAGAAACACGACTACAGGAGAGGAAAGGACGATTATAAACACTCGAGCTACAGAAAAGAGCACTCCTCATACCATCGTACTAGAGAGAAACCAAGAGATAAGGGGAGTCTGGAACATAGCAGAAGAAACTACAGCACAACCAAGTCATAATCCCATGGTGTGCTCCATGTGTATCATCGTCTATTTTATTGACCAGTTTCTATTCAACATGAAAGGAATAATTATTATACACAATCGACTTTTGTGCAGTTGCTGTGTGTGCATCATGAGTGTTAGTGTAAGAAGAAATTGAGTGGCACTATAAGGGAGGGGTGGATGTGTGGGGTTAAGATGGTGTTTGGGAGTGAGAGCGTTCATCTCGTGGAGGTGGAGGCTCCTTGGTTTTCCTGTCCCTGGTACTCCGACTGCCACCTGCCGAACCCCTGTCTTCTTCTCTGTCACGACTGGAGCTCCGGTGTCGCCTCGACCTGTGTATGTAATACCAATAGAGATGATGACAGGCGATGACAACCCCTATCACACCACATTATTAGAGCATCAAACACAATGCTCTTGCGGATTGCCAGTTTTACAAATTTTTGGTTATCTAAGGTGACAATAGAAGGTAACAAGTTCCACATGCACATGCATATCAATGTAAACAGGAAAATGAGCTGCCTACACTCTATTAGAACACTCTTATACAATTCTTAGTAATGGTGGATACATACCGTTCTCTCCTGGACCTTTCTTCCCTACGTCTCTGCGGAGCCAAAAAAGAGATCCAAACTCAACAAGAGCATTACACACGGCAACTCACCCGGTCCCTCTCCCTCTCCTTCTCCCTCTCCCTCTCTCTGTCCCTCTCTCTATCACGGTCCCGGTCGTGTCGCTCCGAACGGTGGTGGTTGCTATGGTGAGTCCTCCGACTGCTGCGATGTCTGTCCCTGTCCCTGTCCCGAGAGTGGGACCGTGACCTACACACACGAGACGAAAAAAAGAACAATTTGTTCTTTGCCCATTGACTTAGGTTTTTTCTTTTCTACTTCTTTATTTCCCTACGAGTTTTGCTCTCTATTATGAATCTTGTCTCTAGAGACTGGCTGACCTGGAGTGCCTGCGCAATCTCTTGTCTCTCCGCCGTCGGCCACGATCGTCGTACGACGAGCTTCTGGAGCGAGAGCGAGAGCGGCCAGAACTTCCGCTACGACTCGGACTGCGGGTGCCTCGAGCGTATTCCTCTCGACGGGTCATCATGTCAAACAGCTCTGGGGGACCCATGGACGGATCCCACGTCCCTCCTGCGTACGGACAGGAAGAGAGAAGACAAATGGGTTAAACATGGCATGACCGAGTGGACTTTCTTCTGCATTAAAGATTAGTAGGAAACTTTACTTAGCGATTTGGTAGCAAACAAGAATTTTTACTGAGAAAACCTCCGTAGATTTTGCATTTACCCAAAGTACAAATAACCCTGCCCACAAGGTGTTTGGACTGTATGTGAAAGATCTCACTTAGACTCGAGTGTTGCTCGCTATTGTAGTAAGGCTAGAGGGTCTACTAAAAGTTGTACAGCATATGCACTAGTTCTCTGACAGTTAGAGTGAGAGGATAGCTGTACCAGGTAGGCCCAGGTCAGGATGCATGGGGAGGCCCCTCTCATCAAGAGGGGGTGGTAGCAGTCCAGGAACATCGAGGTGTCCGCCGGGCAACATGGGAAACGGCGGAGGACCCCCCGGAAACGGGGGGACCCGAGGTCTAAAATCGCCCCCGGGGAGCTGGGGGTGGAAGGGAGGTGGGAAACCGGGGGGAGGGAGGAAGCCGGGGAAATGATGCTCTGGTTGCCTAAACCCGCTCAACATGGCCGCCATGGCATTGGTGACGTCGGGCGCCCCCGACATATTGGATCTGATTGGAGGGGGCATGGAGAATGGGGGCATGGATAGAGATGTAGGCGGAGCTGTGGGGGCAGAAAAAAAATTGCTGACTCATGAAAAAAATTTGATCAAAAGAAGAGAGAGAGACAAACTCACGTGGAAGGAGAGGGACTTTCCCACTGTGAGGCAGCACTTCTGGCCTGGATACAATTTGAGAGAGGTAGAAAAGTTTGCTCAAAGTAACTGGACAAGTTTGCGGGATAGAAATGTTGAACCCACGTTTCTTGGTCAACCCCGGGAGTAGCTCTGCCATCGGATCCTTCCTCCTTCTCATTGGCCGGATCTGAACAAGGAAACGGTAATTTGAAGACGATGGAGAGGTTCAGAATAGACCTTGCGCTAGGGAAACATCATTACTACTTCAACCCTCCAGAAACATGAGCACTTTAGAGCAAATAGAGCTTAAATGGCCTCTTCTCTCTCAGGACACAAGAGTCAGATGCCTAACCAACCTGGGGTCTTGTTTCTGTCCTCATGGTCACCCTGAGCACCAGCGGACAAGTCCTGCGAAGAGGAGGGGGCCTCTGGAAGGACTGGAGGCAGCATGCCATGTGGGAGATGGGGGAGGGGGGGAGGGGGGAGGAGTGTGGGCGGCAGAAGACCTGTGGAGGAGACACGACACACTACTCGTGAAAAATATATTCAGCTAGAGAGTCGCGGAGAGAAGCAGAAAAAGAAGGGAGGGAGAAAGGGAGAAAGAGAGAGGGAGCGAGAAGGTAGGGAGAGAAAAGAAAAGGGTATATATATAGAGAGAGTGGCAAAGAAAAAGATGGAGAGGGGTCGTGGGAGAGAGTGCAAAACTGACAAAGTGTGAGAAGGAAACGAGGGAGGAGAGATGGCAAAGGAGAGCCGTACCATGATGTTGGAGGGAGAAGTGGTGTATGGGGGGAGGAGGGAGAGAGGACCCTGTAATTGAAGGGATGGTGGAGAAAGCGTCACCATCCCCGACCTTTGTAGGGTGGAGATTCGAGTCGTGTGGACCTACTCATGAGTGAGGGTTGATTGAGGTGAAGAGGGAGGGCAAGAAACAACGCAGGCATACAAACACACATGATTTAGACAACAACACAATATCACTCTTAATAATCATAAACATCATTTTGACATTGAAATATTGGCTATGCTACGCTGTTGAGCCTATCAGGTCTTTGGGTCTTTCTTCTGTTCATGCGGTCTTCCCCAGCACAGCTGTGAACATCCGGGATGCCATGTTCAATGGAGCTTACATCTCAATGTATAGTAAGTCCAAAAGACAAAGTCAAAAGAATTTTTTCTGAGTGCCTTTGAAAGGCGCAAGAGTGCCTCAAAATGTCATATATAGTATGTATTGCGTTTCAAAAAAAACCGGGACTTTCTCAAAAACCGATTTCACAAAAAAGACACACATTGACACAGAAATCATGACATCGTCAAAGAATGAGACTAGACTAGAGTAGTTAGTGTTACCAAAGAACAGGCTACAGTCTACTATTGTGCTAGAGCTACGATACCGCCGCAGAAGGGGGCAGGAGGGGGGGTCCACGGCTGGTGGTGTTTGGCTTACAGCGATTTTGTTGAGTTGCGCAACCTCCGTCTTGGTCCTGCGCTGTTTCTCGCAGTACAGTCGCCACGTTTCTTCCGTGAATCCGTAGTTGAAATAGTCAGTAATGTCCGCCCCTGATCAGGAGAGAGGGAGAGAGTGGGGAGATAGGTATTCTGTAGAGAGCAGTATACATACACTTCTCCGAAAGAGAAGTTTGAAAATTGATATGAACGCAAACCCAATGAATACAGATTTTTCACTCGGTCCATTCCTACCAATTTCGTTAGTCAAATCACTATTCACATGCACCATGCTCTCAGAAAAAAAATTTACAGGCAGAAAATCCTGCTAGTTGTCTGCAGCTAGTCATAAACCACGAGTTTGTAAGTTTCTATTGTGATTATGTGCTCTGTATATTCAGTAGTGCAGTATATACACACCTGGCAGTCTCCATGGCTTGTCGGCCGAGTCGAGATCAATCTCAAAGATACTCTGACCACCAATGGTGGGTACTGCCTCCACATCCACCTTCTTTGGTCCAGTCAGTACTGCATCTTCAGAGAGAGAGAGAGAGAGAGAGAGAGAGCAGAGAGAGAGAGAGAGAGAGAGAGAGAGAGCAGAGAGAGCAGAGAGAGAGAGAGAGATGTGTAAAGTGGACATACACTACATTCAGTACATTCAGACAGACACAAAACACCACCGTAGTGCTAGAAAATGATATATGGATTACAGGAGTCCCTCTAACCCAGACACCAATGGGACAAAAGAAAGTTCCCGTTTTAGTATTAAGAAGAACTGTGCTTGGGGAAAGGTTTCCGTATTTAGAGAGGTGTCCTCGTTTCAGGGGTGTCTATCAAGGCCATAACTCCACTCCACACAACTCTTCAAATATAAAGCTATCCCCAGTCATCACGTCTAGTTGGCATTGCAAAATGCAAAAAGCTACTAGAGGTTTGGTGTTGTTCTGGATCGATCGCCAGTCACTCACTGGAGGTGGAGGGTAGCCTTCCCGGGTAGAAGGGAACAGGATGGTTCTCAATGGGTCCGATAACAATCTGCACATCGGAATCGTCACTATCACTCTCTTCCTCCTCCTCCTCTTCCCCCTCTCCCACGGCCTTCTCCTCTCCCTCTCCCTCCCTCTTCTCCGTATCAAATACTCCATCTTCGTCCTCCACTGGGGTCTGCATGGAGTATAAGTATACGCCACACCATCCAGTATAATAATAATTATACAGAAAAATGTAGCAAGAATTACACCCACCACTACACACCACACGCATAATAAAAATTAAAAACACCACCCAGATGAAAACCCCATACTTTTGGGCTATAGTGTAACGGTGAAACTCTGCGCGATAGAAAGATGAATACAACTTCACATGTATGGGTATGATGGGTCCATCCGACATGTTGTGCTTATATAAATGTTTATCATGCCCAAATACGCTCATAAAATGTACAAAGCATTTTTTATGGTACCTTTGCATCCTCGGAAGGTGTAGTGGCTTTGGGCTGGAGGCTGCTCGAAACCGACACAATCTTGTTGGTTCGCTGCTTCATCCTAAGAAATCACAGACACCAGGTGTGCTATAACCGTACGTACTGCTGCTTCAAAACACGACTTCAGTTTGCTAGTGCAGTGGTGGCGGTCAGAGTAGACATGTTAGACCACAATCATAATAAGCAGAGAAGAAGAGAGAGTGAGCGTGACAGAAAGGAGAAGAGAGAGAGAGAGAGGTGTCCTCTTAAACTCGGCCTTCTGTCATCCTTCTCTTCAGCTACCACAAATAGCCAGTATATCACCAACTACGGTAGCCAAAGGTCAGCACTTCACTTCGCAAGTTTTCAGCGAGGAACACAAAGAACAGAGGCATATCATACTTGGGCTTTTCTTACTCATCACCCCAACACCACTGCACCCACACTATAGTATACACAATAGAGACTTACTCAGCATTGACTATGACATCATCGAGGTCGTCCAGTAGCGGAGATCTGGATCTACAGGCAGTAAGCTGTGACACACAGTGACGGTTCCCCAATTAGTGCTCACCTTCCTTTGTTTCCGAGTTGTTTCTCGTTTACGCCGCCGTCTGATTTGGAGGTTGCAGTATCTGCAGAAGAATAAAGACTGAGTCACACTGTTTCATGTTGTGCTTTACTCCTTACAACCTTCTCCGTAGAGCCAAGACTCTTCGTCCAGGTCTGTCGCCGCCATTTTTTCCCATGGAGCCGTCCACGTGGAGGTCACATGACATATTTGTTGCGCTTATTATCTACCACCGCGCTTATAGGTTTGGCGCTCTCTCTGTTCTGATGTCTGCTCTGGTTTTTTGGCTCAACTACTACCGGACTGCACGCTTAGATGTTATGACTGAGATCTGATGCGAAGATTCGTTATGGATGAACCTATTTTATACCTGAAAAGCCGCGCCAAGAACCCATCAGTGACTAATACATGGGCAATAATTAGAATCTCCCTACTAGTTTTTCTCCTGAAACTCCACAGCGCCTTTTCAGAAGAGACTAACACTGCAGTGGAGAAAGAATCCAAGCTTTCTCACGTAGAGAACAGCAATGCAAGTATTGAGGAGCCTACGTGGACTTTTTGTGGAACAAAAAGGCTCTCGTTCATAGATGTCGTACTCGATGCTAATTTTTCGACCAGTGGTAGTATGGCTGTGGGCGAAGAGTGTTTGCTGCGACCGAAGTGTGACGAGACAACCGGCTGCAATGCCCCGCTTCACTGCTTCGATTTCAGCAAGTTGGAGAACGGTTCCTTGGAATTTTCGGAGTCCCGCGTGGTGGTAGTCAGTCCACATCGGCTGGAGTCAATAGTTGAGGACTCTGCAGTGCAGAACGTGTGTGCCATAGTTCTGTTCTATGCTCCGTGGTGCACGTTCAGTGTTCAGTTTGCCAGGAAATTCAATGCTCTCGGGAGGAGCTTCAGAGGGCTGCCCATACTTGCACTCAACCTGGCCGAGAGTGAGCCGTGAGTTGAAAATGCATCTGTGTGCACACTGCAATACACACCTGTGTTTGTGATGTGTGCTTCAACCCACAAACCTGCATTTGCCTGTCCCTTGGACCTGGAAGTTACCGTTAGAATGTGTTTCTGTGGAAAGAAGCTGTTTCCATAAAATTTCAGAGTTTATAGACAGATGTGTATAATATCTCAGCCCTTTATGGCACACTTATACAATTGTGTTCAAAACCTGAAGTATATAATTATGATGGTGTATAGTCCTGTTGTGTATATTCTGGTGCAGGTACAAGTATATTCTGGCCTACCTGCCTCTGGTGGCCTTCTACTATCGCGGGAAGACCCTCTTCAAGTTCAGCCTAGAATCATCCTTCGAAGATCTGAGAGATATTGTCTCCAATATAACAGGTTCACAGAGAGAGTTTGATTTTTTTTTGTTTCTTCCGAGTTTTTCCATTCACTAGGTAAACTAAGTGGAATTATCAAAGTTTTGTGTTTTGTGTTTTAGGTTTCGAGGCTCTCCCAGTCAACCTCAGTGACCCAGAGAACGAGGGGCCGATAAGAACAGAGCGAGAAACCAGTGACCAAGTTTTTCTCGCCATCTCTGTGTGGTGGGTGGCGTTTGTGGGACTCGTCTACGCTATGAAGTCACGGCAACTGAAACAGTGGTACCTCAGCTGCCTCACAACTACGACTCACCAAGAGTGAAATTAGATTTTTAACTGATCAAAGATAGCGCATGCGCACGGTTGACCACGCCCACTTCCCACAGCATGCACAAGGTCGCGAGGTGTAGCTCTCTCTCTAGCGATTGCTTTTACAGGATGCAGCAGTCGAGTTTGAAGGCATTTCGCGCCTGTATACCTCCGTTGACTTTCTCCACTCACAAAGGCTCGGCTGGGCGCGTGGGCGTCATCGGAGGCTCGCTGGAGTGAGTGTCATGCCATGTTTAGCTCCACGCACGATTAGTTCGTCTTTTCAGGTACACTGGAGCTCCCTACTTTGCCGCTATCTCATCTCTTAAAGCGGTATGTCTGACTGACTGGTACTAAGCGAGTCGAACGTAGCTATCTACGGTGTAAATGTTCTTCTAGGGTGGTGACCTAGCTCACGTGTTCTGTCCCGAGGCCGCAGCTCCGGTTATAAAAGCCTACAGTCCAGAGCTCATAGTCCACCCCTTGCTGTAGGTGTCACCTGATCCCTCCTGACCCCAATTCCTGCCAAATACATGTACTCCCAGGTCAGCAGATGCGACCGAGACTACAAGAGCCATTCTGCCCTGGCTTCCACGGATGCACAGTCTAGTGATTGGTCCAGGATTAGGGAGGGACCCTGCAATAATGGCGTCAGTAAAGGCTCTGATAGCCGAAGTGAGGAAGATGAGCAAGTCAATGGTAATAGACGCTGACGGACTGCATCTGGTGACTTTAGACCCTAGCATAGTGGAGGGGTACCGAGATGCAATTCTAACTCCCAATGAGGCAGAATTTCAAAGACTCTATACCAAAGTTGTCAGTATAATTATATACCCTTATCCTGTAACTAGTACACTTTGCATTATAATGCAGTTTGGGGCTAAGGCAACGGGAAATAGTGGTGAACAGACAAAATTGCTAGCTGCAAAACTTGGAAATCTTGTTATAGTCAGGAAGGGGCAAGTGGATTTGATCACGGATGGACAAAACAGTGAGAAATTTCATTTCAAAGATTACACATATTACCTGTACAAATGCGTGTTATTCCTATTACAGTAATTGAGTGTAATGAAAGGGGTAGCCCGCGGAGATGTGGTGGGCAGGGAGACCTATTGTCAGGCACCATTGGACTCTTTTCTCACTGGACCAACACTGCACAGACACAGTAGGCACTCCAAATCCATATCCTGTCATTTGTGATTCATTTGTGATTCATTGCTTGCAATGCAGGGTACCTGGACAGCTATTGGCAGCCTATGGAAGCTGCTACCTGGTCAAGAAGTGTGCAGAGCTGGCGTTTGCCAAGCACTGGTCGATCCACGCTAGCCAGTGACATGATTGATGAAATCCAAACTGTATTTAGAACTATTCTAGAACAAAAAGACAATGACTGATGCTACACCAATGCTTATGAGGAAAGGGTGGGGTATATATTATACAGATCAAAAGTGGTGCAGAGTCAAATGACCAAGTGGTTTTTGCTCATATTCCAAGAAAGGTTCCTCTAGACGCAAAGGCTTTATTGACAGTGGGTGAAGAGGACTTGGCTGGCTCTCTAGGCCAGTAGATGAAACCTTGTCTTGCTCTGCGGCTGCTGGCTGAGGGTGATCTCCTCAGACTGGCGGAGTTTCTCCCTGACAGCCACTGCTGGGCCGTGGGGAGCTGGAGGGAGCTAATCTCTGCCAGTTCCCGGCTCAGCTCTGCATTCCCGACCCGGGCAAGGGTGTGATTTCTGCTGCTCTTGCGGGGTTGATCTCTGTAACTTTTGATCTTCTGGAAATGGTGCGAGTAGGAGCTGGTTTGTGGGATTAGGGAAGTTAGAGTTTCAAAAGGTCTTCGGCTGTATTTGTGCCCATGTGGATCTGGAGTGATGGGAATATAAAGTTTAGCAGCTACGGTTCTCTGCCTGGCTAGCTAGCTAACCGTAGTTCTGGGGCCTGCAGTAACAGATGTAGTTCCCAGTCGAGGTCTGCGAGTGATAGTACGACTGTGGAGGGTTGCAGAAAAGTAGGCGTGGCTCAAAGCTTGGTCCGATTACAGCAGAAGTCAGCTGGTTCGACTAGCTGGTTCTGTCTAGTGGATAATTTACCTTGCTCTTTAGTTTGCTCCAGTGGTCGGTATGTCTGATATGCGGTCTTGACCAGTGGCTGCAACGGAGAGTACGTACTGTCACTGTACTAGCTACGTGAAATCTGCAGTAAGGTCCGGCTCACCTAATGGTTTGGGCGGTTGCCATTCTCTCTTGGTGCGTTTCTCTGCAAAGTACATAAACACACAGAGCAGATCTGCCCAGCGCAGCACAATGAATACCCCATGGCCTATCCTTGGAACGTTCAGTAATGCGTGGGGGGAGGCTGAGGCGCATAGTTGGGATGCGCCACACCCGCACAGTCAATCACGCCAAATTGGCATTCCTATGCCTAGAGAGTTGCGATCGTATGGCACGAAGTTCGTAGCGTAGCAAGGAGAAAGTGAGTGCTTGCACAGCGGACCGGTCACAGTGCACTACGCATCATCAGGTTGCCTTTGATGCGATCTTCATTTTCGAGGTAAGCAGTGTGTTGACGCGCCGTCCGCCATGACGTGTAACCCCTGTTCTCGTCCGTCACTTGGTTAGCTAGCAAGCTCGAATCGTGGCTTGTTCAGTTTAGTTAGCTAGCGCGGTATTATACTCATCTAACACGTGTAGTTATTCTACGCTGGCGACAGCAGTTAGCGTAGTATTATAGAAACGCACTAGCTCATAGCTAGCTAACTCACGCTAGCTAACCGTGTTGTGTCTTCCTTGGCAGGTATCCGTCACCGCGGTAAAAATGGCCCGACGTCTCAAGAGTTCGCTCCTGGTATTATTTCTGCACCTTTCAGCACTGTACTGCAGCGTCCTCTCGGTGCAACTGTGTGAGCCCAATGCAGTTCCGTGCCCTTCAGCAGAAGAATCAGTGTGCAACCAACGTCCAGACTGCTGTTTTTCAATGTTTGAGGAAGGAGAGGTTGGCCTAGTCGTGGGTAACGTGAATGTCGTGAGCCTACTGAACGATATTCTCACCAACGGAACTGGATCGATATCCCAAGCTAGTGGGGATGAGTTCTTCAACTTGAGTACATCCACAGGCAACGTCAGTGTCACAAACAGAGTCGATAGAGATGGAGCCGAGGGGAAAAAAGTGCATCACCATCTCGATTAGAGCGACACAACAATCTGGTGTGTTGCTGACCACGGTTGGAGTGATTGTGGAAGACATCAACGACAATGCTCCCCTGTTTGGCGTGACTCCTCCAGATTACTCAAGGCCAGAAGGATCACATGTGTCACTGTGCATTGATGAACATCCGGGACTCGAAGCTATTGACATAGATTCAGGCCAGAACGCAGATATCACATACATGCTTGAGGAGGAAGGTACAGATATGTTTCAGATAGACGGTAACTGCATAGTCAACAAGGTTGAATTGGACCGCGAGGCAGTAGCCGACCCATCCAACACCCCCGAGTATCGCATCGAGCTCACACTGATTGCTTCAGACGGTGAACTTGAGTCCAATAACACACTCACCATCATTGTAACCGACGTGAATGACAACACCCCCATTTTTACCGAGTCATCTCTGGCAATTGTTCGAGTTCGGGAAGACGAAATGGATGGCATTGTCATTCGGGATCTCAATGCTACTGATCTTGACTTCAACGATGTTCTGACCTTCAGCCTGGAAACAAACGGTGTACCCTTTGCCCTGAATGAGATGAATGGGAAGTTGTCTCTGGTGAAAAGTGATGGAAATATCGATCCCGGTGCGCAAAATCTGGATATCGCAGTCTCAGATGCGGTCGGTAATACAAACAGGTCAACACTCACCGTTGATATTTTGGACGTGAATGATAAAGCAGATATTACATTTCTTACAGAAAAGCCCCTCATAGAAGAGATGGACCCCAACCATTACTTACTTCGCTATAAGATTCAAGACAAGGATGAGAGCACTGACGAAAATTATTATGACGTTCAATTATCTGGGCAACATGCCGAGTATTTTGAAACCAAGGTCGTCCTTTTCCCTTTAAACTCATTGACATAAACCTCAAGCATTCTATAGACCAGGAACTGATCCAAGGCCCAGATGGTAACAGCATTATCGAACTGGTCATTGATATAGAAGAGATCGGCCTATACAAGAACTACACTCATCAGCTATGCCATAACATCACAGTTATTGGGATCAATGACAACGTACCGTTTATCAACAAAACCAAATTTTACGTCCCGGAGGAAAGTGAAATGAAAATCGGTGACCTTGAGATCATGGACTTGGACAGTGGCATAAATGGTACTATCGCAGGGTCTTCTGTGGAGTCAGCTTTTGCCTACAACAATCCCGTATCCCTGACCCGTATGAACGTCACACAACGGTTTCAGTCTCTGAACCCCGGCAATCAGTCAGCGCTTATATCGCCATCTCTGGACAGGGAGGTTGGGATAGAATTAATCATTGTCACCATGAAATTAACAGATGGTGGTGGAAGCTCAAGCTACGTAAACATCACTGTAAACTTGGGAGACATCAACGACAACTGTCCGATATTTGCCAACGACCTTGTAATTGAATTCAATGAAGGGGAAGTTGATGGCGTCCAAGGTCGAGTGTCAGCCAGTGATGCAGACACTGGTCCCAATGCTGAAGTGGTGTATCAGCTACTAAACCGCACAGAACTCTTCACTGTGAATTCATCAAGTGGAGATATAATGGCAAACGGTAGTTTTGATCGCGAACAAAAAGACAATTACGCACTAGTGATTGAGGCAAGGAACAGTCGTCAGATCGAAGGTCTGAAATGCGAGTGGAGCAGAATCGTAGTGACGGTAATGATTCTTGATGTGAACGACAACGATCCAGTGTGGGAAAACACAGGTTCCACATTTGACGTCTTTTCCGATTCTGCAATTGGCACTCTTGTGATAACCCTCATTGCCAGCGATGCTGACCAGAACCCTTCAATTACGTATGAGATTGAACCCAATGAACTTTTCAAGATGGACGAACGCAACGGTGTTATCAGTGTAGGAGCCGATCTATCTGACAAAGTCGACAGCTACGACCTCACAGTCACAGCTTCAGACGGAGAGAAAACAGTGCTACGTAATATCACTATCAATGTAAAGACTCCCGAAGCTGCTAGTTCTTTTACCCAACCTGTCATCATTGGCATCACAGTTGGGCTCTGCGCTCTTCTGGTGACGGCCATCCTGGTCACAACAGCCTTCATTCTCTACTGCGTTTACCTTGAAAAGAAGAAACAAAGTCGGAAGATTAATAATCGAAATGGGAGGTTGGACATCGACGGAGCCAACTCTCCAGCGAGAGGTATACTGCGTCCGATACCTGGTACCACGGGGCTCAACGGTCGAACCAGCAGCGCCAGTGGAAGCAGCCGAGTCAAGTTTGGGAAGACGGTCCAGGAATATGGGTATGATTACGAGAGCAACGGTTCTGGCGTGTATGTGACTGCCATCCACCTGGACAGCAGTGGAGACGAATCCCCTGTCACTCCTCCCCGTCCCCCCTCCGCACCTTCCCACCATCACCATCACAACGGGAAGCTCCCGGCGATGGGTCGCCACGCTCACACCAACGGTGGACCAGCTCGCCTCTCACCTATTCACGAGGACACACTCTTTAATTCTTACCCCTACCGCCACACCCCATGCAGGACGATTATTCAGACGACTCAGAAGAAGGCAATTCGGAAGACGACGAGAGTACTCTACCAGACAATGCCTCCAGCACAAACGCCCCTCTTCCCAACACTCGCCACCTGTCCCACATGGCTTCCTCGCCTCGCTCCACTCCTCCTAACTCTCACCTAGGCCCCCATCTCCCCATGGCCCAGATATCACCTTCGCACCAGTTCACGCGCTCCCCAGATCACGGGCCGGGCGGGCTCAACCCTCCTCGCATCGACGAGCTGAGCGTTCACAGCAGTTCTTCAGACTCCCTGACTGTCACGCCACCGCCGGTACACTCGCACATGTCGCACGAGAACCCGCGACTGCGACCGCCCGGGCGGAGTGCGTACCCCGCCCACATGCCCGAGGGCTACGTGATGCCTCCCTCGTGTTCATCAAGATATGGAGCAGACCCATTCATGGGTCGGTACGGAGGAACAGACTTTGGCGACGCTTCAACCTACACGTCTGCAGATTTGGACGATGCATTACACTTCAATCCTGACCAGGAGCCTGGAATTTATAGCCTAACTGCAACGAGCAGTTACGACGAGGATTCGCAACTGTGAGACAGTCATTAGTGTGTGTTCTCTGTCTTGGCGTTCTTCCTGCCCGCATGGAATGCAGTGTTGTTAAGGTAAGCTGGTTGGAATGCTTTCTGGTAATTTGAATAGTGCATTTGTAAGTCATATTTGGACCTACAATCCCAGGTGTACAGCTTGTGAAGTCTCGCAATGCTGCTATATTGCAGTAGTGCATGCTCTTCTGTTTTCAAGGAAACATTGTTCCTTCTTCCATTTTTACCATGACTCCCACATATTGAAAAAGGAATGTCTACATTCACGGAAAACAAATGGCCATTATAGCAGTTCAAGAGTCCTTTCAAGGCAGTGAAAAGACACATTCAGTTATTGAGACTCTAGCCTTGGTGTTGTATGTGGACACGTGACTGAGCTGTGTGACCTGTGCTCCGCATTCATAGCTCTAAACAGGCATACCCCCTAGCTGTCTGCTAACAGTTTTCATGCCTCCAAATGACCATAACAAACTGCCTTTGGAGAGTGCTAGTTGTATTCATACTGCTTCCCCAGACAGCCCTAGGTCATAATAGGCTCTTAGACACATGACAATATTCACCGCCCAGGGTTGTGATGTCATAGATGTAAAGGCATGCCTACACAATTATTTGAGCCGGTAGCCTAAACTATTACTGGGTAGGAGTCCCCCATGGAGTGTGTGCTTCCATTAGGCAGCATACATACATGCGGAGCTTTATTCAACACACATGCAGGTGCCCACCCCACTATCAACATACTCACCTGTGGCTAACAGTGTGTACATAGACGAAAGATTCAGGGTCAGATTAACTGGCCAGACTTGGCCTTGGCGTTTCTCGCAATCCAGAGGACATTTCCTAACCTGGCAGCACTCCAGCACCTGCATACACCTGCCAATACCCATTCGCTACTCCCACCTTAGTCCACACGAGCTCTTGTGGCCAATTCTCTCCACACACCCACCTGTGTACATGCCTTCACCTCGTTTGTATTAGCATTCATGGCCCTTTGTGTCCACTTTCTCCCCCCTCTAGACCCGTCCTCTCCCCCTCAGCTCCCCCCCACTTCTATTCTCTGCATGGCTGAGTCTCTAAGCTCTAATATGACATACTATTCTCTCCCTCACTACCCACTTCCCTTTGCTCTATGCACTTCCCTTTCCCTCCCTCTCGCTCTGTCTCTCTCTCCTCTCACATTGCAGTTTGTGTCTCGTCCAAATCAAATTTTCGTTGTCTTCATCTCTACTCAAGACACCTTCCCATTCTAAATGGGCAGGTAACTAATGCATTTGTCTCAAATTGTTTTTTAAGTCATTCAAAAGTGTGTATGTGTATGGCTGCATACTGCAGTTTTTGTAGAATGTACCTGTTTTGGCACGTTGGACCTTAGTTTGTGTCATTTTTTTGTTCAATTTTATCTTCCCTGCACCAATCCTCTCTCAAAACAGGCATATGGTTTCTCAGAGACCAATAATTATGTAAATTTGTCAAATCTACTAAATTGGTGCACTATAATTATTGTTGTATTGTATTTACAATTCCAATTTTTATTCTTTTGACTTGTTTGCTCTCTTCAACTTTTAACTAATGTGTAGATCGGCCAGAAGATTAAGTTAAGGCGAGTATAATAATCTCCTGGTTTAACGTAAATATGCCAATTATTACAACGCTGAACCACACCCACATTGTACCATCTGCAGCAATCGACAGCACCCCCTCTTAAAATTGCACAAAATTGTAGAGAATGGGCCACTCCCGGCGTACACCTAACTGACTCTGTGTGTGTGCTCTATTTGCAATCCCTAAGAGAGTATTCGTCAATGACTTTCAGACTCTCTCAGACTCTCTAAATTTCTTGGACCACTAGTGGTATGCCTGGCAAGGGCAGCCAAAATATTAGGAAGCTCTCTGACGCGCCCTGGATTATTCACTAAGTCTTATGTATGCGTATTCTGTGTCTCGCTTTTGTTGTTAACTAACCCCTTGTGGTGACTGAGACGCGGTAGCAAAATTAATTTCAGTGTTTCTGCAACATTCGTGGTTGAGTGGCTTAAAACTACTTGCACATAACACTCGTGTAAACACACGGAATCATGCAGAGATGAATAAAGCAGCAAGCATTGTGTAAAATGTGGCCAAATGCCATCACCAGAGTAAACTACTATCTGACGCAATATCTATGGTTTAGCAAGCTTCACGGAAGATTCTACCGGCCTATGTTTTCGGGATACACGTATGGTGCGTGCACTGAGGGTGCTGTTGCTCTAGGGTGACAAGTGGTGATTGGTAGCCAGGATAACACACCTACCATGTTTTGCTTCTGGTATGCCGAGCCCACATGGCCTGGTATGAAGTTTAGAGCAGTAGGAATGCAATGTATTATGAACCACTATACTTGGGTTTGTGATTGCAGTACTTTGAGTTAGCTATACTGTGGGTCATAAGTAGGTTTTGGTATAAAGGGTTGATTCTAAGGCCAGAGTATGGCATTACAGCCAGCCTAAAGTGCCCTATAAATGAATTTTGATCCAACTCAGTTGCTGGTGGTGCTATTCCCCAAAATATCTCCTTTTCTTGTTTTTAATTGTCAAACCCAGCTCCCTGCCAGCTCCTAATAGTCCAGCAATGGTTCCGCGGATCGTGCCAGAGCTGTCTGTTGGCCAATTATGTTCCATGCCTTTGTCGTGGCATCTCTTTGTAGTCCAGCTTCTGAAGTCACTCTGAATTCAGTGTTGTGGGCAGACGCCATTTAACACACGTGTTTAAATCCTGTATCCATGTGTTTGTGAGGGTACAAATGCTTGCATGGACAGATCGGCATGATACACATGTTGTGCGCATCCGTCATTATATGACCCGCATGTGCAGAGTTTAAAATGTGATACTCTCTCTGCACATAAGGCGTGTGTTCAAATGCTCGGTCCAAAGAGCCGTATCAACAATGGGTCTAGGGTGCAATATGTCGCGGAGCATGTGTTTGAGCCTGGCGCACTCCAATACCTCGTGTAAGCCTATAGTTGGTACTGGGCTCGTGTGGCAAGTGTTGAATTTCACATTTGTGCAAGCAATACGACTGTGTACGTGTACTACATATGTACGCCGTATTATCAATCGTGTGTTTGTGCAAGTTAGTATAATATGATCTCATACTTGTAGTATAAGTTTCATCCACTATATTAAACGTATGGGCATTTAACTGAACTATGCACATAAAACAAATTAATTTCTAAAACGGTGCTCTCCTACTCAATGGGGCTAAACACATGCTGTATTTTTATTAGTAGTTCCCACGATATGGTTGTACTGTATTGGCATATAGAGAACGTGAGTAAGTAACTGAATGTGCAATACGCCGACCACACTCAGTGCTAAGAACCTTACAGACGTGTTAATGTACCGAACATTTTCAAAATCTGTGATTCAGTAGAAACTACAATTTCGCAGATTGCTTATCATGCCATTCAAGAAAGTGTCCCGTATACCTGTAGTCAGGCCTTATTTACACCTCTCGTGAAAGGATTGACCCATTTCTCTGTCTCCTACCATTCGAGGCCCTTTCTCTGAGTGTGTTGTGTGGGTGTATGTATGTATACATTAGGCGAGGGCGGTATTGAACAGGTGAGGGACTCTGAATTGCACTGAATGCTATCTTCTCAGGCTCTCCCCACACATCTCCCTCACACGCGGCGTCTGAAAACTCACCCTTTGTGGGCTACTGTTACCGAGGGCTACAGAAAGACACATTATACACGGCAGTGATGAATAGAGCACATGAGTGTGTAATACATCTTAAGGAGGGCTTTCACTACATGTAATAGTTAGCTGTTTGACGGGACACCACAACTATAGCACATGTTGGTATGAGTGTTAGTATGAAGAAAGGGGCTTCTTGTGTGACAGTTTAAATCACTGAAGCACGTTGTTTGTGATGATGTGAAAGTCGTCAAAGTCCAGCTGCTTGCTCACTTCGCTCGGGGAATCGAAGCAGCGTTCGGCGTCGAGTTTCATTCCGGGTCCGTCGCAGTTTCGTCCCTCTCTGGTTGACCTGCGGACTGGAGTGAGGTACAGTGTGCGTGGAGTGGGGACGGGGGTCAGGGAGGCAAAGCAAGACCTATACAAAATACGAGAAAGTGAATGAGAGGGGGAGAGGGGGAAGAGAGAGAGATTCAATTCAGGCACAGCATAATTATTGTCACAGTATTGCAATGGGGTGTTGGCTTATTCTCCTAATTAGATTACCACACACATGATCACAACTGCCCCATCAGGCAGTGTACACTAGAGGGAGTAAATCCTGCCAGCAACCACGCCAAGAATTCCGTTATTCACACCTGTTAGCTTAAGAGATCAGCGGGGCATTAGGCAGAGGCTCGGCTCTGTAAAAGTGGTGAGTTTCAGTATGCTGACTGAGGCAGCAGATGCAGACAGTGGTCCTGGGGTCTGCCGTGTACTGATCTGCTGCCAGCAGTGCATGTTTACCTTAGCCGAGGCACTCAGAGGAAGTCAGTAATTATCATGAAGTGAAGTTATTCGCGACTGCCTTGAGATAAAAATCAGCACTGCGGTATCTTGTGACAGTACCATTAGCATGTGTTAGTTTCTGTGTCCTATATCCTTTTATTGTGTTCCTGTGCTTGAAAACCTTTACCAATGTTCTTGAAAGTTTTTTTTTACAAGAATGCTGTGGCAGCTTTGCAAGATGTGAAGGAAGATGTGTAGGTAGGAAGTGGGGGGCCAGTTTCCCCTCGTGGCATACACTGGCAATTTGGGTATGAGAAAGGAATGCCAGGGCCGCTCGGGATCGAGTGGGGGGGGAGGTGCAACTGTCAACATTTACCTCTGCTCCTAACTCAAGTCTATGCAGGTGATATGTGCAGGTCATCAGTGAGCTAAACTGGAGGAATGCGGTCTTAATGGCGAGGTATGCACATTGGTTGGGTTCAGTAAGCGGAGGTCCATTGTAGGTTTGAGTGGGACTCTCCGATCTCTTGGTGTAACTTTTGATTTGTAAAATTACATATTTGCACTTCTCCACTAGGAGGTTTGCCAGCATGCCCCTCCAAAAAGTGGGTGCTCTAAGATATTTATGTCGAGAGCTGGGGAAAATTTGGAGGAGCGGGGTGAAAAACTATTGGGCAGGAAATATCCATAGAGGATGACACAACTGTACCTTGTGTTGACCTCCACGCGCATGATGTTGGCTGGTGATTTAGTACAATGGCTATTTCCTCTCCATGTGTGTGTGTCCCAGAACGCATGTGTGTCTGACTGTGTATATACCCATGTGAAGCAAAGGGGTTAATGCACTTGGGGTCAAAGGTATGGGCGGCTGCCATCACTGTGGAGACGAAATGCCAAAGAAAACAAGGCATTTGGCAGCAGAAGCAGCCCCAACAAGAAACAAGCAACAGGGTACATACGCAATATAAACTAGTGTATGGAGCCCCTTGCTGAGGTATAAGGCAATTGCACTGCGGATGATTGGCAGCACACTCTTCTTCTGAGAAGCATTAGGACTCGTAATCAGGACGCTGTTTTGAAGGTAAACACAAATTTGGCCCAGCCCAAGACCAAGAGTCGGGTCAAACTGCATTTGTCCCAACACAAACGTACATACTTTACCACTATAATATCTATATATGGAGTTCAAAGTGTGGCCCATGCACACATACATATTATGCCGGAACTCCACATATGCACGTGTTCCTTGGCAAGATACCCGAACACTTGTTACTGAAAGTAAACCCTTAAAATGATAGCTGAAACCAAAAAAGTACCATCTCTAATGAGAGCTAAAACTCTAGAATTTTCAAAAAGCATAGATCACCACACTGCCTGCTAGAAACTCAAGCCAAAAAGCTTCAAAAGACACAATATTGCACCATTCAAATGCTAGTTAAAAAACTCAGGGCTTTGGCACTGTTTGAAATTGGAGCCAGGGACCAAAGAAATGGTCCATTAGAGTGGGTGGGATGATCAACCCTCTGCAGTGTGCATGTGTATTACACCTCTTAGGGGTGTAGGTAATTCGTACTTGGGCCTGAGACACACGAGCGTGTGTGTATGTAGTTGCATATCTGAGTGTGTGCGTGTGATTGTAGTATAGGCAGAGTTGAAGGTGCGGTGTCCTCCTCCTCCTCCTCTCCACTCCCGAACCTCCCTCACACACTCCCAGAGATGAGGGTCTGGAGATAAGGTCCATCCTACATACGTAGTGACCGGCATTCCTCCCTTTGTGAGTACAGGTCCTCGAAATCTTAGTGGGATGCGTAATATATCAGTGCTCGATTAGTACACACTCTACGGAGGGTTAGATATCTCAGTGGGTAAGGGATTTATCATCTAATGTCAAGACGTTTAATGATAAGCCTTCTGTTACTCTCCATCTTGTGTGTTGGTTAGTTGGCCTTGACAAAAAAGCTCTCATCAAATTCAGGGCTGTGCTGAAGTCTAAGTATCCTAAGCACTGTATGAAGATGCCCAGTCGCATACAGGACTGGCCTGTTCATAATTCAGGGCAAGACCCGTTTTTCAGGTACTATTCACAGCAAAAACAACAGTAGTTAAAACAAGCGCACCACTGCTGGGAGACCTACCGCAGGCAAGAGGGGAAGAAAACAACTCGGCAGAATAATGCAAACGCTTCAAGATAATTAAGTATTCACAGTTAATTACCTTGAGAATGATTATATAGCTCAATAATAGTGGTTTCAACCACACAAAGGCAAGTGTTATCAAGTCTATTACATAATCCTGATACTGATATATACAACACAGTAGTATCATGGTCTAGAGTATATATGATGTGTGGGCCCGTGGGATGTTGGCAGTTGGTGCTAATGGATATCACTTAGTTTGGGCTGTCCGATAGCTAGAACTACTCACGAGGGGAAATGTTTACATTTCACCTTGCTACATGAGCCAGGAAGAACTGGCCAGGAGTAACTCCTAACATGGCACACGGCTTGGTTTAGGTCAGCCCATAGGGTTGTCCTGATGTGGTTGTCCTGATTTTAATCAGGACATCTCATAGTGTCCTGAATTTGGTCACATGAAACACAAAAACGCCCACACTCATGCAACTAATGACGCAGGTTCCTGCAATTTTATTGTGGGCAATGTTTTCGTAATTACAGGTTTAATCTCCAGTCAATTTGGTTTAGATTACTGACCACGAAATTGGATTAGCTCCACCCCCCACCGAGTGGAGCTATATAGCCTGTTGTACACCTCGTCCTAATGCCACGACTCTCTCCCCCATGACAGCTGACACAGTCCTCCATTCACACATTTCTTCTTCCTTCCAAAAACACCCCTCTACCCATATTCATGTAGAGCTCCATAGGCATTACATCATCCGTTAACCTTATGTAGTGATGCTATAGTACACCATCCCATCCACCTCTGAAGTGAGGCAGTAAGACTCGATGCTTAGCAGATGCAACAGCACCCATGCATATCATCATAAGTAGAGCGTGATTTGTTAGTGTGTGGAGGTGAAGTGCGTTTAAGGACATTGTACGCACCTTCGTCTCCGCGGCTCTGAAAGCATGAAGCGAACTCTTCTTGACTTGAAGCCATCACAGTTGTCTGGAATAGTCTGCAATAAAAGAGAGAGAGAAAGAGCGGGAAGATAGAGAGAAGGGAGCGGAGGGGGGGAGGTAGGGAGGGAGGGAGAAAGTCGAGAAAAGAAAGAAGAGGGGAGGGAGAGGGAAAACAACTATAGTGCAGACCGTTTGCCAAGTTTTCCGCCAGTTATCATAGCTCACATCGAGAACAAAGTGGACACCCGGCTTTGCGATGCAGGGCTTCAAAGGCAAGACAAAAACAATCGATACCGATAGCCCAGCCTATACCAACTTTGTACTACATATCTCTACGTGTACGCCCCACGCGAGGAGGGAAGCTAGTGCACATCAGGACATCAGTGGGGGGTCGGGACATGATTTGGTTCAGATTGGAGGCCAATGAAAGACATTCCTGGCCTAACCACAGCCAGTTTTACCACAGATGGGGCCGAAACACAATCCGCCACCGATTTCCCCAAGGTGCATATGTACATCACCGCCGGCTAAAACTAACAGTGGACCTATACCGGTTGTGTATGGCGTGCTCCTGCATCAGATGTCTCCTGCTGTGTTTTGGTTTTAAGAGGATGCTTCGTCACGGATCATTACACAACACAAAGTGTGTAAAACAGTGTGGTCCTCGCAGTTTATTAACCGAGTCCACAGCTACACGTAAATACAGTATGCCTATTTTAGTCTCATCTCCAATATTTTATGGGCACATAAGTGACTAGGTATCAAAGTGCAATATAGCATGGGGAGCATTTATAAGCTCTAAGTGTCATATTAGGAGTTAAAGCATGGCGTGATCTCACAACTATGGCTCCATATTATGCATGCATGTGTGTAGCGTCATGCCAGATGTTGCAAACGTGTGCCCCGTTTCTTTACCGCCACACACGTGATATAATCCACAGTTTAAGACTCAAATGAACGAGCAAGTCTCACATTCCATGGAATCAAGTGTGTTTGTCTTGACAGCTGCCCGGACAAGCAAAACTCGCAACCCCGCCACCGATTCTCGCCACACAACACACACACATGTTATTGCGAACAAGAATATCCGAAGGTGAGATGTAACGGTATCTCGTGTTGTGGAGTGCTAATGGCAAACACATGCAACCGTAGACGCAAAAGAGCATAAACTGAGCCTTGTTTATGCACCTATCATATCTCACTGGGACTGTCAGTGGAGATGAAGAGAGAGGCCGTCATCACGCCTAATGTGTACTCACTACTCACCTCCTCTTTCTTCTCATCTTCGCTCTCGCTTGTGAGGGTGTGAAGCTCCACCTCCCCCCCTGCCTCTCTTTCTCCCTCTCCCTCCTCCATATCGACTGCATAGTCCTCTGCAATCTCCCGCTGAAGCCTCTCCTTCAAGATATCTCTCTCTGTCCTTCCCCCTGGTCTCAACCCCACTACTCCCCCCTTCTCTCCTCCACCTCCTCCTCCAAATCCTCCAATAGTGTGTCTTCGTTTCACTCGCCCGAGCTGGCTTTTCATTTCGATTTGCTGGCTTCAGGAAAAGTGGAGGTCGCTTTAGAGTTTTCCTGGATAAGGAAGAGAGACAACCAACCCTTCAATCAAAACAGAACACTTTCTAAAATTTAATACAAGCCTCTAAAATGAAGCAAAATGGACATTTCTAGAATTCACAAGCCTCTAAGATAAACTGTAATGGGATTATAACTAGTTCATGGAGTGTTCGCTACTGATTGAGCTGTGGGATGAAAATACACGGTCATTACTGAATTTATCAAGTTACATTTTATTATAAAACTCCTTTACCCAAATACGGTTATGTCATAGGGAAAGAGTAATAGGTGTCAATGTGGAACTAATTAAGGAATGACGTAATTCGTTTCGCTGTCACACACGTGAGCTGTCAAAAACCTCGTGCCACAGTACAACATGCTACAGGGATTGATCGCGTAAGTCAAAAGTAATCAATCTGAAGCAAGAAAGTTGAAGTTTTTTTTAATGATTCACACATGTGTTCAAATGCCAACAAAAATCTGGTGCTAAAATATAGCGATGTCCTCCAAGGATCGTTTGTACACACAAACTGGTCAATGCCCACCAAATTTGTGACGCGTTTTTCTAACTTTGCCTTCACACATACAAGTGAGTTCTTCTAGTGCACAAAGTCTGGTGCTAAAATTGAGGGACACCACTCAGGGATCGGTTACCGTGTCAATACAAGGGTCAGAGGTGACTGATGGTGGGGTGGTATATACTTCCTGCAATAATGACAGGCGCAGGAAGCGTAGTAGCATGCAGGGCCAGAGAATGTCGCAATACCAGGAAACGCTCACTCACCTACACTCCTTTCATCGAATCATCACAACCCTTTAGTTATCACACAAAAAATTTTTGCTTTTTACAATGATGCTCACGAGATAAAACTTAATTGCCATTTGCTGGCTTGTCCGGCTTTATTTTTAAAATGGTCAATGCAATAAAATTTTTGTACTGCTGAATAAGTAAATCCACGAATTCTAGTTATCCACTCAATTGCGAAATTTTTATCCATGAAACATTTTCGAACTATCTTTCACGCTCTACTGGTCTCACTACTGTTTTCTCCATCAGCTACCACTCCGTTTAACCCGACCCACACGTTGGAGAATTCTCATCAACCCAGACCCTCGTGTGTATAGTGAGATAGTAAACATGTACTGTCTGGAGACTGGTAGCGTTCAGTTCTGTATAAACAAACCCAGCACACCTACACACACACACACTGCTTCACTCTACTTTACTCTATAAAAAAGGTAACACCATTCATTGGACTAAAGAAGGCAACGTAAACACATGCATACATTTGTACATACGACTAAGGTAACTTTCTACTCAAAGAGACAGCGAGAAAATTCCGTTGCTGTTATTACTGTTGGAAGATACGCGTACACAAGGCAAAGGAGAGAGGAGTGGGAAAGAACGGTTTTCATCGGGAGTCGAATCCAGGCATAGTGACTAAGAAGACCAGAGCACTAGGCACAGGGCTACGACTCCCAGAGAGAAGACAGTCTTTCCCGTTCCCCGAGAATTCACTAACCACTCCCAAATAATGCACAACATCCATGAGCTTACCCGTTTTTTGCTCGCCATTCTTCCAACATCTTCCTGTAACAAACATCAGAGAGTGTTCGCTTTATCAATGAATAATGTATGTACATTATGGACCATAACACGGGCAGGTAAGGTCTAAGAGACTCACAGACAGGAGTTTTATGACGGAGTAAGTGCTTATGGATTCCAAGAAACTCAACCTCAGGCATTAGATGGAAGTTAAGCAAGGACTGGTGTACATATTATGACTGGAAGTCTTGAGCTGTGATACACACTGATGCTAAACTTTAAGGGTATTAAACTGTAGTTACACAGCACTGGTAGTTTAAGAGCAGTGGTACATACAGATGCTGTAAAGGTAACTGGAGGTCTAGACGGCTAAGTATACTGATGACCAGTCAATTAGTGAACTCTTGGTCACCCCAGAACCTGGCAGTCATGCTCACTTTACCGACACTGCCATAGTGCGTGGTGGGCAATAATAAACAGATATTGTATTAATAGACCACGGGTGGTAGATGGGAATAAGCATGTTGTGTCACTAGCTCCACAACAACGAACCTCCCTGCCAGATGGCTCTTAAATTTTCTAAGGCCAAAAAACTAAATGAAATTACCAGGTTTTCAAGGATGTCTGCATTTCTTATAATATACAAAAGGGACGAGGATAGCTCCATTAAACCCTTCATGCACTACTCTATTAACCCTTCACGTAAGGACCACTGTATGAGTGTATAATTATTCTTTATGCAAGCTATCATGGCAATCTGAAACGCGCACTATTGGCAGTCAAGTAGGAGCCAGTCTAGTCAAGCTTCAAGACTGCCGAGCTAAGCGTATGTACAAATTATACCCCAGGTGAGCCCGAGGTGTTTGCAGGTGGACAACACCACATACCTGTTGTCTCTCTCAGACCAAATTACAAGGTGCTCGAGACAACGTAGATCAGATCTGTTGCCAACAAATACGATTACGGTTTTGAGTTGAGAGAGATGTGCGCGCGACTGTGCGTGTGTGACTATGATGACTGTAGGAGTGGAGGGACGTGTAGGAAGTGGGGTAAAGGCAAAACTGTAATCCCTTAAAAACATACCTTGTTCCCCTTGCGAATATGTTCGTACAAAAGGTTTGGTGCAATCGAACCACCCAGAACTCATGTGAATGACACATTCATCTCGTTCAACTGCATCGAACCTCCTCAAACCTTCTTGAACCAAACTGTGTTCGACAAGGAGAATGAGGTGAGGTGTGTGCAGTCGAACCACCATGAGAACATAGTCTGAAGTGGTTCAAGACGGTTCACATGAGATCTGGGGTGGTTCGACTGTATTGAACCTTCTCTATGAAACAAAAACATCTCGCCTAGGATTTACTACCTTCTCGTCTGTGCAAGCTCAAACTTTGTCAAGCTACGTCCTCTCTGTGCCGTGTGTGGGTGTGGCCTAGGTCCCTCCCTGTTCTTTGGTGGACGGTTTTCCACGTAGGAGGGTCCCTTCTTGACCGGATGAGGTGTTGCTGGAGCTCTGAGTGACGCCATTGGCTGTTTGGCGTGCTTGGAGCCAAGACCGAGGGAGTGTGTGGTAGCTGGTGTCTGGGGGCGGGCAGCACACTCGACAACGTACGAAAGCCTTTTCATTGGAGTACGGCTGTGGTGAGAGGGATACAGCAGAGTTGTATGTGAATTCAACAATGGGACATCGTGTACTGCTGGCTTTATTTCTCTCTCACCCTTTTTCCTGTCTCCATGCCCGCAACTTCTCCCCGCTGTATTACGAAAGATCCATACTTACGTAGATATACGATACGTGACGTGCAGGCGTTTTACTTACATTTTACTGCTTGTTTTTGCTGCCATGTCGTTCCTCGAGAGTGCTCAAGCAACAACCCTTGTGTGGCGGTTTCTTGCGATCGAAAACTCACACGTTTGTACTGTGCTTTCAAATTTGGTGGGCAATTGGTGTGCGCATGCGCGCACTTTTACTAGGGTGGGCGGGTCGGAAAGTGGGCGTTCAGCTGCAAGTTGTTGTTTGTTGTTTAGCTTCTTGGCTTTTTCTTGCTCTCCTAAGAACGTCAGGAGATGCCATGGAGTTAGGAAATGGACAGATTGTGTTAGTAGAAGACTACGACGAGACCTACAAGCCAACAGAAGAAGGTGAGCAGGCGCATGCGCGAATCCCTGTGCGACGGCGTCGCATCGCGTCCATGTTGCACGCTAAACCCATTTTCTCGACAGAGATTCTGCAGTTCTGCGAAGTGATTGGACTAGACCCAAACACAGAGGGAGACCTGATGTACCTCGCCAAAGAAGGAACGAGAGCTCAGTTGCCGCCCGGCTGGAAACCAGTGTAAGTGGTAATGTAGAATGCAGTCGTATGCACGGATGCAAGTTGCGAGTATTCTGCAGCGAGGACAAAGTCTCGGGAAGGATCTACTACTTCAACTTCAACACGAACGAGAGCACGTGGGACCATCCCTGTGACGGGGTTTACCGGCAGGTGCTCTCAGAGGAGAGAAAGAAGCGGGGGAGATTGGAAGGAGGCATGGCCCCCACTGGCTCAAAGAAAAGGGGGTCGAAGAAGACCCGGAAAGCCAAGAAGGCTCCAGCTGGAGCTGAGGTGAAGCATAATGCGCATTCTAGTAGTCCGTTTCATAGTGCTGGTATGAAAAGCCCTTGTGCACAATGTTCTCCCTCTGCTCTCGTCCCCCTCTCCTTGCGCTCTCAGATGATGAGTGCGCCAATGCCCGGGCCACTCAATCCTCTACCCTCGGGGGGAAGGCTGGCTCCACTGGGCCCTGTCAGAGGTCTGCCCCCTCTCAAATCAGCCCCCCAGAAACTTGGAGGTCTGGCCCCCCTTTCGCCACCCCTTGGAAGAGTGAGATACCCACATCAACGGCGACTCAATAACACTTCTCTTACTTCTCTCCTCGTGCAGGTGCCAGGAATCAAAGGCATACCTCCTTCGACACATGCTCAGACGGCTTCCACAATGGGGCCCCTTTCTACCAGTACCCCCCAGAGCGCACCCTTGGGCATTGCACAACCTCACATGCTCCCCACGAGCACTGCTCGCTCTCTCAACCCCCTGAAAGGCAGACAAGGGAGAGGAGTCGTGGGAGCGCCAAGAAGAGTGGGAGATGTGGGGGTAAGTAGCAAGAGGGACCTCCTCGGAGCAGCCGATCTGCAAATCTCCACTCAGTTTTTCGAGGAAGAAGATGAGGAGGAAAGCTCCAGCGTAAGCTCAAACATTTGCGTGTCCAAGCCTTCAGTGCTTTTCTCGTAAAAATAGGATGGGAGCAAAGGAGGCTTTCGAAGCACACTACTGGGGCGAAATCTGCTGGATAACAGGGACCTCGGAATACAGGTAAAAGTAAGCTTCACAGCCTCTGATAGTGCTAACATGTTCCAGCTATAGAGGAGTTTGCGTTTATTGTGTTTTAGTCACAGGAGGAGCTACACTCCTCAGAGTCTGTAGAAACCTCAGAGGAGCTGAGGAAGATGCTGGAGAGTGACGGAGAAGAAGTGGAAGCTGGAATTGGAGGAGAAAGGCCGTTGGCACCTTTGGGACGAAGACCACCAAACACCAGTAATCAATACCCTGTGATGCCTCAGCAGAAGAGATCCATTTGATTTCTCTACCAACAGGTTTTTCTCCAACTCATCGAGCTCCGCTCTCTCCGATCCTGTCTCCCCCTATCCCGTCCTCCCTCTCTCCACTCCCCTACCAGCGGCCTCAGACTGAGGCTCTGTCGGCCAACCCCAGATCCAACCCACCAGCCACTACCAGTGTTGGGGCTCCACCAACCACATCCAGTGTTGTTACGACTGCTAATACGAGGGGTTTACCCAGCACAATGAGTCCCAGCATCACTCCACCTCCTGGGATGAAGACGGCTACGACATCAGCTACAACGACCACTGGGCTTCCTCCCAACGGCAGGGATATTCCTTCAGCCAGGTCCTTTGCTACAGCAGCGAACACCACGTCCTCCAACAATGAAGTAAAATCTGCCACTAAAGTCAACGAAAAGTCAACTACTCCGTCTGTTCCACTTTCAATCCCGACCTCCACGACTGCGGGTTCGACCAACGGAGGAGGTCCCAGGTTTACTGTGGCTGAAATGAAGTCCAGTGAAGGTGGTCAAATCACATTGGCTCACTCACAGGCCATCAGAGCGGCAGGAGAGCAAAACAAACAAGAGTTAGAGAAGTGAGCGATGAAATTAGCGACTAGAAATATGTGGTGAGTATAATAATAAAATACTGTGTCTATGCAGGATGAGGAAGGAGCATGAGGTGGCTGTGAAGGAGTTGAAAGAGAAGTTGTCAGCTGAGCTGAAGAGGGCAGATGGAGGCTGCGCGGGGAGAAGGAAACGCTGAGGTTGAGAGGGTGAAGAAAGAGCTGGCTGATGAGGTGGAGAGGGTGCGCAAGGAGGGGCAGAAGGAGATGGAGAGAGTGAGAAAATCAGTGGAAGATGAGCAGGCGAAAGAGGAGAAAGAATCGAGGGACAGAAAAATGAAGAACATGTCTGAACTCAAGAAAACTGTAAGCGTCTTTTTTTGTATATACATTCGACCGGCTTCTGCTGTTCTCTTCCCTGGTTAGCTGAGGGACGAAGAGGAAGAGGAGGAGGCGAGACTTGCAGAAGAGAAAGAGGACAACCTTCGTAGCATCAGACAGAAAATGGCGTCGGAGAAAGAGAAGGAAGAATCAAAGTTGAGGCAAGAGGGTGCCAGGTCACGGCAGGAACTTATAGCACAGCTGGCAACAGAGAAAGTGAGAATAAATCTTTAACCTCCATGAACAAATCCTTCTGTTTATAACCTCTAGCATCTTCTAACAACTAATATTGACGTGTCCAACACATACAGCGCGAGGAAGAAGCCCGGCTTCGCTCGGTGGCTAGCAAAGAGATGAGTGAGACTCGGGCAGCGGCCGAGAAAGAGGCAGAGGCAAAGAGGGAGGAGGTGAAGAAGGAACTACAGAGACAGCTGCAGGTGTTCAAGGAAGAACAGGAGGACAAACACAACAAGGTCGGCGACCAGCCCTGTGATGTGGCATGTGACGATCTTGTGATTCAAACAGGAGAAGGCAGAGATCGAGGAGAATTTCCGAGAGCAGCTGGAGGCTCTGAAGCACGAGGAACAACAGAAGGTATATACCAATACTTCAGAGAATTTGGAAGACCGACATTTTGTCTGGAGTCCGTAGCTCAGTACTTAGTGTAACTCCACGCTCGGCATAGTATTTTTCGGAGGCTTTGCCTGGGATTTGACTCTTTTTTCTTCAAACTGATCGTCCTGAATGACTATTTGATTTTCACTCGACTTTCAAATGGAACAGGTGCAGGCAGAGCTGGAAAGGCAGCAGGCTGCAGAAGAGGAAAGAGAAAAGGCTGCCCAGAAACAGCAGCAGGACATTGCTGCTCTCCAGCAAGAGGTAGATATACATGTATACATAGCCTGTTCTTGCAGCCTAGCCTCGGGTTTAGTTGAGGCCCTTTCTTCTCTCCTCAGCTGGCCAAAGAGCTTGAGGAAAAACGCTCAGAACTTCAGGAGCAGCATAGCGCCACTTTGGTGGGTGGTACCGTACACTCTTTCTTTTCTGTCGATCATTCATCTTTAGAACATTGCGAGATAAATAGGACTGTATGTGTATTACTTAGGAAAGCCCTCAAAAGAGAATTGGAAGCTGCCGTTTCATCCGTAAAGTCCGAACACCAGACAAAGGTTACATCTTGTGCATTCGGATGTGGTCCAGTGTATTAATAACATGATGGTGAATCTCTCACAGGTCGAGGAGGAGAGACAGAGGATGCAATCTGAATTTGAATCTATCTCTGCCACTCTAAGAAAGGTGTGTGACTTACGTACAAAGGAAGGACCTGCACTACGTTGTACTGTATGTCTGTTTTGTGTTGTTCAGGAACATGAGGAGAACGTGGAGCAACTGAAGAGAGAGATGGCCGCCTCGGAAGAGGAGTATAGAAAACAGACCCAGATCCAGGTTAGGTCAATGAGGAGGGCATCTGAGAATTTTTTTATTTCTCTACTTTCGTGGTTTCCACACTAAACAAAGAAGATGATAGTGTGTGAAACAGTAGAGTCTACTGTGCTTTATCTTGACTGTTGTCACTTTTTATTTCTCCAATAGTCGGAGAAACTGAGAGAACTGCAGTCGGATTACGACCGAAAAAGCTCAGAGCTGCAACAGCTGCGGCCAGGGCTGGCTGGGAGACAGAGGAGGAGACAGGCGGAAGATCGGGCAGGGCTGAACCCAAGGGAACGCAGCCGAGAAAGACGACACGAAGGGAAGAGAGAGAACCCACTATTCTCGGCCGTGGATGACCCAACATGCTTCTCTGAGCATGCCCGAGCTGTTCCCCCCTCACTTCCACTCGCCAACCCTGAAGCTGAAACTCACGAACAGCAGCTATCTGGTCGTGACAGGGTTAAAGCAGGTCCCCCTGACAGCAGGGAAAAGGTTACGACAAGGTCACATGACCACAAAAGTGGAGACGATTGGTCGGAAACGAGTGGCAGCGTGAGCTCCATGCAACTTGAAGAGTTGGCACCACCGACCTCAACTTCACAAACTCCTGTAAGTCTTGTAGGCCAATGTGCCATGTAAACTCTAATTTTCAGTTTCATTATCTGCTTCAGAATGTGCGGGCCAATCTGGAGAGCGTCCGAGTCATGCTAGAACAGAATCAGAGGTATACACCGAGTTTGCTGCCTCATACTCATTTAAAAGCCTCTGATGGGAAAACTCTCTTCCTTGATCACAGAACGTTACTGAGGGTCCTGGCTGAAGAGCAGTCAGTGAGGGCACGTGAGGACGAGACCACACAGACGGGTGTGGGGAAGGAAGAGAAATTTGAGGAACATGGGGAACCTGTTAGAGGTGGGACACATGATAGGAGAAGGACCGAGGAGAGGGGGAGAAGAGAAAGGGTTAAACCCAAGAAACGAACGTCCTCCAAACCCCCGAAGGTTAGTCGCAACGAAGAAGAAAAACGAGACACTTGACCACAATATCCTTACAGGCAGAGAAAGGCAACTTCCCCACTGGGAACATCAAATCAAAACTGAAAGAGGTATATAATTATATGCCATCTGTATGAGTTTCTAGCACAGAATGCCATATATGATCCCTTGATCTCTACTGCTGAGCTGCATTCAATGTGTTTTCCAGGAGGTGAAGGCTCTGGGAGAGCTGGAGAGGAAGCTCCACTCGTCGCGTCAGCTCCTCTTCTCCAGGGAACAAGACCTCCACAATCTTCACTCACAACTCTCTGAAGTATGTACGTATATAGCCTCTCTTAGGTGTGATCATATGCGAAACCGTTGACAGCAAAATTTGGTCGAGATAGGGATAGGTGCAGCGAGATTGAAGACATTACCATTCCATTCTCCAACTTTAGTCAAAACAATAAGGATAGTTGGGGCGTCTGTTTTTTCCACTTATGTGCCTACAAAAAATGCGAAACCGTTGACACCCTTATATAGGGGAGACAACCAAATTTGGGCGAGATAGCGAGATAGATTGGAGACATTACCATTCCATACTCTAACTTTAGTCAAGGCAATAAGGATAGTTGGGTCATCTCTTTTTCCCCTCATGTGCCTACAAAAAAAGCCAAATCGTTGACACCCTTATATAGGGGAGACAACCAAATTTGGGCGAGATAGCGAGATAGATGACATTACCATTCCATACTCCAACTTTAGTCAAGGCAATAAGGATAGTTGGGTCATCTCTTTTTCCCCTCATGTGCCTACAAAAAATGCGAAACCGTTGACACCCTTATAAAGGGGAGACAACCAAATTTGGACGAGATAGGGATAGGTGAGCGAGATAGATGACATTACCATTCCATACTCCAACTTTAGTCAAGGCAATAAGGATAGTTGGGTCATCTCTTTTTCCCCTCATGCGCCTACAAAAAATGCGAAACCGTTGACACCCTTATATAGGGGAGACAACCAAATTTGGGCGAGATAGCGAGATAGATGACATTACCATTCCACACTCTAACTTTAGTCAAGGCAATAAGGATAGTTGGGTCATCTCTTTTTCCCTTCATGTGCCTACAAAAAAAGCGAAATCGTTGCCACCCTTATATAGGGGGAAAGCAAAATTTGGGTGAGATATAGGTGCAGCGAGTTCCATGGTTTAGTCCAAATAAGGCAGCTCGCTCCTTTTCTTGAAGACTGTTACTTAAGAAAGAATTCTTCTCCTTGCCTCCAAATGGCATTGTGTATAAATTTGCAATCTTGCATTGTGCCATTGACTTGTTTGGTTTGCCATGGTTCTACCTCGTTGTTGTCACATGTATATACACCACCAGCCTGGTGCAATGAGTGGAGCTGGATGCATCTCGTCACTTTGTTTGATTGTGTTCCGTTCAGGATTTGACCAGCGACGGAGAAGGTAGCAGAGCTGAGCGACAACTTAGCCCGAGACGTTTTCCACCACCAGCAGAGAGGAGAGGGTCGGCCTCCGAGACAAGGGACAGCGACAGGACCCGGACTCGGGCTGGAAGGATGAGCTCGATTCCTAGGACACCGCAGACCGCAAGGGTTAGTGAGTTGCATCCCTAACTTGTAACTAAGGAAAAATACACGATGCCTGCAAAGTGGGTTGACCCTTTCAAAAGGGTGACACACTTTCTTTTATCGTTTTGGTATCCCTATATATCCCTTGTTGTCTGCTTTCAATGTGTTGCCGTCGGTTAACCACCAAAACAAAGTGATGCTGGTGTTCGATTGTTTTGTGTGCAAAGTGCTTATCTAAGAAGAAAATGTGGTCATCTCTTGCCCAATGCTCTCCAGCCGTCTTTGAAGCAACAGTACACTGCTTCTCGCTGCTCTGTGAGTGATGACAGAAGAGAGAGAAGCAGGGAACAGAGGAGGAAAAGCGAAGAAGGGGACGCAAGACGCTCACAGATCAGAGGCACTCCAGAGAGAAGGGCCAGAGAACCAGCATCAGAGCACTTCGGATCGGAGCCAAGTGTCTCGGGGAGTGAGGGAGAGATGAGCGAGTCTTCGGGCAGCGAAAGTGAAAGTCCCACTCCCTCGGAAAACGTATCCACCACTCGGGAGGACCAGGTATCAAATATCGCAGAAATTCTCTCTCGCATGAACATTGCATGCAGTATCTCATTTGAGGGGGTCTTAGTAATAGTGTCAGGGTAGGGGAAAACAGCTTTCAATGGTTGGGGGGTGTTCCTCGGCATTGCTACAACTGGCAACTCAGGCATCATATTTCATATATCGTTACCTAGTCCCATCCACAATGAAAGCGTGTACTGTAGTATATACCTTGAAAATCACAAGATGCCGAGCCAGCTAATTTTGACATGCCACCTCGTACAAGTAATGGTGTGTTTTACCATGAGGTAACAACGGTATTTTCACATGATGTAATGCTATAACCCTGCAGCTGGAGTCTCAAAGAGAGATGGTCAAGTCGCTGAATAGCATCAACAGACAGCTGCGTCAGCTAACGAGTCACATTAGGCAGGGTTCACCTCATCCACCGGCGCTGCCCCCTCAGCAGGCACCACCGCCAATACATTATCCCACAACCCCACCACATATTCCCACAGACAGGTGCATTACATGTGTATGTATGTGTACGTATAGTACGCACATACAATCATATTGGTGTGAGGTATTCGTCACTACACGTATGTGTAGACACAGGTGGGTACATATACTGCAAGCCAATAGGCATACGTAATGTTGTTATTATCACGAAAAGTGAACTTTCAACTGACGCACATTACTCCCGTAAGTGTCGTCCGGGTCCCCCCAGAATTCAGAAGAATTTCATTGCTCAATGCAAACTACACAAAAAAGGACAATTACCAACACTTCGGGGAAAACGGCCTCAAAAATTGGCTGTAGTACTGTAGCTCCACAGGATATTGCGCATAGCATTTGTCCACATGTGGATTAGAGTTGGCAGCCGCGACACGTACCAGAGGCAAACAAGGCAGAGTTGAAATGGGTAGTCTGCATACTTTGTCCCACCCTCAGATGAAGAAACAAGTACGTGTGATGAGGTAGCCATGCGCTATGAGGTAGCCATGCGTGTTTAGGCTAGACTCATGCATATATACATAATGCACTCTTCCGGCACGGGTGCATCCATGCCTACACACATACTCTGGTGCATAACATTATGTACCGATACCATAATAGGTACATTGGTACATAATGCACAGGCATGTTTACAATAAGGGTTTGTGATAGGGTAACCTCCCTGCATCCGGTATGGTGCATCCATGCCTACACACATTAGCATAGGGACCATGCTTCATTATATACCACTGTGTTCGTGATAAAGAGAAGAGGGAGTGTGATCTAAAGGAGCTGCTCTGTGTTCAGTGCCAGCAGTTTCAAAGGAGCCACACTTCACTCCCAATTCTGTGGGTTTGGCTGGGCACCGGCCCAGGTACATAGATCACTGATAGGGTTGCCTAGGGACCAGTGAATGGTCCAATTAAAACATACAAGTGGTGGGCTCTTTTCGGTCACCTGATGACTTCAATTGCCTTCAAGAACCCTAATAAAAACACCTGACACATGCACATGCCTACTCTGTCCAAAGATACATGTACTGGCCTAATCAGGGCCCTCTGTTAGACCAAATAAAGGATGGTTGACACTTACGACATCATTCTTATTAGATTGGCTGGTTGTGGTTTGAAGGTGAGACAAAAAAGAGCATGTCAATCATGCCCAGTCAAAACATACATGACGCATGCCATAGCCAGCTTCCTCTATTCCATACTGGAAACTTCTTAGGGGTTTTGCATTTCTTCGAGGATTTCTTGGCCATCATGCAAAGGTTTCGAGTTATATGCTACAGTGGCGAATCTAGGATTTTGAAAGGGGGTTCCGCTGTCCAGAATGTTTTCTACTGCGCTCGTGCGCACGCACGAGGCCGGCGACACACGCGCGCAAAACTACAAAAAGGGGGGTTCCGCGGAACCCCCTGGATCCACCACTGTGCTATGTTTGTCTTGTGTTTCAAAAATTAGCAGTTCTTGAGGGATTTCTTGGCCATCATACAAATTGCAACGCAGGAAGGTTTCTAGTTTCTAGTTATGCTATGTTTGTCTTTCTCTCTCTAATCGACCAGAAAGTGTACGAACACAATTGAAGGTGTCCTCTTGCATTTGTGCCCTAGGTATATACTTGAAAAGGTAAGGTGTCACATTTACATCACTATTGTGTATACGGCTCGTAAGAGAGCCTATACAAGTCGTGAAGTGTCTCCCTTTTCTCTGTGCACAGGTGGGCCGATCCGGTAATACCCACTCCCTATCTCCAGTCCCAACACAGAAGGGAGTCCAGGGAATCCTCGCGTAAGCCAAAAACTCACCCCCACATACGGCATTCATGCGTGTCCACAGTGTGTACCCTATGAAACCCATACTTGGTCGCCGATCTATTGAGTGAACCCCTAATTTTGTACTGAATGAAGTCTTCAGACCACAACAAACCATCTCTAGAGGGTGTGTACTTATGTATGCCAGTTTAGAGCTAGTGACCACATTGCAATGCACTCGCCGGCTATATTCGAGGTGCCTGTCATTTACCACTAACAATTAGGTAGCCCCTACTTTTTACAGCAATATATGAGAGTGACGACACTGCACTCTTCAAGGCGTTCAGGGTGATTAGTTGGCCTGTACTAACCCCCCAAAAGCTCACTCAAAGTTTAGGTCACCAGGAAGTCGTATGCCACATCAACATACCCTTTTACAACGGCACAGGTTCTATTTATAGACGGTGTGTGCATGAGGCACTGCCTTTTAAGCATTGAGGAATGCGTGGAATGCCGAGGAGGAGAGGAGGGGAGGGGAGGGGGGAGTGAGAGAAGTGTTATGGTCCATGAGAGTGTGTGTACCAACAGTGTGTACCAACAATGTGTACATCTAGGGAGGCACGGGGGGTGGGTATATAGACTGCTCGTCGATAAGTGCTGCTGAGCATGTGGGCAATAACGAGGAAGAGATGGAAATGTTTGTGAGGTATTATGGGTGGTTGTTTCCACATACTACATGAGCGTGTACTTACTTTATGGGGCTCTACGGGTGCCATAAGTAGTCTGTAGCTCTAATGGGAATATGCTGAATGGGCCAGGAGTGATGGGCTGAAGGGGGGATTGAACGGAAGATTAACGTTGGTGCCATCTTCCCACAATCATGCACACTCAGCGCATTTCAAGTCGGCTTATAGCTCGCCTGAGATCTTGATCTTCCACAAACCGAAACACTTGCTGCAGTTTCAGTTCAGTTTGTTGTGTCTTGTGTTTCTTGCCGGTATGTAAGCTGCCAGCCCATAGGATGTACTGTATCTAATAGAGAGCCCTGACCCATTAATGCAATTATGCGTGTCATGTGAGTGTGTGAGTACAGTTCCGCGCCTTTTACATCATAGAACCTCCTAACCTGTCGCGGTGTTTGCCTTTGTGTCTTTGCCCGTGAGCACGCGACACCTGTGTGCAAGGGTACCTGTCGGTGTTTCGGCACTGCCTGGATTCCAGGTGCAAACAATGAAAGCCGAAAAGGTTCTATACTCTCTAGTACACTCCTACATTGTGCCTACACACATTTCTATATATCCAGTAACCTATATGGCTATGGTGGGAATCCAATCCTTTGACCGTTTTGCAAGGGGTGTGCTCCATACATGGCTAATAAAATACTGTTACTGGTCCATACCCTACATATTGTTACGAGCTTTTCATGTCCAAAGCCAAAAAACGACACTCCGCTGAATTTACACGTGATACATTGTTGTTATTTCGTCACTCGTGAACACAACATTAAACACACAACACGAGTCATGTTTCGGTTAATACGTGGGACATATCTGCGGAGCTGGCTTTAAATTACCCGCAGACGTTGCCCAATACACCGGCACCTTTTCCCAGTGGAATAGGCAAAGAATTGCAGTGTAATCCAATTCTGTGTGGGTACAGCACGTAACCTAACCCCCCCCTCCTCCGAACGATGTGGTATTCCAACCAGTGTGTATTACCTCATACTGTTCCCAGCACATTATAGTGATATCAATGCAAAGCCACATGGACGTGTCTCTTCACTATGGTGCTGACGTGTTTCCCCTTTGTTCGTCTTTTGTTCGTGGAGCTTCGGTTTACACGTACCTGTGTATCACTTGGTAATAGCCCACTACATTACTACACAGGGGTTGAATGTGGGTTTTGTATGGCGAGTGTTCTACCAACTGAGCCGTATTAAGGGGCCTGTGGGTGACACTAGCAGCAAAATATTAGCCATCAGGACTAACTTGTGGTCAAATTTAGGCTTATCTATAGTCACTGAAACACAGTAAAAAAGTGACCATTTTGCTTGAATTCACCACCACATAATCTGACAACCCAGGGATGGTCTGGGCCAATATTTTTTTGGTGGGTAGTAGCTATCAAGTCACAATTCTGAAGCAAAGGTTTTATCTACTGGTTGGTATATAGGCATATGAGAAGCATGGTAGTGTGTGAGTACATATCCAACCTTTGCCCTCTGGCATTAGTTGGAATATCCATCAGGTGCCACTGAGCTGTAGAGGCATACACATCAAACACAGTAGAGGTCATGACATCGTGACCTCGGTGTGCACATTGTGAACCTGGTTGATATTTCCTCATGCTTGCAGTGCCTGTCCACAGCTGAGCACTAACACTTTCCATTACGTCTTTCCACACAATATCGAGCTTATGTGAACAAATTTTGTCGGGAGGGGGGCCCGGGGGTGGAGATACGAAAACCAGGATGACGTATCCTTTATGACATAATATAGGGATCGCTAGGAACTACAGTTCTCCTATTTCACAGGAAATAGTGTACATGTAGACACGTACTGGCTATACGAACTGAACAGTCAACTGTTGTGCGAGCATCAATACGAAGGAATCTTGGGTCCTCACCGGTACCCAGCCCCTGAATGGCTGTTTACTTTCACCAGCACAGCATGTGAGCGATGGGAACAAGATATATTGCAATCAAGGTGGCGATGGGAACAAGATACATTGCAATCAAGGTGATATTACACACCAATGAAGGGACAAATCACGCGTAGATTGCATATGCATACGTATGGAACTTTCCCGGCACAGTGTACGTGTGCATACGTCCACGTGTACTTGCTACATACATACGAAGCAAAAGTGGACTGCTGTACATAATGAGAAGCAGTGTTACTTACTCTTGTTTGCGGCAAGAACGCAGTATGTTGAGGTGGGATTACACACCTGTAATGAGAAACTAGCGAGGGAGAGGGGGGAGTGTAGGGCTTTTTCCAAGGAGTGTATACCCTATACGTGAGTAATAGTGGTCCATGTGGGCAGGTCAGCTGAGTTTGCCCATGAAGGCTTCAGTTGTTGGCCTCCCACTAATCAGAGAAAATGGCCCAAGGCAGCTTCTAAGAACTCATATACTATACAGTGTTGGGAAGGAAGCAGTGACGGATAGTGCAGGAATCTGATATCTTATCAGCCTAGCTCTAGAGCAGCTATTAGTGCATACTTGCAGTTGTTTATAGCTCAACTCTCCAGATGTTGTAATCTCAGTGCACATGTCTCTTTCCTTGGCTCAGACTCACAAATTCAGTAACACACCCACTGTCTTCTGGGTGGCTTGATAACACACAGTGGGTGTGGGTTTTTACAACAGTAGGACCATGATTTGGTAGAACAAAAATTGATGCATTCAGCATCCACACGAGGGGAACACACGTTGATTGGACGTCAGACAGATTTATGTCAACATGTGTATGTGATGATGAAAATCATTGTTTAGATTGTTAAAACCCCACCCGACTGGCGACTGTAGTTGAAATATTCATGTGTCTAATAAGCTACACTGCCTCATGGTGAATTTGTGAGCGAGCGACCAAGTGAGGGGTGTGTGTGGACATGATAATAAGAGCTTGTATCTATAGTGGGATTAGGGCAAGTAAAGATCATTTCAGGCGTTGGAGTGACTGAAGGTATTTTTTAACCAATAGAAAGACAGACAGTGATCAGACACCAAGGTTAACCACTGCTGCATTAGCATTGTTGGTGTCAGGTTACCCTCATGCGTTGCAGAAGTAAGAAATTCAGCACCCCACCACAAATAACTGAGCAGCGTCTGCTGGCTGGCGTGAAAATGTATAGATGCTCCAACATTCCCCTAGAGAGTGGAGAAGAGACAGTAGTGACAGGCTGGACAAATTGCCCGCGATAAGGAGCATCTGACGGGCTTGGCTGAAATCCAAGAAAGTAACGGAATGCCGCGGCCCTGAAAAGCAAAGGGAAAGAGAGGGGGAGGGGGTCAATGGTTTTAGTGGTGACTGGGGGGTCGTGTGCACAATAACAATGGGCTGCTCCCACGGTATACTGGCACATTTGAGCCGCTTCTGTGTGCACTTTTTCAAATTCTCAGGTGTTCTATACATATTATACACACTGCGTGATGTTCATAATCAATATTTGGACACATTATAATGATTCGTCCTTATAGGTCGTTTGAGTAAACAGCCTTAACGGTAAAGTCCCAGACCTTTTACTTATACATCAACTTCAATAACAAAACACTCTCCTCTTCTCCCCTTTCTCTCTCCCCCTCTTCCTCTCTCCCCCTCTTCCTCTCTCTCCAGGTACACAGCCAACCACAGGTCCACGCCACCCGTTCAGGTACGTACATACAGCGCATATTATAGCACCTGCTTGGACTGCAAAAGCGCAGCATAAATGAGTGTCCTTTATGAGTTGTCCAACAACATGGTGTATAAATTCATAGACATCTGATGGCGACACACTTCCTAATCCAATTACAGATTGTAGGACATACTGTTGCATACCAAATTTTTACGTAGGATGCCTCGTGTTCTTAATTAATTCAGGGGTAACAATTTGCTAACATAATAATGCACGTAATTGCATTATTAGTGGGAATCAGCCTTGATATTGAAATTTTTGCAGGCATGGAAGGTCAGGTGATCGTCACGTGACCACTAGCTCCGCCCACGTGTATCCAGGATACAGTGGAGAGGTTCGAGCTGACTGGCTGCACGAGTTTCAGACGCAATTTCCCCATCACCATGTTCCCCCTCTCCTCAGAGATTTTCAGCAACCGTGGACCATATACTGTACCACATGCTCAGCTAGTAATGGATAGCGACAGAAATATTCACTTAGTACATATGTAGCTAGCTTTCGTCTGTATGTGTCATTCTGTAAAGTCATGTTTAGCGCATGCGCGCTTGCGTAATTTATGCGCGCGCAGTAATGAGTTTTTACCGCCGCGTAGTGCTCGGCCCAGTTTTTGTGCTTCGCCGCAGAGTGAAGGCGCAAAACACAAGTGCGGATCTATAGTGGAATGGTCGATAGTAAAAGCTTAGACTAGCAGACGTAAACTAAATAATAGCAAATAGAACATTTGCTGCAGTTCCATCAACAGCATCACTTCACCGTCGTCTACTGAGGCAACCTTACATTATCGGTGAGTCAATGATATAGCTAGCTAGCTAATTTGAAAGCTGTTTAGAGGTGACAACCAACGTATCCATGGGGAAAGCGTGCTGAATTTGGTCATAAATCTGTAGCTACAGGTATTCCTCAAGATAGCTTAGCCAGCTATATTTTCCGCGAAGCCAAGCCGCAGCTACGTAGCTTTGCGTGTGAGTGTTTGCTAGCTTGCTGTGTTTGTAGTGGCTGTGTTTGTAGTTACCTAGTGTTTTGGCTGGCCTTGGTTATATACCACACACACGCGCAATCGTCGCACTTTACTTTGTGTCTGGTACTGCCAATACAGATGAGTAGGTACAGAATAGTGTGACTGATCCGTGAACACAACACAATAAGCACATGAATGCAGTGTGGCATATCGGCATGGTCAAAGTGGGTGCTATCAGCTTATCAGCTAGCCAGCTTCCAGACAGTCAAAACCAACTTAGAAAACAATATTCCAACTAGGTTGGCTTTGAAGTGTTGTCTCAATACCTCCAAAAGTACTTCTCTGTGTGGTATCATTAATTTTGCTCACTGAGCAAATTTGCCTCACTGAAATGTGCACAAAAGATTAGACCACTGCGGAGTCATATAACCCTAAAGACTTACCAACCCCCCACTGATTATACATGGACCTATAATAATTGGCACATATTATTTTTTTAATAAATAAGCTTTTAACTTCTTCTTACATGCATGAACAAGCTGACAAATTTTTGTGGGCACTATCACTGATTTGTGAAGTGGTTAGCTAACCAGTGTCTAGCTAGTATCCAACACACATGCAGGAGAGCCACACAATGTTATTCAGGAGTTTATACCTTGTGTGCATTAGTCTGTGCATGTGATCATTTACACTCCCCCAGTGTGGGAGTTGTAATATACTTCCCATGTCGCGATATGGATACACACACAATGATTACGATATGAGATACGAGGCTTAGTAAGCAAGGTGGGGGTAGTATGGTCTTTCAGATGTCCTAGTCTCATTTCTTGGCTTACAAGATCAGTTTAACCCACTTTCTTGTTGATAAGGAGATGGTATGAAAGGTATTTCTAGATGACAAGGATGTATTAATGTGGTTGATATTGGACTAGAGGTGTTCCATAATTCAGGTGGTTAGTGATAATCATGCTTTTCAGTTTCGGAAGTCTGGGTTTCAAGGGTCTGCTACTTTGTTGCTGTTTACCGATTTTGAGATGTTGCGACTGGCCCGTGACGTCATGGCAAGTGACCGTGGTCTCAGGAGGCCAGTCTCACATGCAGGAGGGAGGTGTTGATGCATTCTTTGAATGATAGCACTCCTATTCAAACATCCCTTCCCATAAATACACTCTTCTTCTGATCAACCCCCTTAAGGGTTATATAGGAGAGTTATAGTCTAGTCAGAAAACTAGAAAAACTTACGGGTTAAAGTTCAAAGTTCTGAGAACCACAAACTTTTAAGATGTCACCCGTTTTTATATGACAAGATTAGTTGTTCGCGGTGTTCCAAGTGATTACATATAATACTGTCTGATCACGTGTTGTGGAACAAAGTAGCTCTAAACATATACACAGCGTAGTAGGAACCACCCCAGACAGCCATAGCGTGTGAGGCATTTGACGTACTAGTACAACTAACTTGCATTATATATGCACACATCTGGATCATGGCGAAGCTTAGGAAGTGAATGCATGATGTTCATATTTGCGGACAATGGTTCATGTTTATGCTGGCTTTGATTAAATCTCTGCCAACAGAGGCCAACATCACAACCAGTTTAATAGAGACTGGCCCTTATCACCATAGGCTACACAAAGCCAATAAAATAGCAACAGATCTGATAGACGAAGTATAATAGCACGTAGCGTAATAAAACTACTTGACTTGTACGTAGGTTTATAAGGTTGTAAACACCAAGTATTGCTCTGCAAAAGTATATGACCTACACCCCTGACAGACATTCTTACAGAATGTAAACCCCTTATGTGTTAATGACACCTCTTCCTATCAAGGACCTGGTGCACTAATAGCACACACACATGGTTACCTGATAGCTGTAGTCCCACATGCAGTAAGTAAGGCGTGGAGAATTGTCACTGATTCTCATTACCTTGTAAGACAAGATGAGAGGTCGACATAGTATCCAGTGGTGGCGAGACAGACCGGAGCCATCGGGGAAACCCGATGACTCTTTGATATGCACACATGCTCAGTGAAAATAGCATACTTTAATAGTGGCCTATATAATATTATGTAATGCACGACTCTTCATAAGGTAATGCTCGTGAATATATTATGATGTGCGTCACATACCTTTATACATGCTGAGTGTATGGGAGTGGGTGCCTGTCTGGGAATTCATCCCTTGCGCAATGTTGATGTATCCTCGAGTTAATTATATTCATTGCCCAAATAACGTAATTCACCTTCGGTGTCATAACCTTTGGTGTGCCTCGCCTCCATATCACACGCAAACATACAGGCAGTGAGTTGAGAGGGGGAGTGAGTTGTCACCATGAAGGAGCTACTTCACCTAGTTGCTGCTATTCTCTGCATCTCTTTCCACCCATCCACTGCAAGCGATTGCCCAGTTGATGCAACACAGCCGGTACATGTGAATGTAGTCGAGGATGTGGGAGGAGATCCTGGTAGCACCCCCATTCAACTGGTAATTGATTTCAACCAACAATACAATGGTGGGGAACAAGTCCCTTTGATTAGCCGAGCTAATCAAAACAACCAGGGGATATTTGAACAGTTTTTTGAATGGAGTGGTGACAACAGCAGATTGAATAAAGGGTGGATTGACCGAGAGGAGATTGCAACGAGACTAATGGACACATACAGTCCAGTAATTTTCAAGTTTGATCTGCTCTTCTACAACAACGATCTAGTAACTATTCGCTGTCTGAACATTACAGTTAATGTTATTGACTTGGATGACAATGCACCAACATTCACTCCGACTGAAAGAACAGTCACGTTTGAGGATGACAACAGTGAAATCGGAAACGAAAGGGTCCTGCCACACCCAGGAGATCACGACGAAGGCGAAAACGGAACCACCATATATGAGCTAATAGACGTCAGTGGAAGGTTTGGTCTTGAGTTTCGCAACTACACTGGCACAAACAGAGTTCAATCTCTCCACCTGAGAAATGATCTCCCATTAGACCACGAAGAAAGAGCCTCGTATCAACTTCAGCTTCGTGTCAGTGAAGACAACGATGATCCTGACGAGGCAATACTGGACATAACTGTTGTAGTTGCAGATGTTTGCGACGAACCATCAATGTTTATGACGTCGCGTTACACTCCAACCGTAAGCGAAAATGCAGGCCTCCATACTGAAGTCATCAGAGTAGAAGCAACAGATCGTGATGATCCAGTGGAGTGCCCCTTGCAATACAGCATTACTAGAGCCTGTGGGCGAAGGACACCAGATGCTACATGTATCACCACCGCCACCCCCGACCAGCCCTTTGTCCTTGACTCTGAAACAGGTTCGCTCACCCTCATAGGCGACCTCGACCGAGAGTCGATAGCCGAATACGAAGTAAACGTTCAGGCAACTGACATGCAGAGTAGCGCCACAGCCGTCATTGTCATCACTGTAGATGATATCAATGACAACTGCCCTGAAATTGCTTCCAACATTGTCACCCAAATCCCTGAGCACCAGGAGGTCGATTCCAGTACAGCTATTGGCCTCTTTACTGTCGTGGACGCAGATGTTGGACGCAACGGGCAAGTAATTGTAAACCTTCTTGATAACTCCACTGGAGTACCCCTCAACTCACATACATTCAGACTGACCACCGACAACAATATAGACTACCGGATATTCATCGACCGGCCGCTGGATTACGAGACACAGAGGGAGTTCAGACTCATAATCAACGCTCGCGACAACGGAACCCAGCCTTGCTTCACGGACGAGCCTGTGACAATCACTATCACAGATCACAACGATCATCCGCCCGTGTTTGACCCAATTGAGTCCCCTACTATACCAGAGGACAGTGTGATGAACACCATGGTGGTTGCAGTCACTGCCACTGATCAAGATTCAGGCAATAATGCCATAATAACATTTGAACTGCCGGAGAGCAGCAATGACTATCCACACCAGCACCTTTTCACCATAGACAGTGGCAACATTCTTGTCGGAGAATACGCTCTCGACTATGAAACAAACAGAAACTACACACTGCTAGTGCGGGCATGGAATTCAGAGTCCTCACACCTTCAGGAAACACTGGAAGAAGTGGTGATATACGTGGAGAATGTCAACGATAGTCCTCCAGAGATTCATGTTCCACTGATCGAGGCGAGAGAGAATCACACGGTAGGTTCCCCCGTTGGTCAGATAGTGGCCACTGATGCCGACAATCTGGGCGGACTCGCCTTTTCGCTTGGGTCGGACAGCAGCTCCCTCTTCTCTATTAGTTCTTCCAATGGAATGCTAATCCTCGAAGATCAACTGGACTACGAAGACGCTACTTCCCACTCGGTAACTGTGGAGGTACACGATGGCAGTTTCACAGAGTCGGCTGTTGTAACGATAAATGTTCTGCCGGTAAACGACGAGGCACCGGTGTTCATTAACCAGCAATACATGGAAAATGTCCTTGAAGAGGGGCAGCCTGACACACTAGTCACTACAGTGACCGCAACTGACGGGGACATTCCGTCACAGAGTCTCGGCTATGTCATCAGGCAGGGAATGCACATGGACCGATTCAGAATCAACTCTCTCGGAGAGATCTACACAACTCAGTCTCTGGACAGGGATAACACTCCACGCTACACACTGTGGGTCCAGGCAACAGACGGAGAGCTGAACTCCACCTTGGCCGAGGTGACCATCCAGGTACTCGACATCAACGATCACCCGCCTAAATTCATCGACGCGCCGTACAACTTTGCAATCGTGGAGAACACATCTCCGAATCCGTCTGTCGGGACAGTGTCTGTCATAGACCTCGATTATGGGGTCAATCAGGAGGTGAGATTCGAAATTTCATCAGGGGACCCCAATGAGTGGTTTTCCATCCTTTCCATCAACGAGCACACGGGTGAAATTACAGCAAATCGTGCTTTTGATCACGAAACCGACAGCTCTCCGATACAGTTTACAGTGACAGCAACAGACTTGGGGGAAGAGCCTCTCAGCAATATCATCACTGTCACCGTCACCATAACTGATGTCAACGACAACGAACCAGTGTTTCCACAGGATGTGTACCACTTTACAGTGCGGGAAGATTTCCCGACTGGTCGGGTGTTTGGCAGAGTGCTGGCAACTGACATAGACGGAGTCGGAAACAACAATACTCGATACAGCTTCTCCGATCAGACTGATGCCAGCACGTTTTTCATAAAGGCATTAACTGGTGAGCTAAGCCTTGTGTCCTCGCTCGACTATGAAACTACAAATCAGACAACATTTGATGTGATTGCAACAGACGACGCGAGGGGGGACTTCCAGACATCAACAACTGTTGTCATAACCATCACAAATGCGAGAGACCTCAACCTTACCCTGGGGGATTTCTCCCCTCATTTGTCAGTGGTCGAGAACACCGAAGCAAACCACACCATTACGACACTGAGAGTGACAGACACCATGAACAATACTGTCAGCCGTCTTATCTATACTCTTACAACCGACAATAATGAGCCTTCTCCATACTTTGGAATCCGCAAAGAGGACGACACAGCCTACATATACACACGAACACACACCATTGATCGCGAGGCGGAAGACCTTGGCAATGATAAAACCTACAGGCTCATTCTCAACGCAAGCGATCCTGACACGACCCCAGACTCTTACGGCTACATAGTCAGCTACATTACCGTCGAAGTTCTTGACATAAACGACAACAACCCCAGGTTTCTTACGATGAACCCCGTGTTTTCAATTTGGGAGAATGGAAATGCCGGGGAGTTTGTGGCTTCATTTGAGGTGATGGATCCAGATGCTGCGAAAAATGGGACGATACAGCTCAGCATCAACACCATCGTCCCTTTCAATGTGACCCACATCAAGCACAACAACGGGCAACAGTTTGCTGAGATCAGGGTCGTGACGCCGCTCGACCGAGAAACCGAGGCCACCTACGAGTTCTTTCTCCAGGCATTGGATCATGGAAATCCCATAGGGGAAACAATGATGGAGATAAGGGTGCACGTCTTGGACAAAAACGACAACGAGCCAAAGTTTTGCTGCGGAACCGCCGGAGAATGGAAACTGCATGTTACCTTTCTCAGTGCCAGAGGACCAAGAAATCCAGCAGGTGATTGCCACCGTTGAAGCAAAAGATTTGGACGATGGTACAAATGCCGAGATCCGCTATGAGTTTGTGCCCGGACAACTTGAAGAAAGTAAGTTCAGAATTGAGTCCAGCACGGGCAGGATAATCCTGACACAGTCTTTAGACCAAGATGCAGCAACCAACGAAATTACATTCGATGTGAGGGCAGTGGATGGGGGAAACAAAGCTTCAACTGCAACAGTCATCATATCAATTGTGGACATCAATGGTCACTGTCCAGTGTTTATCAACAGCTCATTTTCCACCGTCATCGCCGAAGATCACCCAAGTGGAGTTCCCTTCACGTCACTCTTGGCTGTTGACCAGGATAGAGCTCCCAATAACATTGTCAGGTACGCCCTGGCAGACTACTCGCTCAGCCGGATATTTGACGTAAACAAGGACACGGGAGGGATCTCAATAGAGGACAGGATATCCCCCGACTACGACACAATTGACTACGAGCGGAAGAATGAATACAAAGTCAACATAATAGCCTATGATAATGGCTCCCCACCAAGGTACTGTAACGAAACACTTACTGTACAAATCAGTAACGTGAATGAGCATACTCCGGAATTTGACGTGTCCGATATCCAAATACTCATGAGTGAGGCTGCACAAGCAGGGGATGAAGTGCTGAAGATTCAGGCTTACGACAAGGACTATGCTGATAGTTTGGTATACACTCTTACCCCGTCTAATTCTCCCTTCAGCTGGAACAACGAACAGAGTGCTATAGTTCTCAGTAGTGCAGAGAACATGGGTCCAAACTTCATTTTACACCTAAGTGCGAGCGATGGAACAAAGCATAGCACTATTAACATTGCTATCCTTGTGGTGAATGAAAACGATCACAGCCCAGTCTTCTCAACCCAAGACACCGCTGTCATGATCTCAGAAAACACAGAGTCGGGCAGCAGCATCTTTGCTGTTCATGCTTCGGATGCCGACAATGCAACAAGCGATGCCGTAATCTACTCCATATCAGCAGGAAACACTGATGACACATTCTACATAAATCCTAAGTCTGGAGTCATCTACGTTGCTAAAGATCTTGACTATGAAACTGAAACAAGATATGAGCTCACACTCCTGGCCACAGACACGGGAGAGCCAGCCATGACGTCAACTCCCCTCTACATCACTGTCGATATCACCAATGAAAATGATGAAGTCCCTGTATTTGAACAGACAGAATATACTTTCACACTGGTAGAGAATAATGATGCTATGGCTTCAGTTGGCTGTGTGCGAGCAGATGATGTCGACAAAGAAGGTTTCGGAATCACTTCGTACAGCATTGTAGACGAGGGAGAAAAACCCGGCTTCTTCTCCATCAACGAAAACAGTGGATGCATATCTGCAATCAGTAGCATTGACCGGGAAACTGACCGTGAGTTCCATCTGACGGTGCAAGCTCAAGATGAAGCCGATTCCACAATCACCGAAACTGTGAGAGTCACTGTGGAAATAGGTGACCTCAATGACAACGGACCATCAGTCTCTCAACAAAACTTCCTCTTCTATGTCAGTCCAGATTACACCGTCAACCAAGTTCTCGGTTTTGTAGTAGCCTCTGATCCGGACAGTGCAGAGAATGCCCTGTTCACGTACGAGATCGTTTCTCAAAACCCAAACATCATTTCCCTCGCACAAGATGGAGAAGTCAGTATAGCGACTGAGATTCCCACAGAGTACGAGCCGAGCTACAGTATTGCAGTGAGGGCTACTTCTAGTGTGGAGGGGGATGAGAGATCTTCCGATGCTACAGTAGTAATCATTGTTGAGTCAGACTCTGCTCACCATCCACGGTTCACACAACAGACCTACGAAGAACACGTAACCGAGAGTGCCAATACAGGTCACAGCATACTCGACGTTTCAGGAGTAGTATCGGACCAAGACGGCACTTCTGGGATGACATACTCATTCGCCGAAGAGCACGAACAGTTTGCACTCGATTCCGAGACAGGTCTTCTGACACTGCAGGCACACCTCAACTATGAAGATGTGACGAGGTACGAGCTTCGAATCAGAGCCATTGACGCCACCTCGAGAACTGCTACAGCTACCCTGATCATCAATGTCGAAGACGGGAATGATCATGCTCCCGTGTTCATATCACCACCCTCAGAACTTATCCTGTCTCCAATACCCTACGCAAACATTCAGTTGTTTTCTGTACTGGCAGATGATGACGACATTGGAGACCAAGGAACTGTAGGCTACAGCATAGTGGGAGACACAAGTGGTACCTTTGAGATCGACTCACAGACTGGAGTTGTGACAAACAAAGTTGAATTGCTCCCCACCAACATGCATGTTTTTGTCATTAGAGCATTTGATCACGGGAGCCCTCTGATGTCCAGTAATATCACAGTCCGTATTCGTGTCGATGACACCAGCAATCGCCCACTGTTTTCCAATGGAGAGAGTACCATCGAAATACCAGTGGCCGAGGATAAGAACAGCAAGACAGATCCCATCATTCAGGGCTTTTCGACTACCCCAGAGGCAGAGTCCTATCATCTGGTCTACTCCAACGCCAGTAAAGACATGTTCTCTATTGACATGGACAACAAATTGGTGCTTAACTCTCAGCTGGACTACGAGACAGCTTCGCAGTACCTGCTCATCATCGAGGCACGCAGTATCAGCAATGGCATACGGCTCTCTTCCTTCCTCATGGTTAACATCAAGGTGACTGATGTGAATGACAACGAGCCACGTTTCATGGACCTACCTGTCCAGGAAATCAGTGAACTGGCATCGCCTCTTACCGAAGTGTTCACAGTGGAAGCCACAGACGATGATTCTGGCAGTAATGCCGTCATAACCTATGCCATCACTGGTGGAAGTTTGCAAGCCTTTAACATAGATCAAACCACTGGAGTGGTTACACTGGCCAAGACCCTAGACCGTGAAACAACTCCTCGTTACAACCTTGTCATAAGAGCAACAGATGGTGGCGAACCTTCGAAACAAAACGAAACCACGGTCATCATCAATATCGTGGACGTGAACGACAACCCTCCTGTATTCGGTCAGGCAAACCACTCAATCTCAGTGTATGAATACCCTCACAGTCACATCGGGGACTCTATCATACTGATACAAGCCGAAGACACTGATGTTGGTTCGCTGAGCTACTACATAGAGCTTTTGAATGGTTCATTAGCAGGACTCCCGCGCATAGTTTCTTCCGACACTTTCAGCATTGACTTTGACACCGGGAACATTACGCTGCACCGTAAGCTCGACCGCGAGGAAGTTGACAGCTACTTTGTCAAAGTCGAGGCCAGAGACACAAACGAAATTCACACAGCAGTGGCTTACCTCACGGTTAAAGTTCTTGATGTCAACGACCATTCACCAGAGTTTGTCAACGGACAAAACGACGTGGTGACTGTCTATGAACTATGGCCTGAAAACACAATGGTGCTTGAAAGACAGCAGGTGAACGACAGAGACATAGGCCAGAACAGTCTCGTAAAGTACTCTCTCGGTGACGGATGGCCAGAGGGCCACTTCAAGATTCACCCATGGACAGGTGTTTTGAGAACCGCAATAAGCTCTTTTCCATTTGACGAAAGCATGGAAGAGTTTGTCGGGAAAATAAAGGCGGTGGATCAGGGAGTGCCTCCCAGGACAGCAGAGATGTCTGTCAGAGTGCGCATTCAGGATGTAAACAACCATCCTCCCGTTCTTGATGACACTCACTTCCATTTCGAGATATCGATTAATCACCCCACAACAGAACAAATCACAGCGTTCAACTACTCAGACGAATCTGACACCTCATTCAATACTGTTACCATGCTCAGGATACCCGACTACTACACAGTAGCCAACAATATGTTCATGATGGGTCCACAGCAACAAACCGAACAACAATTTGTCATGGAACTCAAAAGGCGTCTTTGATGAAAGTGACATAGGAGAGCATCAGTTCCGTATTGAGGCCATACAGCAGAGCATCATCCCTCTGCGTCCGCAGTACATCCAGGCCTCCTATGCTTTGTCGCTGTAGTCGTTCACCCAACCAACGACCATGCTCCAGAGTTTGCCAATGCTCAAGTTGACCATGAGGTATCGGAAAGCACTATGATTGGTGCAGAGATCGAAATTGACAATCTATTTGCCACAGATGCAGATGGCAATAGCATAACCTACAAAATTCTCACCAACAATGTTCCATTTGAGATATCTAGTCCAACTAGTCCCATAATCACCGTCACCGCAGAACTTGATGCAGACTCACCGGCCACTGCTAGCTACACACTAACAGTCCAAGCAAGCGACAATGGCTTCCCTGTGAAAAGCAGCACTGCCATGCTCAGGATAACTATCCTGGACACCAACGACATAGCTCCTGTGTTTGAAAAGGAGTCATACACTGGGATGGTGGCAGAAAACTCAGAAGTGGGGACTTTGGTCTTTAGTGTGTCTGCTGTTGATGGAGATTCAGCCTCCCTTGCGTACTCCATTGACTATCAAACCGACTGTGATCCCAACTGCTTTCCCTTCCAAATAGAACAAACCGGGGAAATAGTAACGGTCTCTGATATTGACTTTGAACAGGGGGAGAACTATGAGTTTAGAGTGGCTGTTACTGACAACACCCACACCACCTATGTACGTGGCACAATTTCAGTGATAGGAGAAAATGAATACAAACCCACATTCAAAGTCAAACTGTTCGAATTCAGGGTCACCGATGAAAGCCAGTCTTTTGTGGGAAGAATCGAAGCTAATGATCAAGACAGCGGTAATGAGGGGAGACTCCTCTTCAGATTTACTGATGCAATTGAAGAACATTATGATGTCTTGACACTCAATGAAACCACCGGTGAGATCTTCCTGTCAGATCTTCCCAGGATAGTCAGTTCAAGAAAGAGAGCCATAGAATATTTTGGGGATTTAGTGATAGTGACAAGAACAGTCGAAGTCCAGGACTCTGGTGATGCTCCTCAGAGTGACATTGCTGAAATCGCCGTATCTTTCGACAGCAGCTACTTTGAGGATAGGGTGGAAGGCACCTCTCCTGCTCCAGCTGGACCACCCTACGACATCATCATCATAGTTGTCCTAGCTGTCGTGGTGGTCATCGTGATGTGTCTGAGCGTGATGTTCATTGCCTACCTCTGTAGAAGACACAAGAACAGAAAGTTCAAAGTGGAGGATGCACAGTTGAATGCATCCCAGCAGAGGAGGATCAGAGATGACCGAGCGTTACTGCCGACACGAGAACGGGACGTCACTCGATTCAAAGACCGTTGCAACCACCAAGCTTCAGACTGGGAACTCTGCCTCTGGGAGTGAGCGCAGCTACACAGGAACAGCAGATGACGAGATGGACAGCGGAAACGAACGCTACCCCGGCCACTCTCCAAACCTGCCAAACAAGCCTCTCCAAAATGGCTCTCCTCGTGTGAGAAGCACCTCTGATCTTGCCAGCAGCGTTGGCACAGATGCTCTACACTCGCAGACCAACGAGCATCCCTACACAAAAGCCCAGCTAATGAGGATATATGCAGCAAATGAGGGTCTACTGGATGATAACATATCCCACGACAGCGTCCACATGTTTGGCTCAGAAGGAGGTGGCGAAGCAGACGGAGATCTAGACATCAACAACCTCATATTGCAGAAGATACATGACCTTGAAGACGATGAGGAGTCGACCACAATAATGGATGACGATGCCAGCACAACTTACAGTAAAGGAAGGGGACCCGTACTAACAGGATCAGTCGGCAATATTGATATGATGCCAACTGAAGACAGGGAGGACCCCCTCAATTACTCGGACACCACAAAGGGGTGGATTCCGCCAAATGGAAGACCGATAGACGAAACCATTGACGAGATCACAGCAACAAGCAGCTTTGCCAGTCAAGAGGAGCCCCTACCGAGACGGCATGGATATGACCTCGGCCCGTACAGCCACTCACAGGGGGCCTCTCTCTACAACCCATCGGCCACACAAGAGTCATTCATCGGCATCCAACAACCTCCGAAATTCTACAAAGACTCGAAGATGCACGATTACCCTCGACGGTACTACCCCGAGGAACACCACGAGAGACACCCGAGAGAGCGAGAACGAGACCGGCCAAGATACCAAATGTCTTCTCACAGATACGGATCTGCGTCTGTTCTTCCCGATTATCACCACCATCATCACCAGCACCATCACCGAGTCCCCGGACACCGGCAACACTACCGCTCTCAAGACCTGGTTCCGCCTTACACCAAGTACTCCCCCTATACCCCCGGAGCACGTAGACCACACCCCAACACCTACATGACTCCGACAGAGGGCACAGATGGGACGGTCACCCCTCAGACTGCGCTCACCGGTGACTACCACTATCTCTCCTCCTCCTCCACTTCACTTACTAGCACAAACGTCAGTGGAAATGGAAATCTTAGTCAACTGTCTCGACAGCCCCAGATGTACCACTGACCAACGTAAGCATAGAGCACTACACAAGACTCATGTACATAACATGCTACTAAGCCCACCAGTTATACAAGGGATAAGCACCATTTTGCATTGTTTTCGCAAGTTGTAAGCCAGTCACCCACAACATCCGTAGTTTTGCTGTACAGTGTACTGATACCATGTATGGCATCCCACAATGGCTGGGAAAAGGTTACCAAATACGTGAGGGGCAGTGGGGGACAAAGCTCCTTACTGGTCCAGTTAATTTTGGATATGGAGCAAAATTTGTTTATTCGCCTCTCTTTCTTATGTTTTTGCAGGTGACTCTTATGGTTAAATACATCTGGAATCATCCATATTTTTATTCTTCATACAATACAGCATTACTTGTCAATCTCATTAGTGTGTATACTTAAAATGTATTGCGCATGCTTCAGTTTCGTCTGTAATAATTTGAGTGTATTGTGTGGCAGTTTTGTGTAATAATCACATGAATCACTTTATAATTTACATTTGTACATACACTTGTGAGGTCACATAAACACACAGTACACTTACATACAAGTGAGGGTAAAGAGCATGTTGAGCTAAAGTATATAACTACTGAGTTATTTAGTCACTTGCCTCTGACTGTTTGTATCACCATAAAGGAAAGACAAAAGACGGTAATCACTGACTGCGACTTTGGATTGGATTCTTAGGATGTATGAACATCCTCAGAAAGTTGTGGTGGACAGGAGAATTCTCTTACCTTTGCCTTTCTGGCCATTTGCGTCCAATTGTCGTGAGGAGGGACGTTTCTGTGCTTCTCCATCAATCTTTGCACGCGCTGCTCTGAGTTTTCCTCGTAGCGGTGGGCCAGGTAGCCGACGCAGAAACCCACTGCAGTGCACGTGACGTGCAGCATGGGCTCTGCGTGCGGGAGGAGGACAGCCACCGCAACGATAAACACTCGTGGTGGGCACCAATTAGAATGCAGGTTTAGTGGGGCTTACTTCTCATTAGCGGGTATCTTCTGGCGGCGTTGCTGTACAGGGCGGTAAACAGCCCCCCAAATGTGAAGAATCCCCACGAACGCAGCATCTCCCCTCGCCGTCAGGCACCAAGAAACAGCTCAGAACTTTCGCTGGGGCCGTTCCGTGTCACGGATTGGGACTGAGACTAGACGGAAGTCAGCATTGGGCGGGGCTCGACATGGCGCGCTGTCGCGGTGGTGGTGTTTTTGCAGCTTTCTCTCTGTCTGCGGTGGGAGTTCTGCTGTTGAATTCTTCCGTCGTACACAGCCAGTTGCTTCCAGTTGTCATCAACACATGGCCGTTCGTAAACGCCAACTACAAAGGTACAGAATCGAGCTTAGCTAGCTAGCTAGCTAGCTGTGTGGGATCACGTGAGATGTCCATTTTGCTAAAGCTGTTCAAGTGGTGCTGAAGAACGGGTCTCACTTGGACGCAGTGGAGGCTGGCTGTTCCGAGTGTGAGGTGGAGCAGTGCGATGGCACAGTCGGCTATGGGGGAAGGTACGTGCATTGTGGGATGATGTCATATAATTACCCCATGTTGTGATAATTACAGTCCTGATGAAAAGGGTCAAACTACTCTCGATGCTATGATCATGGATGGGTGAGTAAAAAAATGTCACTAGATTTGTCACACTGACAAACAAGTCTAATAAATTGACAAGCCCTCATATTATTATTCATCACACTAATGTGGAGCAGAACATAGTGCCCTTGTAGAGGTGTCCTTTTCTGAGGTTTATCTCTTTCTTTCTGCCTCCCTCCAGAGTGACCCATGATGTGGGGTCAGTTGGGTGTCTGAAGGATATAAAGGAGGCAATATCTGTGGCACGCAGTGTCATGGAACACACAAACGAAACTCTTCTGGTGGGAGACGATGGTAATCGGTGCACAGTGGAACCTCGAACAAGGGACAAGATTATGTCCCTGTATATAGGGAGGTCGTCCCTGTCGGAGGTTCCACTGTAGATATAGGTCCCAGCAAGCCATAATGTGAATCACTGGTTATGAATCTCCATTGCAGCCACTGATTTCGCTGTTATGATGGGGTTTGTAAAGCAGGATCTGCAAACCAATAAATCAAGGTACAGTAGCTATATACGTGACAATAAGAGACAGTAAGATTGTATGGGATATAGGGAAGAGTACCAGCAGTGGTTGGAGAATAACTGCCAGCCCAACTACTGGAAAGAGGGAGTGAGTTTTATCTGAAAGCTCTGCTATTTGAGAAACACGGTGCTATAGTAAAAGCGCCTTTGATCCGCCCAAAAAACTTATTAATGGGAGTGCGGCAGCATACTTTTAGAGAACGTTACTAAAAACAGTAACGTAATTGCATTCTTGCACTGGGCCCTATTAAAAATTAAGCACAATGCACATTCGTTCCCCAGACTGTCACTCCAGATCCTGACAAGAGCTGTGGACCATACAAACCAATCAATGGGAACTGTGAAAATGATGATCCTGTATCTTCCACCCTATTGTCAGAGTACGCATGTCTGTTTCGCACTTTCACTACCAAAACTCTTTGTTCTTTAGTGTGAAACGTCCGGTGATAGACAGCAAGAACCATGATACCATTGGTAAGTATTAGCCTTTCCAAATGCTACAACTGCACGCAAACTCCAGCCATCAAAGGCACTCCAGTGCTTTATAAGAACCATTATGATTCCTACAGGCATGATCGTGATTGACGAAATGGGCAGAATAGCCTGTGGAACTTCCACCAACGGAGCCAGTCATAAGATCCCCGGGTATAGTCCCTTGGTTACCCAATAGAACTCATAATGTCCTTTGTCATTGGTGAGTAAAAGTCGTGAATCTTGTGTAGGGGGTGCCCTGGTAGTACACATCAATGGGTTTAGTATTTTGCTGTGACAGCATCGTGATGTCCATTCCAGACGAGTAGGAGATTCCCCCATTGCCGGTGCCGGTTGCTATGTCGACCAAGACGTGGGTGGGGCCGCTGCCACTGGAGATGGTGACCTAATGATGAGATTTCTCCCTGCGTAAGTTGCGACCCAATACCAGTTTCCAGACAATCATGTGACTGTCACGTGATAAGGTACCAGGCAGTAGAAGGAATGAAACAAGGGTTGACGCCTACTAAAGCAGTTCTCGAGGCCCTGAACAGAATCATTGCCTATCACCCTGACTTTAGTGGAGCACTGATTGCTGTGAATGTGACCGGACATTACGGTAATGTTGAGGGCAAACTACTTTTATTGAGCCGTTCACAAGACTCCTCATTGCCACTGCCATTCACTCATACATACCCTGTCACAGGTGCTGCATACCATGGGTTCTCGTCTTTCCACTATACTGTCTTTAATCCCGAACTGAAAAACTCTACAGTTATTAATGCAGAAGTATACTGAATTGCACCATATTAATATATTATTAATGATTCACCCTTATTGCGTGGGCGCCCATTTTTTAACCTTCTCGTGTCTCAGATGCTGATGCTCTACTATTATGCTAAAAGGGGCTCACTCCCCCAGTTACTCTATTGTTCTCTTTGTAGTGTAGCTAGACCGATTTCTGTGGGTAAACACCTTCACTCTGTATTGCCATTTGCCAGTGATGCTGCATTATTCCATAGTACACCTATATACCCTACGGAACGGGGGGAAACCCAATGTGAAGTGTGTGCATTAGTCCTGCGTCGATTATTCCAAGAATAATAGGTTGAAAGTTTCCAAGCGAGCGACGAGCCGGCAACTCGCGGAAGGGCGAAGTGCGAGTGGACACGCGTCACGCGCACGAGTGGGTCAAAACGGAACGGACTCCGACTCGGACAGGGAATCAGGGATAAAAACCACGTGTAGCGCTGCGTGCCAGAATGGCTCCCGTGCCCAAGAGCGGCGCGCCGCCGTGGTCACGTCATGTCATGTCATGCATGCATGCATCATCGATATCTGGATGGCGCGCGGCGTTGGGGGACGTGCCGATTTTTCCGAGCTCAGCCTAAGAGCATACCTACCAACCTGCAGATAAAGCTTTGCTTGAGAGATTTGGATGTTGTGGGTCTAATCAAAATGTATGGGCATGATCCATCACAGGATAGCACTGGATGGTTGGTATGTAAGAGCATGGCGAATGCAGGGCATTTTTGGGGAGCGAGAGCACTCCACGAGCCATCCTAGCTTATTAGTAATATCTCTCCATTTAGCATCAGCAATTGCTGCTGAAATAGCACGTCTATTAAAAATCAAGCAACTCTGGCACGCTATTACTACACTAATTTGGTGCACTTAGTCTACAGAGCCATTCTGGCACGGGAGCCATCCTGGCACGCTACAACCACGTGGATAAAATGGCGTCGACTTCCCATCGGGTGATGTTTTGTTATATTTATGTGCCTGCTCTGTATAGTACTGTTTTTTCATTTTTCAAGCAGAATAATAGGTAAATTTCTGTGAATAATGGGTAACTAAGAATAATAGGCATATGGAGTAGGAAATTCAGAATAGAATATCCGGACAAATTGTGGGAATAATAGTCTCAGGCCTAGTGTGTGCTTGAGGGGCTACGTTTAGTGGGCGTAGCTAACAGGCGGGCGTATAAAATGGAGCAGCTCGCTAAGCACAGACTGGCTCATACGACTATATAGGGCTACAATGGCGAATTGTGTGCCACCTGGCACGATCGGTGAAGTTCTACTGCAAAATCCCTCCAAGCGAGGTCTGGCCATCATAATCACCAACGACTATGGAGGTGCTGCAACGCTCACCGGTACGCGAAAGGACGGGGCTAGGATGCAACGCGTCTTCGAGGAGCTCCTAATCGCGACAATATGGAAGAAAAACGTCACAAGTGATGATCTACGCCGGCTTTTGCGGGAAATAGCTAACCCTCTATCTCCTTTTCCGAGGACCTACGAAAGCATCTCCTTCGTCTTTTCGGGCCACGGAGGCGAGAGGGACGTTTTGTGCATGCAAGACGGGAGTAAGATGCACATGCAAGAGATAGTCACCGCCTTTTTGCCGCGCCAAGCCCCCAACGTAGGAAATATTCCGAAGCTGTTTTTCATAGATGCATGTCGTGGCTCTGAAACCTTCCAGCCTGTTGTTGTACCTAGAACGGGCGGAAATGTGCAGGTAGATCGTCGACAGCGAAGTGGCACAAGAGACCGCGGTGCAACCGACAGAACGGTGTTTGTCCCTCCTGAAGGCAACACGATTATTGCCTACTCCAATATTTCGCGAAACAAAGCCATGGAGGGCAAGGAGGGTGGGGTGTGGATGAAGGCACTGGCAAAAATAATGGCCACCAGTAAGGAGAGCATTGAGAACGTACTAACAGAAGTTCGACGGGATCTCCAGCACATGTACCAAGACCCCAATTGGCGAGGACACATGCAGCTTCCCGAGACAATCAGCCACTTGCTAAGGCCAGTCTACCTCCACCCTGATGGTGCAGCACTACGTGGCGACCCTGTTCAGCAGCAACCGGCTAAGGTATCCCCACCAGGTAACTAATTGATCCGTTATAAAGGGACCTTTTCATAATGGCACCTCTACAGGTACTTTGACACAGAGGGATGAGAGGCATCCTGGGCACTACAAGGGGAGATTACTGCACCTGCAACAAAAGAACATCATCACTGATGTCACAGAGCGCTACGAAAAGAGCTTTGTGTGTGTCCTGTCGTTTGTCAAATGCTCCGACAGACGCAGATACGAATTCAGGAGTGAGGAATTCAGTGGAAAGCAAGAAGCAAAGGAATCTGCTGCAAGACGTGCAGTACTTTTCCTAGGTAAGAGATACTCTATACTATATAGTGCATGTAACAATAGACCATGTGATGCCAAGAGAAAAAAGATGCATCACGAGTTTATAAAGGCAGAGTTAGTGGATTGGGCCGCGGCAATGAAGCCAGCAAGCACCCATATCCTGCCAGCGCATACACATGTAACAATAGACCATGTGATGCCAAGAGAAAAAAGAGGCTCTAGCCAAACTCTTATAGGTTGAACACATGGCATAATGTATAGGAGTTGTGTGTGTAGGTACTGTATATAGCTAAGACAGCCAATCTGGAATGTACGGTGTGTGGTGGTACTTGATGGTTTGAAGAAGCTGCACAATGTATTATGTTCACAATGCAGATCTGGAGGCAAGAGGTGTTACTAACAGTCCACCACAACAACAGGCACCACCGAGAAACGCCCACAGTGTCAGCCCACCACAACCACCGTGCCAACAGAGAAAGGCAAATGCAACAGGACCCCTGCTGGCAGCACCAGCCCCTGTATCTCCTGCCAATAAGGATCCAAAGTCGAGGCTGAAGGAATACTGCGAGAAAAACAGGCTCCCTCGGCCAGTGTATGAGGTGGTGGAGTGTGGGGATGCGAGGCACCAGGTGAGAGTGAAAGTTTTTGGAAAAATCATTGACGGGGAGCTGAAAACCACAAAGAAAGAGGCCGATAAGTCTGCAGCGCAGAAAGCTCTAGCCAAACTCTTATAGGTTGAACACATGGCATAATGTATAGGAGTTGTGTGTGTAGGTACTGTATAGCTAAGACAGCCAATCTGGAATTGTACGATGTGCGTGAAAATAATAATGATAACTCAGTAAAAAGCGTCTGTGGATCAATTCTTTGCATTGGAAAATACGGTGCACAGCACCGATGATACTACAGTACATGAATAGTGGAGTTTAAAGGAGACCGAGATTAACTTTAAAGGTATTATTGGATTTAAAGAAGAAGATGATGAAGAAAAAAAACATGAAATCGGGTGAAATTGCATACGAACGAATTTTCGCCTGGAGAACTGAGGGCACACAGGAAGTCTTGGGGCATATGTATAGCTAGATATGGGCCCATAGACTATTGCTAGTGATTTTGAAAGCCTGGGGATTCATTTTCGCCGAGTTTTGAACGCTCAGATTTGACCTGTGCCATCAGCATCTACCGACATGCTCTAATAGTTGGGAAACATGGATAGCTACACACTCCAAAGTTTAGGCACATACCAAGCAGCTTGTGCTTAATCTGTGACACAATCTTGGTTTCTGCTGTAAATGAATAGTTAAATCTGGGTCTATATTCAAAACACGAACGGAAGGACAGGCTATCAAACCATCCTGAATACCTTGACTATAGCTGGAGAGTGCAGAGCAAACCACCCTCAATAGTTACTGTTAAAAATGGGATTGCCTAGACATACTATGCATAGCATTTTTGGTGAGCGGGAACGAGCACACAATGACTGTATCTGCACGAGCCATCCTAGCTAATTTACAACTTACATCTTGGAACCACGAAGGTTGAAAAGAGGTACAGCCTCGGTCAGGCATTGAAGAGCGCAGCAAATGCTGCTGAATGGACGATAGTTCTCTTGCTGGCTAGATTCGCATGGACATGACAGGGAGCGTGTAAAAATCATTTCATCACACAATCCCTATATTGTTGCCTAGGTGAAGTATTAAACACAATACTCAGAACTTATAAAACAAAAAAGTCATGCTACTGCGTAACCAACACCGTTGTAGAGTCCAAGTGGAGTTTAATTAAAGGGAATGTGGCAGTATAAATGTTACTAAAAACAGCAGGACCACGATGAAAGAATGCATGCTTTTAGTAACCTTCATCAATGGCCGTTTGTAAACGCCAACTACAAAGGTACAGAATCGAGCTTAGCTAGCTAGCTAGCTAGCTGTGTGGGATCACGTGAGATGTCCATTTTGCTAAAGCTGTTCAAGTGGTGCTGAAGAACGGGTCTCATTTGGATGCAGTGTGAAACGTCCAGTGATAGACAGCAAGAACCATGATACCATTGGTAAGTATTAGCCTTTCCAAATGCTACAACTGCACGCAAACTCCAGCCATCAAAGGCACTCCAGTGATTTTTTACCCTCGGCGCGCATGCGCAGCGAGGGTGGGTCTGTCTGTTTGTTACTCTACATCTCACCTCTCGAATGTCTGTTCGTCCCAGAAACGATACCATCTACCCAACGGGCGACGAAGGTCAGAAAATATGTGGGGTTTTCTCTGAAAATGCTCCGTTGCAAAGCTAGAGCGCTTCCAGCATTGTATGGCTAATGCCGTATTCGCCATTTTATCGCTGGCGGATAATGCGCATGCGCTTATATTTAGCACAAGTTCGAACGACCGGGTCCGCTTGCTCTGTGTATCTTGAAGGCACAAGAAGTCACAACGAATGGCGTGTATCGACTCTCGCGTGCTATCTACTACTGTAGCTAGCCCGTGTCAGACTCTCTGCGAGCTACTTCGCCTAGGGTTTGCACTTTCATTTACACTGTTCCCATTCAAGTAATGGTGGTGGTCTGATGGATAAGCACCCCCTCTCTTGATCGTGAGATCCTGGTTCGATCCCGGGCGTGTGCGCCTTTTTTACAATGATGTAATAAGGAGTGTTGGTATATATGGAACGTTTTTTCATCACCTCTCAAGGCCAGCCCGAGTGGCTAGGTGGTTAGAGTCGTGGGGACTGACACCATAGGTGCCCGGTTCGAATCCTCGATCCCGCACTAAAGTGTCAGGTGGTCCAGAGCATTGGCTGGGAACAGCTCTGGTTCCTCCCCTTACCCACAAATCTACCACTGACCCACGTTTCTCAAAGGGCAGCGTACAGTTCGGCATTGCACTGCGTCCGTAGACGTCTGTCTGGAGAGCTGAAGGGCTGGCCGTCAACCTTGGGTTTTAAAATTTTTTTTTGCCACTAAACAATCCACGGGTAATACGAAAATTAATACAGAGATAGGTTGGCAATTTTTCTACCTTATATATTTTTTGGGCCTCAAACAGAAATAGGGCTGCCCATTTTTTTTCAACCTATTGAATGGAAATGGTGCATAACATGCTGTTCTTTTTTATGCATGGTCAAGACCATCAATTGTGGTGGTGCCACACTTGTGTATGGGTTCCACATTTCTATAGAGTGTGCCGAGGGTTTGCACTTTAGTGCTTTTATCATACAAGAACCATTATGATTCTTACAGGCATGATCGTGATTGACGAAATGGGCAGAATAGCCTGTGGAACTTCCACCAACGGAGCCAGTCATAAGATCCCCGGGTATAGTCCCTTGGTTACCCAATAAAACTCATTATGTCCTTTGTCAATAGTGAGTAAAAGTCGTGAATCTTGTGTAGGGGGTGCCCTGGTAGTACACATCAATTGGTTTAGTATTTTGCTGCGACAGCATCGTGAGTTTTTGGGTGTCCATTCCAGACGAGTAGGAGATTCCCCCATTGCCGGTGCCGGTTGCTATGTCGACCAAGACGTGGGCGGGGCCGCTGCCACGGGAGATGGTGACCTAATGATGAGATTTCTCCCTGCGTAAGTTGCGACCCAATACCAGTTTCCAGACCATCATGTGACTGTCACCTGATAAGGTACCAGGCAGTAGAAGGAATGAAGCAAGGGTTGACCCCTACTAAAGCAGTTATGGAGGCCCTGAACAGAATCATTGCCTATCACCCTGACTTTAGTGGAGCACTGATTGCCGTGAATGTGTCCGGACATTACGGTAATGTTGAGGACAAACTACTTTTATTGACAAGGACGTTTACACATTCTTTTCATAGGTGCTGCATACCATGGATTCTCAACTTTCCAGTACACTGTGTTTAACCCCGAACTAAAAAACTCCACAGTCATTACTGCAGAGGTGTAATTAATCGTGCGCCCCTTTATTGTGTCCCACATGTTGCATAAAACACAGCATTGTATGTCATACATGAATCTAAACACACCACTACCTGTTGTCCAAACTCGTAATCAGTTAGCAAGAGCTTTCTCTGCTGCTGACTTTTCAGCTTCTTTTTTTGTGGTCTTCTTCTCTCCTTCGTAGGTTTTGTCGAAAACTTTTACTGTCGCCTGGAACATATCCATAACCTTATGTGTCTCATACACAGGCTGAGACGTATTAGGATCTTTGTCGCAAAGCTCCTTCAGCCTTGTCTTTGGATCCTTGGGACGGCATGTAGAGGCTGCTGCTATTGGTGGGGTGAAATTTCTTGTGGGAGCTGGTAGTTGTGGTAGGGGAGAGCCTCTGGTGGGAGCACTTGGCAATTGGCTGGCAGTAGCACCTGTTTTGTATGTGGGTATACACATGAGTGAGCACCACACAGTGAGTGTTGCCTATAATATTATACACTATACCTTACCTAGGGAAAGTACTGCACGCTTTGCAGCAGATTCCTTTGCTTCATTCTTCGTGCTGAACTGTTTTTCACTCTGGAATCTGCAGAAGCTTCCATCTGAACACATGTCAAATGTTAAAAGGCACACAAAGCTATTTTCATAGCATTCTTTTAGGTTTCTGATAATTTGCTTTTGTATTAGAGTCGAGAGTTTCGCCCTGTAATGTCCTGGATGATCTTGGTCTCTCTGTGTTGAAGTACCTTTTAAAGAACAATTATTTAATGCTTCTCACACATGTCTTAATACATACCAGATGGAGACGAATTGGCTGGTTGATCAGCATGTGCAGGTGGTGGTTGTCTCTCCCGGTTGAAATAAACTTTCTTTAGTAGACGGCTGACGGACTCTGAGAGTTGCATATGCTCAGGGCTTTTGTATTTACGATCTAGCTCTTCCCGCACCTCTGTCAGCACTACCTCAATACTCTCTTTGCTTCTCAACAGTGCGTTTGCCAATGCCGTCAACCATACTCCTCCTTCCTCGCTCTCATAAGCCATGTGATCTGGGATGCATGAGTAGGCAATGAGAAAGTTTCCCTTTTCAGGCACGTTGATGTGATTGGTTGCACCGCGGGGGCTAAGGTCCGAACTATGCGAAGTTGGAACAGAAACAGGTTTGATCTTTTTTGGGCCGCGGCAAGCATCAATAAAAAACAGCTTGGGAGTAACCCCTATTTTTGGTGCTTGGCCCGGGCAAAGTGCACGTACGATGTCGTTAACTTTCATTTTGACTCCATCTTGCAGAGAGAGTTCCTCGTTGTCCCCGTGGACTGCGAATACGAAGGAAATACTGTGGTAGCTTTGAGGGAGGGTATCAAGTTGCGCTATCTCGTTCAGTAGTCGTTTCATTTCGTCCCCAGTAACGTTTTTCTTCCACATGTTTGCAATTTCCAGTTTGTCGAAAACGTCTTGCATACGAGCGCCGTCTTTGTGGGTACCATTGAGAGTAGACAAGTCGGCGACATCCTTGTAGTCGTTGGTGACTATGATGGCAAGGCCTCGCTGTTCCGTATTTCGTCCAACAACCTCAGCAACGGAGCCAGCTTGTGGAGAGGACGCCATTAGCTACGCTGATCCACGAAAAATGAAAAATTACTCAAGAATGTTCACTCTGAGGGCGGGCATAGTAGCGAATTCACTAGCTATATTATACCCAACATAACCCTAAAAGGATCCACAGTGTCATTTTTGTGCGCCACAATTCATCATTAGGTCCCGTACATGATTCCCAATTGGGTAGCTACATATAGCCATGTGACGGTTCAGTAGAGCACTGAGTCCCCAGACACAGGTTCATCTCATAGTGGCCATTATAACTCTACTCTATATTATCATCGGTGCTGTGCACTGTATTTTCCAATCCATAAGGGGTTTTAAACCTGCTGACCCAAAGAAATGATCCACATGTACAATTCCACAAATTATTTTCACACATCGTACAATCCCAGATTGGCTGTGTTAGCTACTTACACACACAACTCCTATACATAATATGTTCAACCTACAAGAGTTTAGCTAGAGCCTTTTGCGCTGCAGACTTTTCGGCCTCTTTCTTTGCGGTTTTCAGCTCCCCGTAAAAGCTTTTTCCAGAAACTTTCACTCTCACCTGGTGCCTCGCATCCCCACACTCCACCACCTCATACACTGGCTGAGGGAGCCTGTTTTTCTCGCAGTATTCCTTCAGCCTCGACTTTGGATCCTTATTGGCAGGGGATACAGGGGCTGGTGCTGCCGGAGGGGGTCCTGTTGCATTTGCCTTTCCCTGTTGGCACGATGGTTGTGGTGGGCTGACACTGTGGGCGTTTCTCGGTGGTGCCTGTTGTCGTGGTGGACTGTTAGTAACACCTCTTGCCTCCAGATCTGCATCGTGAACATAATACATTGTGCACAAACCACAAGTACCACGTACACTATACAGTATATATAGAGTATCTCTTACCTAGGGAAAGTACTGCACGTCTTGCAGCAGATTCCTTTGCTTCTTGCTTTCCACTGAATTCCTCACTCCTGAATTCGTATCTGCGTCTGTCGGAGCATTTGACAAATGTCAGGACACACACAAAGCTCTTTTCGTAGCGCTCTGTGACATCAGTGATGATGTTCTTTTGTTGCAGGTGCAGTAATCTCCCCTTGTAGTGCCCACGATGCCTCTCATCCCTCTGTGTCAAAGTACCTGTAGAGGTGCTTTTATGAACAGATCCCTTTATAACTGATCGATTACTCACCTGGTGGGGATACATTAGCCGGTTGCTGCTGAACAGGGTTGCCACGCAGTGCTGCACCATCAGGGTGGAGGTAGACTGGCCTTAGCAAGTGGCTGATTGTCTCGGGAAGCTGCATGTGTCCTCGCCAATTGGGGTCCTGGTACATGTGCTGGAGATCACTACGGACTCCTGTTAGCACATTCTCGATGCTCTCCTTACTTTCAGCCATTCTTTTCGCCAGTGCCTTCATCCACACCCCACCCTCCTTGCCCTCCAGGGCTCTGTTTCGCGAAATATTAGAGTAGGCAATAATCGTGTTGCCTTCAGGAGGGACAAACACCGTCCTCATGTCGGTTGCACCGCGGTCTCTTGTGCCACTTCGCTGTGGACGATCTACCTGCACATTTCCGCCTGTTCTAGGTACAACAACAGGCTGGAAGGTTTCCGAGCCACGACATGCATCTATGAAAAAGAGCTTCGGAATATTTCCAACGTTGGGGGCTCGGCGCGGTAAAAAGGCGTTGACTATCTCTTGCATGTGCATCTTACTCCCGTCTTGCATGCACAAAACGTCCCCTTCACTTCCGTGGCCCGAATATACGAAAGAGATGCTCTCGTATGTCCTCGGAAGAGTAGGTATTTCCCGCAACAGCCGGCGTAGATCATCACCTGAGACGTTTTCCTTCCATAGGGTCGCGATTTGGAGTCCGTCGAAGACGCGTTGCATCCTAGCCCCGTCTTTTCGCGTACCGGCGAGCGCTGCAGCACCTCCATAGTCGTTGGTGATTATGATGGCCAGACCTCGCTTGGAGGGATTTTGCAGTAGAACTTCACTGATCGTGCCAGGTGGCACACAATTCGCCATTGTAGCCCTAATCAGTCAGTGTGCAGTGTACAGCGCGAGCGTTTTTATACGCCCGCGTATTAGCTACGCCCACTAAACGTAGCGGCGGTAGCTGTGCACAAAAACAACTTCACCTTGGGTTTTACCCACAGAAATCGTATATACACTAAAATAGAACAACAGAGTAACTGGGGTGGGTGAGCTCCATTTAGAATTATGTAGAGCATCATTTACACACCAGAAAAATATGTAACACAAACTTAAATATTACAGCAAAAGATGCTTACAAATGTTGATCAAAAAATAACTGCCATCAGTCATGCCTTTGTCACCAGTGATATAAATGCGGCAAGATTGTCTCTACGACCATCCCTTCAGGTCAAACGGCTCAAACACTGCGTATGAATTTGACGCAGCTATTCAGGTGGAATGTGTTTCTGGCATTTTGGAGTGTGTAGAAACACACCAACAAACTTGAATCGACTCCCATCGGACTTTTTTGCATATCCGTGAATCATATTAGACAGGGTCTCTCCCTTGAAAAAGGTTTCGTTTTCGGTATATCTTCTTTTTTTAGGAGTTGGTTGAGGGAAGGGGTTATCACTAGAACTACAAAGTCAGAATTCTCAACGTTTTCTATCAGCCATTTTGGTTTAGAGAGTACGTGTTTATCGTCCAGCTGTTTCTCATACGCTACGGCAATGTCATGTGATTGAAGGAATCCCGCAAACCTCTCCACCCTCTCTTCGTGTAATTTGATACGTTTCTCCTGGTCACCCTCATGGGCAGCGACTTCACGTTCGTAAGCTTCTTTCTGTGAGGCTGTCATATTATCTGGTGGCTTTATCTGTTCATACTCCCCTGGATTTCTTTGGGTAGATTACCAAAACCTTTTTCTTTCGTGATGTGTTTGATGTAGTACTGAGCGTTGATGCCCCATTATTGTAGGGGAGCTATGACCTGAAATGTGCTCTGTGCGAAGGTTAAAAATGGAATAGTAACTAAAATTTCTCTATGGACGTTTTAACATACGTCTTGAAGATCTTGAGGCAGTCGTGGTAGAAGCTGGGAGAGAGCGGGAGCTTTGATTGGGAGCATCTCTGAAAACATCCTCTCCTTGAGTATCTGAAAGTTGCATATATATACAAACAACTCAAAATACTAACGGAATACCGACAGCATAGGTGTGCTTAATTCTCACCTGGATTGGGATGTAAAAGTGGAGCACGTTCAGCTGATTTGTTTTTATCTTTCCTTCTTTTGATATAGCGGATACAGCAGCAGATACAGCAACCGAAAAACACCATCACCAAAATCAGAAACAGTGCTGCTACTATCCCAAGAACAATCCATAATTCGTCTGTAAGCGTTTATTAAGGTGATAACAGTTACACATTATGTAAGAAACATTGGAAGCTTACGTTTGGCGAAGAAGGTCTCCACGTGGATGTGACCGGTGCACTGATGGAGGGTTTCATTGGTGATCACTGAGCTACTATAGTTCACGCAGACACTGAAACGACCTAAGTCCTCAAACTTGATACTACACTTGGCAGTTACTTGATTAAGAACTATAGGCCTGCACTTCTCACTAGCAGGATACTTTTCAAACTCCGTCACATCATTTTTTACTACCACCACGTCTATGAACGCCGAGTAGTTATGAATGGTGCAGTCTATTTTGTCCCCGGGAACTATGCTATGTTGAGTGCAGATGATACTTGGTTTTCTGACAATGTCTGTGGAAGAAGAGGATTACATTAAAGCACAGCTCGTTTAGCAAAGTCGCAGCCTTCCTTTGCTAGCGGTTGAAATGGTTTCAGTATGCACAGGAACACGTGGACTCACGTGCATTGCTATGATACTGCACATGCACTATCGAGGGTCAAAGCTATGAATTACAGTGTGGTTATGTACTACCATACATAATGTGAATCACTCTACCAATGTTTTGGGGTGGCAAGGGCTACTCTAGTATCTGATTACAAATACTATCTGGCCTTGTTTGGGGGGAGAAAGGAAGTGGGAACTAACCTAGTTCATACATGGCACAACTTGAGTTGCCCGTTCCCACTGCCTCCACAGTGTAGTTGCCCGAATCCTTATACGTAGGATTGCGAATGTACAGATTTGCAGTGAATGAACAGTTTCCGTAGGGCTGTTCGAGTGCAGTTGAAAGAGTGTGATTTATTGGGATCGTCCTCATCGCATACGTCTTTACTCCCGTGACTCCACGTTGTAGAATAATAGAAACGTCCTGGCGGTCCCACGAATGCCGTATACAGCCATTGAGTAGCTTCAAGTGCAGTTTCAGCAATGACTGTTCTCTGATACTTTTGAACTGGTTGAGGCAAGTTTTCTGGCACACAATTGAATAGGTACAAGATAAACGTAGTATTCGCACAAGTACAGTTGCTGCACACTCGGACATTATAGTTTCCGTAGTCGGGATAGACTTTTAGGTCCCTCATTGTGAGAGAGGCGTTCAGTGAACTGTTTGAGAACACCGTGTGGTTAGAGAAGTTGCTGATAGAGTGATCAAGGGGGGATGGAAGCCTGGTCCAGGTGATATTCAGCTCCATTACATCACTCTCTGTGTGGAACACACGATACATCGTGGTACTTTCTCCTCTTGTTGCCTGAGGGTAGATGGGTGAGCCTTTACCCTGAGTGATTGGTGGACCTGCATACAGGTAGTAGACTTAGTGAAAAATACACGTTTGAAGTAGTTAGCTAACGGAACTCACAGTCGTCAGTTTCCAGCGAAGGTATCACAAATACGCCGAGTAAAAGGCGTAGAAGATGCCTGGCGGCTAACATAGTTTCGCATGCGACAAACAACAACTCCGTGCCGTAGAGGGAAGATCTGGGCTAGATAATGCTGACTCATGTAAGTGGGTGTGGCTCGTTGATTACGTCATAGCTAGCCAGCTAGATAAGATCTGGTCCACAGCTAGGAGCTCTTCCGTATCGCCATGAACAGTGGCAAGGACCTGCCGGAGCGCTTCGCCTTGAACGCCTGTTCGCCCCACTTACAAAAAGAAGGTGGGTCGTACTAGCATACTACGCCTGTGAGCGCGAGCTCATGCGCAAAAGCAAAATGAAAGTCACTGAGATGTTTTGCTCACGGTTTATTTGTACAGATGCTGGAGACACTAGTGGCATGGAGCGGCAGTCTTGCAGAAGTAAGCTGACTGGACGGTCAGTTGAAAGTAAGTTTTTATAGCTAAAGTTAGTAGCTTAGCTACTCTCAGCTGAGAGCTACGGGCTGAAGGGTGTTCCCCGGGGTATAACCCGCTGGCTGAGTATAGGCTCAGAGAGATGTTTCCTATTGACTGTGCTTAGAGTTGCCAGTAAGGTGTTGTAGCTAAATAACCAATGTAGAGCTTCAGTGCAAGGGTCAACTCATCTCGCCTCACTGTCTAAACATAGGGACCAGACGTGGGTGTAGGATTGCGTGTGATGGTGAAGGTGGAGCTCATTGGATTACCGATGATGGCAGAGAGGAAGAAAGTGGAGAGGACACTGCTGCAGACAGTGTCACACCGTGTACCGGTGGTGCTTGTGCTGAGGATGGAACATGTCGCTCAGATTCGGACTCCTGCAGTTTTACTGATGGTAATCCCACTCAGGCCGGCGGTCTAATAGCAATGGATTCCGAAGGCCGTCTAAGTCTCCAGCCTCATGATGGAGGTGAGTTCCACCGGTCCATCATTAGCAAACAAAGATCAATAATTATAGCTAGCTATATAGTGTGTGTTATGCTCACTGTGTATCATTCTATGCAGCGGTTTTTAACAAAATCATCGATGGAAAGTATTTCTACCTCCAAAATGACACATACACCGAGCTGTTTCTGGCTCTGAGCAAGGACGAGCGATTCTCCGTCAAAGGAATGGTTAGTTTTCACTCCACAATGCCTTGTGTATATACTAACCCACGCGGGTCTGATAAAAGATAGTTTTGACAGCAAATGGAAACCTCTCACTTTCAGAGTAAACAAGACATGAGGGACGAGTCTGATTCGCGCTGGAAGTTTCATTTCTTCAAAGATATCGGTGGCAACTCACCGCACGACCCTGGAGACATTGTCCTCCAATACTACGGCGATAGATTTGGCCCAGATCCGGACCAGAGCCCATATTACCTCGTCATTGAACTGACCCAGGACAGAGTTCCTGTGTTCAGGATTGCCAGCAAGAAAGTGGCAAAGTACTGCGGCCGTCTTGGAGTCATGCCACGATGAAACTTCTCTCATAATCATAGTTTTATACATTGACAAATTCATTTTTAATCAAGTGATCTGAGATACTGCAATGATTGCGTAGCTAGCTAATTACTATTCCCCTCTATCAAGGGGTTATGATGGGTTGTTGCTGCAACTATCTATGTAGCTAATTGAAACTTCGCTCCGTAGCTCTGTCTTATTGCCAAAACTGCAGCTTCACTAAAGTGGGCTTCCATATAAAACCGAGGGTCTATACCTCCAGCATTATGCCCCCATTCATCTCGTCCTATAATACCACCGCCACTCACTTCTCCCCACAGTCCAGTGTGTTGAATGTTAGCTGTATATAGAATGGACAATTCGGAAACTTGACTAAGTTAGGGCATACAAAACTCACCGCTGGGCGCTGATACAGTTTTTGGAGCGTTAACCCCAGTACCATGATCACATTCTGCTGTGAGAGAGGGATGAGATCAAACACACCAGGTTACTACATACTTCTTTACTCACCTAACTTTGGGGAGGACCCAGGGATTCTCCCCTCCATGTGATCTATAGGAGTTTTTATACACCATGAATATTGCTAGCTGTACTAACATGGGTGTGACCAGGCACACTGGCAGGACCGCTAGCCTTCCTGCCTGGGGCCATCAACAGGGCTAACTGCTGGTATAATGGCAGTCTGGGAAACCAAATTGGACCTCATAGCCTCAATTCCTACATCCCTATCAGTGCTACATAGCCATGCTGTCATTATAGATCCTGTTTCCAGGTGACCTGTGGCTTTATGTATGTTTCACAACCAGGAACTTCCTTTGCAAGCCTTCCTGTTAATTTCCACCACAGAGGCTAACTATCACATAGTTTGTGCAGCCTGCTAACCAAACTTGGAAACTCCTGGCTAACCAAACTTGGTAATTCATGGCTTCAGTTAGCTACCTTTTGGTGATCCAGTGCCTGTTATGATGCGCAACAAGTTTGATCCCGACATTCTTGTATTACAGGAACTACTTTTGCATGCTTCCTACCTCAGTTTCTAAGAGGCTAATACAAAGTAGTAATAATGTAGGCAACCCATAGATTGTCCTAAAACCCTGATAATTTAATAAAATTCGATATACTAGTCCTTAGCAATTGACACACTCTTTTTGGACAGCTGCAATGAAAATATGGTTCGCCCTGCTATCACTGCTCAAAACAGCACATAATGTGCCCCCTTATTAGTAGCTTGGGCATGGCAGCCTGCTTATTATACCGTGACTATGAACCTCATACCTTAAGTAGAGTATAGTTCTGGCAAACTGACCGTGAAATGCACCCCCTTGTTTGAATAGACCGAAATCTTCACTTGGAGCCTTGGTTCTGTCCTTCCTCTGACCTACAGCAGCAACTCTTACATAGAGCACCATAAGTACAGCCACCAGAAGGACTATGAGTGTAACCTCTGCCAGCACTCCCAACACCACTCTCTGGGAGTTCCCTGAAAACACATTTTGAAAGAGCACAAAGTGTACTATTTTGATAAACAGCCACAGGGTCGATCCCCTTACTATGGGAATGTCTTACCAGGTATTACAGTTATTCTATCAGAGCAGTGTAGCTGTGATGTGGTAGGGTCGAAGTAGCCAGCACACAGTTGGTAGTCTCTCTTGCCAGAGTGAAGGGAGGATGAGATGCTGACAGTGCAGGTGGCCTGGGATCTGTCTTGTGCATGAGCCTCACAGCCTAATGAGATACCACGAGTCGACTCATTGTGCTCTATTCTGTCGTCCTCTACCACCACAACTTGTACATAGTCTGAAATAGTTAGAGATATGACACGTAAATATGGAATTTCCTATATTATCTCTAGTTAGTTGTCCAGGGGAACATAAATTGGTCCGTTTCTCTCTTGAAATATCTGTAGAACACAAATGTAATACTGGTAATCAAGGGTGGATTAACCCTTATATATATGCAATTATATATATGCCCATAACCTCCATAAGTCCATAAGAATTTATATATGGCTATAATACTAGGCGTTAATATGTTATACATCAATTTATGCTTGGATACCCATAGCTGCCAACTTTGACTTGGGGAATTTCCCAGGTTATTTCCCATGCTGTTGAATAAAGCACTATTATGATTTGGCTTCCTAAGTCCAACTCATAGGTCTTGTCACTTCCTCTAGCTCACTATGCAGTCTTGCAAAAGGCCCAGAATGTCACATGATGCTCTTACCTACCTTGACACCCATAATATTACCAGCCTAGCATGCAGTTGTAAGAATTCAGAACTCACCTACGTGGATAGTTGAGTTGCGACTGGCTGAACCACCCCCTATAGCTTGCACTGTGTAGTTGCCTGAATTCTTTATTGTATAACCGTTGATATAGAGGTTTGCCGAGAATAGGCAGTCCCCTAGAATTGTCCTGTTGCAAGTAAAGAGAGCTGAACTTTGTTTCGTAGTTCCCTCAAAACAGAGGTCTTTCCCATTGTGTGTCCAGTCAGTGTTGTAGAAAAAGGTGTTCGTGCTCCCGTTAAAAATTGAATACAAATACAGGACTGTAGAAAATGAATCCGTGATGTTTATGTTCTCGTACTGTTCCACTGGCTCTGGTAATGCGGTTGGATCACATTTGAAGAGTTGCAGCACAAACGTTGTTTTGTTACACGTACAGTTGCTACAGACAGTTACAGTATATCTCCCTACGTCAGGAAACAGCATTAGGTCCCGTACTGTGATTGATGCTCTAACGGTTCCTTTTGAGAGTGAGTTGTTTATTTGATAGCGGCCGTTTGACAAGGAAAGACTCGAGGGCTCACGGACCCAAGTTATGTTTACTGTGGGAGGATTGCCTAACGTGTGAAAGACTCTATACATGGTCACGTTCCCTCCCTTTGTCCTTTGAGGAAAGAGTGGGGATCCTTCACCAGGGACGATAGGGGGACCTATGGTAACAAAACAAGTACTAATAACTAAGCTGTCCACTTGTGGATGTCTGTATGAAGTAAAAGGATCATACACTGTCCTACAGTCTTACAGTTTCTATACGACGACTGTGTAGGTACTATCGATAACACCAACACGAAGACCGTCGGAAGCAGTAGTTGTCGCCGCCACGGGTTCCACCCGCAGACGAATGAGCTTTCTGCATTACAACCATCGACATAAGCTCAAAACAAAGTTCCACTACGGCCCACCTTTCGCCATAATCCCGCCGTTTTTTCTGAGCGTCTTCTACGTCCACCCGGTGTACCAGCGTCCTGCGGCACTACACGTACGCATGAGGGCGGCGGGGGGCGTGCGCTCGGCACAATAATTATTTAATTATACCGTCCCGCGTGGCCAGGGCGCGGATAAAAGGCGGATCGCTGCGCCCCTTCATCATAATTGCCGAGATTTATCACTCGTATCAAAGATGTCTGCACAGACGGAGTTTATGCCCTCCACTACTGCAATGGAGCTGAGTAGATTCGCTTCCGACGGACGCGACGTTCCGCGTGACACACAGCCTCTCTGGGGACTGTTAGAACTTGGAGCCGAATTCTTATCTTCTTTATCCCCTTCTCCAACCGGTTAGTGTATGATGTATGCCTCGCCGACGCGCTATCCGTGGGTAAAATCACCAGAGCTCGCGTAGACGCCTTCCTCGGGAGGGAAGCTGCGGGAGGGGGGGGAAACCCTGAGGGGGTCCCCTGGGTATTACCCTCTTCGTAATGCTCTAATCCCCTGGGTATTACCCCGTTCGTAATGCTCTAATGCTACGTCTGGATGTTTTTGCCCCCTCTCCCAATCCCTAGACCAGGATTCCTGTGATGGAGGTGGTCTCTCCCGGCCTTGTGCAACGTCCTACACCATCACAACCCCCACCTCTGATCTAATAGCCCGAGGCAACCTCCAGGAGGCCAGGAGGGTCAGTTTCGCTGATGAAAACAAGTCAGATGGAAAAGGACAAATTTGCATGGATCCCATCACTGGAGAACTAGGACTGACTGATGGAACAACTACTGGAGGTTAGTATATATACATCAAGACCAGAGTATAGAACTCTCATTTATTTTGTGGGTCTACCCTGTGTTTCAATGCAGAAATATTCTCCATGGAACACAAGTTTTGGATAAATGGGAAGAAAGGAGAGTGTTTCTTGCTGAGGGGCTCGAGTAACCCTCTCTTCTATCTCGCTCTGGATAGTTGCTCCAGTGACTTCACAGTACGGGGAATGGTAAGTGGAATCCCGTGCTGTACTTATATACCAGTATTTAGAGGTGTAGTCTATTTACGTAGGCTAGTATGGAGAATTTGAACTTCTTTCTTGCAGAGACTTGCGAACCTAAAAGATGCCACAGACTGCTACTGGACTTACGAGTTTTACCACAAGCTGTGTCGCTGTTCCACCAGCAAACGCTACATATCACTCAGATACTACGGCAACCGCTTTGGCGATCCTAGCAAGGCACCACACTACCTCATCATCGAACCGAAGGACAAAGCATTCACGTTTACTATCGGCCCGCCCAAGAAGGCAGTCCAACATGGCGCTCTAGGACCTATCTTACATTAGCTTCCAACTCGATTGGCAAGCAATTGGAAAAAGAACCCTCCCGATCATCCTTCCTTAGAAGTTTTTATTTTTTTTACTTATTGTGGTGTGAAATGAAAAGACTTTGTGGTTGTAAATATTGTGCATGGTGACATGACATAAGCGCTGAGTGAGCAGGGGTGCTGTGGTTAAGCTCAGATAGCGCACAGTATAATTATACCAACTACCTGCGGTACATAAGGGATTCCCCCTGGATTTCCCCTAGTGGGTGGGGCTGGTACATAAGGGGATTCCCCGGGATTTCCCCTCCAGTGGGGGGGAGGCATAACAATGACAATGCAGAAGATGCCATGCATTTCTAAGAGATCAGAGATCAGCAATTGAAATGTACATAGTGTTTACTGTACACTCTCAAGGGTTAAAATGGTATTTTCAAGCTCTAGTGTACTTGTTCAGTACCAACAATGTTAACAATGTCCTGAGTGAGCTCAGTCCCCATCTTCTCCTCAATGATCCTCACCAGACTCTGCCTGGTGGGCGGTGTCGGTTGCTGCTGGTGCCACGTGAGCAACATCTGGAACTTCTGCTCCTCGTAGTCCCCCCTGTAGTTCTCAGAGATGGCCACAATGACTGGCTCAGAGAGACGGAGGTAGCGGGCGAGGATGGGCCAACGTGGGATTGCCTTGGCTATGTGGACTAGCTCCTCCCTCTCCAGATGACCAGGACGAACTGCCCTCCACAGTAGACCACTTCCAGAGCCTTGGCCTGGACGTTGAATGCTGGTGGTGTATCAATTTTCATAAAGCAAAGGAGCTTACCATTTGTGCTGGTGGTAGTGCCGCTAGGTTGGTAGTCTCGCTCTACACTGGGATCCACTACTATAGTTGCATGGTGATAGCAGGCATAAAACAGAATATACTGGTTAAAGCGTTCTTCTGTGCCTCTCTGTAGGGACACTGGTATCAACGCTTACTTTGCTGTACTTGCAATGCATCCCTCATTACATGTATGGCATCTTATAGAGTATATACTACTACATTATTAATTGGTATGGAGTCCAGCTGTCTAGGTTTACTATGATAGTGAGTACCTGGTGAGGTTGGTTTCCTGGGTGAGGTTGGTTTCCTGGGAGACTTGACCTTTACACTGGGCCCTGGTGTATGTACATACAAAGTGTTTAGCTCATGAATACGTCCAAAAGTTACATACCTGTAGCACGGTCTCTTTGTAAGGTTAAGTCTGTTTGCGTGTGCGATGAGGTTGAAAGACCTGTATATACACAACTCTCATGATACAACCTGCAGGCTCAGTATAGTACTTGGATTGACTATTATACTGCTCGGCTTACACTATGTTATCTTGCTGATTCTGTGTAAGCATGCACCAAATTGTACAGTTTACACTGCCCTTGGGAGTGAATTTTACTGTGATATCACCAAAAAACATGGGTCATTATGAATAATGTACCATCTGATGGGTGAAGTAAGGGTCTAGTTGCATCATTGGCTGCCAGTGTGGCTGAAGATGATGCTGCAGAAGATCTTCTGTGACGAACCACACAGATGAATAACGGAACCAGCAGAAGGAGCAAAAACACTACAGAGGCACCAGCTATTAGGCCGATCGTGAGACTCTGGCTATCTGCATGATAAACAGACCAAAACAAACACAAAGTTAGAGACACACACAGGGCTCAGAATTACTCATGCACAAGCTATTAGGTCAAGATCGTAAGGCTCTGGCTGTAAAAACCATGAATATAGAGACACGGGCTGAGTGGAGGGATCAAATTACTGCATACGAATAATGGCACAGGTCATTGGCATTCACAAACCCACTGAAGCATTGGTGTTACATGAGGAAATGCGGTACTTTGTTCCCTGCACTACTACTATATCTGTGTAGGTGTATATCTATACATGAATGTGTGTTGCTGTGAAGCTCTAACTTGATGTCCCGGAGAAAGTGACTGTGATGGTGTCCGAGCACTGAAGTGGTGTTTGGTGGACTACGGAGTCGTTGTAGCCAGCACACAGTTGGTAGTCTCTCTTGCCAGAGTGAAGGGAGGATGAGATGCTGACAGTACAGGTGGCCTGGGATCTGTCTTGTGCGTGAGCCTCACAGCCAAATAAGACACCCTGAGTCGACTCATTGTACTCTGTTCTGTCGTCCTCTACCACCACAACTTGTACATAGTCTGAATAGTTTGAGAGCTGACATTGAAACTCTGCGTGTCCTTTTGAATCAGTTTTGAGGGATCCACTAGTGCAGGATTGTACCTGGGGTTGCCTCACAATACCTGACACACACAAACTGAAATAGAGAGAGTCCGAGAGGAATTAAAAAAACAGTCAACTTACTCAGATTAATAATAGATGAATTGCCCCTATCATCACCATCAATAGCAAACACACTGTACTGCCCAGAGCTGGCAGAAGAGGGACTTAGTATCCATAGATTTGCCTGGAACCAACATGCACCCAACACTGTTCTGTCGCAGTTGAAATTCTTATTATCGTCTGACTGCTCCAGGCATATCTCTGAGTCTTCCAACATCCAGAGGGCCACGTAATCTCCGTCACTTGCACCGCGAAAAGTGGCCGTTAGCTGCAGAAATCTCCCACATTAGGCTCAGCAACAGCCGTCGAGTTTTGCAGAATTATCGGTTGAGGTTTGCTATACTGGGTGCAGGTGGAATCGACGTCCAAACTGAAGACTGTCTTATTAGACACGCCGCATTCATTGGAGGCCGTCACAGTGTATTTTTCCCTTGCCCGGTACAACCTGGATATTCCAGAGTACTAGTGAAGCCTTTAGTACTCTGCTATCAAGGATAGTGTTCTCTATTCTGAAGTTATGAGTTGTAGGATCAAGGGGATAGGGTATTCGAGTCCACGTGATATTGAGGTCTTGGATATTTCCATCGGTGACAAACTCCTGGTAGATTGTGTAGTTAGTGCCATTTCTCACAACAGGCACACTAGTAGAGCGCTGGGACAGGGTTATGTTGGGACCTAAACACATACACACAATGTATGATGGTTGAGAAGGCAGTGTAACTTGCATTCTGAAGGAGACTCAGCAATGATGCGAGCGAGGGAGCAAACAGCCAGTAGCAGTAGCGCTGAAAGGGGCATTAGAGTAGTACTAGAGATCAATGCTGGCTACGAGCCTACTTGAAAACGGCGATGACATTGCTGCGTTTCACGTCTCACACAGGTGTTAGCGTAGCCAGCAAGCCCCCACGCGCGCATGCGTGCAAACAGTAAGGGCCGTTTTGCAGAAGCTCCCTGCCTGGGGGTCAAACTTCAGCTGGTCGAGTCGCACAGACGTGGAAAAGCATGGAATGCAGTAAGCCATCTTGCATGCCTCCGGAACTCTATCTCGACTATCATTCTAGCTGTTTCAGCAGCGGAAGTAGAGCGATGCGTTGAGGTCTTATCTGTATCAACGCGAGTGTTAGCGTCGTCGGACGGAGGTAGTACCAGCTCCGGGCGCAACCTCGTGCTGATAAAAGGCCAAGGAAGAGGCCAAGGTCTTGTCAAAATGGAAGATGACGGCAGACTCCTGTTTGCAGATCCAGACAAAGAAACGGAAGGGGGTTTGTTTGGCTATCTCATTACAGCTAATATTATTCTGCGTGTGTTACTCTTTCAGAGTGTTTTATTCGCCGAAACCATTACGCGAACAGGAGTTTTGTCGTCTGTACATTTGAGAGTGAAGATTACTTTCGTAGCTATATCTGGGCAAACACCAAGACCAACGATTTCACAGTGTCTGGAATGGTAAGTTTTAGATAGGTGAAACTGATGGAATCTCCACTGTATTCCCTGTAACATCCCAGTAGACAACTCGATAATAGGTTTTCACTACAGATGTAAACTTCCTCACAGGAAGCGCAGGACTTGCAGGTTGCTTACTGGAGGACGGTTCACTACTATAAAGTGACTGGTAACATTGAACACTACAACAGGATGAACGGTGACCCATGGTACTGTCTCCAGTACTGGGGAGACGAGCGATACAGGACAACTAAACTGGAAGATGGTCTGTTTATGGTAGCTGAGGGCACAGGCACAACAGCCAAGTTTGCCCTCAGATCTCTCAAAGAACTCAAGGACAAGAAAAATGGAATTTTTAGCTTTACTTCAGTAACACATTAAACTTACACAAACCCTGCAAATTTCCAGACTTCATGTCTGCAATGAATAGTATTGTGTATAATAATATAAGCATGCCTCTGTCACATGCAAAACGGTAGCTGATAAATGATTTCCACCATTATCATAATTATTATCTACCAAACAATGCAAACTCTTTGAAGTGTTGCCTGAATACTGTATGCTGACTAATCACCACATGAGCTAAAGTACACTGGCAAGTTTTTGCTGATGCACACTACAGTGTGAAGACTAAAAACGTTCTAAAAACTAAACAGTGAATGGAGGGGTTAGTTAAACACAGTCTATGACAACATGGACTGTGCCCGTGGCTTGCCGCTCTCACTCAGCTGGTTGTCCATCACTGCTAGAGAATTCTCCACGTCTCTTGCCAGTTGAGGATCCTGCAGTTTCTCTTCAATGACTCGGATCAGAGTTTGGCGCGTAGGCGGAGACCCCTTCCCCTGAAACCACTTCAGAAGGCACTGGAACTTTTGTTCGCTGTAGTCGTGGCTGTAGTCGGCTTCAATGGCGGTTATGTCTGCTTCGCTGAGGCCCAGTTTGCGAGCCAGCGCTTGCCAGTGGACGACCTTCTGTGAGACTGTGACCAAGTCAACCCTGGTGAGTTTCTGCCGCGGGTTCCTCATCCTCTTCCACAGACATGGTGACTGTGCTGATGAGAAGCCCGCCTCAACACTCGGGCCAACTGTGTGGGTAAGAGTTTACACTAGAGTTCACCTACTACTCACCCACTGTGTAAACCAGATGGCTTGTTTCTTATTTGGTTAACTGACTTAACTATTAAGATAATTATATACTACAGTTTGGGTTGTAAGTCAGTTTTCACCAACCAGAGGGTCCAGGACATTGGTCGAGAAAAGAGAGAGACCCATAAACCAAAGCACAGTAGCTATAGCTACATACTTCGATGACTTGGATGTAGCTATCTCACAGGTACACTTACTTTCAACAGATTCAGTCACTTGAATCACTGCTCCAACTGCAAAGAAGTGAGGTGTAATGAGGTTTAAGTCATTCAATTATAATCACCTTTGTGTTGGCTGGTTTGGATGCTGATGCTGGTTGAAGTTTTGACGGTTTTTGGGCGACAGATGCAAACATACAGAACAATACCAACTGTGGCACCAATAGTAGCTAGTAGAAACAACACGCTAACTGAAATGATGACAATTTTGTCTCTGGTACTCAGTCCTGACGAATCTAGTAGACAAAACGAGGGATCCTAAAACGACGTTAGCATATGTGCTTACTGGTATAGAAATGAACTTATGTATTATATAGATGATATACAGATGTGAGATATACACCTGCACTCACACATACCTTTATCTTCAGTTGAATAGAAAGCTGCAGAATATACACAGGTACTCATGAACCTTAGCCACAGATTACTACCGAGCATGCATTGCTTACATAAAAGGACATGAGCCGCCGGTCCGTCTGTGGCACCTACGGAATAGTTCCCTGAGTCAGCCATAGTACAATTGATAATTGAGAGCCATATTGTGCTGTTGCAAGTGTCAGGGTCATTGGTGATCCATCCACATGTGTACCGACCCATCTTTAGTGTCTGACCAGCCGTGTGACAAACTCTTTCATCTCTTGAATTGTTCCACTGAAACGTAAAAGCTTTGTCTCGTACTCCTCCGATGAAAGTCACGTTCATTCGAGGACACATTGCCACCTCGTAAAACGTGTAGTGTATCTGCGTCTCTGTTGGTGCGGGGATATCACCGGTGCACATTGGACCTGATATACCCAAAGAGAAATAACCACTCTTCACAGGAGACCGGCCTGGACAGCCCTCGAGTGTCAGAAACACCGTGTACTCAGGATCCTCGTCCAGGCCTTTTTGAATGTCGTGTAGAGTCAGTGATGCATTTACAGCCACCTCACAACTGGTCTGTGTTCTCTCGAAGCTGCAAGTGAGTGACTGATTGTGGTTCTTGAGTGGAAGGACGCGATGCCACTCAGAAGACAAGCCAAGCTCTGCACACGATGAAGAGTCAGTGGTTGAATTGCACTCGCTGTCCAAGGGGAGCGAGAGGGTATATAGCTGCCATAGTGTTACAGTCGTGCCAGAAAATAATGTCAGTTGCGAGCATATGGCATGATGGTCAGGATATTGAGTGGAAAATCGGTCAACGTCACAATCGATAGCTGACACTGAGATGTTATTACCTGCGCAGGGGAGTCGAGCCAATGGTAATTGCACGCATGAGGCCTTACGTACATAGTGCAATAGCTACGTAAGCTAGTTACTCACACAAGTCTCCACTGAGTGATACTCCAAGTGTGCCTGTACACAGTAAAGACACGGGTTTTAGCGCGTGAAGGAATTCTACAATATCGATTGCTAATTACCATCAATCAGAGCACAGAGGAGTAGTCCTGCTCCCAGCAGAAGAGCTCGGCAGGGACCCATGTTTCGCCAAAACTACCGCACAGAAGCAACACTACGCGCATGCGCAGTGAGTGTTACGTTTTAGGGCGTTGCAATCTTCGTGGAACATCGTCACTGAGTTTACACACAATCAATTGAGCTGAAATACACCGTAGTCTCCGACAAATGAAAAACTTTCAAGTCTAAATTCCCCTTTCCTTTTGATGACAAGAAACAAACCGTTCTGCAGCCGGTCTTTGCTGTGTTTCTTGCTCCAGAACTGAAGAACAACCCCATCTCTCTCTTTCAGACTGGTGTCTTGGAATATCTTCTCACACGGTATCACTCTCCAGTGACATGCAGTCACATCTGATGAATCCGCCTGCCAACGGTAATGTATTTTGCAATTGGCACCGTCGCATCATGTATTATGCTACATGCGTAGTATTATTTGCCAACATCCAGTATTGGGAAGTCCATTATTATGGTGATTGTGTTAGCTAACACTTACTCTGCCATCCACCACCCCACTGTCGGCATGCCCGGTGAGATAGCAGTCCAGAGTACTGCTGCGAAGCATGGCAATATTGAGAACCTGGTCCACCACAATCTTCACCATCCCTGCAGACAACCATCATGAATGAAAAATTCTTCTAGTAAAATTTTGGGATGTAATATTATGAAGACTCGAAGGTTAAGGTAAAGCTGTGGGCATGGCAAACAAATCCACAGACAGTAGGTAATAATTATGTAAGACAGATGTGGAGATGTGGTATTAGTGCATGCAGAATGTGTACTGACTGTATGTGTGTATGCTGTACTTGTGCGCATGTGCAGTCTGTTGTATATAAGTGTGTTGTACGCTGTTTATAGAGTCTTTGTACTCGTATCACAAACTGGTGAACTACGGTGCGTGCTAGCGGGCTATACACGCCAGAGTTACACGTTACTACATGGTGGCAGCGGTCACCTAACGGTTAGCCACTCTGTTTCTTTGGCATCACATATATACCAGTCTAAGTTCCAGTGAACATGAAGTAGATTTGAAGGTGAAGTAAAACACAGTTATAAAATTTTGTCATCCACGTATTGTAAGTGTAATGATTAGTAACCATGGACTAATAGGTGGCTATAAAGTCAGGAGGTGAGATTACGAACCAATTTGGAAACTCTGACTGACGTCAACGTCTCCTCTGCCACTGACAATCCCTACGTAGCCTCCCACCACCACATCATCGCCACTCTCTGTGACTCCACTGGGCCGCCAGGAGATGGTGACAGGGACTCCGCACTCCTCCTGATGACGACTCATGATCTCAAAGGTCCTGAGGAGAGAGGTGATCTTGTGGTTGTCCATGTAGGCCGACAACACCCGCTTCTTCTTGGGCTGGAGATAGTGCTCCACCGAATCCACTCTCCACCTCGAATCAACTGCAAAAATCACAAAAATAAAAACCGAGTTCTGCTGTAACTTGTGTAGCCATCACTGACCGGCTTTTGAATTGTCAGTGGAATGCTTTTCTTTTGCATTTTTCTGCTCAATTTCCTCCACTTCCTGGAACCACTCCCCACCGTCGAGACACACTTTTTAAAAGACATAAACGGGCGCTATTCATGGCTAGCTACATAAGTATAATACAGACGTACGTGGGTTGATGAAGACGGGAGCAAGACGAAGATGAATGGACGGGGTGGTCTGAAACTTGCCGTATACGTGTACCACCAGTGGCTCGTATTGCCACGGTGCACCATGACTAGGAATTACTTCGTGTCCACCGCTAGTCATTTTTATTGTGCTCAGTTTACGACTGAGTCAGCGTCTTCTGTTTGCGTATTAGCTATACTGCGAGGTAAAAACCCAACCTCTAGAGCGTGGACTTTACATACTCATACTAGCTAACAGTAGTGGTCGCCGACGATATTCATCTAGATACGTACTCTGTGCATGGCAGGATTGGTGTTGTGACTGAGGACGGAGAGAGCTGTTGGCACAAACATAAGGCATTTTATGGTCATATATACCGCCAATAATAATTAAGCGGGGGCGTAGGACTGCTCGCAGGCGGCGCGTGCGCATAAATTTTGTAGAAAAAAGGGGGCGGACTATAAATTATAGCTCAGCTAGCTAGCTAAGCTATATGGAGCGGGGAGGTGATGGGATTGTTTGATGTAGCTTTATTCTTCACGTTAGGAATCATACAACTAGGACTATTTTTACTATGGGGGAAGATAAAGAAGAAAATCAAGTCGATTGTAAGCAGCGACAACGTCCGGTTAGAGACAACCCTGCATGTCCCGAGAGGACGGTGAGTCGGTGATCTTGCAATACATTTTTCTGCAGTGATGACACACCAACACAAGTTCGGTTACTCTGGAGCTTCCATGGAGATCACCCCATTGGAATGAAGGACGATGGAACGTTATACCTTCCTCGAAGAGGAGCAGGTTAGCTGGTCACAAACCATGTGTCCAGTAGCTTTTTGGGCGCCATAGGTGTCTCCTTAAATAAGCAGAAATTGATGTATAACATATTAGCGCCTAGTATTATAGCCATATATAAATTCTTATGCACTTATGGAGGCTCTGTGCATATATGTAAATGGCGCCCAAAGGGATATATAAGATAGCTACGGTACATTCTCACCGTCAGGGTACATCTGGGATATACCTTTGCAGGGCCATGGAGACGCTATTACACACACACAACTAATGTGTACAAGTTCAGCACCATCGTAAACAACAAGGAGTACTACCTGGTGAAGCAGAACGGCTCCAATCGAGTTTGTGGAAAGGTTTGCAATTTTTTTATCGATGTATAAAGTGACAATGATTAGCGTTTACAATGCAGACACATTTCTTCCGGGCAATGATTGTTGGCTTCAGCGTTCCATTCATGCGTAATAATAATATTTCTACTCCAATTCTGGGAAGATGGTGGCGATAGTGATGATGGCAAGTTCTTAATAATTGATCCTGCTGCCACACCTGAAGATAAGTTCAAGCTAGGGGATTACACGTTAGCAAAGACAAATGGTATGTTTGTATACTGATGTTTTATTAATGAAGATTTGGAGATAGTGCTGCTTTTGAAAACTGCATGGTGTGTAACGGCAGCCAGAAACTGCTGTCAAGGTGTTCCAATAAAGATTGTCAGTGAGGTTGACTTCAAGACTTCTATCCATTAGAGTTGGTCAACCGCTCAAACACTCGAGGATCATTTTCTCTTCCCCAGCTGAACGGCCAAGCAACTCTGGAAAATTGTGTTATTCATGTTTGGGACAGAGCTTGCATGCAACTGGCAAACCCTATTTGTGTACTATAATAAAGGCAGGATATTTCATATCCTTTGGACCCAGTTTAAGGGGAATTCGTCCTGCCTTATCCTGGTGTCAATGAATGGGGAGGATCCCTGGGTATTATGCTTCATAGTAGCTCTGATCACTATAATTATGAATCAGCAAAAAATATGTATTTAAGTGAAACTTGATGTGTGTGTTTTGAGTGCACTGTTTCAGTACTGCAAGCGTTGGATTAAGTCTCTGAAATCTCTGAATCTTCCGTTGTATCGAATGGCGTTCTCCAATAAAGTGCAGTCATCCTGTGCAACCTCCAATAGGTCCGTTAGGTTGAGTTCGAAACTCTGTCTGTCCCTTAGCTGGGGCAGCGGAATCATCTCGCTGTCTTTTGAGCAGTTGACAAACACCAGAACTGTCTTTGACGGTTGTATGCAGTTCAGGACGGACTTGGCATGAAACTGGCCTCTGCACATCTCGACATAGCCCATTCGCGAGTCATTTGCGTGCGCAAACGCATGCTGGAGCTGAGAGGAGCATATCACCACAACATGTTTACGGGACTCTAACTCTGCCTGCATCCAGCGTGTCCAGTTATCAGGGAGCTCTCCGTGTGCGTCCTGGGCCCTCAAGTCAACGTGGAGCTGAATCCCACACTGTTCCAGCACTTGCAACAAGTCTTCAATGTCATCTTCCGGTATTCCATCTCGGCAGTAGAGAATAAAGACTGAGGAATGTGCGTTTGAGGCAGGCTGTGTATTTAGAACATTCCTCTGGATAGAGACCAAAGGGCCTGAAATGTTATCTGGATAGTGATAAGAAAGAGTGCACAGGTGGAGGATAAAGGTACTATAAATTATTGTGGTTTGTAAAGGGACTAGTATACTCCAAAGAAATGTGACTCAAAAAGGAAGGGGATTGTACACCACAGATGCATCCTACATGAGAATGAAAGTGTGTGTAACTAACCTGAATGGCTTGTTTGTAGCTGTCTTAGTAACCCGTGATGGTTCCCGTCGTAGTGGTTGCTGTCGTGCCGGCGCATGTTGTAGGTCCTTATCTTCTTTTTTCTTCGGCTCACGTACATAGCAGCACACAAAACCACAGGCAAAAGTACAATGACAACTGCTAAGATCGAAATAAGTTTCATAAGGTTTTCTTCCAGGCCAGGGTCTATTACTTTCACATGAAATAACATCTGTGGGCTCCTATAGCCAAGTCCCATGGCATGTGCCGTGTACATACCAGTATCTGCCACAGACAGGTTGTGGATGACAAGCACACCAGAAAAGAAGCAGTTTTGGTACACTTTAGACCTCATGTAAGAGTACTTGTTGCTGTCATGAAACGGCAAGTCTATCACACTTTGTTTGGAAAATACGATTGGATACGTTCCACTCGTATCACCGGTAAAATTTGCAACAAGTGTCACAGATGATGCACTGAGAGGTGCAGTAACCGATATATTTTGCTGGGTTACTGGTTTTGGTTTTACACCTAAGCATTCGTCCACATGTAGGGATATATTTGCACACTCAAACGAGCATTCTCCAACAGTAAACCCATAGTCAGCCGTGTCGTTCGTCGTCAAGTTCATAATGGTGAGGTCGACCCTTAATATATTGCCGGAAGCGTGGAAAGTGAATGATTCATTGGCAGGAGGGGCAGAGTTGAGTCTATGGGGAAACCTCCAGTGAGAGGCGTTGGTTCTAGATGCAGAGAAGGAATCTGGGTACTCCACCTCACAGTACATGTGTACTGTCCCTCCAGAGGGAAGGAAAGGGTCTGCGACTCGACTGACTTCTTATCTTTGGAGTGGCCCGACCACTACCTGTGTGTGTGGAGCAGATGTATATACTAGCTAATCCGTTTTTGTCACATCCAGCACTCAGGAGCTGGTGTAGGGTTTCTCAGGGGCAGGGCAGGCCGGAAGGGGCTACCACAAAAACCCATAGTAATCCCCATGTTAGAGCACAGCACTATCAGTTGTAGAGTATTTCCCTGAGGTTGCTGATTGCATTGAGGCTGCTAGTTTCAATACACAAACATGCAAAAGTGGTTCATGAAGTGATCAACATCTTATAGTGAGCCTGATTCAGAAACAAATTATGTCTGGGTGGGTATACTTATAGATCACATACAACACCAACTAACTCTTGAGATTCAGATTACTAGCATATAAAAGTAGTCGGGCTTATACAAATGTAGAGAAGGCACATGGTTAACTCACAGTCTCTGTCATTGTTGATGGTAATGCTCTGGTCTTCTGCACCACAAGCACAGAGAACTACAAGATATTGTGACACACAGCTATACTACGGCAGTGGTGTAGTAACACTACGTAAAGGTCAATTTTACGTCCTACACAAGTACACTTACTTGCTATAAGGAGAAGAACCAAATACGGTGACAAACTTCCACACTGACACAACGCCATAATACGTATTACCACTGCACTCACTCTCCCTGCGGCTTCCGTAGCTGCGGCGCCGGGTATACTGATGGTACGGAGATTTATGTTGCGCGCGTGCGCACGTTCACACCCACGCATGCGCACACTGATCCGATCAATACAGCAACTGTTTCAGTTCTAGGGCTAGTTCAGCGAACTCTGAAAACTGAGGGTCCTTACTCTGCACACTAACACTGTTCACCGATCCTCTGGCAGTCGACAGAAACTGCTCATAGTTGTGGAGGTCGAAGCAGCGTTTGCCCTGAAGCTCAGGACTAACTGAGCTCCCTCCAGTCAGTATAACTGGAACAAACTTTCCCCTGAACATTTCCATCACCTTTTTGACTCGCACAACACTAAACTCTCCAAATTTCATCTGAGCGTTTCTCCTTTTGCGTTTGGCCTCGTGAAATGCAGTGGTGAGAACCTCGGAACACACCACGACCACAGCTTTGGCGTCTCTCACTGCTCTGCTGACTTTACTGGAGAAAGCTTCAATAGAGTCGTTCTGAAATGAGTCTGATCCGTCGTGGTAGCATGGGAGGTCGAGAGCATACAGTATGTTTGTCAGGTCCAATACTAGACTGTATGTTGGGTAGTCCTCCCTACGTATCTTCTGGTAAGTTGCCAGCTCAAGTGCATAAAGGATGAAGATAGGAGGCCTCCTTTTCCCTGTGAAAAACACACAGTATTAGAGAGCAGTAGATGAGAATGTACATCTATCCTCATGGTCTCCATAATGGGTCGTGTGTGTGACAATATAAATCGCTTATGTGATATGAAGAAGTGTCTAAGTCAATTTCGCTGGTTTTGGTATACTACTAGAAAATGTGGCGATAAAAGGTCTCACCAAAGCTGCTGTATCTCATGCTGTGTCTGTGGCTCTGCTCAAGGCTCAGACTGCTGGTGGCATAGCTGTTACTGGGAAGATCTCCCACGAGGCGGCGGATCTGTCTGCGTATGCGAGCCCTATGCCAGCAGAAGAGGAGGACGAGGAGAAACAGAACCAGGAAAAAGACAAATGTGCTGCCCAACACCACCGATGTTATGATTAATGAGTCAGGTATGTCTGCAGTACAGAAAGCACATGCTATCATTATAGCTACCTTGTCTCCTATTCATCAGGTTATTGTTGCTACCCCAGGGTTACTAGGTAGAACCTGTCAAACTGAAGCTATCCTAAAATGGTCCATATATAATTATAGCTACCTCGTCTCCTATTCATCAGGTTATTGTTGCTACCCCAGGGTTACTAGGTAGAACCTGTCAAACTGAAGCTATCCTAAAATGGTCCAAGGCCCAGCTGTGTGTAACATGCATTGTTACACATAGTTTTGTCTGCTGCAACGCACAAAGATAGTATATTATAGTACACTCACCATGTGATCCTTTTGTGCTGTTGCTAGAAGTATTAGCTAAACAACAAAGAAGTATTCATTATTGCTACTTGCATACAATCAGACATTTTAATCTCTGCAGTAAAAGAGGCTGAAAATCAAACTGTAACTATATACAGCTAAAGCTACTGATACACTCTGCGTATATAGATTTATTCTTCGAAAATCGTTCGCATTGTCACTTCAGTAACTTACACAAAATAGCGCCGGGGAGGTGGCGCGATGAGGCAACGCTCATCTCGCGATCACTGCACTTAGCACCGACTTCGTGACTGAGCGAACCAGCCCACACACACCGACGACGGCGTTCACGATCTGAGTGTGCGCGCGCACGCGCACTAATCACGCGCGTAGTTATGCGCATGCTCATTAAGCGATTTGTTATTCTCCAGCATGGAGCCAGTCCCAAAATTCTGCCCTGTTTACATAAAACACAACACTTTCGACATTGGCACACTATAAAACACTCATGCAGCCACTCAGTAAAACCAATCCAGCCAAGCAGTCAATAGCCAGATGGCACAGCCTAACCCCTGCAAGATAAATTTCCAGGGGCAGAATGGTGGCTACGTCATGATTAACGATGAGGGGACCCTGAGTGTCTCTACCACTGATGAACCTGGCAATGATAATGGTAAGTGAATGTACTAGAGACAGGGCAGATAGCTATCTGCATCCTCTGCAGTCATCTTTGAGAAACAGCGTGTGACCTGGACCGAAAACAGCGAAGAGATAGTGACTTTCAGAAGTTATCTGGACAAGAGCAAATACCTCTGTGGATATGAACATGGACACATTGTAACTGGAAAGGTAGGTGAACCACTAATGCTAGTCCTGTGTATGTGTGCACAGAGTTTTTTTTGCACAGCCTCAATTCATTTGTGATACGTTGCAACCTGGTCCTTCTCACTGGGTACTGAAGAGCTATGCTGATCTGACAACAGATGCAGACACTGACAGCAACAAAAGTGGCAGGGTGGCCCTCTACCATCAATACACTGGCTGTTACTTCGTAATAAAGCACGATCCACACAGCAGCACCGATTTTCGTCTCTCTAACGTCGATGATGTGCCTGACTACGGAGCATTTGTTCTTGAGAAAATCTAATACACTGACTCCCCTTTCAACACTTTGGATTGGCATTTACCCCCTGGATTGGCATTCACTTCAATAGAAGTAGATAAACTCTAATGAGATAGTAAAATTATTATAGGTGATGCATAAAATGTAAACATAAAAACTATTTGGAGTTTCAACAGAGAAGTCATAAATGCTGGAACTATATTATGTATTATACTGTGCATTATGGTCAACTTTTGGACCACAACTCAAGAACGATAATGGTGAAATAGATGATACTTATGTAAAATGTAGCAAATGAAACTGTTGCGTTGAATCAGAGTTCAAGAAGGAGGCGGACAGGACGTGTGGTTAAAATACTTGCAAGATTTTCCATCCACTTCATGGTGACCAACTCAGAGCCTGCACTGTAGACGCGGTATAAGTGGTAGTTTTGCTTTTCCTTATCGGCAAACTGGAGCTCGTTCCACGAGAACTGCATGAATTCCTTTTCAGCCGATATTGTGCTTTTCACCTCGATGTACAGCACGGTTTGGGGCTCAATCTGCACCTCTATATCATAGGGTTCACCTGTCTCGCTGGTTTCATTTATCCACGTGACTGATAGAATCCGCTGCCCACTGGGAAGTTGACTAGCGGCAGTGAGGAACTTGTACACGTACTCTTCACCCCATCTCCCTATCCGTTCCTGAGATTCCTGGTCGCACGATTCCATAAACGACCGATTCAGTAAATCCTCGGGCGATTCTACTGAAACTGGTTTAAGAGCTGATGCAACACTGAAGGACCCTTGTGCAAATAGAGCAGCATCTGGCCTAAGGGTTTCATGCCACCTTCGCTCCCTTCTCTCTCCTCCAGTTGCCTTTCCACTGTGTCTCTCCAAGTCTTCGTGGGGAGAGTCTTTTTTTCTATGAACAGCGCCAGCTTCTCTTCTATCATGTACCACGTCATCCTGCTCATTTCTATGTTCATCTTCTTGTTGTTGCTGTTGTTGTCCTCTGCTTCCCTCCCTTGACTGCCTACCATCCCTTGCCCCTTCAGCTGATGCCTGTCTATCGAGATTTGGTGCCACAGAGTCACTTCCCTGCCTGTCATTTGTAGAGCTAATGCTAGGGGCAGTCCTACTATCAGCTCTGCTCAGTTTGGGATGTTCATCCTCAGCTTCCCCATGCTCATGATCGGCTCTGCTGGGTACTCTAGCCACCCCTCTCCTCCCCATGGCGTACTTCTCAGAGATCTTCCTAATGTCATCTTCTCCCACAACGTCTGCCTCTGCGCAGCCAGGCGGAGGTGGTTTGGGAGGGTACCTGGAAGATCCACCGACCGAAACCGGGGCTTTGGGTGGCCAGCTCCTCAGAGCATCGGTATCTGGTTCAACACCGTCCCTTTCTCCCGTTTCCATTCCCTCACCGTCCGGACTTGGACCAAGTTCATAGTATTCTTCCAGTTCACTTTCTGATGACGGTTCAGGTTCTTCGTCAAAGGGAATAATCCACGCACTGTCAGCATCAACCTCCCCAAACGTATACGGAGTGTCATTTGGGATGCTCTCTAGCTCTCCCACTGGCGTCATAAGCATGTCTTTGACAAGGCTTTCAAACTGGGTAAGGTTTACGAACTTACTGCCACTTTTCCCGGAGAAGATTTTGACAAGGGTGGGGACTAAGGCCTTTGGGTTCTCGACTTTACTGGCGACAACATACAAGGCAGCACTGTCGTATTCGGTGCTGTCAATGAAATCACTACCAGGCGATGTCTGGGAAGGACTGGTGCATGAGAACCCACGGTGCTGAATGGAGTACGTGCACTTGAGCGAAAGGACAGAGCCAATGAACATTTTCTCAAGCTTTTCCTTCATGTTTTCACGCAGTATAGACTGGTAGAGTTCATCTTCGTTGGCGATTAAATACCTCTGAAGCAGGGGAACCATTCCGTGTAGACGTCTTCGCAAGTCATCAAGACGCATGACCATACCGTCATGAAACACACTAGACTGAACCACTTCGCTCAGCTTGGCAATACCAGCACACGTATCAATAAAGTGCTTCCTCTCTTCCTCTTTCTGCTGCTCTTCACTGTGTCTGTACCTTGGGGCCTTCTTGTGAATTGCCACCGGCCACTTGAGAAAGTGTACACCCTTGCACTCGGTGAAATTTTTTTCCAACTTCGAGTCGTCGTTTTCGAGCAAGCAGGATTCCACTGATACGTCTAGTGAGACCCAGAGGTCTCTGTGGGAAGGGAACACTTTGCCTTCTCTCAGTTGCTGCTGGAGAAACTGTGGGGTGATAAGACCGCTCATGCACACGCGGGACAGATGCAGAGCGATACTCGTGAAATCGTTGATGTGGTGTTTTTCAGGTATTGGAGCCAGGGAACTGTTGTATTGGAGGGCCGTTATATAAGCAGCTGCAGTGGGAACTTCGCGCACGCAAAAATGTTTAAGAGCCATCTGTAACTCCAGGTATTTCTGTGAACCCCCGTCCCCACTAGCGTAGTAGAGCTGTAGAACCTTTGGTAGATCTGAGGGGAGTTTGTGGTTGTACTGCTGTTTGGAGTATAGCACCCCACTTGGATCTACCCAGCAAACACTGTGCACTGAATAAAACTGCCCCCTAACATTCTCCGTGGCGGGCATATTACTGTCGTACACGTCGGGCACAAATATTGGGGTCTGGTCGCTACTCGAAAGCCTATCTACAATACTGCTTCCTCCCTGGCCCCCACGGTACATCTGCTGGGATTGCTGGTACAGAAACAAGTAGACCTCTGTCATGTGAGCAACGCTGGCTTTGAACTGTGCCCCCGGAGAAGACGCGGCCTTTGCCCACTCTTGAAGAAAACACACCATCTCGTCCACGCCCACCTGACATCGCACCTGAAGTAGCTCCAAAAGTTGGGGATTTTTTATCTCGCATGCAACGTACGGAACGTGGCAGTTGAGAAGCCTCTGGTTGGCTCTGGACCTGTCAAATAGTTCCCGACCCTTATAAAGTTGGTTAGGTTTCCCGTAAGGCTTTTCGCTCGGAAGAGAAACGCCCGGAAGCCAAGCTAGTTCCTTGAGCGCGTGATGAAATGCTGATGGTAAGCTCTGGTCTCCACCTAGATAGTTTTCATTTGAGCCGTTGTAGCACTTGGCGAAGGAAAACTGGCGGTATTCCTGGTCCCATAGCTTGTCGAGAAGACGCAGCAGCTCCACCATTTGCTGGTGTGTGTTACCTCTCCGAGAGGTAGTAGCGACGGATCTAACTATCTCTTCAAATTCACTGCATCGATAGTCGCGCAGGGTGTATGCTCCGTCGGGGGACCGACCGACAAAATCTCTAAGTTCCTGCCATCTCTCATGGCCCTGTGGGTGTGTATTATAAATTGTACATGATACTCCCATTAGCACTATCTGCTGTTTGCTTATCGGAGTTCACTTTCAGCATTTACTACTTATATACACACACGCAACAACTAAAGCACACATAATGCTTATGTCCTGTACATACTTCAATGTAACAGCGCTACTGTAGCTGAGGAAAATGTTTAAAAAAAGAAGGGGGCATGGGGCGAAACTGTAAAAATTGTTAACTTACATACAGTACATGCGCCAGTTATGTGGAATAATTTACCTCAGGAACCCTTTCAGTGAGACTAGTGACTGCAATCTTATCTCTGACTCCCAGTTTGAGCAGGAAAGCTCTCCAGGAAGCCACTGCATTCTGTGCCGTGAAACTCTTCAGGTAGTTAGGACTTACCAACTTCCACTGCACATCTGATAGACATTTAAATTTTTCTTGGTAAATTATGCACACCAAGCAATGAAGAAGATGCCCAAAAATGGAAAAAAATGATGCTACATTGCCCCCACGTGTTTTTTTTGTCATTTCAAGGGTGGGAGGCATTAGGGGAGAAGATTACGTACAAAATGGGCGGGGGTATTTTAAGATGGATTTGCACCACTCATAAAAATTATTATGGCAAAGTTGCCAATGTGCACGGGTGTATTTGTGTTATTTGCCTTTGCTTTGCTTTGACCTCATTGATAACAAGTACACTTTGTATGCACTCATGTGTGAAAACGTAACATGTTTACTAAATCTTGTAGTACATTGAGTTGCTTTGACCTTGTCGATGGCACAAGTACACATACCTGGAAACAGCTTCTCCAGGTCGTAGCTGGGCTTAAACTGAGAGGCGAAGTGCAGCACCTCTTTCGCTGGCTGAACCACCCCGTGTTTCCTGGTCACCAGAGCCACGCAGTCGCGCAGCAGAGACACGATCTCTTGCTCTGTCACCCCAGAGCCCTGGACCCCGAGACTGTCCTTGATGTACACCAGGTATGTTGTCAGCAGATTTGCCGGCTTTGTCTGTGTGTACATTTTGTTTTTCAAGTCTACATGAATGTGTGCCTAAAGCAAACATGCTAAAGCACCTACCCCCACCACCCACCTCAATCATCCCTGAAAACTTGTTTTCACCCCCCTCAAAGGGAACTGCTCACCTTCCAGTGATCGCTGGTGAAGCAGGGCAGTATGTGGTGCCTGATGACCTCAGCAGGGAACATCTCCCTGACTCCCAGTAGCTCCAGCATGGCGTGGACTCTGTGGGACGTCTTCACCATGCCAGTGGTGACCCTCTCCTGGTCCCCCTCCTCCTGCTGCTGATGATAATGGTTCGTTTCAAACAGCTGAGTGTCCACCACCATTATCTCATCAAACAGTCCCTTGAACCTTGCAGAGGACACTGAAAAAAGGAACACACCAAGTATAAAGACAATGAAGAAGTATACAAAAAAGGAAAGGGTAATGCCAGGCTGTGGAAAGTAGGCCTAAACTTTTCGTAATTTTAGCAAACAAGAGGGGAAAATGAAAGATCAACCAATAAGCCTAAATACACCTCGATGATTAACAGAATGCAGTGCAAATAGTAGTTGTGGAGTGTAGGCCTGAACTTGTCGTACTTTTAGTAAGCAAGTGGAGATTAGGAAAAGCAAAACAACAACCCCCAACACCTCCCATAAAGCTGGAGAATGCAGCGTAATGGTAAAATTCTTCAACCTGCTCACGTGTGCTAGCCAAACAACTGCAATTTTAAGTTCTAGTGACAGAGTATAATACTTTACCACTGTCTCCTTCAGCAGGGAAGAAGAGGCTACCGTCCTGGGCTGCTACTCGGGCTCCGCTCGTGAGAGGAAGGATCTTTGTCTTCTTCAACTTTCCGAGTGTCAGCGGACTTCTGTCCCTTTCGTCCTCCAGAACTATGTGCACACAGGCCAGCCACTGCGCGACCCAACGAACAAACACATTGTGAGATGTCACTGGAGCACTTTTCCCCCGCCGCTTTGAACTACTCTCATTATCATCTTCGTCGTCTGATATAAAAATCGGTGAATCTTCATCGGAATCGTCACTCAGCATAATGACGGAGGCTCCAGAGTAGCTCCGGACAACAGCCTCAGCCACTGTCACGAGGTGGTCAATGGAAAGAGTGTGTAGCCCCAGGTGGCTCTGAAGAGCCGGACTCAGGTGAGGAGCCAGTTCTGGGCTGAGGTAAAAGTAGTGGAGGGCGGAGTTTAGTAAGGATTGTGGGACCACGGCGCGGATGAAGCCGTTGCGAGCTACCACCAGTTCAGAAGGTTGTTTCCAGAGCGGGTTCTGGCCATGTGTCTCTTGAGTGTCGGGGCGAGCGAGGGCCTGGACGATGGAGAAAGGCTCTGAAATGTCCTCGAGGCCAGGTTCCGTGGGAAGACAGGCTGCCCCGCGGAGCAGATTTCGAATTCGAATGGCGACGGGTTTGAAGAAGTCGTGTAGCTCGCCGTCGAGTGGGATGAACTGGAGATAGAGAGCCACGGCTTCTGTGACTGAGATTCCAGGCAGTTTCTGTGAGTGTGAGTGTGTGTGTAGGGGGGTGGGTGATCATACACTTACTTTATATGACAGTAAGGCAAGAAAATATTCAGGAATTTGCCAAGAAAACTCGCTCCAATATTGTACACGGACCTCAAGCAAATTTTGCACACCGTTTTCTCCCTTTAAGTTTCAACCTACATATTATATGAAATACAGCAGATGTTTTCCTTATACAAAATGTATGTTCTCTGTGTGCTAGCCAATTCCCTACTCTACCTTGATCTTTTCCAGTGCATACAGAAATAGTTGTGGGATTTCGTCGCGAATGAACTGATTCCAGACGCTGTCGCTGTTGACGTCTTCGCGGGAGGACGGGAGGTCAAAGTCCCCCTGAACTATGAACCTGAAGCCATAGCTCCGCAGTGGGAGGAAGGCAAATACCTGCTGTTGCTGCAGGTCCTACGGGAGATGAGAGAAAATTACAACAAGAAGGAATGAAACGCATTACTGGCGAGCAAATGCAAATGCAAGTGAAAATTGAAAGTTGTTTCATGCACTCTATTGTGTCTATATGCTCAGAATGAAGATAGGTAGGTACGTGGAAAAAACAACTGTGAACTGCTAAATACACCAATTTTAGGTCTTCACAAATGCAACCTGAAAATGTTTACCTTTGCTAAGACAACTGTTTTCACGTGTGCCCCCAGAGGGAAGGCTAGTGCGACCTCAGTGACCTCCACTTCCGCCTTAAACTGGGAGTATGTGTGCATATAGTAACATAGACATCACAGTATGTCCGTGAATGTGCAGATATAGCATTTGTCATATATTATATATGTGTAGTGACCGACTTCTGTGCCCTAGCCCAAGCCACTATGCACAGAGTGTATTTGCTTTGTCTCAAGTGGTATGTGCAGGCTAAGCTGCCCAGGTAGCTCCCATGCCACCATGCCACCATGCCACCATGGAAACCTTTCTATTCTGTTAACGGAACAGATAAAATTGTCCACTGTTCTTTGACATACGGTTCTCTTAAATACTCAGTATGGTAGCCTTTGGCATATAAAACAGCTAGCAGCTCTTTTTCGGTCTTAGTAAAAAACCCAATGGAGACGTTTTGTGAGATAGTAGAATTCCCTCACATTATTAACCCAAACCTGTGAAGCATTGTGGAGATGTTTCCTCACGACCAGCCACGTATCTTTCTCCACTGTTCCCTCGTAACTATTGTGCTCTATTTGAATGATGCCCTCACTGCCGTCGGATCGAGTCATAAATCTTGTCACCCCCGAACCCTGCAGTAGTGAGACGCACTGAAGTGTACACACCCAGTGCTAACATACACGTTTCATACAATACTGTGCTCGTGAATACTGTACGAATTGACTATTGGTGAGTTTGGCATAGTACATTATTTAATCTCGTCTCTATTTCACTCTCCCTTCTCCCCTCCCCTTACCGCAATGCTCTATGTACATATGTAATTCTCTCACCGCCATTGAAAATTCGCGCATGAAATTTTGCACCGATCCGATTGAAAAGTCTAAAGCTCGCATTCACTCCCCAATATTGCGCTGCACCTTATCTTCCACGGTGATGCTCCTCAGGCGATGGAGGAAGAGGAGGAGGGACGGACGCACGTCTCCAAACTTTCTCACTAGACTAACGGCCAGCTGGTCTTCCTTCAGTGGTAGCACTATGGTTGTTGTCCACCTACAGAGTAACCGTATGTAACCTTATGTAAGTCTAATGAATCTATGTACAGAGGGTATAGCCATAACCCTAGTATCCCTAGTGCTCAGGGAAACATAAAACTCATTACCACCACACTGTTTATTGGTCCAATTTTAAACCTACTTTGGATTTGGAATGTGTAATGCACCGGGAGAGGCCACACCACACACCCACACATACAGGTTAAATTTTGAGTGCTTACAAAAAAGCTGTGTTTTAAATATTCCACTCTGTAAGTCCCCCCGAACATTTTCCTACAGCGAAGGTGAGATCGTGTTTTCTCCCTACCCTTTTCCAACAGCAGCATTTCCTCTGTCATGTTCCTCAATCCAGTGAGGTAGGATGTAGCCAATGGCGTCACATTTGGCGTCGAACATGATGTGGTAGCCACCGGAGTGAATCTCTGGCGTGTCCGTGATACGAAACACCGACTTGAACCCGATTCCCTTCTGCCCGATGTAGCCCGAGTGGTGCGCCCCCTTGGTGCTACGGCCGACGTCGCAAATGGCACGGACGTTTCTCTCGCTGAATCCCACCTCATTGTTCAGTACTGTCACACCGGACGCCCCTATGATAAACTTGAGCGCCGGTACACGAACAGAACCTGCCAAGAGCACTGACTCGTCGTAACTATTATCGTCTGCGTTTTGGATCAACTCGAGCACAAAATGAGTGTCTTTGCTGTACAGTTCCTTGGAGAGCCGCTGGAGCCCCCTCCCCTCTCTCTGTCTCTGTTTCTGGGCCACCTCTTTCTGGCGTCCCTCTAGCTCGAGGCCGATGCCGAAATCCTCGCTGCGGATGCTCTCGATGACGGCCAGACACTCAGACTCTCTCTCGGGGTGGACAGTGGTGGCGGGGGTCATGGGGGTACTCGCTGTCTGGTCGTGGTCAGTGTCATCACTCGGTTCACAGGGTTCCACAGCAGTTTGTGCTGGCGCTACTTCTCCCTCCCTGATTTGAGTGTCAGGAATGGAGAGTGGCTCATCTGTGTCACTCGACTGGAATTGAGAGAGTATATAATCATCAGTTCCAGTGCTTGCATGCATATATATAACACTGTTATGCTTAGCTTTAGGCATCCATGTGTCTGTGATGATTTATTGGTAATCCACAAAATGCCGCAACTGTGTTTACTTTTCATGCTTCTAAGGACATATTTTGTCCATACGTACCTTGATCTCTGAGGTTGGTGGTTTGGGTTTAGGAGTCATGTGGGACCTCAGAGTCTCCCCCAGCATGGTGGAGAAGTCGTCAGTCCAGGCCTTGACTCCGAGACTCATTCCCAGTGACTGGAGGTGTCTCCTTCCTTCTCTGTCCCGTTGACAGTGGCCCAGCAGACCCTCCACTGCCGCATGGCTTGATGCTCTACTCAGGGGCTCCAGGAACACCTAGGAGAGGGAAATAAACCAGTCCCACTTTTAAAATTGGGACACGCGACATATATATTAAATATGATGTGTTTTAGTATAGAGCAGAAAGAACCACAGAAATGAAGACAACTCTCTAAAAAGGATACCATTTCACTCTTTTCAAGGACAAGTTGTGTTAATCCCTTAAATAAGAACATCTCACTAAAAAGGCCAATTTCTCATCGTCCCATTGGTACCCATATTCCACCGGTGAATGAGGCATAATTTAACCATTCGTTTCCTGCTTACTTCTTTAGCCATGAACTGGCAGAGTTTGAGAGGGATTCGTACGATGCAGCGGTAGACAAATTCAGTCGCCCGTGCTGTCGGCTCCCCACCATCCTGACCAGACCCAGCCGACTCAGATGCCATCATCCGATCTAGAGCAGTCTGCACGTGACTCCCCAGTAGCTTCATCGACACCTCGTGAACGCTGCCTTGCTGGACGGCAATTGACACCAGCTGCCCTGACGTACCAACCGGGTCCCTCGCTTCAACCGCTTCTAGAAATTTCTGATGCGAAGCTTGGGGGTCGACCCTCAGCAGAACCCCCGGGGAAACCTCCAGGACATGTAGCTCAGACCGGGAGCCTTCTTCCGCTACGAACTTTGCCAAGTCTCCGTGTTGCGGTCTAAAGACTAGGTCCCAATGAGACCAACTCGCCAGGTCTTCCAGGAGAGGTGCGCTAGACAGACACGAGAGGGTGTCCTCTTTGCTCTTATGCCCGAGAGGTCCCAGAGATGGAGAGGACCGCTGTTTGCACGAGTCACCGCTGCTTGCTCCGTTCACGAGAAGCGGAGCGAGGTAGGTCACGCAGGGTGTAGGAGTCGAGTTGGTGTCGGTCTTCTCCGTGACGTCGCTGATGAGTTTCTCAATGCTGCCACAACAGAGCTCGTCGACTGTCGTAACACTGCACTGGAGCTTCAGCGTCTCTGAAACTACCTCCTGGGGAAAAAACGATGTAAATATTAGGTCTCAAGGGCAACTGACAGACTAAACCACTTAAGTCTAGTTATCTACGTGCATGCTAGTCGAGAATATAATTTCAGCAACATCTAAACTCTTCACTCTACGCTTGCTTGATGGGTGGCTATTCAATGTGTCTTTTTGGGAGTGTAAATATTATGTGTAATGTACAAGCCAAAATTGTGCACAGACAATGGTTTGGCCAGCAGAAAGGCAGAGTGCACTCTCAGCACTAACACAGATGTCCCCGCTACCTTGTCATTTCTCTCAGTTTGCCTCAACTGAGACACAATCTCCACCACCCTCTTCTTCCCACTCTCATCAATTCCCGAGGCACCGACGTTCAGGGATCCCCCCAGCGCAGCCGTACACCCCGCGTCAGAGACGAGGAAATCGAGAAACGAAATCCGACTCAGTGGGTGGAACGACGGAGCGTCGAATCTGTCCACCACGGCTCTCTCGATCTCGGCCAGAGACGTGAGGCTGATCGGGAACGGTTGTTGTTTCAGCAGGGGAAGAAGAACATCAAGAACTTCTCCTATATGTACATACATACAAATAGAGATTCAATCCGCAGTTGTGAATATTAGGGTGCAATTTTGCGAATGTTATAAATGTGCAAAAATATTTTTTTCTCCAGTGCACAGGTAAATGATTGGGAGTGCTTTTTTACACTGCACACAAGTGTCTTTCAAGGTCCCCATCTCACCATGTGTCCTGTGGAAAAACTCTGGCTGGGGCCGTGCAAACTGAGGTGTTGTTGCAGCCTGCTCGTCCCTACTCCTCTCCTGCTCAACCTCTCTGGCCAACCTCTCTATTCCGTACCCTCCCACATACACCGCCAGTAGAAACATCCTTTTCACGTGCTCCTGGTGACAGACCAGCTGGAGAAACGCGTTCACTCTTGCATTCTGGTGGCCCGGTAGATAATTTGCGAGGAGGGCAAAGATGTCTGACAGTAGAGTGGAGGGTTGCCTTGCTGCCAACACGCTACTGCGCGGGTCTGTCATTTGGGAGAGTCTCCAGCGCACCTGGTCTACCTCGTGGGTTACGATAGTTTTGATCTCCTCCTCGATTTTCCCCTGGACACAGTCTCGTGAATGGCGCATCATTCTCCGGAATGCAAGTTTGTCTGAAACAGGGAACAAAAACAGTTTTGAGAAAGGTGTACACACATGCATGTGTGTGTACTATATATAATTCCTGAGAAGTTAGGATAAGCCAATAATATTTATGGCCAGGGGTCACAGGCCATTGTTCACTTTCAAGGGAAGGAGGAAATCTCAGAGAAAAACTATGCAGTGTTTATAGAAAACCTCCATTAACCAGGTATTATACACATGTTCCAGGCAGTCATAATTATTATACAATACCTGGTACTACATACTGAAGGACCTCAAAGACTAAACATGGGGGGAACAGTCATGAGAAAGGTGTACCACATGCATGTGTGCGGTACGAATAGTTACCGATAAGCAAAGTCTGGAATAACATTTATGGTTGGGGGGGGGAGGTAAAGGTCACAGGCCTTGTTCACTTTCAAGGGAAGGAGGAAATCTCAGTAGTATAGCCATACCTGGTACTACTCATACAACTAGTATCTGGTGAAGGACAGTGGGTTGAACCTTTAAAGACTAAACATTTGGGGAACTTTTTGTGGTGCATGCAGACTTGGCTTGGCGCTACTATGAGTTCATTTCATGAAAATGAGAAATACATAGCGCCCTATCTCTACCTGGTACCTACTACACTACATTCTGTGGCTATTCACGCCACTTGCGGTCAGGTCCAAGAGCGGATTTCGGCAAAGCAGGGGGTTTGTCCAGACTTTACAATAAATTCCAAAGAGACCAGTTCCAAGTACACACACTGTATATAGTGTGTGTCTCTTGCTCTGAAACTTTCCCTGAAACTTTCCCTGAAACTTCCCTGAATATGCAAATCAATACAGTTCTAAAGAACTCAAAAGAGTATTCAAGTAACCACATCTATAGCTGGCAAAAAATTCCCTGAAGTATTCAATGTAAGTCCTCTGCTCACTAGCAAAAAACCATCAACACACAATCACATTATAAACCCCTTATATACACACATGTAGGCAGAACTGTTTGTGCTAAACTAACTACGGAGAATACACCTGTTGCTTTTGTGCTGTTTGTGTTCATGCACTCAAAACTAGTTGTTGGCAGCGTGTAGTACAAATAGGGTCGATTGCGGGTATACACTGACTGCTGACTAAGTGGGTCAGATAAGGGACACCACAGGGAGTGGTGTAAAGAATAATTTATTTAACAATGGCTTGCTCGGTACTCAGCAGCATAATCACAATACTGGATACCCATTAATAGGCCTACATGCTATGTCTAACTACACTGGTGGACTCCCAGAAGGCAGGGGACTATTTTGCAGGGTATGCAGACAGGGTGTCTAAAAGGTAAAGAAGGGTATAGGAGTTTTAACTAAGCTTGACCTACCATTACGTAGTTATTTTGTAGGCTTAAAAGACCCCTATAAAATTATTATGGGAGGCAGGAATTATAGACAATTAGACCTCGTTACAGATCATTACACCTCAATCAAGCACGGAAATAACACATCACTCACAACGTAACACTACCTGTATGGCTAAGGGGAAACTGGTGATCCGGACACACAGATGATGCGGTGTGGGCCTGGACAGACTTTTGGCAAAGAAATCGAGAAAATCTTGAACCGACTGTTTTTCGCCTCTTGCAGCCACCTTCCTTGTCTTGTCGAGAAACTTCATCAGAGTCTTCTGAATTGCATGAGCCGATATTTCGGGAATCTCCTGCAAATCAGGCGGAGGTTGAAAGAACTTTGCGACGGCAGGATGCTTGATGAGTGGTCCGATACGAAGCTCTGAAAAAGTTGCAACTTTCTCTGCAGACACGAGGGCTTGTTCCAGTTCGTACAGAGTTGTGATTGGGCTCATCCTGCAAAAAATCTTGATCAGCTCGGCAATGCGCCCATGGGTTTTCGAAAATCTCTCCCACACTGGGATTTCTCTTTCGTTGATGTAGCATCGAGCCTCCAACTTGAGTTTGTCTTTAAAACCCTTCACGACGTGCTCGGGAACAAACTTGCCAGTGGATGCCAGATCGTCGATTATTGCATCGAGACGGTCGTTGATTTTCTTAACCACGATTTGATGTGAGTCGGGTCGGCCTCGAACGTCAGTGAAAGTGAGCCTCGTAGAGAGGTTTGAGGAGGCGGACTCCATTCTGGAGTGGAAGGAAGGGTGAGCAGGAGGTATCGACTCGTCCGGAGTGTCTGGATTGGGAAACACTGGTCTGCTGTGTTCCGATGCAGCCAAGGAAGGTCTGGTGTCCGGTTGTTGGCGTTCACGCACTGGGGCCTGTGGACATGGAAGAGTAGGGAAATGATGCTGTGGATGATTTTGAGGATCGCCCCAGTTTATATTAGGGTGTTCTGGGGCACGTTGTGGACGTGGTGGGAAATGGAACTGTGGAGGCACCCGTGGGCCACCAGGTATATTGAAATTCTCATGAAAGTGAGGTCGTGGTAGGCCAGCACGCATGTTGAAATTCTCATGAAAGTGAGGCCGTGGAAACGGTACTTGAGTGCGTGGCGGTGGAGGACTGTTTGGACCGTGGAAGTAAGAATGGGATCTAGTACCAGGAGGAATGCAGGTATGGGGGACAGCTGTGGTGGACTTTGCAAAACTCTGGCCCCCCTCATATCAAACACAGGCGGAGGTGTACGTCGAGATGGGAGAATGCCAGACCCTCTGCCCACACTACCAGATGGGGCTTGCAAAAGTGGGGGTCTGTGTGCAGTAGGTGAGGGTCCTGGGTCTAGAATTGGCAGAGGACGCACAAATGGATACACTGAGGAAGGCCCTCTAGGAGTGTCAGGATCCTGTGATTCATCTACGTAGGGTACATGGCCCTGTGGGTCGTCTCTCTTACTGACTTTGGGTCTGGGAGGTGCGGCAGAGGCAGCGGCTCCGGGCGGAGGAAATTCAGCTGTATCCAGTGATAGAAAGTCAGGCAGAGGCCGCTCCGCTGCAGCCTTTTCAGGCGCTTCAGAGCCACGCTTCGCTCTGTTTTTCTTTTTCTTCTTTTTAGTCGGTTGCCTCTCCGGCTCTCTGCTTGCTTCAGACATTTGGAGAGCGGAGTGTTGCTGTCTAGTTGATTTGGAGCCTGTAGTACGCCTTTGCTTTCGGGGAGGAGGCTGGTAGTCAGCTGAGCGCTCGCCACCACTGTGCAGGTTTCTGTGATGAGGCTTTGGCCCGGCGAAACTCGACCTATCACTCATCTCCTACGTTTTTATACACTCCTCCCCGCAAAGAGAAGACGCTGACTCAGCTCAGCGAGTTGTAAACTTTGAACCCGTACACGTGGAGGGGGTGTGACAAAACGCGCGCGTCGTGTAGGATGACGTCATTTTTCATGGCGGCGCGTGTGTGTCGTTCGCAGTTGTGAAGCGATGGGTCGGTGGTGTTAGCAATTCTTACCGGGAAATAACTCCTCCATGGCTACCAGAAGCTTACCACAGAGTTCCTCTGGGTATGTTTACGAATACAGTACCACCTAAACGTTTGTAAACTATCCCATGCACTACTTTCCATAGAGAGGTTCTCACTGACAGAATCCAGAGAATATTCAATCAGCTCACTCGGGGGTGTGGTAAAGGCGACTGTGATAATCCAGACTGTGCGACAGGGAGTGGAAAGCCGCTGACTGCCAACGAGGCTGCCTCGAGAGCAGTCACATTGCTCAGGACTGGCAGGGCACGCATGTGCGAACCCCTCACTTCTCCCGAACACAGAACACAGTCTAGCAGCAGTACCTCCTCCAGAAACGACGTGGTTCAGGAAGTTGGGGTGGACGGTGGGCGGTCTGAGCCGATCCTTCTTGTCCCCCACCCCCCTGCTCGCCCCTCCTCGTCAGAGCCAATGGAACTGGCCTTCACTTCGAGTGACGTACAACACGAGCACTCGTCCAGACAACTTGTCATTGGTTCCTCCTCCTCTTCCGTTGTTCAGTCGTTCACTCAAAGTCGAAGGAGTCCTGCTTCAGTAGAATCACAAAGAACTACTACCTCCTCCTCCTCCTCTTCCTCCTCCTCATCAGCAGCTTCATCTGGGCCACTTATGGCGTCTAGTTCGAGCAGCAGTTCCTCGAGTGCCCTCGTCCAAATGGCATCCAGTAACATGGTTGATGAGGTTGCCAGAATGGAGGTGTCCCCCACCCTCCACCCTCCACACTTCTCCCTCTCCTCGTCCTCCTCAGTAGGTGTGTCCTCATCACTAGGTGCAACCTCATCAAAGAAACTGGATTCACAACAAGTTCCTGTCAAAATCAGTAAGTTCTACTTGTACCTTTGATTTACATGTGCAATTGAATGCAATGCATGTGGAAACATTTATGTATAGTGCTGTGTCTTTCATATTATATATACGCACAATCAGACATTCCGTCAACTAGTGAGTCAGAAGTGAAGCAGATGATCGAAAGGCGAGGGCCGTTGATCCTAGCGACTGGAGGGAAATCTCCTCCATGATTTGGCTCGTGTTCGGTGACCCCGACGCACTAAACCACAGCTTCCTTCTCCCCGAGTCTCGGGGGGTAAAGGTCGTGGAGAACGGTGCCGGGAAGAAGAACGAGAGAATCACGGTTGATGTTGATGCAGTACGCAGGACATACGCAGCTCTGTTGGGGCTCGAGGTACCAGCAATCACCAACGCCCTGGAGAACGCAATGGACGTACACTCGTCGGCTCTGGCGCGGAATAAGCGATTCTGTCAAGTAGAGCCGCTCAACCACCTGGTGTTGCTGCTGGAGAATCCACAGTTACACAGTCCAGAGTTTACCACGGCCTCGGGGAAACTCCTTGCAGCTGTCGCAGGTCTCCACGTCGTCCAGAAGGAGATGTTGGCACGATTCTACGCCACTTATCCCGCAGCTCGTCTCCAGGAGATGGTCTCAAACTTCCAGCAGCTCATCACGATGCAGCTACTGTTCTCTGACGACGAGGCGAAACCCCGCGGTGGGCGGAGCCTTCCTCAGCATGACCTCCTCATTGCATCCTCGACCAAAGTCATGATGATATTCTACTTTGCCAATCTCCTGATGAGTCAGGGGTCAGGGGTCGTGAGGCCGATGAGCTCGCGGATGAGCAGCATTGCCGCTAACCCCAAGCCCCGTTTTCTGGACGTCGTGGACTCCCAGTTTGACCAGCTCCTCGTCAGACTACGAGTGAGTGTATAATATGTACATACACTGTGCAACTCACTTTCACATTAATGCTATATAGTTGATCCCATTATGTGTACTGCATGTATGTATGCACACACGACTTCGGTATATACTTGCAGTGCTCAGTAAAGTAGTGTTTGGTAGAAACAGCACATTTCAATGTGAGAAGGACACAATGTAGTAAGACACCCGTTTCTTTTGTCCTACCATAATGAGCACTGTCGCACTGCCTTTTCTGCATAAACAAGCAATTTAAAACCTTTTCGAAGATTTCTCTAAATTTTTTTATTTTTCTGTAGGTCCACCCAGTTAATGTCCTGAGACCACCGCTCCAGTGGGAGGAGTTTCGTAACGAGGAGCTCAACAGCCGAATCAACATGATCTACGACTACCAATTCTACGGAGACTCCTTCTTCCAGGAGAAGCAGTTCTCGTTTCTCGAGTACCCCTTCATCCTGAGCACCGCCAACAAGGTGGAGAGGCTTCTGCTGGATAATAAAGCCAGTCACATCAACGAGAGGCAGCGGACTTTCGTCCACACCCTACTGACAGGAGTGAGGGACACCCCCTTCCTCCACCTCCACATCAGCAGGGACCATATTGTGGCCGATACTCTCTCTCAGGTTAGCTTTATCACGTACACACACATCACCACGATCCACGGAAGAACTTATCTGAGGTAACGCGGTGAAGAAAGCTTTCCGTGTCTGCGCTTATGTGCGTACATTACACAGACACACAACACACTCACACTCACACTGACACTTAGTAGAATGTGAGTTTGCAAATGCATTCACTTTCAGTTGGAGGCGATATCGGAGATGAACCCTGTCGACCTCCGAAAGCAGCTGAGAGTGGAGTTCAAAGGTGAAGAGGGACTCGACGAGGGTGGGCTCCAAAAGGAGTTGTTTCAGTTGCTCATCGAGAAACTGCTAGACCCAATGTATGGTGAGTTGCGTGGTACTCAAATGTGACAGTTTGCTGGCACCTATCATTATCCTACATAGTATGAACCGTTCTATATGCCGTTATAGAAAAACAGGTTAGGATCCATTGTAGGCAGAAATACATTTACTATTAGTGACTGTTCTTTGGCTTTATATGTGCCATCTACAGTTCTTTGCCCGTAGCACATGACTCATTCTCTCTCTCATGTGTGCTTGTGTGTCAGGGTTGTTCATGTACAATGAGGTGACGAGGCTGCACTGGTTCAACCCCGCCTCCTTCGAGACGGAGAAACAGTTCCGACTAATCGGCCTCCTGTTTGGGCTGGCCATCTACAACAACATCATCCTGGACGTCCACTTCCCCATGGTCGTCTACATCAAACTCCTCGGCTGTCAGACCGTCTTCCAGGACCTCTTCTCCTCACACCCCGTTAGTTTCCCCACTACTAAACTTTGGTGAAGAAATATTTTCGCGAATTTTATGGATCAGCGAATGGTGAAAGTAATGGTTTAGTGTGCTACGTTTGGCCATTGACTACGTTTTTTTGTTTTAAAATGTGCTTTTATGAGATATCTGAAAGTGTGAATGTTTGGGAATTTAACCTATAATTATGTACATATGTACAGTGTACATTGCAACACAATTCACTTTGTGTGTTAACAGTTGGTAAAATACTATAACAAGACAGTGTACAATGTCATGCTTTTGAGTTTCTTTGCCTTCGTTGCGCTTCCCTTACAATGATTTCTCTAAACTGTGATTCTTGAACATAGCCTTGTGTGTTTTTCCGTCAGCAAATAGCGCAGAGTCTCCAGTCGACGCTGGACTACGGAGGCGAGGACTTCCAGGAGACCTTCATGGCCACCTTCCAAGTCTCCTTCACCGACATGTTTGGGAACCTGCAGACCTTTGACCTCCGAGAGGGCGGCGACAAGATCCCCATCACTCTACAGAACAGACAGGTATGATTATTATACGTATTATCTCAAGAAGGAGGAAGTTTTTGTGGGACTAAAGACACTGATCCAAACTCTTGTGTGTTGCATTTTTTTCTCCGAGTAAGGCTCGGGTTTTCTTAAGACTTCTGATAACTTTGTGTTGTGATGATAGTGGTGGTACGCTGGAATAGAATGAAATGCACACCGTGTGTGTCATTACTGTGAACCAGCCTTAGATTTCGTAGATTTCGCAACTCCCTTTTAATGTATATACCATTGAAGACAGAACTTCTATCCCCCTCCAAAGACTGTACACATGTTGTTTTACTCGCACTGTTACTTGTAATTCAACGATTTTTTTAAAAATGTTGTGTTACATTGTGTAGGAGTATGTGGAGGAGTACTCCAACTGGTTGCTAAATGACAGTATCTCCAGCCACTTCAACGCCTTCAAGGAAGGGTTTGATCTGGTGATGGGTCAGAACTGTCTGGCCGACCTCTTCCAGCCCGATGAACTGGAGATGATGGTCTGCGGGAGCAACGTAAGTTGGTCCTGTAGCACAGGGAGACTGTGGAAAGAGCACACTGCAGGGTTGTATAGTACATATTGTATCACTGGAGGAATGTGGGCGATGACATGTGTATGCAGCACATTACCGTGCACGATAAGAATTTAATGTCATTGCAACGTAATATAATACGCACTAGTGTGTAAGCGCTAGCATGGATAGAGGTACACTTTAGCCCTCCACATTTCTGCCTTTTATTCATGGTGGCTTGTTCGTAAGCCATCTGCACGCAAAGAGTTAAATTCGGCAATTCTAAGGCAATGAGACTTTGTGTGTATGACATGTCTATACCGGCTATACGAAGATCTCGTTCGTGTTTTCTTGTCAGGAGTGGGATATTGACGCTCTGGAAGAGAGCACGAGATATGACGGCTTCAAAAAGACCGATAAAGTCATTGTGTAAGTTTGTGTTCCTGCAAAAAATGTAAAATCATTCACTCCCCTATTAGAGGTTTGGGGGTGGGGGACACTGGAATATAGGCGAAATATGGATTGGTGAAGCTAAATAGGGATAGGTGCAGGAGGGTAGAGTACATTACTATTCCATTCTCCAATGATAGTCAAACTAATAACCATGGTTGGCTGGTCTTTTATTCCACTGATGTACCTACACAAAATGCAAAATCGTTGACACCCTTATTAGATGTGGGGGAGGGCGAAATATAGGCAAAAGATGGATTGGTGAAGCTAAATAGGGATAGGTGCAGGAGGATAGAGTACATTACTATTCCATTCTCCAATGATAGTCAAACTAATAACCATGGTTGGCTGGTCTTTTCTTCCACTGATGTACCTACATAAAATGCAAAATCATTGACACATTTATTAGAGGTTGGGGGTTGGGGAACGGCGAAATATAGGTGAAAGATGGATTGGTGAAGCTAGATAGGAATATATAGTGATGTGTCCCTTATTAAGAGGTCTCACTGCATGTGGACTGGCATGTACTCCCTGCAGGGATTTCTGGGAGATAGTTCGAGGGTTCAGTGAGGGGGAGAAGAGACGTCTCCTGGAGTTTATCACCGGTTCCGACCGCATTCCACTCGGAGGAATGGCCAAACTAAAGTTCATCATTGTCAAGAACGGCCCTGACTCTACCAGGTCAGCAGCACACACTGCTATACACACTTCACACAATGTATACATACTTACACACGGTATACATACATACACCACGAAGTCTTATTTATGGTGCCCAACTTTCAACCCTATTTCCCCCCCCACAGGCTCCCTACGGCTCACACGTGTTTCAACGCCCTCCTCATGTGCGAGTACTCCAGCAAAGAGAAACTGAGGGAGAGACTCACCAAAGCCATCTCTTATGCCAAGGGTTTCGGCATGTTATGATGACCCCCACCCTCTCTCTCTTTCTCTGCTGATCGATATTGTAGACACAACGTATAGGCATGCAATGCTGTGTATCATCAAATAATCTATGTTCTTATTCTCGTGGAGTGTAAGATGTATGCACCACGTCAGCTGGCTTTGTGTTCTCGTGTATACTGCAAGGTTTATTAAAGTGTGTGGTCGGCACATTACAATTAGAGTCTAGTTGGATTTCAGGGGTACTGCATTTTTCACTTTCGCGACTTTTCTTGCCTCTCGGATCCCGGTTTTGGAACACTGCATCTCTGTCCAGCTTACGGGACCCATGGGGTGGCCCCCCTCGCTAGTGGCCATAATCACTCCAAGCTCGTTTCTGTCAGTGGCTAGACCATAGTGAGAGTGACTCTCGCCAAGGGAGACAACTCTAGCACGGATTATGTCCCCCGGACGAAACGATGAGAAGACATCAACGGTGTCTTTTTCAACGGAGCGTACGTCCTCCCTGCGAATGACTCCGCTGAGTGGCTCCTGAAGCAGGGTCGTCCCCACACTAATTATCATCACTTTGGCCTGCCGTTCTGAGATGTTCAGTACCCTGGTCATGACGATTGATCCCACACTTGGTACTGCACTCAGAGAGTACTTCCCTACCACGGATATCACACGACTCGGTTTAGAACCGCTTTCAGTTTTCCCTGAATCGCTTCTACTTGTCGTTTTCTCATGCTCTTCGATTCTCACTTCCCCGACCAGTTCAGAGTAGATCCGACCGCCCATTTCGTACGTCCCCCGGCCCTGAAAGAACCGGGAGCCGTCCCCGAGATAGTCTCCTGGTATAACACGCTCTCCTTCTGGCACCTCTCCTCGCTCCGTCGTGGATTGCATTGCCTTCAGCCCCCCACCATTCACCACGTGGGTTTTACTCTAAATAAAGCGCACCAAGGTGCTGATTTTGCACTTTCTGTAACCTGGCAACGTAACAGAACCGCAGGGCCAGGCAGCAAACGGAGAGAAACACAACTGTGGTTGTCCCGCCCGGTCAGTCATCCCCACGTCCTATGGCGCAGCACAAGTACGACCTTGTGACTCTGCCTACGACACCTGTAGGCCCTCCGAGGTACCATCCCTGGTAATAAACTCGTCGCAAGCTGGCGATGTTCTATTACAAGCTCTTCCACCGTCCCAGGTACAAGGAGCGTTTGGATCTGAAGTACACGAAGCGGCGGGCAGAACTCGGGATGCCTGGACGGGCGAAGGTGGACGCTACTGGCGGGAAACATGGACGACTTTCGCACCGGTCTGCCTGCACCCATCACCCCTAGCTCCATGGTGATGAAGGTATACAGTGAAACGTAACCAGCAGTGCCTCTCGAAGTCCATTTCTTTCCTGGACTAGGGGAGAGTGGACCCTTTTCCACTGGTGAGCTCATCTGGGCCTCGAGCTAGCTGCACAAGGCGGAGTTTACCCTCTCGACTACCTGATCCTGGACTCTCCACCCTACATTGCAAGTAACCGACACACCTGGCCATTCAAAGATTTCATGCGTACCTTACGGCATAGATATAGAACCTTACGGTCCCCTTAAGGTTCTATATTATATCTAATATGCTTATGGGCTTCTTTTACCTTGGTGGCTGGTTAAATTGTTGTGCATACGGTTTCTGTCTGCTTGATCTGTTCACAACTCAACAACTGAATAGTACTATAGAATATTCTGTGTATGTTTGCATTGCTATTTTATACAGGATTGGCCCACAAAGACAGAATAAACTGGCTCGTCTACGACAACTGGAACACCGACTCCTGCAGCATCCGCTCTCACTCTACCCACACCTCAGAGATAGCATCCCTCCTGAGGTATACATACACACACTATACAGTCACAGCAGACTTGATTGGCTCTAGAGTGTGTTTGTGTATATATACCACTATTATTGGTAGGTTGCTGAAGATGTACAGTCGATACTAGAGGGGAAGTCTCAAACACAGAAAAATCCAAAGATCGACAAATTTCCTCGGAGAAATGAAATGAAAGAAGTACGCCAGTCCCTACATAGCACTAGCATGGGTATACTGAGTTACACGACTATAGGAGAGTGGAAATGAAGACGAGGTGCACCAAGATGAAGAAAAAAAGAAAGAGAAGAAGAGGAAGAAGAGTAAGCCGTCTTGAACAACCCCATTGCAGTAATTTATTGTATGTATATTATAAATGTTATGTACTGTAGCCTGTCTGCTGCGTGGAAGATATACCGCTGGCCTCTGCAACAGACAGATGAGGAGGTGAAGGAGCAGCAGAAGGCAGTGGCGGCCAAGAAGGTCATCTCTCCAGCACAGGAGGCCAGAGTCAGCCACGTCACCCAAAACCTCGTCCAGTGGGGCAGAGAACTGGTGAGTTAATACAGTGGAACCCCTCTCTAAGACGCCCATGAACTGAGGACACCTCTCTAGTAAGAAACCCTACCTTTTCTTTCCCAAAGAGAGCAGTTCTTGTTTAACCTCTGAAATAAGACAACTCACTAACATCAACACCTTTATTCAGTCCCACTGGTGTCTGGATTAGAGTGGTTCCAAGGCGGACTCTTTGCTATTATAACAGCTACCTATGAGTGTGTGTATGTGACTAGGGTGGCAGTGAGGATAGCCCTGACGTTGATGAAACTACAGTCAAAAACCTATTTTCGAGTGAATACGAGTCAAGAGTAAGTAAACAAACTGTCGTGGGAAGGGTGAACCCTATCATAACTCTAATTGATGTTCTCCAGCCAATGTCAACCCCTGAGCGTGTGGTGGATTTGTCCAATGTTCCCCCATGAGCTACTGCGAGACACCTCTGGTCGACTCAGTGACGGGAGTCGGCTCTCTCTCGACCTCTGGCTGGGACACCGACACCAGGAGGAAAAGTCTGACAGCCAATACGCTCTCTTCTAACATCAATGTAAGTAAAAGTTTTTATTTCAATCTTTTGAGCCCATCTTCTGCACACTTTATGTATTGGGAGTGTGTGTATGTTTGCAAATAGCAAAGTGCCTAAGAAACTATAATATTATACTCACATTCATCATTGACAGGTGTATGACAAACCTCACACTATCAAGTCACGCTATGGAGCTTGGTACCTGCCAATCGGTCTCTGGAAGCTTCAAAAGGCCAATGAAGTACGCAAATTAAGATTGATACACACATTCACTGCAACATGCCGGTGATATAATAATTAACAAACTGCACAGCCTCTTCATGACCCCAGAAATCGTCCGTCAGAGAGTACAGAGGAGCTGGCTAGACAGGACCAGGAGCTAGACCTGAAGGTCTCCCAGTTGCACGGAGCACAGGCATTCCGGCATTACTACTCCTCTCATAAACCTGGCTCCACTTTGCCCTCAGTAAGATGTAGCTATGTAGGGTTTGTGATGATGTCCTCTAATGCTAATGTTTCTCCTTCTTGCACAGTTTCTGCAGTGTGCTGTAGCGGATAGCACAAGCTCACAGAACTTTCAAGGTTCCACTAGAAACAGGACTTCTTCATGAACAGAAAAATCCCATTACGTCTGCAAAAAGCGTGGTTCCGCGTTTGTTTAGCGCAGCGCGAAATGCGTGGCTCGCTCTTTGCCTGGTGAACAGCTCAGCCTCGAGCTCAGCAGCCATGTATAGGTGGTTTCTCGTTGGTCTTGTGAGCTGCGCGGGTTATATGGTGTTCAGAAGAACCAAGCGTTTCTGGATCAAGCTCTTGTTTCCTGTTGGGTGAGAGTTCTGGGCTGTTCTAAATGAGGCGCACCTGCTGTATCGTACATTATGCAGGTACTACTTGTACACGACACGGCTAGGGTACCGTCTTCATCTCCGTCGGCTGTCGAGGAGAAGGCACACTGCACACTCAATCACGCAGCCCCTCACTTTTTCCGGTAAACGCACAGGCAGGGGCCCTCAGTTACCACCCGCACTATGCTGTAGAATTCACAGTCATCCCTCTACCAATACTTGGAGATAACTACTGCTACGTAGTAGTAGATGATGCCTCAAAGATTGCAGTAGCAATTGATGCTGCAGATCCCGAAGCATTGAAGGTTAGCCAGCCATAGCTAGTAGTCAATCCACAGTAAAGTTAGTATGCATGTACCTTCCCTAGGGCTGTGTTCGAGAAAAGAAGCTTATGCTTAGAGCTATCTTGACCACCCACAGACACTGGTAACTATCTAGAATGTTGCATGCAAACTACTTATGAGATATGTAGCTAGGTGCATGAATAATAGAACTGTTTAGCATTGGAGCACATATCTTGACTCTGTTAACCGATATCCCAATGTGAGGGACCACTCTGGAGGAAATGAGGTGCTGAAACAAGAGTTCAGAGACCTAGTTGTCTACGGTGGAGCCAGAGATGACCGTCCTGGAGTCACCCAGTGAGAAATACACCACACACAGAAGACACATACTTCTCTCACTATTTCCACCTCTTATACCCAGTCCAGTACAAGATGGGGAGACAATCACAGTAAACTATTATACCACTGTCTCTAACGTACTACTTCTAGCTAGAGGTGATATTTGCAGGTTGGCAGGATTAGTTTCAAGGTCATCTGGACTCCAGGGCACACTGAAGGTAAGCAGCAAGTCACATCTCAGAGTATGTAGTACTAGCTTCTTGTCTTAGGCTACTCTATGCTATAGTTATGGTTGACTTGCCGTAGGCGGGGCCTTTTTGAGGATGCCAGCCACGCCCTCTGTCATGGAGTGGCTGTAGCTACCCACTGTGGGTGGTGTGTTGGCAGGTCAGGTAGCTGCACGTAAAAGTGGGCCTCTGAAATTCATTAGCACATTCTGGAATTTCCTCTGGTCAGGTAGCCTCAGGCAATGTCAGGCAGTGTCAGGTAGCTCAGGCAATGTCAGGTAGGCTCAGGTAGGCTGAATACCTGCTCCGCCCCCTGGCATGCTTCACTGTATGTGTGGGTGCATTGAGGCATAACTGTTTTGTGACGTGTCAGCTACAAGCACCGTTAGCTTACATTCTGAGCGTAGGTGGTGGTCAGGTAAGCTCAGGTACTCAGCCATGCATGTGCACACTCCAGCTATACAAAGTGTTTACTCAAGTGTAAAAATAAACGAAGCAAATCCATCTAACCAGTGTGTGCTATAGGTGTTGTTTACACATCGGATTCCTGGAGGGCAAATAGTCAGGTACACGCCAGGACCTGCCATGCTGTGGGCCAGGGGCTCACATAAAGCCACTTCCTCCCTACCTGACCATCCTCAATAATGTCTGGTCGTTGGAATACCTGCAAATGCTGCACCATTGAAAACACCCTTCCCCTGTTGCATGGATACTGGTTACATACTGCATTCTAGGTGATTAGTGAGTCAGGTATTGTCATGTGAGCTGATGCCACCAGCCCTGTGCTTCCTCGTAAATTGCATTCTGGTGGGAGTGTGGATCAGGAACAGTCAGCTAAAGCCCTGTTTTCACATTCTGGGGTGTTGGGTCGGTCAGGTAGCCTCAGGAACAACCTTGTCCTGGTGGGTGTGGCAGTCAGGTAACATCAGGAACTATATAGTGTCTTTACATTCTGGTGGGTTGGGCAGTCAGGTAATATCAGGTAGCCCTCATCTCTTTACATTCTAGTGGTTCAGTTTGTCAGGTAAATCCCAACCCCCTTGCTACCTACCTATCTATGGGTAGTTTGTTTAAAATTCCAGTTAGGCTTTGGGTCAGGTAGCTAACACGCTTGTCAGAGTAGCTATCTATGTTCTGTGTATAATATAGCAGTGAGCTATTGCAGTTGCATGCATGATAATAGTGTTTTTGACTCCAGGTCATGTTGTGTACGTGCTACAGAGCACTCCTGCATGTGTGTTTACAGGAGACCACCTCTTTGTCGGCGGAATAGGTTTGTGTCTGTAATAATTGCTGGAGTGGTGGGGTGAGCCAAGTTATTTGCTCCCCTGCAGGGAAGATGTTTGAGTGTAGGCCGGAGACAATGGTGTCCTCCATCAAGAAAGTCACTGATCTTCCACATAACTCTCTTCTATTTCCAGGTATATACAGGTATATAGCTATATCTGCTGTTTCCCGTGACAGATATTGTATATATACACCTATGATAGGACACGAGTACACTTGGCTGAATACGAAGTTTATAAACTCGCTGTATGAAGAATCAAGCTCTTCAGAGGATAACATATATATTAAGGTATATACATATTTCTTTGCACAGAACTTATTATTATTGTTGTGTCCACAGAATAAGCTGTATTGGGTGTCGCAGCAAAGGGAAAGGCGAATAGCCACAGTAAGTGGAGGCCTTAAGCTATACATGAGTTTTGGCACTCGATGTGGATGCACTGCTTGTCCGTTCAGATACCGGCTGTGTTGTCTGAGGAGCTAAGATACAGTCCGTTTCTAAGAACCGAGCAGGCCTCAGTCAAAGATGTCCTAGGTCTCCTCACACTGCCAGCCAGGACCGAGTCTTAGCTGAACTACGCCACCGAAAAGATGCGTACAATCCATTGAAATAGTGTTGTACTGTATAGGTGCGAGAGAAATTCTATACTACTCTAAAACAATTCACAAAGTCTATAGTTCTTGTTTGGCAAGAGGTGGTTGTGTTCTTTCTGTATCGTCAGCCAATTCAAGACCGTGCATTAGACCGTGGGTGTATAGAAAGTAAATGCAGAGACCGAGAATAATAGCCTGCCCCGTGAAGAAACACCAAACTCCAATGCCGCGGTACTTTGGGTGGACACCATATCCAATCCTAAACAGTATCCTTCCGACAGTGAAGACTAGGGCGTTGAGGGATATCAGCTTTAGGTCTTGCCCCTCTAGGTAGGTGGAGAGAATGGCCGTGGACACGAGATACACTGTCAGTTGCTCGAGTGTGTTCTGGGCAAAGTTGTGCTCCAGTTGTAGGAGATTTTCGTGTCCGGAGAGGGGGTTCACAATTTCCAGCTGATGTCTTTTCCTCAGGACGCCGACGATGGCAAAGAAAAATGTAAGACCAGGGACGATGGAGCAGTAGATCACGTGCAGGAGCTTGTTGGAGAAGTCGCCGCTCTCGGGAAGAGGGACGAGGGGCGGTAAACGGTAGTAGCCGAAGTAGAATATGACTAGGGCGATGGAAATTCCCTCAACGGGTTGGAATCGCAGCAGAAACGGCATGCTCTTCTTGTCCTTGTCGGCCATCTTTTGTACAGAAAAAGTGGGTGGGGCTACACCAGACCACGTTTGCGGAAGAGGGGGAAAATGGCTGCACGCTCGGCTCTACACGAAGGAGCCAACCCCGAGGCAAAACCGTCGGTAAAGCTCGGAGACCGTCCATCCGAAAGCTTCCAACGGGTGCTCGGGGCCTGCTCTTTGGTTATTCAACTGCTAATATTTTGCGGAGGTTACTACTTGTGGCCGTCTCTAGTTCCCGTCCCAAAGGCTAGGGACTTCGACACGAAAGCCGTCTACACGCTCCGCTGTCTCCTTCCACCTCTCCTCGCCCTCGCCTTCGCAATTGTCAAAGTCGCCATGATGAGATTCCTTGGGTATGCCAAGAATCCGATGGGCAAAGACGAGCTAATTCAAAAGGACAAGAACTTTCTCCAGAACACACTAGAGCAGCTGGCGTTGTTCTTACTCACTGTAGGCGCAGTAATGACCTACCTGGAAGGAGAGGAAATGCGTCTGATTCCGCTCCACAGCTTCACCTTTTTTATTGGCAGGATTCTGTATCGTCTGGGTTATCCTGACTACAGGATTGTTGGTTTTTTTATGACTGTTTTTCCTAGTGCCGTTTTAGGAGGGCTTACTGTGTATTTTATGTTTACTCGTGGGTTTGATAGCTAAAAGTTTTACTTACTGTTTTTTATCGGATTTGCGCATGCGCAGTCGAGGACCAAGATGGCCGTTGGGGATGAGCGCGCTCGGATGCTCCGAGTTCTCCCGCTGCAGGCGGTCATAGGCCTAGCCATGCTAGTTGGAGGTCTCTATGGAGGGTACTACCATGTTCCTGACGGCGCTATTCCAGCTCCCAGCAGCGGAGAGCTTTCCGTCAAGATTGCCTACACCCTTCGCTGCTTTCTCTTCTTAGCCCTGTTCCTGGGTGTCGCCGTTGCGCTAACGGGACGCAACAGAGTCATAGTCGGAGCTCGAAACCCTCTGTCGGGCAACGAGGCAGGCATGCAGCTGCACAAGAAACGGCTAACGAACACGTTGGAGCAGACCTTTATCTACGTCATGTTGGCCCTGCTACTAGCAACCCTGCTGGAAAAGGAAGAGATGAAGTACATATTCCTCAGCACGATTCTCTTTGTGGTTGGCCGAGTTCTGTTCTGGGTTGGGTACGGGATCCACCCGGCCTATCGTGAGATAGGAACAATTTTATCGTTTGGTATTGCCATGACATCGCTCATCCTCTCCGCCTATCTTCTCTGTTCTCGAGGCTTCGTTCTTGGTTCAGCAGTTTCTACTGCAGCCGCCATAGCTGTACCTACTCTTTCAGTCCTTGGTATACTAGTACCAATGTGAAATGATTATAATGTGTACATAATTATGATAGTATGACAAATGAAAACAGACGTCAGGAAGGATTATCATCGTCTGCTAGAAGCGAGCGGTGTCCAATGCGTTCGAGCTCAGATATCAGTTCTCCTGACTTGTGCATCTCCAGCATTATGTCAGCCCCACCTACCAGCTCACCATTCATATAGACTTGAGGGAACGTTGGCCAATTTCTAGAAGGCAGTGAAAATGCTCTAATACACATTATGCACCAAATGGTGTGCCCAGTCAATTTAGGTTCACCGTGTTAACAAATATGAGAGGTTATAAAATGTAGCTCAGAGAGGCAAAACCAGTTTGCCTACCTTTCCCCATACCTAAAGAAACCCTTACGAGTATTCCTTCATGCCTTCCTTGAAATCCACGTCTTCAAGGACATCGTGGGACTCGTAGTCCTTTGCACCTAACAACAGATCTCGTGTCACAACCGTCACACCATGACTATTGATGGCTACTCACCGTGCATGTCAAGGATCTGGACTACCAGTCGACTGAAACCACACTGTACATTGGACAGAGATATAGCAACACAGCACTCAGCCAATCAATGAGTGGGCATTGCTAGGACTATGGGTATAAGCAAGATATTGTACTCTCATGTGGTGCGTAAGACTGTTATCTTATATACCACCTACAGTGTATACCTACTTTATAGTGTTAGCATTCTAGTTAGTGTCCGGTGTACTCTCTATGCCATGTATATATATACCCAATGTGCAAACTTGGTCCTTACCATTGGAGCAGTTGGTTCTCCTTTCATAAACACAACCACAGGCTTGCCTCTTACCAGCTGGGGAAATAAAAGAATGAGGTGTACAAAACGCGCATAAATCCCCTTACATTTTCGTAGTACTCGTGGGTATACTTCGTTGCGGCATCTCCGTATCTTCTCAGGAAGGGTAGTTGGCGATACACCGAGCTTTCTTTCGTCAGCGGTTGAGCTAGCGATCTCTGTAGAGCTGGCACGGTGCGTGCAGGTCGCAAGGCGGCAATAAACCGGCCCACAGTAGCCATTTTCGCGCAGAGGCTTCCCGCAAACAAGGTGGTGCGCGATTATTAGAGTAAGATAGCGTTCTAATTGAAGCGCACCAAGCACGTGGTGGTTCTCTCGTGGTGTCTGTGTCGCGTAGAGGATCATGGAGGATGGATCTCCGGACAGTGAGGTAATTTTCGAAGAGGACGTCTGGGAAATAGATGACGAAGATGGAGAAATACCGCCAGAGGACGGTTCATAATACCTGCTGCAGACCTGAGCTCGTAGATGTTGCTGTGTTTTGCAGATTTGCAGGAGGAGATGGAAGGCATGGGGTTTGAGGAGGAAGAGGATGAAGAGGAGGAAATGGTCACTAGGAACGATGCCGCAGCCGTATTCAAGGGACATACAGGTGCAATGTGAAATTGAGGGTCTGGCTGGATTTTACCTTTATCACTAGGTTCAGTGTTCTGCGTGAGTCTGCACCCAGATGGAGCTCTGGCCTGCAGTGGTGGGGAAGACGACAGAGCATTTCTGTGGAGAACTGATGATGCTTCAGTTACCATGGAATGCAAAGGTGCTGTGCACATATAAGTACATTATATAATATATTATACATATATAATTTAAGGCACCTGTCATGACTCTATAATTGAAACCCTAAACCCTACTAGGCAACGTAGGATATTGTGTACAATTTGTGTATACTTCAGGTCACAAGGACTCGGTGACGTGCACAGGTTTCAGTCACGATGGGAAGTATGCTGCAACTGGTGACATGGGAGGAGGTGTGAGGGTGTGGAGTGTGGAGGAGAGACAACCAGTGTGCGTCTTGGAATCTTCTGACATCGAGGTTCATACGTAACACCGTTTCTTTGTACACGTTGTTTCTTGATGCTGTATTATTGAAAGTGAGCCTACATGCACCAAGAGAGTTTTTGATTGCATTTATTATGACGGCAGGTTTTGCTTTTTATAGTTGTCCCGATTGTGTCAAACTGAAAATTCAACATATTTGTCACAAACAGTTCAATCTTTACCCAATGCTCGTATCTTACTACGACAAAGTTCATTGACTTACCCTCGACTTTTTGATATAATACGTCGTAATTAGCCTCTCTATCATAATGCTTGTATCTGATTGGTTCTCTGTTGGTGCAGTGGTTGAAGTGGCACCCCCAGGCCCACGTGCTTCTGGCTGGAACTAGTGACGGTATGGGGTGGATGTGGAGAGTGCCTGCGGGAGACTGCAAGACCTTCCAGGCCCAGAGCTCCCGCAACATTTGCTGCAGCTTCTTACCTGACGGTTAGTAGAGTGAGTATACTTCTAGGGAAAATGTGTGGAGAATACAAGTCCTTATGGTATAAATTGAAATGTGAAATCTTAAATGCAATGGGCATAATGCCGGATAACCTGTGTCATCCATATTTGCAAGTCTACTGTACTAATAGTGATCTACGACAAGTACTGTGTAGGCAACCTACACCCCTGTTATAAGGTAACCTACTGTATGTGTTGGCAAACAAGCCCAAGTCGTATATCCTGGTGTGTGATCTTTAGTCCCAAGTGCTCCATTCTTTTAGTCTGTATACGTGACTTTCCAGGCAAGCACATAGCCTGTGGTTACGAAGACGGATGTGTACGAGTGTGGAACCTGAAGGAGTGTGTCACGACTTCGTCCATGTCACCTGCCCACAAGGGTTCAGTCAACTGCCTCGCTGCCAACAGCGACGGATCACTCGTCATGACCGGCTCTGAAGACTCCACCGCTCGACTAGTCAGCACCACTACTGGAAAGGTTAGAGCACACATTTTTGGAGCTGTGGCCAAACGTGAATCTTTGGGGAAGAGGGGTTCGTAAAGCTTAGCTGTCCATTTCATCCATGGCTCTCTGCGTCTACTGTACAGGTAGTTGTGAGCCTTGCTGCTGGGATGCCTCGGAAAGTGCCCCCCACTGCTGACGATGAAGACGTGACTCAGTCTACTCCCTTGTCAGTTGAGGACGTGGCGTTCTTCCCCTCCCTCCCTCTCGCTCTCACTGCTTCCCTCTCTGGAGCAGTGGGCGTGTGGGACATTGCCACTCAGAAACTCAGACACACTCTACAACACCAGGTAGACCTTGTACCGTGCATCTTCTGTACAACTTGTGATACATACAGTGGAGCATGTATACAGTTCTGCTGCATGCTGTGTCCAAACAATTGTGTTGCTATCTAGCCAGAGCTGTTCACATTCAAAGGCTCCCGAGGCTAGAACACAGGTTCTACATGATTATGTGATATTCACTTATACATGGGTTTTGCCCGCACAACTGAGTTCCTCTTTACCCCATGAATCCATGATTACGTAGTATGGTATTCACTTAATTATGTACACGTGCTTTTGATTATGTATACAGTATGGTATTCACTTATATGTACATGTGGTTTTTGCTGCACAACTTCTGAACCCAGTGTATGATCTACTGCAGGCAGGAGTGGTGAGGCTGCGGTGTTCAAGTAGAGATCCACTGGTGTTCACAGGCTGTCTGGATGGTGGAGTGAGGCTGTGGGATGTGAGGGGAGGGGAGTGTGTGAGGGAGTGGTGGGGACACACCAAAGATATCCTCGACCTCACCATCGCTAGGTATTACCCAACTTCTCAACAACTCCGAATACACTTTTTGCAGGTTGCAATTGGCCGTCAAACCCAGTTTAAGTTGCAAGGCATACCTTGCAGGCCTATCTTTTTACATACTTAAAACTTGATGTTGTCAGTGGTATGATAATTATAGGTTATTATTTTGCTGATTTTCATCTTGTGCAATGTGTTATCTCCAGTGATGATAGCCTCATTCTGTCAGCATCAGACGACGCCACTGTCCTTGTGTTCTCTAACAAGTCTCAGACACTACACTGTAGTCAGTAACTTTATAGTCTTTTCACCTCAGTGTAGTTATGTATTATGTGTCCTAAAACACCTCTGTTTTGTCACAACAAAATCCATGCTATTAGTGTTCTCTAAAATGGATACACTATGGGTATAAGAGTTATAACTGGCCATCTAATGTATAATGTACAAGCCCTACATCAGCACTATATTATAGCCCTATTCTGTCACAACAGTCCATGCTAACAATATTATATCTAGCTAGTGTTCTCTAAAATATACGACTCCTATAGGCCAATGTCAAACAGCAGTAATTAGGTGTGCTACCGTCTCCTAGAACGTCTGAGCATTTCTGCAGACTCCGCAGCCGAGTGCAAACTCTTCGCCAGTCGGAGGGTGTTTCACGTGTAGCGGACACTCGGTGCCTTCCAGCGGTTTAGCTCGGGGACCGACTGGACACTGGGGCAGCTCCGACTTGGGCGTGCTGGTGACGCGCTGGAAGTCGTCGTGGCAAGGGTTGCAGAAGTGGGTCGTGCCGAAGCAGAAGTAGACGGCCACGGAGCAGCAGTAGCGACACTTGTACTCGAGGAAGTCGGTTCCGTGTTTGGGGCACACCTGGAGAAGAGAGGGACGTGCATGCCAGATTGCCAGTTCGGGTTTTGGCTCGGCTTTTTCTCTTGGCATCACATGGTCTAATACCTTCATGCGAGAATGCTACCACTATCCTCAATACAGAGCAGCATCCTACTGTGAATAACACTTTTCCTTATAGTACACCCTGAATTTAATTGGAGTTTTCTTTTGGCTTATAAGAGACACCTGGGAGACATTAGAAGTGCAATTCTGAGGTGCCACTTTTCCTGAGATAATATATGTCAAACCCAGTGTCTTACAATAAGGTGTCCTTTATTCAGAGGGTCCTTTGTGGTAGTAATCAAATTCATATATACTGGGTGATTGGTGGTGGTGTGCTCTAACCTGGACTGCAGTTCCACTGACGTTAGAGCAGGCAGGACACACCAGTTCCGTAGGGTCATAGTCATCACTAACTGCCGCTGCCTGTGCACACCTGGCCTCTCCACCGTAGTATGACTGCATGGAGGAGAGGGAGAATGTGTGTTCATGGATCATAGCAGGACTTATATATAGTACATGAGCGACAAAGTATTATGTCAAAGTCTTAGATAATATAGGGAGACCGGTTTAGCATAGAGTATATTACATTAGACCTGTAAACCACCATAATTTTGTGCAAAGTGGGAGAGCCTAGGGTCTGAGGCTATACTTTAGGGTTCATTGCCTGTTACTTTGCAGAACACAGAGAGAATGAGGTGCTTCAGCTGAGAGTATATACATAACAAAATCTCTTTACGGAGGAGACCCTCACCTTCTTGCACTTGCAGCAGAGGTAGTAGGCATACTTGGACATGGCGTAATCGAGTGGTTTCTGGTAGAACTTGGAGGAGGGAGAGGTGATCTCGTCGCACTGCATCTGGTTCTCGTACTCTAGTCGTAGGAGACACTTTCTCTTCACGTCCTCGTAGAGCTTCGCGATGGGCTCCTGGACATCACTCAGTGCAGGGTGGGAGATGGGGATGTTCTGTACGGTGCACACGCATTATAGCAGGTTGCAGTTTGTATACAGTGTGAAATGGAGCATTTTCATGGGTAGGATCATAAAGTAAGCCGGTAGGTTGTGAACTGATGAGGCTGTGTTTAGCCTTCCATGGTGTACAAACAATTATTGGACACAGAAAAAGAAGTGAACGTACCACACAGAGGGAGCAGAACATGAAGCGGAAGGTGATCATGGGACCAGACCATTTCTTGGTGAGGGAACTTCGACAGCAGTGGTAGTGGAACACATGGCCACACGTCAGCTGGGGGGGACACACACGCACATTGCATTCATAATTTTGTAGCTACAACACATTATTTCCCACCACGGCACATGACATGTGTCATAAGCCAGTTATACGGTTGGTTCTTCATTAAGACTATGTTTTGAGTCACGAAATCTGCTGGTCAGCATTTTCCGCCGTGACTCAAAACTTGGTCTTCAATGAAGTAACAAGGACTTTGGCACTCAAAAGCAATGTATGGCTGTTCTTTATCACTCAGAGGAGCTCTCTCTGAATGACCTAAAGCAGCCACTCTACCACTAGTGGCAGCTCAGTGTATGCCTGCAGTGCAGGGGGAGAGACTTGGCTCCAGCATCTCACCCCCATCGTTGAGCACAGGCGAAAGGAACTCGGGCAAACTCCTCCTTTAGTGTTGATTTTTACAATAGTAACCAAGTCCAGTCTTTATGTGTAGTTAAGTTTAAGCCTCTTGTGAGAAGCCAGCATAGCAAGAAATTTAACCCCATGTCATTCTTCCGCTGAAACTCATTCACATTTGCAACTACCAAAGAGAAATACTACCTACCAGTGGAGAATTAAATGAACTCAAAGTAGCAGTAGGCTTACCTGGACACACGGAGCACACGAGAGGCCCTCGGTGTAGCAGATCATGCACATGTCGTCCGCGTCCTGCCTCAGCTTAGCCTCTGGCGGGGAGCAGCCGTGGAGACACGGGAGACACTCGCTCTCTCCCTTCACGCCCGAGCAGGGGTGGCCACACGCCAGCGTTGTGTCACAGACTGTCACGGCTCTCTCCTGACACTCTGGATCACTGCACACCGTCCCTATTGACAGCATTCCCGTGTTACTGACCGTCCCGCAGAACCGACAGGCACCCTTTCCTCCACCTGGGACCGCGAGAGAAGATGAGAGAAGGAAAAGAGTACAAGTAGAGAGCACCGGAAAGAGAGAGAGATAGAAAAAATGAGAGCAGCAGAGCAAAAGTTAAGAAAAAGGGGGAGAGGCCAAACAAAGAGGAAGATAAGAAACTGAAAGGTAAAAGGGAGGAAGAGTGGGGAATACATACATCTCAGCAACGGTTCACAAAAGGGTGTTCATGCACAGATATGTGATATTACAGGACAGGAGAGCAAATTTCTTAACTTTCTCACCACTGCTGGCCTCTCTGAACTCGATGAGACCCTTGAGAGTGCGGTAGTCTGCGAGGGCCATGGTCCAGTAGAGCTTGATGCGACCACACCCCTCGTGCAGCTCCACCTTCACCGCCTCCTCCTCCTCCTTGAACACCTGCGGAATAGCACGATACATGTGTACATTAGGTCATTGATCAATTCAGAACGGGTGCTGGAATCAAAGTAAGGGGAGACTAGTAACTCCTATGCCATCATGCTAGTGTCTGGTTGTACTGAGCAACCAGAGAGTTGTAAGCCAGGAAGGGCTCGCCTGTCTCTGGTGAGTCTTGGAGTAGTGGAGGACGCGGTCGCACTCCCCGCACAAGTTCCCACAGTGGTCACACAGAATGAGGGCCTGCGTCTCCCCGTCATCGTGGTTGTCACATAGAGGCTGGGGGAGGGGGAGAAAGATACGTAGTGCTATGTACATGTAGCTTCATACAACAGGAGAATAAGTACAATTTATAGTAATGTGTTTCTCGGAACTGCAAGGAGCAAATTTGCAGTCCTAAAATGCTCATGTACGTATGTATGTAAAAAGTGGTATATAGTTTAAACACGTACTAATATCGTGTCAAATATTAGCACTCTGTGAAAATTCTTTCTGTGCAGAGTATATACCATGGAATCAACGTGACCTCGGTAATAGAGATTGATGGATCCTATCAATGTGTGCTCATTATATATATATATATATATACGTACCTTGTCCTTGGGTTTTCCGTATAGGTTATACGATGGCGGCGCGTGGTCTACTGATTGCACACTCGTGGCTTCAGTTTTGATAGACCACTCGGGCTACGCCCTCGTGCCCTATCAAAACTGGCCACTCGTGTACAACCAGTAGACCACGCGCCGCCATCGTATAACCTATACGTATACATACCTTGTCTTTGGGTTTTCCGTCCTGGCCGAGCCATTGTCCAGAGGAGAGGGCCTCAGCGTGCTCCTCGTCTATCACACACAGAGCTGCCAGACACAGCCACAACTGCACATACATATAGCAGACAGATAGAGAGACACACACTTGAGAGAGGCACTCATAACCAAACAGTAATAAATGGGTGACATCAAGCTTCGTTCAGCATAAATTACTAGGAATTTTACACAACTAACTGCAAAATTTCAGCACCCTATAAATACAGCTGAAAGAAAGTGTCCTACACATGAAGATTAATATTCTTTTTATTGTACAGTAAAACCATGTATGTATAGTTGTGTAACTAGCCCAACACATGAGGAATGCATTGTGAGTGCCGACTAACCGTCTGAGAGTACATGCCAGGGTTTGGCACACGAGCTCCCTCGTTGATCTTGGTGAGGTGGAGCACCGCCTGTCCGATGGCAGCCTTGGACACTCCTTGCCACTGCTGACCCAGCTCTCCTGTCGTCATCGCCTTCAGCAGCTCCACCACCGCACTCCCCACCTCCTTATCCACGCTGCCTCGCAGGTACCAACGTTGACTACGAACCGTCGTCTCCCCGGGCACCGGCTTTGGGTTTGTGAGGCTAGCGAGTGTAGCTGCAGATATATTACTGTCTCCCGTGAGAGCCTGTAGTACGTTTGTCCCGCGGCCCTTTGCCTTGACTTGTACAGAGAGAGCCTTGGCCACCACGGCCAGGAAGGAGTCTAGGATACCGAGGGTGTTGAGAGTGGCGGCAGAGTTGACGGCCTCGGCGATGGCGCTGTATCCGATGGGAGGGAGGACCAGGACTTGGAGCATGGGGGCCAGGTTCTTGGGACCGATTGTGGGCAGGATGCGACGGAGCAAAGAGAGGGCCTGGGCAGAGAGGGTGGCAGACATAATAGCTATGTCAGGTGATAAATACATACGTATGTACCTGTATCTGCATGCGAGAGGTGGCGACGTGGAGGAGAGAGAAGAGGTCCTGGACCAGAGTCTCCTGCTGAGAGAGAAACCCGCAGCCAATCTCAGACTGACTCAGACCAATCAGCATCGAGAGAAGCTCGAAGCAGTACGTATCGGACGACAAGCTCCCCTCTGCCTCGGTGGGCTCCACGGAGCTGCCTTGTCGGGCCAGCTTCGGGGGAGGGCCTCGTGACACCCTAGTCTCCCACTCCTCCTTCATCCTCTCCACCTCCGCGTGCACTGACTGGATCACATGACTACACACCTATACACACACATACACATGAACACCATATCCACTAATATACACCTGCAAGATGTGTACTGTGCTATTGGGTGCAGATACATATAGCAGCAGGAAAATTTCAAGGTATATATTTCAGGTAAGAACTTCTACAGATTGCTTGCTCCACTGTGCAAACTGTCCTTGCACAAAATATTTAAACATGGAGGGTTTGTTCCACTAAAGTTTCCCACTATATCGAAGGTGTACTTGAATCTGTGTGTTCACCTGTTTCTGAAGACTGGAGAGGTTGTTCTTGGCGAGGAGGATGTCGGCCATTGACTCCCTCACCTCTCCCTCCTTCTCTGCCTCCTTCCCGGGCACCGGGGCATCGGTCTCCTCGATGTCTTCTCCTTCTTGAGGCTTGGTCGGTAAGAGACTCCCAAACACCTACACACAGCACACACAGTCCTGATTACACCCACATCAATCACATAGAACAGCCAGATCTTTCTAGAATTTGTGAAATAGCGCTGCAGACACATAGTAAACACGATGCGAGTTACCACACAGTTTTCACTTGTAAGTGTGTATTTAAAACCCCCGGATAACAGCAGTTCTAGTCAGACGGTATAATATACTATCACTAACCTGAGAGGTGAGAAGTCTGAAGACCCTCAGAGCCTCCTCCTCGCAGGCCTTCTGCTGGGCAGCGGCCGGGGACAAGCAGCAGTCAAGTCTCCTGCTGGGGTAGGCCAGGACCTGGAGCTGTCTGACTCTCACGTTGTTCTGCGGTCCCTTCACCTCGACCCTCACCACCGAACACAGCTGGGGAACAGAGGAGGAGGGAGGAGGAGGAGGGGAAGTAGGATAAATACATTGCATGCCATCTTTGTTGACCAGTAGCTTGTTTCCAGGCTGTGCGCGAAGGGGCAGTGACAAACCGAAAAATGTGCAAATCTGCCCTAGTAAAAGTCTTGTTGGTCAAAATGTTATGTATTTCAACCAGTGAAAGTTGTCTCCCATTGTGACCATTACAAAGTACAGCACTAAGCTAAGTATAGTGCAAGCATACAAAAACTCTAAAGCAGTACTAGGGTCTGCACATGTATACCTGGTCAGGAGAGGGTACAGGTAGAGTGATCCAGCCAGTGTGCATCAGAGACAGTTTATGTTTGGAGACCTCTTTCAGTCCATCCTCGTCCTTCCCCACAAGTAGAGTGAGAGATTCCACACGTTGCTAGAGGAGGAGACAGAGAGAAGAAAATGAGGCCAACGGGAGGAGGAGGTATGCATAATCGTGAGTGAGAATTCACACCAGGTTCATTTGTATTAAAAAACACTATAGTAAATGCACACATGAACTATTTGACTATTTCTTAGATTGTTCTTACCAATGATCTATACCTATTATATCTTGTATGTGTGCTTAGTTTGGACTAACTTGGCATTAAACAGCACGCGTAATATACCACGCTGCATACCCCAGAGTCTTTCTGGTTGTCAATGTGAACAGCAGCAGCAAACACTCGGGGCTCCTGGTTGAAGGAGACTGTGAGGCTCCGTGGCCGACCTCTCGGCTCATCTCGAGATTCCCAGAACGTCTCCGTCGAGTCATCCGTCAGACTGAGAGATTAGGGAGAGAGTAATTATGTATTACATCATTACGATGTAATGTGAGGAACGGTAAATGAGGAATAAGCCGAGAGAAGAGGGGTTTTAGCTAGCCTAAGTGAGTACTGTATGGAACAGTGCACTGTCATGTGCTGTAAAACCATTGATAATACCTGTTGAGCATAGCTTCATTGGAAGAGACCTTCAGTTTACCCTTCGACGTAACATTCTCCATCACTACTACGTCAATTGACTGTAAACAATAGAATAGTTTCATCACAAACTTCTTGCATCTCTACTCCTATTGATTTACAGATTAGAGAGGTTCCCATCTATTGTACCACCTTCCCATCGAAATTATCCAATACAACTCCTTTGTGTATATAATAATATGGACTTCTGAATAAGGACATATGAAGTGTGCTTTAATTAGAGGTTTCTCTTATTAGGGGGTATCTAACAATAAAGCCAAGGCGTCCTTTCATCAAAGGGTTCCTTGTTTCGTAGGTCCCACTCTGTGGTAGTACTATACCTTGTCTCCCTTGTGTTTCTTGTCGGAGTTCTCCCCCTCCTCGGGGCCGGCCAGAGCCTTGCTGATGTTGGAGAACATGTTGCTCTGGAGCAGGAATGAGTGGTCCTGCGACCGGAAGTGCAGACACCAGCACCGCATCGCCATCCGCTGAACTGCCGATCCCTTCGGGAGCTGAGGGAGCGGAGGAAGTAGAAGAAAAGTGTCTATATTTTGGCAGAAATACAGTAGAAAGTTGCTCTTTCTTTGTACTGTAATTTTGGTGAGCCTTGAATTTTGAAAATTTGGCTGTTGACACATGTTATTGCACATTATAGCCAGGTGAAATATCCCCATGCACGACTGCTACACCACAAAAATATCTCACATGAGGCATCTTGTTGGCAACGGTCTGTAGAAGATTGTGGAACTGTTTCCTGAGCAGTAGCTGCATGCAGCCAGCTCCCTCCAGGGAGGCCAGCGGGTGCTTTCCCAGGAAGAAATCGTCGTCTCCACACTTCTGCACACCACAGAGATGTATACATACAGTATATATACTCCATCACTCATACATGGTGCTATCAGGGCCAATGGCCACCACTGTATCATATATGTATTAGTTACACTTCATGTGCCATCCTGCCCCAACAACTCTCTATCAGGTCCTATTAGGTATATACTGTTGATTTCTATATGGAGGAGGCTGCAAGCAGATATAGAAATCCGTGTCCGTTAGTCTAAAGTCATCATGTGGTGTACTTTAGTTTAAGTACTTAGATTAGCTTACATGTAGCTCTCTCACTACTTCTTAGGCTTAGGCCATGTACACTTCCTACTCGATAGAAAAAGAGATTTATCAAACTCTGTTTACCTGTCCTCCATTCCCTTCTTTCTCTCGGTTGGCCTTGACTTTGGCAGCAGTCTGGTGTACCGGGTGGTCACAGAGAGACGAACTGAACTGCCAGAGAATGTCGTGGACAATGGATGCCTCTTCCACCTTCAGCAGCAGCCACTGCAAGCACTAGTGACAGAAAGAGAGAGAGAGAGAGAGACTGAGCTTATTTATAGTGACAGCTCAGACAATAAGGAGACAGCCCTTAGCAACAGAACAAATGTGAAAAAGCCTCTGACAATGGTGTTAGACAATGTTCTACAAGTGGCTTGTTGAGGCAAAGCAGACCCTATCAAGGGAACAAAGGCCTGATCTGTACACAGCATTCAGGAACAATGCAACCCGCTAAAATTGATAACTACTTCACAATAGCATTGGCAAAACTAACAGGCAAACATAACCACAACAAAACTGTGAACAAGTATACTGTGCTGCATACAAAATTTGCTGAGCTCCATACCTCCAAGGCAAAGGCCCTTACACCTGCAACCCTCATCGACTGCTTCATGGCCATTCGGAGTCCGTTCAGATCGTGATACTGCAGAATAAACGCCATCACTTTCCCGTACCCGACCTCCTTGCTCTCGGAGCTCTGCTTCGAGCGGCTGTACATGAGTCGTGCAAGGTTTATGGACGGTTTGAAGACTAGAGCACCCTGCGTGCTGCTGGTGGCTAGTGGACTGTCTAGCGTATGCTGGCGCATCAGCCCGCCACCTTCATCCTTTGTGCCGCTTGTGTGTGCCCTTCCTGGCTGGAACAAGTCCGAGCTTGAGCTTGCAGCGAGCACACTTGGTACGGCATGCGAAACCGATCGCAGGAAAGTCGGGCGTTGGGTAGGGTCGAGGTTTTCAGAGGACACTTGAGGTGGTTTCTTGGTGTCCGGCTCAGTCGGTTTGCTGGGGAAGGAAACTTGCTTTGAGAAGGCCAGGAGACCAGGGGAGAGAAGGCCAGTTGGTGTGGTGGCCGGTTTGCTTTCTCCGAGACACGATATCTCGAGGAGAAACTTGGCGTTCTGGATCATCCCCTGCACGGCTGAGACTACGGGGAGCGAGCGCTGTTTCCCAGGTTTCTTGGTTTTCATCTTTGGCAGGGGCGCAGCACGAATGGCCTTCTTTCTAACTTCGCCCTTCATAGCCAGGTACTTGGCGTGGCAGTCTTTGCACATGAGGTACCACGTGCTCCCTCCTCGCCCACCGTCCCCGCAGTTCCCTGCCCATCCGGAGCAGAAAGTCCCCCGACTGTTGTAGCCCCATCCACTGGCATGCTTCCCACATCCAGGGTGGACGTCCTTCATGTGATAGGTCACAGGATCGGGGAAGGATTGCTCGCAGAGCTCGCACACTGTGGCGCCGCTACCACCACCTCCCGCCGCAACACTTGCCTTGCTATCCTTCTCCTTCTTCCTCTTTTCAATTTCCTTCTTCTCTTCCTCATAGCGCTTCTGCAGCTCCTGTGCAATAGGCGGTACTTTGGGAGGGGGGAAGGCCGTGGAGGCATTGTCAAGCACTTTGGAAGATATCTCGTCCCAGAAGGTAACGAGATGGTTAAGAGTGGCGGGAAGAGAAAGGGTAGAGGAAGGACTCTGAGGATCAATCTGCGATCCTCGTTCAAGGCTAAGAGTTTTATGCGGTTCCCCAGGTTTCTTTCCTTCTTCTTTAACATCTTTCTCACTGCCACCCCCTTCTTTTTTGCTCTCCTCCACTGTTCCTTCCACCTCACCTTCTGGCTTCTCAGCTTCTTCATCTTCACCCTTTGCTTCTGCCTTTGCCTCAGCCACCTTTTCCTCCTTTTCGGGTAGCGGCTTCTGCTCAGCCATTTTCATCTCTTTGCTCAGTTCCGGGTGGAATTTGAGGTATGATGCAGAGGCTATTGCATCATGCACAAGGCCCTCCTGCCACAGAAAGGCAGCGTAGACAGCTCTCTGGCACTCTGCCACAGCAGGCGACAGGGCCTTCTTGGTAGGAGGGTCTTTTGGGAGTGGAGGAATGGCTGGGAATGGAGCTTCTTCCGCCTCGATGCCGGACTTCTCTCCATCCTCCTCCTCCTCCTCGGCTACTGGCTTTTGTTGTGGAGATAATATTTCCTCTTCTCCAGCCTCCTTTTCCTCCTCTAGTCGCTTGGGAGGTGGGGTTTTGTCATCACTACCCCCTTCTCCCTCTCCTTCTCCCTTTACTTCAATCAATTTCAGAGGGGAAGCCTTTCTGCGAAGCCACCTGTGAGGCCTACCTCCAATGTGAACTGCTTTCTTCTTCTTTGGTTTCTCGGCTGAACCAAACTTGAAGAGGGGGGCTTTTGGTGGGGCAGGAGGGGGCCCACCAAACTGGAGTTTTGGGGACGTGAATAGAAAGGAGGGAACCGTGGGAACCATAGGGGTTCCGAAAATAGATTTTTGCTGGGGTGGAGTGCCGAACACAGATGCAGCGGTGGGGAAGGCTAGCTGGGGTGGGGTGGACGGGGAACTGGTGTCGATTACTTGTGACTGGTAGGTTGTGTCTCCTTCCTGGGCCAGGTAAATACGCCCGCTGACGGCGACAGCCAGAGTCCATGATTCCACGTCAGAGTCGCAGTACTTCTTGACGTCTTCCTTGGAGAGTTTCAGCCAAATTCCATCATCATTCTCCACCTGCGGTGTGGGAACAGTTCATCTACACATCAAACACAGCAACGCATTTATGGTTTATATTAAGATTCTACCATCTGTGTTAAGCTGTATTGGGATGTCAAAATGCCAGTTCTAGTCTATTCTGTATGTTCTGCTGGTCTAAGCAAAAAGAGGCATGCCGTGATGTTCGTATTAGCACACCATAATTATAACGTTTTGGCCAGAAACAGTACTTTTCAGGTTCACCTCTTCAACTGCCTCGATGGTGCTCCTTTTGCTCAACCTGCCGACCGGCGTTCCCCTCATGTTGGGCTTGGAGCGGACGTTGTGGCCAGCAGTTCCACACTGCACCACCTGGTACATGCCGGGGCCACTGAGTCTCTTCTTTGACCCCCCCTGCTGCGAAGGTGGCGGCTTCTTCATCTTCTTTATCATCTCTGTTGGGGGCTGAGGAAAGGAAGCATGTACATACAGAATGCCAGGATTGTTCAGTACCACAAAACAAGCACTGGCTAAGTTGGTTGTGCTATGGTCTCTGTCTATACTATGTCTGGTGCTGTTCTGCTGAAGACACCTTTCCGTGCAAACATTTTGTGCTCATAAACTCATTATGTACCTCCTTCTCAACCAGGTACTGCTGTTTCTTCTCTTCACTGAAGGCTAGAGTGTAGCCGTGACTGGCAGAGCAGCCAAGTTGGTGGAGACTCTCTTCGTTCAGTTTTACCCACACTCCAGCATCGTTAGTGATCTCGTCTACGTAGCAGAACGAATCCCCTGGCTTCACAACTCCAATTGCTTCAGCCTGAGAAACAGACGAGAGGATCAAGGGAAAGGAGAGAGGAGGGAAAGAGATGATGGTTGCACAGGTTGGGAAGAAGATGGACTTGCCATGAATGAGGGTTCAGCTCTGATCCTGAGGCCTATGACTTCTGCAGTCCCGGGAAACTCTTTCATCTTGGGCTTGAAGATTGTCAATTCTTCTTCTTGTGTCTCCAACTTCTTTTCAACCTCCTCCTTTTTCTCGTTTCCTTCCTCTTTATCTTCCCCCTTTTCCTCCTCTTCTTCAGGAATGTCTCTCTCCCTTACTACTAGCTCTTTCTCTTGCCCTTTATACAGACATAATGTGTATCAGCATTACTACACACTACACAGAATAAAAGTTCAACCGAGGCTCACTGTAGGAGTAACAGTAGGTACTGTATTAACCTTACCCGTGTGTTTGTCATCAATGAAGATTTGAATGAGGTACTTTCCACTTGTGCCGGGAACCCACGTGGCTGTATAGCAGCCATCGCCACCACTCTTCAATGGCATGTTCTCTGTGCTCCTGGACAAAGGCAGGAGTGACACAAACGGCATACCATACATCCATTAACAATGAAGTAGCTCAAACTATAATGCCACTAAGTTTCTCCTTACCTCATAACTTTAGGGGCAAAGAGACGCAGCTCCTCAAAGGAGTAGTCACTATAAGGCTAGTATATAAGAAAGAGGGGAAGAAAAGAAGGTGAGAAGCAAGTAAACACTCTGCAAAGTGGGAGTGGGGGCCTCACCATCATCATGGTAATGGAGTGATACTGAGAGGTTCCATTGAGCTTGGTTGGGTTGTACTGTCTCTTGAAGACTGGCCTCCTTACTCCCATGACTGCATCCACCAGCTTGTCTCTTCGACCTCCTTCCTCTTTCCCTCCCAGCCACACTGCCTTCACTTCAACCTGGGGGGAAGAACAAAAGAGGCAAAAACTACACACAGAAACACAAGAGTGCAGTACACATGAAACTTATACACCCAAACATTACCCTAGAGGTTAACCAGGTACTAATAGTGAAAGTGGTCTGCTGTTCTGTACTACACCTTCATGTCTCCCACGAAGACTTTCTTTCCGTCTTGATCCATGGTGGAGACAGTGAACTCTGAAGGCAGTCCAGTAACTGGAGCTTCTTTCGGTAGCTCCAGTTTCGAGGCCTCAGCGTCCACAGCTCTGTCTGGCTGCAACCACCTAGTATACATAAGGACAGAATCCCCTTGCAGTACACAGCAAATAAGAATTTCGTGGAGAAAAAAATAGCAAATTGCTGTTCTACCGTAAAAAGAGTCCACGCCTACAAAATGTGCAGAGAAACCTTTTTTAGCTCTATATACCCTGACAGCACTGATTATATAACACATGATAGTGCATATACGTACAATAGGTAAGAAAAATAGGTAAACCTGTCCTGCATGTTTACCTTGCAAGTCTGCCACCTGGTGTGTTGGCTTTGCAGCTGATAAAGTCGTACAGAAAGAGCTGCTCATTAGTACTGCTAATTAGAGGGATCTCCCCACTGAGAATGTTCTGGATAGTGGGCATGTCTACTAGGAGACCGCGACCCAAAATGTTACTGTGCTTGGTTAAGACCTGCATAATGGAGTGAGAAAAGTGATCACACAGTACGGGACCTAGATTTAGGGGAATGAGATTCTTATGCTGAGGTATCACTGGAGATGTGTCTGAACTCGGTATGTGCTGGAGGCATGTAGGCAATATTTATGTGGATCAATGTATATACATAGCTTGGAAGTGTAGCACTGTTAAGAGGCAGTCACCTCCTGTGCTGCAGCCTGTACAATTCTCATGTCGGCTTTCTCATTGTCTGTCTTCTGGTCCGTAGCATTCAGCTCCTCTGTGAAGGTAGTATGTATTATACGAAGAGACATATGACACCACAACATAGTAAGCACAGCAAGAGGCAGGCCGTGACTTACCAGCAAAAGGAAGGATAGTTTCCTCCTTGAGGAGTGAGGCAGCACACATTCCTCCCAGAGCAACCAGCTCCTTCTCCAGGAACAGCACACACTGAGGCACATGAACAGCAAGATGGGGGGAAAATCAGGAACATCGCATGTAGTATGCAACTACCGTACTCTATAATTATATATAGCAGAACTGTTGTGAATCAGTAGGCAATGCAAAATGATTTTGCAGGGAAGCTATCGGAAATTGTTCGGGCGGCATAGAAATCCTAGCAAACAAATTTTGCAAGTTCCATTATACGCACCGCTGTTGTACACATAGTTCATCTATTGTACCTCAGCAGGGTTGCTGGTCCACTCATATCCGACTGCCTGACACTTGAGACCAAAGTGGTTAGTACCATCTCTCTTCTCGTACTCAGTCTCCGTACACACACTGATGTGTACCTCATTACCTGCATTATTCAGCAAGCAGTAAAGACTTGTGACGTAACCTACAAACTTGGCTCTTTCATTCGTGCATATGTATAGCTTATGTATGTATCTAGTAAAAACGAACTGAGCTACAATTGACTGACCTGGCAGCAAAACAAGGCCAGGAGGACTCTCCAGAGTGTACCGTTCCCAGTCTGCATAGAGTTCATCAAAAGGCAGTCCAACCAGCTCAACAGGTTCCACGTCCTGTTTGGCATCCTGTAGCGGATACTTGCTGAACCCGTTTTTGCCCCGCGGGATGAGAAGTTCTCCGATCTTGTCTTCGGCTTGTGCGAACCCACAGCGAGGGTCGAACTCTAGCGTCATCCACTGCACACCTTCGGGAAACTTCACCTGTTGGTGGGAGGCAAATCCTGACCACCAAACCCTTCATACATAGCTATTTGAAAGGCGTTTATTTATGCAACATGCTCTGTGCATGTGCTGTGCATATTACAATTCTAGCAGCCAATATTCTAATTGGCAAAGCTTTTGTGCAACTGGTTGTTTCTAGTAGTGATTGCCAATTTTCAACCTTGCCATGGTTCGAGAATAATAGTCTAACTTTTTACAAGCTGTCCGCACACACTCAACCACGCTCCGTATAAACAGCACCACTAAGTGAAAAAATTACACTGACCCGATAGTGTGTGACTGCACTTGGCTTGTACGGGTGGTCGGTCTCGATATTGGCATAGTGGAGATGCTTGGTATCGGTGTAGACGGTGACAGGCTCCTCTGACTGTATGCTGTGAGTGGTGGCAGATATGACTGGTAGAGTCCTTTTCACCAGGTCCAGCACCTCCACTGCATACTGGAGTAAGGTAGAGAGTGAGTGGGTTAGTATGATGCATGTACAGTATGTGTGTGAGAAAGAGAGGGCAGGCAGAAAGAGAGGGTAAGAAAAGTAAAAGTAAATTTAAAAAATGAGACAGATGTGGCAAAAACACAATTCTCACTCTGTGCATGTGTTGTTATCATGCAATAGAACGGTGAAAACATATCTATGTATATCACCTTTGGTTGTTTGCAGGCAACTGGCCCCAGTTGAGCCAGAGTTGTAGGAAGAAGGGTCGAGAACATGAACGAAGACCCCAGCAGTTTCAGGATGGGCGGAGTCAGCCCCACCCCCAGGGCCTTCTCCAGGAAGTTGACGGTGACTTCGAGGAGAGTGGTGGCCAGGTGGACACTCAGTTGCACCACGTTCTGGGGGCCAGCTGGCACAGACCTGCACACAATATGTACATATGTATAGTTTAACAATAATAGATGTACGTAGGGTCAGTACTTGCCCGTGAGCATTAATGGAAGGTCTGGCTCATTGCACGCTGGGAACGTCTGGAATACATTACATATTCCAATGCTCATATGGGCCAATAAAAACCACACATAACCCTATTATCATCAAGAGTACTACTACAGTCAAACTAATCTCTCTAAACTGTGGTGTTACCCCCCCCTTACTTTTCTATCTACATACACATAATTACAGGTACAGAGACTGGCTAACTTAACAATACAGAAAAATCCAAGATCAATATTTCAATAATACCGGCAAGTGGCTAGGGCTAGGGCTATGTATCTACTGCTCACAGGGAGTAAAGGAACTTGAGCATTGGGCTGGTCTCGGGGTTGGCCTCGGTGGCACCAGTCTCGTGGAGAGTGAAGCAGACTCCGCCCTGGTCCCGTGAGGCTCCTCCGCCCCTCCACGCCCATGTCGTGGACCGATCCACTCAGCACCACCCTAGCTGTGTACACCACCTCTGCCTGTGGGACACACACGTTAATGGACAGCATACACATAGCAACAGAATGTACATACATATGTATGTCTAGTGAGACTGTGTATATATACAAATGAATCGGGTTGAAAGCACTCGTAAATTTAAGGTCTCGTAAACTGTGCAGTATGCGTTTTTTAAACTAAACTCGGTGATTTTTGATCTACAAGTGATCTTGGAAATCACCGGGTTTTCAATGATTGTGCACTTCGCAGTGTATATGTATGTATGTACCTCTAGTTTGACGTGGTCCTTGAGCAAGAGGTTGACCATACCGTCTCCATGATAGTCAGACTGTGTGTAGGTTCCTTCCTTACTTCCCAGTACCGTCTCTCCCTGCACAGAGATCAATGTACCAATATCTCGACCAACAGTCACATGACTATACAGTACACCAATCACATGACCAGTCACATGACGAGGAAGTACACTTACGGCAAGTATAGAGAGGGTGTATTTGTACTGTCCTCCAGTTCCTCCATAGATTGTGACCCCATGTAACTGGATCGCTCTATTGACAGAGAAGACAGTGTCTGTCACCTCCACCGTGGGGTGGCCCCTCTCCTTCTCAGAGAAGCGAACACAGCTCTCAACCACCTTTTCCTTCTTGTCGCTCCTCAGAGGAATCCCTGGGTAAAAAGCCAGCGTGAGCCTCCACAATTTCATACGGCGCTACATTTTCAACAGTAGACATTCATGATATGAGTAAAAGAATATTGAGGAACATCCAAAATGCTAAAATACACTTTACTGGCACCAATAAAAAATTTCAATTTCCCTGCCAGCAGACAATGAGTCTGGCGACGCTGTATATGTGGGCCGGGAGCTGCCACATGCAAACTGTAGTAGACACCTGATTTTGCACTGTGCAGGACAGGTAAAATTTCACAGTTTGGTTGATATGTAACGCAAAAAAAAACACGCAGCATGCAAGAACTGCTCTTCTAGAGAGGTCAGCAGTGTCCTTAGAGAGGGGTTCCACTGTTGAGTTTGTCATTGAAACAGATATAGGTTAGTGCTCATTTTTCTGTCAATTTGCTTGGTAGCAAACAAGAGTAACCACGAGTACCTGAGAGAAAGGCGGACTCGGGGTAGGCAATACAGAGAGCGACCTCATTGATCCGAGACAACAGAAGCTGGCCTGTTTTCTGGACCACAGGAGACACCACCAACTGGGGAGTCAATGATGACACTAATGACAGGAGCCCTTCCCATTTTACAGGTTAAACATGTATATACTTCAGGGTCAAGTAACTTTTGTGATTTTTGGCACGGTTCCATACTATTGGCCCAGATAAAATAATTATGCCACACCTCCAAATGTGAATACTTTGGGATACACTAGAAAGGGTGGAGGGAGTTGGAATTTAGTATATACCTCATCTTGGAGTGAGGCAAGGGCACTATGGATGGGAGTAGTGACAACTGCCAGGAGTTTGGTGGCCACTGTGTTGAATCCCAGCAGCTCTCCTCCCTCATTCCCCTCCTGTAATATATACCAATCCATGGGTGGAAGAGTAGCCAGCATATAGTAGTTCATAATGGTACTATAGACGTTGAGCTAATTTCTAGGAGAAAACCTTTTTTACAGATGGCACAAAATTACAGGGAAAAGACTTTTGACAATGGCACACAAACCAAGCAAGGGTTTTTATGCTTGAAAGTATACCCGCCATATTGTATGTATACGTGTGGTGGTGACATCAGTCTTAGTACATACCAATGCTCTGGTCCTCATGAACTCAGAGAGGACAGGAAATCGGGGATCTGGCTCTGAATTGTAGAGAACTGAGAAAGAGAGAGAGATTTACCTCCTGAAGTATGCAACCATCATCATGAAATCAGGAAATTATTCCATCATATGCTACTGAAGTTAGGGTTGAGCACGTAATTCACATGAGAGTCATTTCGCTTTGTGGGTGGTGCAAGGCATAGAAAAGTAATGATTGACTGAGAGGCAGAGACAGTGGTCTGACTGACCAGTGGTAAGAGGGACAGTATATGATTGACTGGGAGGCAGAGACACACTGACCAGTGGTAAGAGGGACAGTGGAGTCATATCCAAGACCAATGTAGCTGACGGTTGGCTCGGCCAGGGCCTCCAGAATGGCAGACAGCAGGTTCTCTGTTGGTACTCCTGACACCATGTCATTCTAATAGGACACAGATTAGCAGGGTACTCATACAACAGTTCTATGAAACACAACAGTCTGCAATACTCCTCTCATAGCACCATGATACCCACATAACCCCCAGCTATTGCTTATATTTTTACTTCTTGTCAGGTTTAACTTGTGCCCCCCTCACCCATACATATTTCTCGAAATGCAACTTTTACCCCGTCCCCTACACACAAATTACAATGATCATCAACACTGCAATTGTCTCTAACACTCACAGGGTCAAGATACTGGAGTTGTTGGCAGAGTGCAAACCACTTGAGTGGGACGGAAGGGAAGAAGGCGTGGAAACACTCGCGGAAGGCCAGACGGCAGGAGTCGGTGACAGCGGAGAGCAGAGCCTGGCTGTCGTCTGGTCCTCTGGGGCACGGGGCAGACAGAATCATCTGGAGGAGGGTGCGGGCCTCGTAGACCATCTCTGCAATCTCGGGGGTATCGAGGGCCGGCTGAGTCAGCTTCCCCTTCTCTGGAAACACCTCTCTGGTGGGGAGGTGGGAACAAGTAGGCAGGCAAGTAAAGTGTCGTTTGACTTTGCCCATAGAAATCCATGCTGCCTCTATAAATATGCTTTGTAATGTGAGGGTCAGTGAGAAAGCACAAAATTGTCACTTCAAACAGCATGCATTTCAGGTGTATATGTATACGCAATCCACGACAAATTGTACAGATCAGATTTGCTCCTCACTGCCTAAACAGGGAAAATGGATTTGAACCTGACGTATGTCTTGAGGAGGTCGAGAGAGGCCTTGGCAATGAAGGACAGGCTCTGGATGTGAATGGTTGTGTCCCCACGACACAGGTTCTGCCACACCCAATCCAATAGCTGGAGAACTGCCTTCAGACCACTCTGTATCAATGTACATATATACATACATTAAACCATGCACTGCATGCCCTTCTCCCCCTCTCCCAAATATAAATAGAGGCAGCTAATAGTGTGGTAGAACTCCAAAGCTAAACCAGTTTCCCCAACATCTACATCAAGTTCTAGTGGATAACATGTTGTCATCAATGTGGCTTTCCAAAAATACACTGTAAACTCACTGCAATCATACTTAGGTAATGTAAGCGCCCAAGCGCTGGCACGGGCAGCTTCCTTCTTTATAAGTTTATTTAGCAACCCTCAGGAACATTTGAAAACTTGGAGTGTTTTTTCTGCTCACAGGTGAGACGGTGGAGGAGAATTCTCGCCCGAGCAGCTGGAGCTCCTCTCCCTCCTCGGACTCCAGTTCCGGTAGTCGGTAGAGCAGCTCTGGGATCTGACCAGAACCCACGTCTGTCCCGTTGTTGGAACGTTTCGACGACTTGAACTGGAATGTCACTCTGCACACACATACATGAATGGGAAGAGATGCTAGTAGGTGCTTTAGAGATAGAGTAGACCCTGGCTTATATCATACCCCATAAATATCCTGATCCCATGCATATATCATGCAGAGTAAAAAATGCTTAGTAGGCTCTTTAGGAGGAAGGGCCGTGAAATGCTATGACCCATTATGATATTTATTATGTTCAGACTGGCTGACTCTGTATGTACATAGGCACATACTATCCACACACATATATATACCTTTCAGGTCCCGCTATTTCTCTCTGTCCGGAAGAGCCAGCGTCAGAGCTGGCTCCTGAGGGAGATGCAATGTGGGCCACAGCTGTGTACCAGTTACCTGCCGTCAGCAGCACTGGCTTCTCAAACAAGATCCTGGACACAGAGAGACAGCAAGGGAGGGATAGAGGAAGGAGAGATTGACGTTTCACAAAGGCAAATTCAGTTCTCAGTCAATGTCAAGAGAGGAGTTTTGTCATTTTTGAGGTTTGATAGCATCTACGGATTAAGTTTCATCGCTAAAAAATTGTGGGACGGACAAGAAGAAAAACTTCTCAAAAAGTGAAAAACACCCCTTATAAGGTGTGTATATATACTACAGTAGTGTGTGTAGTTGACCTGTATGTTTGTTGTCTGTCACAGGTATATCCAGTCTCGGTCTGACTGGCCACGAGAGTACCGTCAGTTTCATTTCCCCCACCATCTTCTCCTCCAAGTTCAAACAACTGTATAGACATTGGCACATAAATTCATACATATGAGCTACATTGCCAACTGAGAATATTTTGTAAGTATGTAACTGCATAACTAAGTACGGCAGTATAAGAATTTTTTATTCACCTGAAGAGGCACCAAATTCTCGTGATGCACAATAATGCCATACAAAACAAGAGTCGACTGACCTTGATCTCAACGTTGTACTGCCCGCGGCCACCGTAGAGACCGAATCCTCCGAGGACAATGTCAGTGTCGGTGGAGAACCTGATGGCCTCGCAGCTGGAGTTAGAGTAACCCCAGCCACCTCCGTGAGCTGGGAGAGGGGGGAAACAGCATATTTATGCCCATTGGAAGTGCACTTTAAAAAATTTAGTGGCTTGTTAAGAGTGATTGCACTGCATTCTCCATGAATGCTCTTGGGCCCCATTGCTTTGTTCTATCTTTACGTTAGCCCTTCTCCAGTTAAAGACTCACTATTGAATCGAAGGACACTCAGGTACTCGTCTTTCTCATATCTCTTCATCTGAGAGCCGGCGAGTACCTCCATGGTGAGTGGAGGAGAGGTGGCCAGGGTGTGGAGACAAGAGAGGAGGTTGAGGGAGACGTGAGAACGACTCGTGGACGCTTCTTTGGAGTGAGGGAGACAGATGGAGGAGCTCAGGATTGTACCTGATGGGTCTGCGAGGGAAGGGGTGTTCGGAAAGTTCAAACAAACATCAAGCGATGTTACAACTTCACTGCTTCTCTCTGTTAGTGGTCTTTAAGTCTAGCCAGTAATGCAGTGTACCAAAGCTAAACAAATGCTTTTCCCATTAGTCAGTTTTTTTCACGAGAATCCATATACAGTTATTAGAGAGTAGATGTACATCCACAGTATGACTGCGTACCTTTCACTCCAGTGGTGACAGGGGTTAAAACACGAGACGGTAGGTCGTGGGGTGTCAGTGAAGCTCCACAGAACATCGTATTCTGGATCGATACACAGACCTCTACCAGACAAATCTTGTTGGTCATCTGTGTCATATCTGAGAGCGAGAGGGGAGGGAGAGAGGGGAGAGAGGAGAGAGGAAGAGGGAATGTTGTTTAAGACACAGTATATACCACTCCTTTGCACTGCATACTCTATAGTCATAATTGAGGATGGGTTGTTGGACTGTCTTTCCCCTCCACTATATACAAAAAGTACGGAAATTTTTATGCCATCCTGGGAATAATGTCACTGCACACTCCAGCTATAGCGAATGTATTCACAGTCATTCGCTGGTTGTCGTTCCTTCTGCTTGCTTGCTAAAAGTACGAAAAGTTGAGGCCACCCTACTTTCCACAGTTCATTAAGATTTTGCACTGCACTTTTCAGATTTTGGATTCCCCCCACTTGTATACTTTTTGGCCTTGAGCTCTTCTCTGTTGATGACAATGAGATGTGATTTGCCGCTGGGAGGTTGGGGAGGAGATACCAAACCTGCATTGGGAGCAAGAAAACATGTTCTGATACTTAGAATGGGCGACAACAATATACAGACTGGCAAGCATTGAGAAACTGGGAGAGTAAAACTTAACGTCATCCAACATCATGCCCGTACATTTGTGATATCAAGCTTTCACTTTCAGTTTCACTCATCTACATACATAGCAATGCTTTAGCAGCCAACCCTCACCAATAGTGTGGGTGTCAGCAAAGACGCTGCATTTTCCCAGGTTCTGGTCCGACACCAAACTCTCGTTCACGGCCACAAAGGTTTGATTGCCGCGGGCTCCGACCCATACCACCTTGCAGCCGTTTCCGAGACTGGGAATGGGACCGGGGGTCATGTGCCACGCCCCCTTGTCCTTCCCAGCCCCTCTCTCTCCTTCAGGTGACCTCCCTAGCTGATGTTCTCCGTGCTTACCAAATGTGTACACTTCACCTGTAATACGACGATGAGAGGAAGAGGCAGACAAAGAAAGCAAAGCTCAGATATACAAAACCTGGTCCACCCAGTAGTTCAAGAGTTTGGGTGTGCAACGCGCTACCCAAAATGTATTAGTGTCTTCATAAATAGGAGTGATCTATTATTCAATGGCAGTGATATTGCATGTCTCAACAACTTGGTAGCGAGGTAGAAAGGCAAGGCAAGGCAAACAAGTCAACTACACATGAACACATGCAGTTGTATGAGACTGAAGCAAATGGAACACATGATGCGTACCAGACTGAAGTAGGACGACAGTGTGGTTGTCTCCACAGGCTACCTGACGAGCTGGACCTGGCAGTGGAACCTTCACCGGGTGACCACTATAGAGAGATAATGGCAAAAAGACCACACCGATCACATATCATCACAACAATCATGCAGGGTGATCACATCTCTGATCACAAAAATCAACCACAAGTGTACACACAGTTATCGGAAGTCACTTACCAGTCTTTGCTGTTGCCCTGGCCCAGTTGTCCGTGTTTGTTGTGTCCAAACATGTACACATCTCCAGAGTGTAGCAGGAGAGCTGTGAGGACAGCAACCATATGTTACACACACTCAATCCAAGACAGAGCCACACACTATTAGCTAGGGTTTTATTTGACAGAGCTACACACAGTAGCAAGGTTTTTTGGCAATTCACGAGTATGTACCTGTACATTCCCTATGCTATGTATAGAGCCAGTACCAGTGTGGAATGTCCCGCAGTCAATCTGCATGACAGTCTGGTCATCTGGCAGAGCCAGCAGGGCCGGTTTCCTGGTGGAGATCTCTCCCTCCTTCTCTGTCGCTCCTTCTTCCCCCTCTCCCTCGTCCTCCACTGAGCCTCCCACACTCTCCACTGACATCTCACGCTGCACACCTAACACATGTACATACAAACATCCAGCAATTATGCTATATCGCTTGCTACACTAGCAGAGCTTGAGCAAAGTAACACAAGTCTGATTAATGATGTAGCTATAATAACTATTTTGCATGGTAGACAGTTTTGAGTGAAGTGAATGTGTGGGCTGGAACGAACACTGGCGACCAATCTCTCTCACCCAGTGACAGAAAGACCCACTGTGCTATGCTGTTGGGAGGTTCAGGCCCACTTGGTCACCAACACGCCAACACACACAGCCCCTCTTCCACAGCTCCCACTGATCCACAACCAGACACCTGCTCTGGGTAGGTAGCCTGGAGGACTAGGGGAGCTGTGGCGGGACTGGGGTCAGCTGGACCAGCGGATGCATCTTCCTCCCTGTATTGTACCTAATAGGAGCTACCTTCATATGCTATGCTATGTAGATCAAAGTTACCAGTTGATATTCATGGGATGATGCTCACGCAAACCAGTGGGCATGATTCAAAGGTTCACCACTAAAGCAGTTGCTGCTCATGCCTAATCTCTAGTACTGCCATATACATATAGAGCTATAGCTATATATATATATATAGCTCTAGAGAAAGGAAATAGAAACTTCGAAACTGTCACTAAAATTATCTCATTCTTTCACTGCGCTTTATTTTCAGCTGACACATTACTTAACTATTGATGAACCAAAGTCACTGTACTCACATACCTCCGAAGAGAAGACCGAGTCCCATCCCACCCTTGGCCTCCTTCCCATCTTTCCCCTTCTCCTCCTCCTTCTTCTTCTTCTTCTTCGGATCTTTCACCTTCTTTGCGGCTGCGCGGACGCGGCCCAGCCTGGCCCTCGCCTCCTGGACCTTCTCGTAGGCGACGTCATCGAGGTCATCCATGGGGTTGAGTCCCCAGTCCTCCTCCCCCGCACATCCTCGACACACGCCGCACTCTGAGCACCCGGAGTCACCAGCTCCACAGCCACACTCCCTGGGCAAAGAAACAAGTCACAGATCTTAAAAACATACTCCTATGCACAAAGAACCAGCAAGTCATCTGGTGAGGAGAATGAATTGTACAAGGAGGTATAACATAGACACACAGAGACTTTCATTTTTTGCAGTATATAGCAGGACTATAGGGCTCAACCTTGTACATACTAAGAACATGCTGTCGGAGTTTGTAAGGTACAACGAGGTTTTCCAACCACGAAAAGCAAACACAGCGGGCTTGGTTGCACTATACAAATGCATGCCAGTCCTAAAAAGTTGCTATAATACAGTACGAAAGGCA